GCCAGAGCTCTAGAGAGAGATAGAGAGAGCTCTAGACAGAGGAAACTGGAACTGTGACAGACGCAGAGTCAAACGTTGACGGTCAATCCGTGTCCGCCGCCGGGCCCACGCGCATGCCTCTGTCTCAGTCGCTCTCTCTCTCTCTCTCTCTCTCTCTCTATCTCGGCGCTAGCGGACAGGGTAGCAGCTGGGGAGCTTTCCAATAAGCCCTTGTTCAGTTTTCAGTTTTACCTTTGATTTTATAAAATATATGCTTTGACCCGTTTGTCGAAGGTAGGTGGCAGGAAGGTGGGTAGGAGTTGTAGGGATGGAGAGGAAAACGTGCTGCAAAATTACTGACATTAATAATATCTGAGAGAGGGACTTTTTTAATTAAAAATATAATAAAATTATTTAAATTCGCAACAAGAAACGAGCGCGAATGAACCACAGCTGGTCTATGGTCAACTCCCTGACGTCCCCCACGAACAAGGAGACTTTTTAAAGAGGGAGGGGTAAAAGGGTGAATGAGAAATTAACTTTTTACAAAATTCAAGATTTTGTGGGGATTGTTTTACAAAAAAATGGAAACCGCATTCAGACGTTCCACGTATGTGCACACGTCAGCCGGAGACGGCCGCCGCCTCATCGAGCACCACCAGGTCGCGGAGTCTGATGGAGCGAAGCGGCGCGGGGAGCGGCGGCGGGCGGGGGTCGGTCAACCTCATGGAGACGCTGTCCATCGTCGGGCGACGCGCCGGCTCAACGCGAAGACACGACAGTGCCACCGCCGCCGCCACAAGGACGGCGCTCGCCAGTTGCCCCGTCGGTGGTTTCAGCCGCCAATCCAAGACCTCCACCAGCAGCTTCTCCCTCCCCTCCGGAGACGGCAACTCTCCGATCAGCTCGCCCGCGTGCCTCCCCGCCAGAATCTCCAGCGCCACCACCCCGAAGCTGTACACGTCGCTCGCCGTCGTCGCCTTCACCGTGTAAGCAAGCTCTAGAGAGAGAAAGACCAAGAGAAAGAGAGAGAGAGAAGGTGAATGTGTTTGTGAGCAGAGGAGAGACAAGGACGAGTGGTGGCGTCGGAGAAGAAGAGATTCACCGGGGGCAAGGTAGCCTAGGGTTCCGGCGAGAGCGCCGGCAGCGGACCAGGTGGACTGCTCGGGATTCAAGAACCTGGCGGTGCCGAAGTCGGAGACGCAGGCCTTGAACTCCTCGTCGAGAAGGATATTTGCACTGGTGATGTCCCGGTGCAGCAGCGGCGGCAAGCAGTCGTGGTGCATGTACGCGACGGCGCTGGCCACCTCGGAGATGATCCTCACCCTCTTCGCCCAGTCTAGCTCCGCCGCCGCCTCGTCGCGGCGGAGCACGGCGGCGACGCTGCCGTTCGCCATGTACTCGTAAACCAGGAACTTGCACCGACGGCTGAAGTAGAAGCCGTAGAGCTTCACGATGTTGCGATGGCGGATCGCCGTCAGCGCGCGGACTTCGTTCTTGAAGGAGCTCTCGTCCCCGTCGACCGCGTGGAGCTTCTTTATCGCCACCGTCGCCCCGCCGCCGCCGGGGAGCTGCACCTTGTAGACGCTCCCCCAGCCGCCACTCCCGATGCAGAACTTGTCGTCAAAGCCCGCCGTGGCGGCGGCGACGTCATGGAGGGTTATCCCTCTTCCGAGATCCGCAGAGGAGAAGGCCTCCACGTCCCCTTCATCTTCCTCCTCGACATCCCCTCTCCTCCGGCGGAAGCAGGAGATGTATCCGGCCAACGCGAGGATGAAGAAGACGACAGCTGAGAGGGGCAAGAAGATGGAGAGAAGCACCACCTTCCTTCTTTTTCTTCCTCGAACGTCGGAAATGGAGTTGCAAGGAGGGAGACCCAGCTCGCTGGCGGCGCCGCCGCCGCTGCCGTTGCACAGCCCCCGGTTGTCGGTAAACGCCGCCGCTGGTGCCCGCCGGAAGAAGTCGCTCTCCGGGAGGGGACCCTCCAGGAAGTTGTGCGACAGGTTGATGGAAGAGAGGCTGATCATGTTCCGCAGAGAGGCGGGAATGGCTCCTGTTAATCTGTTGCAGGAAAGATTTAGGGCTTCCAGCATCACCAGCTTCCCCAGCTCCGGCGGGATTTCGCCGGCGATGGCGTTCTTGCTGAGATCAAGCAAGATCTGGAGATCCAGCAGCTTCCCAATCTGCGTGGGGATTTTCCCGTTGAACATATTCCGGCTCAGATCCATGCTGCGGAGCTTGGCAAGGTTGCCAATCTCCACTGGAATCTGCCCTCTCAGCTGGTTGCCTGAGAGATCAAGAATCTCCAGCTCGGTCAACCTCCCGATCGACGACGGCACCTCGCCGGAAAGCTCATTGCCGTTCACTCTCAGCTCGAAGAGGGAAATCAACCCGCCGCCCAGTTCTTCAGGGATCTCTCCTCGCAACTGGTTCCACGACAGATCGAGCACCTTCAGCATGGTCAACTCCCCTAGCCGACGGGGGATCTCGCCGGAGATGTTGTTCCCGGAGATCTGGAGCATCGTTAAGTTGGTGCATCTTCCCCACTTCTCCGATAACTCGCCGAAGAATCTGTTGGAGCTCAAATCAGCGTATTCCAGAACTGGGTAGACTCCAAAATCCTCGGAGAGATTCCCCACGAGCTGGTTCTCCCTGAGGATGAGCCTCCCCAATGACGAGCAGTTCCTCAGCCCATCGGGCACTCCTCCGGTGAAGAGGTTCCCGGCGGCGTTGAGGTGTTCCAGAGCGCCGGCACGGCAAAGCGCAGCTGGAAGCTCGCCGGAGAACCGATTCTTCTGCAGGCCGACGACGGCCATGGCGGCGAAGTCCATCTCCTTTGGGAGAGCTCCCGATAGCTCATTCTCGAAGAGGAGGAGATCTGTCAGACTGGTGAGGTTCTTGAACGAGCTGGGCACGCCCCCGGTGAGGTTGTTGGTGCTCAAGCTCAACAGGAAGAGCTTCTTCAACCTCCCAATCTCCGGGGGGATCGAACCAGAGAGATAGTTGTTGAAAAGCAACAAGGTGTTGAGCTCCGTCAAGTTCCCCAGAGAATAAGGAATCGGACCCGAGAGCCGATTCTCGTAGAGCTGCAGGACGCCGAGCTTCGTCAACCTCCCCAGCGTCCGCGGGATCGAACCAGAGAGACGGTTGAAGTTAAGTTCCAGATCTTCCAGGTTCACCAGGTTTCCCAGCTCCCCGGGAATCTCCCCGTCGATCTGATTCTTGAAGAGGATCAGGTGGTTAATCGCAGAGAGATTCCCAAGAGACGGAGGGATGGGTCCGATCAGGTGGTTCTCGCTCAAATCTAGACGGAGGAGCTTCTCCCCAAGAGCTCCAAGCTCGCCGGGGAGTTCGCCGGAGAGTTGGTTCTGCTGGAGCTGGAGAGAGACGAGTTGGCTCAGATTGGCAATCCTCCGAGGGATCAGCCCTGTGAGGCCATTGCCGGCGAGGTTGATGGTCTCTAGATCTTGGAAGAGAGAGAAATCGAGGCTACTCAGGTCGCCGGCGAGCCCACCACCGGGAAGCTCTATTCCCATCACCTTCCCTTGCCGGCAGGCGATGCCCTTCCACCCGCAGGGAGCGGCGCTGCTGTTGACGGCCCAAGAGCTGATGTTATCGTGGCTCTTGAGAGTCGCTCTCCAAACGAGGAGGGCCTCCGCCTGTGTATTCCCGGCGGCACCGCCGGGAAGCTCCGAGAGAAATATCGGCAAGAGGAAGAAGACGAAGTGCAGGAGGCGCTCAGAGCTCATCACGACGGCCGTGGAAGAAGACAGAGGAAGACGGTGGCGAGAGAGAGAGAAAACATCGACGCGTCAACGATATCCCCGCCGCGCCGCCGCCGACGGTGGCGTGCCGGAAACCCAGCTGTCAAGCTAAAAAGTCAGAGGCCATATAAGCTTCGGCTGTCCGCCGCAAACCGCGGTGCTCGGGATCAGCCGGGTCAAACCGACTCGGATCGGAATTTACCGCATTTAAAGAGGCCTTATATGCCTCGACTTCGTAACGGATGACGATCAGTCAATGCCGTGGGCGAGTGACGTGTCCGTCGATGAACCCTGAGGCGGTAAGCTTTAGACGAGACCTTCTGTGAGGGTTTCCGGCAATGTGGGCCCCATCACCCATAGTCAACCGCGTCTAACTTATTAGTAATCTGAGAGTGGAGAGAGATTAAATGGCCTCTGACAGCTTAAGTGGAATGAAAATTTTCTTGCTGAGAGATAGGATGATGTACGGACAGATTGTGGGAATTATGTTGGTAACAGCTGAGCACTAGATCAGATATTTATTACTATAATTAAATTATTAGTAACTAATAAATTCTAAAGTGGGACATCTGGCAATCCACGTAAGTTCCGAAATAATTTCTCAGGTCGTGGTCCAATGAAGCAAAGGCCCATTTCAGGCCCAATTACCTCATGTCAGCCAAATTACATAACTCCCTCTCTCTCTCTTCTCTCTCTCCCCCCTCAATCCCGCATGAGTCCTAACCCATGTTACTGCAACGCTCTAATGGGCCTAGCTAAATGGGGTCTAATGTGTCTAACCCCACCACTCTCCGGTTTAACTAAATGGGCTAAATGGGCCTATATTCGGCCTCGGACATCGAGGAGAGCTGTATTTGGGCCTACTTACGTGATTGGGTCAGGCCCATTATACGACATACTTTGATTCGTAGTGAAGCTCTTCAGAAGAACAGAAAAAGAACACGTGCTGTTGATTCCAAATGATGGTTTTTATTTTATAGACCCTTAATATTATATATTTACACATAAGTACTAAATAATCTTCTCTTTCGTAAAAGTAAACGTAATTATTTTATTGAGATAATTACGTTTTTTTTCTGGTGACGTATATAGAAGGCGTATATCAATAAAAAACCCTGTACATTATCACTGTTTTATGGTAATAAGTTAATAATTATGTCAATACTTTCTTAAATTACGGTGAAAAAAACATTTATTTTGGACATTTCGGGATGACTTTTTTACAAAAATTACAGAATATTTTTATATGAAAAGGTAAATAATTATTTTAATCAATTCAATTGAACTCTGCGGAATACCAACGCGGTGAAGAGAGAGAAAGGCGGCAGGTGGGACGGCGACGCACGCACACCCATGTGGACGGTGGAGAGAGGTAGAGAGAGGGGGAGAGAGAGAGAGAGAGAGAGATGAGTGTATTTAGGAGAGGGAAGTGGGGATTTTTAAAAATCGGGTACAAATTAGTCACTTTTAATCGTATTATCTCGCTTAATCGAGGAGCGAAATCAAAAAGTTTGGGGGGGTTTGATGTGAGAGTGAAAAGAGGAAGGGATCTAATTTAGGAGTCATGCAAAATAAGTAAATATATTTTTTATAGGGACATAAAGGTAAGTAGATATCTATAAAGGGAGAAAAGATCCAACTTTTCTAGTCTCTCTCTTCGTTCCAACTAACACCTCTACCAACCTAACGTCTTGCTCGTTCCTGCGCTCTCCGTCGCAGCGGCCGCAGAGGAAGAAGAAGCTCCTCCGCCGCCGCCATGGCGCAGCTGCTCCACCTCTCCGGCGTCACAGGCTCCCCCTCCAGCTCGGGTGGCAACCGGTTTCTTCTTCCCGCTCAGGCGCCCTCCTTCCCGGCCGCCGCCGCGTCCTTCCCTGCCGCTTCCCCTTCTCCAAGCTTCTCTCTCTCCCACCCCTTGCTTCCGGCCAGATCCTCCGTTCCCGGCCGGAGCTCCTTCGCCGCCGATCTCGCCGGCGGCGGCGGTGGCGGTGGCGTCAACAACAACGGCAGAGGCGGATCGGGGGCCGGCGGCGGTGGCGGCGATGGGAGTTCCGGCGGCCCCAGACGACCGGATCCGCCGGCGGATCTCGGTCCTCTGGGGATCTTCGTCGAGGGATGGAGATCTAGGGTTTCTGCGGATCCGCAGTTCCCCTTCAAGGTCCTCATGGAGGAGATCGTAGGCGTCAGCTCATGCGTGCTGGGAGACATGGCCTCCCGCCCCAACTTCGGCCTCAACGAGCTCGACTTCGTCTTCTCCACCCTCGTCGTCGGCTCCATCCTCAACTTCGTCCTCATGTACCTCCTCGCCCCCACGGCAGCGACCAGCGGCGCTGCTGCTGCCCTGCCGGGGCTCTTCGCCTCCTGCCCGCCGGGGCACATGTTCCAGCCGGGGGCCTACTCCATGATCGACCGGCTGGGGACCTTCGTCTTCAAGGGATCCACCTTCTCCTGCGTCGGATTCGCAGCGGGGCTCGCCGGCACCGCCATCTCCAATGGCCTGATCGCGCTGAGGAAGAAGATGGACGCGGCCTTCGAGACCCCCAACAAGCCGCCGCCGACGGTGCTGAACGCTCTGACGTGGGCGATCCACATGGGGCTGAGCAGCAACCTCCGGTACCAGACCCTCAACGGCGCCGAGTTCCTCATGGGGGGAGCGCTGCCGCCGGCGGCGTTCAAGGGCTCCGTCGTGGTGCTGCGCTGCCTCAACAATATCCTCGGCGGCGTCTCCTTCGTCACCCTCGCGAGGTTGACGGGTTCCCAGAAGGCGGAGGAAAACCAGGCGTTCGCCGGGGAGGAAGAAGACGACGCGACGACGGTGAAGCTCCTCCCAAAGCGGGTCCGCACCGCCGAACCAGTGGCGCAGGCGGCGGAGTCTGCTGCCGACTTCAAGTGAGTTGCGTTGACTTCTGCTCCTCTCGTCCTGCTCGATCAAGCGGTCGCTTCGGCGGATCGTCCGTAGAGAGAAATAGGGTTTTCAACAGGTGGGCGTCCCAGCTAAGCTTAGAATTGGTTTTCGTGGTAATAAATGAGGACATTTGCCGACCCAGCTTGTCATGAACAAGATCGTTTCCTCCCCTCTTGTCTGGTTTTCGGCTCCAACCCGGGCATCGATCTGCTCGAGGCCTGTTCTTCAGAAGATCACGGAATCGTCGCATTAAGCTTGTGATGGAGGTGGTGTGTGCAAACACGGTGCCAGATGCTCGTAGAGATCCAATCTTACTGAGGACGATCCCAGGAGAGAGAGAGAGAGAGAGAGAGAGAGAGAGAGAGAGAGAGAGAGAGTTTGTGATTGATCAATGGAGGGAGAATCTGGGAGGAGATGGGGATCTGAAGAAGGCTTCGCTGGTCGATCTTCTGAGGTGGGTCAGAAAATTAAGATGATCTGAACGTAGACGCAGAAGACGGTCCCATTCACCCACTACACACAATGTAATGGGTTTCTTTTCTCTCCCGCCGTCGCTAACGGTGGGGCTACCTTGACGCCACCACTACACACAATGTCAGCACGCCAGGCCAGGCCAGTAGGGCCCCACAAATAGAGAGAGAGAGAGAGAGACTAGAGAGAGAAAAAAAGTCGACAATTAGCCTAGAAAAAACCCACACAGAAGAACGTCTAATTTCTCTCTCTCTCTCTCTCCCTCCCTGGGCATGATCTACAGCGCCGGAAGCTAAACACAGCCGCCGAAGCCGAAAACCCAAAAGGTCCTGGGGATTTGATTTACGGTACTTTTATTTATAATAAGTAAGCTGACGATGAGCATACCTGCCAAGCTCCGGCAATCTAGAGAGAGAGAGAGAGAGAGAGGAAGGAGAGAGAGCGACCGAGACCAAATCAGCCCGGCGGCCAATTCATCTGCCGCCCGCCAAGCAAATGAACGTGGAGATGAAACACAGATTGACCTGCAGAACCAGAGGCCGAATCAAGAGATGACCGAATAATTTAATATATATATTTTTGTAAATTCATGATCATATTCAAGAAAATAGAGGATGGTACACACAGCCATTTCGGCCGTCGTTGATCACGACCCGGTAGCCACTCTGGTCGATCCCTTCTTGCTTGGCGACCAGCTTGGCGACATACAGCAGGTGGCCGAGGATCTCGACGTGCCTCGGCTCTGCCTGTTTATGATTGAAGATTGTTCTCACGCCGGGCCCAAAGCTGAGGATCCAAATATAGTAAACTGCCAAGAACATGTACCTTAGATATACCAGTCAACCCATCCTTAACCTTGGGGATGATTACAATGTGCGTAGGTGCTTGAGGAGCGATGTCTCTGAACGCAAGCGCCTGGCGCACATTGTAATGGTCAGTGCTTTCAACTAATGAGAGAGATCAGGGCAATCTGTTCTCACGAACAGGACCAATGAGAGATATTTTAACTGAAAATATGCAGAGGAATAGAATCAATGGTCTCTTCCACAGGAGGTAGATGAATGTGACAGCAATACTCTCCTTTACTAAAAATACCCCTCCCTCTGTGAACAACCTGTTCGTACAGGTGTTGCTTCTCTGGAAATAGAATATGCAAAATTAGGGCAGAAAGTTGCTTCTCTGTGGATTTACTGATGATCAACTTGAGATGTACTCTGGAAAGAATGGACGTGTATGTCACTGAACAAAGTGAGCCGCATGAATATATAGGAGCTATCGCTTACTCCCAAGGCCTCTCTGAAATATTACCCAAGAGAAGATTGAATGGGCTTCAGAAAAAAAGCCCAAGATTTTTTTTTTCTTTCTTATCAATTAATTTATCTCCCTGTCAATAGCACAAATGAGATGGGCAACTAACATCACCTTCGGCAGAAAGAGGGAAAAAAACTCTGCTGGTAGACAAGTGCAGGGAAGATGGAAAGCCGTCATAGAACACAGTTAACGTGATGATGCTACTGAACTGGATGGGCATTGCAGAGAGCTTTGAGGACATTAAAAAATTTAAAAGCACATTTTAGTTTGTCGGCTCGCACTGCAAGTCATCAAGAAACATAGAAACGAATGCAATCAGAGGCAGACAAAATCGAAGGCACTACCTTGTCATCCTCATACACCACAGTGGATGGAATTTCCTTCTTTATGATCATATCAAATCTGCAAATAAATAGGGTTGAATTAATATGCAGCTTTTGTCATATAGTTTCACTTGGATGTAGGCATAATAATCCTTGTCGAGTTCATGAACCTATTTCTAGAATACTTCTCATCTATAAAAGCAGAGCTTGGACGGCACCAAATGGCCGTCTTTTGATGTCAATTTTATTTTCTCCCTTGGAGTAGTTCACCCAACATACGTGCCAGGAAATTAAACAAATCTGGGCTAAAATTATCACTTAGGAGTGAAAAAATTCGTCAGAATAACCAGAGAAGTAAAAGTTCGTCCGTGATGCCAAAGGAATAATGAAACGTTTCTAAGGACCCTAAACAGAGCATGAAAGGGTTGTCCCGTTTGGCTCATTAGTTTCCTTCGACTGTAAATGATTAAAACCAATAGAAATAAACGAAGATCAGCTCCAAGTTCTTAATCATTCCGCTACATCTAAAAAATATGAAAGTGTCTACGAGGAAGGATGCTAAAAACTGATGGAAAAACCAGTTTTAATCGGTCAACAACCTTTCAACCTCTTTCATCCCTAGAACTACTAATTCAACAGCCATGGACAGTCGAACGACAACAGTAAGACATTCCAGATATGGAAATGGGACGGTTCTGGAAACTTAACGATGCCCTGACACACAACCACCCTGAGTGGAGATTCCGGGAAAACATGGAGAGTCCTGAGTTTTCTTTGCGTGGAGGATTAGTAACAAGAAGAAACACCAGTTTCATCAGGAAGATCACGGATGAGCAAACGCAGAGATGTAGGCAATACATATCTACCAAGCCTTTTTTAGGTCATTTGACAGGATCCTCCACAAATGAACCGCGACACATCCACTGAGATTCAACCTCCCGGCTCAAAAAAAACAGGGGAAAATGGATAAACAAGGGAGATCCTTACACGGTGGGCGCATCGGAGGGTACCGCAGCGAGAGCCGCTTCCTTCTCTGAGGAAGCCATGGCAGGACCCAAGGCCGAGAGCACCGACCCAATTCCGAGCTCGAGCTAGGGCACAGTTTAAGTAGACGCCTCCCCACGGCCATCTGCCTCGGTCCACATCCTCTAGACCGTGGTGCACAACACCAACCGGCTCGCCCGGCGGCTCTGTATTCCTTTTTGGCGCTAGTGTAGTACGCCGGTCCAGAGGATCTCAGCCTCTTGTGGACCAGAGGATCGTCTTGTTTTGGCCATGAGGACGATGGTATATTTATCATTCTGAATTTTTTTCGGGTGTCACTCCCTCTACGCAGAAAAATGTTGGATGATTAATTATTATTCTAATTTATCTCGCATTTTTATGCCCCTGTTTCCTTGTATTTCACCCTAATTGGATATGATATCTTTTATACCCAATTCAAAGAAATAAATTCAATAATATTAATATATGTTTAAAATATCATCGAAAAAAATCGCAAAATGAATCCTTATTATATATCTTTAAAATTAAATATATATTTAATATTATGTGGGAAAGTTCTTAACGAACAGTCCTCGCCGCGACGAGGACTTTTTTGTAAAACTTATTGGAACGCCGTCAATAAAATTGTATCCTCCCATTTTGGGCATGTGCAGATAATTTATTTGAAAGGCATTGTTTTTGTAAATGCTGAGATTTACAGGGATGTGGATGGAATATGCTGCAGATTTTTCTACGATGGGCTTTTGAAACGGAGGATTGACAGTGTACACTGATGGGAAGATACCTCCATCTCCCTTCACTATCCCCTTACCCGCCATTCCTCCGCGCCAGTCTCATCCAGGAGCGGCGTGGGGTAGCTGGCGCCTCAGGGCAGAGATGAATGCACTGTGGCTGCGCACAGGGAGTGGCGCTGAGATTTCGAGCTTGTCTCTCTTCTTCAACGGAGCATCCTCCACCGTACGCGCCCCTGCATTCAATGGCTCCCGGCGGAGAAGATCTCTCCGTGTGGCCTCCTTGAGAAGCTATCTTCCACGTGGTAAGTTTCGCCCACTCAGATGTATATGTATACAAATATATGTATATATAGATCGATATACGGATATATGCCTGCAAATTGGAACATGAAGTTGTGGACCTCCAAAAGTGATTTTCGGAGGTTACTGCTATGATTTTCTGTAAATTCTTATTTATGGCTAGCTAAGGGATTTTTGGGATTTTATGCTTTTCCTAATGTCGGAACCTTGTCTTGACGGAGAATAATGCCCTTTTCCTTTCTGCTCCTTAGGAGATGATGTGATAGGAGAGGACTTGCTGAGGGAATTTCTGAGAGAGAGGCTTACATATGGCGATTTTATATCCAAAGTTTCTGATATTCTCTGGAACAAGGGAGCCTTAGGTGATGTTGAAACAGAAGAAAATGCTGCCCTTGGAAGTTACCAGAACTCCGTAGAGGTATGTTGAATCTTTTTGTGAAAAATATTTCTGTAGGACACATGGAAGACTCTTATTAATCATGATCTGCGGACCTTCTATTAGCACGATCATTTGGCTTGTAATCGCTCATCCAGTCTGTGCAGGTGGACAAAAATGAAGATGTTGATGGATTTCTAAAGTTGGCTAAAACAAGAGAGTGGATTTTGGGTGATGACACCGCTCCACTCAACAAGAGAACGGTTGCAAGGGTCTGAATTTAGATGAATTTCCGTGCACCATAATTTTGATTTTAAATTAAATAATTCTAGAGAGTTGGCAACATCTCCAACGCTTGAAAGTGTAGATGCTTTTTCTTGCAGGACTGGAGGAACGATAGTGAAAAGAGGAGGAAGCTCAACCTTTTGCAATATGAAGCTGTATGGATCTTTTGTGTATCTTTGACAACTGGATTGCTCGATTATGATCTGGAGTTGCCTTGTCAATTTTTATTCGTGTGCTAAGAGTTAATAATGGTTATTCTTTTCGAACACTTATTTTTCTGCTTCCAGCTCAAGAAGGAACTTACTCTTCTAACCATTGGCATCGGCACAGCGTGTGGCGGTTATTGTTTAATAACCCTGTCGCTTCAGGTAAACCTCTATATATAAACCATTAATATGGCGAATCTAAGTCATCACAGTATATACTTATAGATTGCTCAAACTTCCAGACTCTTCAGAAACTGCGAATTGGACACCATTGTTATTTTTTTTTCTTTTCAAGCAGTGATGATATCGTACGTATAAAACCTAGCCAAAAAAAATGTGATCACGCATTAAAACCACTTTACAATACGGTAACTGGCGTAGATGTGCGATCCAACATTAAAACCACTTTATGCGCCTCTTCAATGTACCTCACCGCAGTCCAAATATCTTTTTGAAACTCTCTTTCATAGAAATTTTCAGAACAGCTCAACTGTTACATAAGAAGACAAAACGTGTTTGGATTGCTATTACCTGCAGAAAGGTAGTTTAAAATCTAGTATAATAGATTTCTTGCTCGTTATGTCACCAGATCAATTTAGTTGTCTTTGCGATTAAATCTTTCTCATCAGACAATTTAATACGTCTTTTTTTGAACAGGCTGCTGTAAGTTATGCTGCTGGTGTTCTTCTCAGGTTGGTTGAGTGACTCGACCCATTTGGTACATTGAGGTCAACAGCAATTACGTTACAATCCTTTAAAATATTGTGTTAAATAAATATTTTACATGATGAATTTTGGTAGTCACTAGAGATTTGGCATTCATTGCTGACCTTTCGAGCTGTCGACTGCGATTTCAGTGCTTGTGCCAATGCATGATACCAGTTCGTTCTTCTAACTTTCAAAGCAGTTGTTTGTACCTTCAGCTCTTATCTAGTCACGTGGACAACTTGTCAAAGGAAGCTGTGCCTTCAATTTTCTTGCAAAAAAAGACAAAAAAGTAGGTTTTCCAGCTGTATTTTTTTATTTTTTAAAAAATGTTTAAATTTTATTTTTTATATTTTCATTACCATTCCAAAAACTTCTTGAAGGCTAAACATTTTTACTCCTTGTATGGCTGAATAAACTAGAATCGGGATAAGAAGTGAAGATCTACAGCGCTCATTTGAAAGAACTGTAAAAGGATGTGGAATGGCTCTCTCATCCCCCAGGCTAGTTTTCCCTGCAGCAATCTATGGTTTATGGGCTCTGTCAAACCATTTCTCCAATGATTACTTCGAATTTCAGGTACATTTCAGTGTTGATATTTTATATTAGCTCTTCCTAATTTTGAATTTTGAATTATCTTTTCGTATTTTTTTTATTATTCTGAACTTTTGTTTGATGGATTCGTCGGCGCATGTTAAGGTGCTTATTTATGAACACCTAACGTCCCTCAATAGAGTAACAAAACGGTAATTTTCCCAAAAAAACGGTAACGTCCCTCAATAGGTAACTTGTGTGCTCCATCTCGTATGGGAGCTCAACGTTTTGAGTGGAAAAGAAAAAAGATACCGTTTAAAGTTTGACCAAAATTAGTCATCCTAGGATACCGCATGCTTGAAGAATTACTTTAAACTGATTGATGGACAGTACGGTCCTCATGTATGCTACTTTTTGGCTCTCTCTCCCCCCGTCTCTCTCTCCTCTCTTTCTCTCTCTCTCTCTCTCTCTCTCTCTGTAGATATATATATATATATATATATATATATATATATATATATATATATATACTTCTCCCTCTATCTCTCTATCTCTCCCTCCCTCTCTCTCTGTATCTTTCTCTCTCTATCTATCTTTCTCGCTCTCTCTCTCTCTTTCTCTTCTCTCTCTCTCTCCAGTTTGAGTTTCTAGCCAAGTGTTGTCCTCAGTGCTTCAGTTCACCCTTCCCCACCCTCACCGTCAATTTCCCGTCGCGGACCTCATGGAAATGTTCCCGATCAACATCAGAAAACTTGATGACCCGAACCATACAATCTGACGAAGCTTCTCAAGCGAGTTCCACCCTTCCAAAACGGAGAACTGTAACGGGGCCCCTTTTATCTACATACCATTCCACTGTTCATGGGTCAGCCTCACTCTTTTGCGACTAATCTCTCTTGCCCTAAACAGAGCTAGCGTGGACTAATCTTTGTTTCCCTTAAAATGGAATTAGTGGTAGATGAAGTCGTCATTACATCATGATTACTAATTCTGGGCTGTGAACCCTGTACACATACATACACAGCTAGTGCCGGCAATGCTAGGCCTATTCGCTTATAAGGCCGCCGCTCTGGTCCAAGTCTACAGAGACAACAAGGAGCTGAGCTTGGTCCTCCCGGAGGACGGCAGCTGAGATCCCCTGGAGACTTCCCTCGGATCAATACTGTGGAGCACTGTCTCGCTGGGGAGGCTCTGAGCTACCCACCGTCAGGTTCTCCCTCTCTTCATTTGCTCCGTTCATTCCTGCTTCCGCTCCTCAGTTATTCTCTGTAAAGTTTCCATTTTTAGTGTCAATATGTCGGGCTCTTGGCCGAGAAAGTTATCATGATCGATGAGAGGTAGCATTTATGTGGATCTTGCTTGAGTCAACACCGATCATAGGCTTTTGGGCTGTGATCATAGGGTTTTGCTTTGATTAGCCGCCTATCTGTTTATATGACAGAGGGTTTGTCACGAGTCGGATTCGAACCAGCACTTTACGGATGCGAAAAGCACCCGGATTTCAACCTAAGCTTGATCGTCACTTTTGTTAACTCGGTTCGTCATGGATCAGAGAAAGCTGACATGAAACCGGATGAACCATTTAATATCCAAAGGTTTGGAATGGGATACATAACATTTTGTCTTCTCTCTAGGGTTTTGAGTTTAGAGGGGATGTGGATAGGAGAGAGATTGCCTGGGTAAGACCCATCTGTCCTCGTCTAGCAACCTCAGCATATCCAAAGGTTAGGCTCTGAGGGTCGGTGCCCACAGTTCTTGGAGAATATTTTCTGAGTTCTTTCTTTTTTTCATATAGACAACGCTGGTGATCACCAGCCAGATTTTCTGCTGAATATTAGTGAAAACATTAATAATAATATTCTCTATTTCTAAAATAGTTTAGTTGCAAATGGCTAAGATTCAATTAAGGTCGTTACATAAATCCAAGTCAACCACCAGTTCTCAAATAAAAATGCCGCATTTTTCCTTTTTTTTTTTTTCCTTTTTGGATAAATCAGGGGTCCCTTGACAGCTCGCATCTGATCTGAAGAACAACATTTTTTTTAATTTCTTATCAGGATTAAAAAAAATAATTTCTTCTGACCTTCCATCAATTCCCTTGAGATTTATTTGATCTCTAGAACCGCAATCGCATTATATTTAACCAACATTTTCAGATTTATTTGATCTATAAACCTCGAGATCGGCCTCTACATAAAAAAATTAAAAAAATATAGAAAATAGTTTTCAGGCCGAATTATATTGGAACCATAGTGATGGAATTTACTCACTATTTTCATATTTAAGTAAAAAAAGAAATCGAGATCGAGTAACTCGTGAAATAGTGGCGGATATACGCTGAAGAAAATAAAAATAAATAAATAATATAGAAAGTAATTTCCACACAAAAAAATCACAGACGGAGCCAGGGTGGGCTGAGCTGGGAATACCATTGAGCAGCCCCTTTGGGCAGCTGACTCGCAAAATCTGAACGAATTTTCAGGGTTGACCAGCAAGAACTGTAGGAAACCGAGGGCCTGCTTCGGGTTGGCCCCCCTTTCCATTCTCCCACCGGCATGAAGAGTGAGAAAATGAGGATGGACGATCTTATTGTCGGATTTTCGCAACTCCAGATACAATCATTTCTTCTTATGTACAGGATCCGAGCCGGCGAATTTTTTTCTTTTTTTAGGAAAAAAATATTTCCCGATTATGCCATTTGCCGCTGCATCCATCCGCAGATGTCTCCAAAACCTGCAAAAAAAAAAAAAAAAAAAAAAAGAGGGAGAAAAAAGCAAGTCTTGGGGCTGGCCGGTGCCTCAGCAGAGGAGGGCAAAAATTCTGGGCAACGCCGCCGCCGTGGTCTACGTAAAAACCCTAATTTACCTCCTTCCGTCCGAGCTGTGAGATCCCTTCGATTGACCAGCTGGGTTGATCTCAGTCTTTGACGGCCGGTTTATCCGCGGCCTCTTTGGCTCTGAAATCGTCCAGGCTGCGGTACTCCTCCCTCAGAAGCCTGTCCAGCTCCGGGTCCTTGAGAGGCTCCTTGCGGTCGTCTCTGATCTTCCGATAATGGTGGAAAGCCCTGTCAAAACCAGGGCGAATCAGACGGGCAAAAGATCATTGGTCGAAATAAAACATATTTTTTTATATTTAAACAAGATCATTAAATCGGGAAGAAACAAGAATTACATCACGAGACATGCATTTCTCATCAAAAGCAGAGATAAATAGACATAATAATAATAATGAGTGACAGAAAAAGGTAGAATACCAGTATTTCTCGAGTCCGTATAGATTGCCCTTGTGGTAGAACTCAAGTGTAAGCTGCTCAAAGTCATTGTACAGATCTTCATTGAATTGCTTCTCCAAGCCATAGCTAGACAGATACCAACAAAAATATGGATTTACATCAGCAAAAAAAATCACTTTTTTTCTGGGGTTCTTCCGGATTATATATAGTCACCTGTAAAATCTGAAAAGGCACTCAATTCCATAATTATATTTAGCTTCTGCGTCTTCCAGAGCTAGTCGCCGAAATTCCTCATACATTGAATGAACAAAAATATCTCGCAAAAAGAATGACCAAAATCGGTAGAGTGTGTTCATTTCCTGCATACATCAACAAACCAGCAGAAACATTCAGCACCTGGCATCTTCGCGGGTGATAATTACATCAGCAGGGCTACCAAACTCGGAAGTAATGCTCATCCCAGAGGACAATGCCAATGCTCATCTCTGTTTTATGCAAGTACAAGTAATGAACTTTGAGATTCAAGAACTATATGCTTTCAAGGACGCAAAAAAAGGGCAACTGTACAAGTTATTTTACTCATAATATCCTAATTATTGAACTAAGGGATGTTTTACAGGAATCTAGCATATATTCTGAAGTAATCTCCCCCGATGCAAGAAATCTAGGGAAATATTGGGTACGCTGTTATCAGACAGATGATTAGTGCTGGTGAGCTCATTATAACATAGAATAAATCGGTCGATATTCAGTCTTATGTGAGAGTGAATCTCTGGGTGAATGAGAAGCAATTTATGGACCGGCCCAGTAGGCTCTCCCCTTCTCTCCTCTTGGTCAATATAAAATATCTGAAGTCTTTTCCTTCCTGGCAATGCGGTTTATATACGTGTTCACCACTGAACTACATGAGGACTTTCTACACACATCATTGACCAGAAAATAAAATTGCTTCTACAAGAGTCAAGATCATCTAAAGAAGCTTCGTGTCAAGGTTCGAAAAGATGTGCGGCAGGAACTATGGCTCACCTCGCTGCAGCCAATTCCCAATTTCTTGCGGTCATTTAGACAACGTTTATAAAACTTCAGGTACCTGCAAAGAAACATCAATGAAAAACTTGTTTTTCAAATCAGGGATGGCAAATTCCCACTTACTTCTGCTGCTTAAATCCATTTTCTTCCAAAAGCTGATGACTTGGGTGCTGAAACGGCGGGAAAGATTTTGGTAGAGAGCCCACTGGTGGACTGCTAGCAGAGAGTATTCCACGAGGTGACCCGTTTAACTTTAAAGACAAAGGGCTGAAAAATGGTATGTACATGCACTCGGTTAATGGAAAACAGCGATGTAAAATAATGTATGAAGAAAATGTAAACAACAGCTCACCCATGACTCTCCGGTGGAGTAGAGCCGAAGAAAAACCCAACAGAATTGCTTGGCGGGCTTTCAGATACAATGCCTAAGCGGTTGCGTCCACTACCATAATTCCTGAAATTACCAGGAAAAAGCCGTTGTTTTTGGGAAGACTGACCTCCCTTGTTACTGCCTTTCATTTGCCACCTTCGGGAATTAGCATGTCGATGGCTTTCAGAGCCATTATTCCCAACAGTACTTGTGTTGGTCTTCAAATTCACAGATGTTTGACAAGTAGTCAAAGATTTTGAGTCTCCACCCTTCATCTCCAATCCAGATGTATGTCTTTGACATTGAGATCTCTTTGCCTTCAACTCCTGCAAGTGATAGATGAGCCATAGGGTACAAGACATGTATCTTGAAAGAGAAAAGAAAGGAATAAAAGATGAAAATAGACGGTGTTATAATCGATAACAAGTTTCAGAAGTACATCATGCCTAGATACCTGCTCATAGAAATAAAGGCCATCGTTTATCGCTGTAGCAAGTTCACTGGATATTGGTTCAGATTCTCTAACAATACAATCATTATCAATCCTGGTATCCTGCAAATCGCCAGAAACAGATGGAGTTCTTCATTTTAGCAGAACTGATGAGGAAATTATTTAAAACTAATGATCAATTACCGGTCACTCCATAGCAATTAGGTAGAAAATGATCTGCCAATACATGCATAGAGGCTTTTAGAGTAGACAAAAAAAAGTCCAGTGGTTAAGGAACATGAATGGCCCTCAGCAAGGGCCATGTAACTACCATCTCCAGAGATCACAAACGTTGCTATGGTATTGCCAGCAAACAAGAAAGTGACACCAAGGTAGAGAGGAAAGGGAATGCACGTACTGCACTACATGGTGAGAAAAAGTGTGTGTGTGTGTGTGTGTGTGTGTGTGTGAGAGAGAGAGAGAGAGAGAGAGAGAGAGAGAGAGAGGGATTGGCAGAATGCCCTTTTAATAGCATCAAGTCTAATTTTCTATTTACAAGCCTATTGATGGAATTGGACAAAAAAGGGGCGAGGTCACATTGGGCACAGGCACACAAATGCAAGAGCACTCCATACGTATATTCCAACCTGTCCACCTCCTTTCGCATTGGTTGAGAGAGAGAGAGAGAGAGAGAGAGAGAGAGAGAGAGAGAGAGAGAGAGAGGGGAATAGGGGAGGGAGGGAGAGGGAGTGAGAGTCTCTCAGAAATAGGGGTGCTACACCATGTGTCATTGTATTTGACACTATATTAGAGAAACATAAGTGATCCCAATGGACGTAGGATATCGGCTAGAGCAAAGTGAGAATGAATTTCACCAAGGCTTTTGACATTCTAGCATCTACAAAGCTTTTTATGTATGGACCGTCTCACCTGTGTAACAATTATTAATTTATGCATGTCATCGTCGGTGACATCTATGTCATCCTCATCATCATCAATCCTGCATATCAAAAGTGTGCAGCATCATAAGACAATGGGATGAAATTCCATTGTTTCTATATGGATTACAGGTTGAAATGTAAAAGGAACGTATGTCATAATTCTCAACATAGGCAGGCATAGAAAATGGAAAATTCCTACACTCTTATCCACATATGAAAGCTGGTATGAGAATTACGCGTGGCATAATATGCATGGCGCCAAAAAAAGAATAGCAAATAGTAAGAAGATAACCACATCACTCAACTCACAATATGAACATGTGTTGCATAAAAAATAAATTAGAATCCTGATAAAAAATAATCCAAAAAGAAAATTGTCACGTGATCATCAGATAACACCACATTGTTTCAGTGAATTGGTAACCATTTAAGCAACAGATCACGTGAGATTGGTCTTGCCACCATGATGACTAGTTCGGGCATAAGAAGCTCAAGCAGGGCCCCTGCCTCACGGCTGCTTGTCCGCCAGTCTTGTTTCTTCTACAATCAACCTCCAGGATGTCTCTATCCTTACTGGATCAGGCCCATCTCCTACCAGCAGGGATGAGAAGTGAAGCAGAAGGAAGAAATCCAGAGGGGAATGAGGGTTGAAGTAGAGATGAATCATCGGGGAGCAAAAATCCCCTAACTTAGTTGCAGCCACATGCACTATCACCAATTCGGGCCACAAGTAACTAAGGATCACCCACATGTGTGTCATCCACAATTCCAAGGAAACTCTGTACACAGAAGAGTCGGTCTTCACAAATGATAAAGATTTATTTTATGTAGCGATTAGATTAGATATACCCAAGTCCAGTGAAAATAACAATGTCACGAATACTAATAAACGCAAAATTATCAAAGATTCATGAGCTCATAAAGTTTATCCAGATCCCGAAAGTTATGAAAATACTCATACTAGTAAGGTAACTACAAACAAGGCCTTACTTCATAGAAATAATATTGGTTATCATTCAGATGAAGTTAATAAAACTTATTAATTTTCTGAACCATGTACTTATCAATGACTACAATCAATATGGGTCAAGATTTAGCTGATGAACCCATACTTATCTTAATGAGTTTGTTTAAATTGCCACAGACCTAATAGACATCTGAATCAACAATACCCAAAGGAAACATTCGCATAACTTAATTTCATGTAATCAGGGCATTTCTCATCAAAAAGCCTTAACCAAATCCCATTGAACCTATGGCTGACATTTTAATAACTATATTGGTAGTTTGGATAAGCATAGTTCCTCAGTATGGAATAGATACCCTTTCAGAGATCATAGAATATTTGCTTGTTTAACAAATCCACAATAAAGAAAATCCAGCAAGATACCTTTTCAGAGACGAGGCAGTATTCCTCTGGAGCTCTCCATGATCAAACTCCAGCTCCTCATCAAGCATGAATGTGCTCTGATCGCTTGAATCAGAAGGCTCGAGCGCAAATACATTTGAGAGACCCCCAGGTTTCTTGGTTCCACTTTGATGTGATACAGACACTGCATTATTGAGATCAGGATAAGCGTCATTTTAAAGGCTTTACCCATTCCTGAGGGCATTGACAAACAACACAATTTTGCAGACTATTAACACCGCAGTAAGCAGTGCTTACCAGGCATGTAAACACCAGGTTCAGCTAACTTGATATCTTCACTTGCAACAGATACAGATTTCTCATTTGAATCCCCAGTTGCTCCATTGTAGGCTTTACATTCATCAGCGATTGAAATATGCTTAACTAACTGTTCCTTGTTAGCCTCATCTTCATTAATAGTTACCAATTCCCTCACTTCACCTTTGTCACAGAAATCATTCTCGCATACCTCACTACTCCCCAAAGTGGCAGGAGCTGTCTTTTCCAGACATTCAGATGCCAGATGTTTCGATTGAGGTGCTTGACTTTCTGACGATGAGAGCCACTTTGACCAGTCACTACGCCTCCTTATCTTGTCTCCCTTTTGACAAGATCGAAACAAAAAACATAAAAAAGTGATAACAACCAAACGAATGAATAGAAATGTAAAAGCAGTCCAAGGTATCAGGCATTGGAGGTATTTAATTCCGACCTGGACTTCAATGAGAGCAGAAGTCTGCAGAGCATCCAGAATAAAACCAATGCTTGTTGTCATGCTCCGAACCTGAATCACACCATAATCAATGCTCAAATGCGACATATTAGAACATAGCAGAGCACGAAACCTAATAACTGACTCCAAGAAAAAAAAACTTGCCATACCCTCTTAAAGTCCGCAATTTTGGAGACAGGGACCCATCCTTCACTATCAAATAAGGAAAGCAAAAAACCATCTGTCTCTAAATTTTCATCACTGCAAGGAAGAAAAAATTGTTAACAAAAAAAGAGAAAGGAATGAACGAAGGTTTGCATAATATAAGACGGAAAATATCAAGGCATAAACAAATAGCTGCAAATAAGTATTCATGTCTTGTCTTCAGAAACAGAACAATGGGGCGGTTCAATATATGGATGTCAATCAAGAAACGTCTGGACTTCATCAAGCAAACCGAAGCACAGACAAACCTGAAGTAGTATTCAATTTGTGTAACTATGGAATTCTTCAAATTGAGAGCATCTGAGGGCAAACTATGATGCCCAGAATGTGATGGATTAGCTGGCATATAAGATGGAGACCTAAAAGCTTCTGAGGGAAAAGGTGCGTAATACATTGGAGCTGGGCCTGCAAGTACAAGCAAGCAAACTGATAATTTAGGAAGTTGCATGATCATATTAAGACACATCAAAACTCACTAAAAATAATTTCATAAAAACATAGTGGAAGAAAATAGCGAACCCGAGATAAATCAATTACACATGAGTACCTACCCGGAAATACTGGCCCGTTAATATATCCAGGAGCAGGACCGAAAAATGGTTGCACTGGTCTAGCAAAGGCCTTTCGCCCAACACTTGGCCGCGCGCTGATGTTGTCTCTGGGATTTAATCCTCGCTGATGACGCCAGCCTTGGTTAAATCGACGGCCAGACTCTGGTGCATTAGGTCGCTGACTATTGTAGCCACCACCATGATTATGCCAGACACCTGGATCTCCTCGGGGTGGAGGTGGGAAGCTTTTATTCGCTTCATTTCCCACCATCGGTGGGTTAGATGGAACAAAAGTCTGCAAAGGAGCCTCACATCCAGGATTCACCATGTGAGGCGCAACGTTTGGAAAAGGTGGAGGATATGGTTGATAGCCATAGTCTGGAACAGGGAGATGCGGTCCTGATACAACAGGATGGAAGAAAGGAGGCAATGGCTGAGGGTAAGCCAAAGGAACACGGAAAGGTGGCATGCTATTGGGAGGTGCTGCATGTTTTGAGCCGATTTTATGATGACGTGAATGATGCTTCGACAGATTATTGTTTCCAAGAACATCTGATTTAGGCAAACCTCCAGATCCCTGAGAGAACAAAGTCTAGCATCCATTATCAAAATAGAAAACTAGATTTTTTTTGTCTAACAAATGATTAGCTCGCACTATTAAGCCAACGGATTCACAAATTATTCCAGAAAATTCAGTACGACCAGAACATTGGTTGCAAAGCAAAAAATGGTTCAAAGATCATAAACAATAAACATTGAATCATCACTTCACGGATAATTCAGAAGATAACAAGGAAGAGAAACCAATAAAGATCAAAGAAATCATGATGGATAGGGTACGATTAGTATTCAGATTTTCTGGGCCCATTCTAATCCATACTGACCAATTCTGATGAAAAGGCCTTCTTAACTAAAATTCGTCAACGAAACATTCTCTAATTTAAAATCTAACAGAAATTAGTGCTGATAGAAAAGAGCATTATAACCGAAAAAAAATAAAGCCTTCTTTTTTAAAATGCCACTGCCCCCCCATCCTAGATCATGTAAGAAAAAAGAACCCAATGTCTAATCATTACCCAATTTGTAGGAGGAAATAGTAGGTTAAATGGAAGCAGTAGCACAAGGCAACCAGAGGCAAAAAATAGAGAAGATTCGTTTTCTCTGTTTTTATTGGTTTTCCCTTTCATTAATTCGTCAATTTATTCTTCACTTTCCTTCTTCCTCCACCAGCGATTGCCACTTCCTCTGTCTCAAATGGGAAGACCAATGAGCATCTCAAGAAGCCAAACACAGGCAGAAGATGATGAATTATAACTGATTCCATGGGGTCCTTCACTTTTTCTTTTCTCTTTTTTTATTTCATAATGGATAAAGAAGAAAAATTAATTATTCAAGAGTTTACTTCGTGGGAGTAAGAGATTATAAGGATGAACCTCCGTTTTTCTTGATAAATTGCACTTTGATAGTGTGTCATAGAGCAGCATTAATAGCATGGATACACTGGTCAAGCTTAAAACAACATGATTAACTAGACCAGCTACATATGCACTGTCCTTTTCACAGGCTGGCGAGAAAAAATTAGCTACATAGTGACCTTGTGACAAAATATGATCCTTCTCTGAAGAATTATTAAATGTCTGAAAAAACGTCAAAAGATGATGTGTGAAAACAGACTAGCAAGAAGAATGAGATCAGGACACAGGAAGGAATATGTCATTTCAATTTTGGAAGCTGGTAGCTGTGCCTCGACTTGGGTTTCTATTTGCACGCACAACTTCTAGAAGAAAAATACGTTTATTATCCAATAAAACGACAGAAAATCCAAACCCATCCAATCCCCAAAGCAACCGAGAATCTCTTAATCTCCTATGCAACTGATTGATAAAAGCACAAGCCTCCAAATCCAAAGTTCCCTGACCACCTTAAAAAGTCATTTTAACTTTTTGCAAGCATCGGATAAAACAAATCGTCCACCACATGGCTTTCCTTATTAAGTTACCATTCACAATGTTTGAGTAGACTAGAGAAGCAAAACAACTCCGGGGTGAGAGGACAGTAGTATGAACCTGCATCGGAGTGGGAGAATGCGGTGATACATTTTCTGGAGCGCTACCAACATGCGCTGCAGTTGATGACGCCTTTGCTGCCGGAGCCAGCTTCGTGTCGGCGTCTGAATGGCCTTTCGACGTAGCATCCTTGAGCGCGGGCCAAGACTCAGATCCCATTACCGCACCCTCCATCTTCTTCCCCTCCGTAGTAGCAGCCGCCGGGTCAGCCGCAGGAGGAGGCGTCGGCTTCCTCCAGACTGACTTCAGTTCTCCCTCATCCCTCCTCTTCTCCACCCCCTTCTCCTCCTCCCCAGACTCCACTTTCGCGCCGCCTCCCCCGTTCAATCCCGCGACCACGACCGCCGCCGGAACAGAAGCAATATCCATCACCTACTCGATCGAGAAACGGATAATCAGGCGTTCAGGCGATAACCTTCCCCCGGTGTTCGCGGATTACGCTTCCCCCCGCCGAGACGATCATCTCCACTCCTACTCCCCGTCGCCGCCGCCGTCAAACAACCCCAACGTAACCGTCTGCGGCAAATGCTGACTATCTAGGGTTTGGGCCGAGGATCCGGGGTTTCCCTTTCTTCCCCTTCTTTACTACTTTACCGCATTTCGGAGGAAAAGACAGACGGGTTTAGGGTTTATCGGGGAACAGTGAGGGCTGGTCGGTTGGTCTGCGCCCTGCCTGAGAGATGACGGAGATATCGGAAGCAGCACGCAGTCGGCTTTCATATGACGTCGAAAGACACAGAAGAGAGAGACAGAGATAGAGATAGAGAGAGAGAGGAGTAAAGAAAGGGCTTGGAATGCTGCTCTCCGCACTTCTACCGCACGTGCGACCATCATATTTTCCCTTGAATCCTTCAAAATATATGAAATAATTTAAAAACTTTAAAGTATATATGTAAAAACCTCGTTTATGTTGGGTGTCCTCCACATAAAATATACACCAGGGTTCATTTTATATTTATAGCATTCTGTAGGCGCGTTTTTTAAATGTCATTAGCCAGAGTCAGGCGTCTAAACGCGTTCCGCGTCATCTCTAGATCGCCTAAACGTTCCTCCCTGGGCTCGGGCCGAGCTTTTATGAAACGGGCCCGGCCGCTTATTTATAACGTGCCCGGGCTCAGGCCCGACTTAACTTGTCAGGCAGATATATTGGCTGAGGAAAACCAGAGACTTTTAAAACCTATTCTGCATATCCCAGATAAGCCTGGCCTGACCCGGCCCGTTTCGAGTATCCTCTGGGCCCATTCTCAATAAGAAGATCAAAAAAACCGAAAATTATAAGTTTTAAGCCCGATCCCTTTTCGGGCCGACTCTTGGGCCCAAAATTATAAGTTTTAAGCCCGATCCCCTTACTCGACCATGCTAAAACTATATCCGTTCACACACACATTTAAATGTCACGTGACTACATAATACGATCTTAATTACAGAAAGAGTATAACAACAATATTTCTAGTAAGTAGGGTATTTGAAAATATTATTCCGTACGAAAACCGTATTTTCGTATCCCCTAATCCGCGGCGTATCGAGCACCCCGCCCAGCAAACCAGTCAGCGACGTTTCGCATGTTTCTTCCTCCCCGGAGATAATCTCCGGCGACTCGGAGCTCTACCAGAAGGTCCACCTCATCTGGGTTTTGCTTCTCCAGCGAGGAAATGGCGGACTCGGCCTTCAAATCGACCTCCAGGAGGGGGAGCTTCGCAGGGGCCCCCACCGCGGCTCGCTCCGAGGGGCAGCGGCGCCCGCCGGAGAATCCGACCGAGAAGATACCCCGCCTCCGCCGCCGCCGGGCAAGTAGTGTGAGCGCGGCGGAGACGAGGAACTCCGGCCCTCGGGAGGCGTCGGTGGCGGAGTTCCTGAACAAGAGGGACAATCCGCTGTTCTGCTCCACCGCTTCTCCGACTGTCTTGGAGGACGAGAGTGGGGACGACGACGATGGCGGCGGCAGCTCGAAGTGCAGAAGAGGGAGGTCGTCCTCGAGGAGCTCTGCGTTCATACGGAAAGAATGGGGCGGTCGGAGCTTGTCGAGGGTTGACGCCGGCCGGAGGCGGCGCTCGGGTCCTAGAGGACGCTTCGAGGATTCGGAGGTGATTTCGTCCTCATGGTTTACGTGGATTTTCGTTCGTGGTACTTCTTCTCCGACTATTTTCTTACCCACAAATTTTCAGAGCGAACTTGAAGAAGAGGAGGAAGGATTCAGCTCGGGGAACACGACGCTCGGTGATCGCGACCTCCATTGTCGGAGAAGAGCTGGTTCCGTTCAGGAGAGTCAGTTCAAACGAAGGAAGGATCCGTGGATAATGTCCTGCGAGAATCTGGAAGGAAAGCTGGTGAATTTATCTACTACAAGACATCTGATTTGTATGAAAGTTATACAAATTTATTTACTGCTTAATTTAGGATATTAACTTATTCTCGGCTCTTCAGTCGAATCTCCAAGTTTCCAACTGGGATGATGGGATCTCGATCAGTTCCTTCTCGGAGGCAGAGGAGGAGATCATCAGGGCCGTGCTTGAGCAGATGGAGGTGACTACAACCACCCATCCTCGCATCTTGGTTCGAATTATTGAGAAAAATGAACTCACCTGATAATACTTCGTTCCTTCAGGACGAGCACCCGTCAAACGATTCTGGCCACGGGATCCATGACGGACGGGCCGTCTCAGAGATCAGAGGTGATCTCGAGAATGTAAGCACTTATCATTGAGCGCAGCTCTGATTGCACTTGGTTCAATGGGAAGCATGAGTGATCATAGGCTGTTCGACCAATGATGATTAGACAGTCCCAACTCTTTCAAGAATTATGCCCTTATAACCTATTTTTTTCTGTACAATACCTTCTCTCCAGGCTGCTGTTGCTAGAAGGGATTCCTCCATGGCAGCCAGTGGTGTTGATAGTCTCTCTGAACCAGCAACTTATGTCAGAAGAGAATTTGCCCTGGAACTCCAGCAGGTTCGCCATGTTACTTGATGGATCTGCAGAAATTTTCCTCTTTTGAGCGGTAGACAGATCGGTCCATATGTTGTCGCTGTAAACACAGGCCCAGGAACTGGATCAGATTATATATTTATTTATTTTTCTCCGAATTATTTTTCCCAGAAATTTAGTGGGTAGATTACCATTTCAGGCAAGCGTCGAGTGGCAAAAGATGTCAAGGCAGCTGACGGAGGAGGCAATGAGCTATTTTGATGAATGCGTGTCTATTTCCACCTTCGACGCTTCTGATTTTTCTTCACCGGAAGATCAGGTCCTCAGCTCTGTTGATGATAACCTCACCAGGGATGACGACCGCCCCAACCCTAGAAACACTCAGAGAGATCTTATTGGTCATCCTGAGGTATGGTTTTTTAATAATCTTATGAATGACTTTGATAGCTGTATTTTGATTTATTCAGCATCAAGTTTGCATAATTTTTCTGATTTGGACGTCAAATGTGGAATAAATGCAATCCTCCTCCTTGTCTCTCTCCCAAATCTCTCCAAGCTTGGGGTTTTGTGACCAGAACCAGAGAAAAGCCTGGAAAATGGTCCGGGGGAGAGGAGGGGAGATGGGCTTCCACATTGCAAGGAAAATGGGCTCCAGGCTTCTAAGCAAGACTCTGAGTTTTCATTTTTTCTGGGCTGGGCCCGTTGACTTCCCTGTTGCAAGATCCTCTTCTACTCAATGCAATCTCTTGACTTCAGCTTATGACATTGATAGATGTGTGTCAGTAATTACCTGGGAAATCCTCATGCAGGGTGATCCTTCTCAGAGCAGAGCCTCCCAATCTTCGTTCTCGAGGAGATCCACAGGATCTGGTGGAGCCCACAACCTGAAGTACTACATCACAAGATTCCGGAAAGGGTTGCATTCAGAAGGTGATGATCATTCGAACTCGAGGTCCAGCTTCTGTGGAGACGACTACGACCCGAATGTGTCACCAGAGATGTTCCTGTTGGAGAAGGCAGCTCTCAGGAACAGAGTAGAATCCGGCTGCCTGATTGTTTGTGATGTCAGAGTATTCTGAGCTTTGGGCATCATACCTCTTGTACAGAGAGATGGCTCCAAGTAGAACAGCTGCCTGTGGGGGTCTTCTGAGCCTCGGTACCTGTTAGTGCGGACTGAAGAAGATGTTTATGTTATCAAGCAGCTTCTATGGCACGAGGGGTCGCCCCCGGAAGAAGAACTCTGTCATTCGGTCGGCGACCAGAATGGAATCCATTTGCTCTCTTGTGAGAGGATTGCTCTGTTTAATGGTTATGGCAGACGCCTGTGTAGGTGTTGGGATTTGAATTGGTCAACTCGTCGGTGGGGGTAGACCTCACAGCAAAGCTGTCAGGTCTCATAAAAAAATAAATTCAGTTCATCTCTCTAGCAGTGGGTAACAGCGAGACAAAAGGCCAATGTGGGCTGAAGTTTGTGTCCGTTTCTGGATAGAGTAATCAGCCCACCATACACTAATTATTGAAATTATCATAGTGAATTATTAAGATATTTTTGTGACTAAACCAATCGTCAATGTGGTTCAAAGTTTTTTGCTAGTTGATTGATATTGTAATCATCCCACTGTATGCTAATTATTGAAAGTATCATTGTTAATTATTGCTAATTATTAGGATATTTTTATAACTATATTAGTCATCATAATCAGAGTAAACTATTATTTCGAGTTTAGAAATAGTCTCATACCTGAAAAGAGTAAGTGAAAATGTAACACTGAATAGTTCAAATAATTTTAGACCTAAACTTATATCATAGTGAAGGCATGCATCTATTAAAATCCAGTTCAAAGACAAGTGCCATGCGAAAAAGATCAGATTTAAATGCAAGGATTATTATGGGTTTAACAATAGTAATAAATATTTATCAAGTATATTTGAATCATTGATGTGATAGCTAATGTTTGGATTTCTAGCTGTTAATAGTTGTTGTAAATGATCATTTGATGCTCCAAAATCTCATCTAAAAAAAAATGCTCATGCTGGCCCTAAGGTAGGTTAAAGGGGGGGATCAATAGAGGGGAGAGTATGCTCTTTGAAAATTTATACACATTTTTTGGGTTTTTTACATTTTTTCCTAATCTCTACTAATTGATTAGACACAATGGGTCAACTAAGTTAAGGTCAAAACAATAATGAACAATCATAGTCAAATTCTTTTATAGAAGTCACACCTTTATTAGCTTATGTCCACTTTTGAGTAATTCATACCCTAAGTTTCTTAGATAACAACAATTAAAATTCATGAAATCAACAATCTCTATTATATGATAGATTTTATAGTATTTTCTCATACTCATCATCAAATCATTAACTTTTTTTTCTGTTATCAATACTCTTGATTTTTGTGGATGTACTTAAAATAAATCTTGAGTTGAGTGGATGTAATTGAACTTTGTGTTCATTTAAAAGATTGACAAAGTTTGGACATAGATGTATCTAAACAAAAAAGACATGATTTTTCAACACAGTTGAATCAAATTTGATATAACATCAACATGTATTTGAAAGTTTTTCAAATCAACCTTTTATAAAGTACAAAAAATTGATAATGGGAATTTAAATGACTAAGATATAATCAACTAAAAATCTTTCAAGATGACTACACAACAATTTGTGTATTTTTAACTTGTTGGGTTGACTAAGTTTTGAACATATTTCTCTACATAAATATCAATAAATAATTATTTTATTTATTTTGATCATCTAATATGTTAAGATTTGCTGAAGTTGAACAAAAATGTTCAAAATTTATCTTTCTTGAAATTTGATTCACCATCAATTACATACCCTTAGTATTATGAAAAGTTAAAATGTCATATTAAAGTAAAAAGAGGTGGATTAATATTGGGTTATTATAGATTAATTGTCACATTTACTGAGCCAAGTGACAATGAAGACTAACATGAGAATAAAATATCAACCTTTAAAAATGTAATTACCTCATCCATCAATTCCTTGATACTCACCCTCTACTAAGGTATTAGAATTGTTGTGTAATAAATATTTGATATCAATTATATTAAGAAATAAAGTTTTATATATAAAATCTCATCACTATCATGAGGTTGTGTAGGCACACGTCGATACAAAATTAAAACTAAGTTTACATATGAGTGTGTATAATACAAACTAGACTTGCATAAATATTATATATACCTTAGAGTCCATTGGCACAAAACAAAATGCTATGACACAATATTGATATGAAACATCACAATGAGGCATTATGCATAGGTGAATAGTGCATACATTGAGGCATGAGATGTAATAGATGACAACAACAAAGTTTCGTAAGGTGTGCTTGTTATTTTTTTTAATAAAATTCATACAAACTATTGAGAACCTCACTAGTAGGACACACACTAAGAACAACTAATATTTTATCAAATGAATGCATTACTCAATTAAAGCATAATTACACCACATATTCTTTTGAGGTTGAACAAAGAGATAAAATAAAAAGGCATCATAACCTCCTAGGTCTTGTGTGGCTGATGCAAGATGATTAATCTCTAACTCCTCTCAAAGTTCACTCAGATTTTTTACTCCTTCTATTGCATGACTGTTTGGTTATTTATAGAGCCACTCTTATTCAGCTTTAGACAAATTATTCTTAACTAATATTAGATTGATTGTTATTAGTCAATCTAACATATAGATCTAATATAACTGTGTTATTGATATGATCTATGTTGGTTTAGTCTTGGTATTATCTTGAGATGTTGCAAGATCTATTTGCCACCTACATGACATGACCTATGTCCTTGATGAGATCCACTTCAAATAAATCATGGTACTTCCCTAACTCCCCTCTTGTCACCCAACCAATTAGGTTCTAACTCTTTTCCTTCAAGTTGGCTTGGAGTCAAGTCGAGCACCTTCTATGTGGCCATTCTTCCACAAATTAGGATTCAATATAAGTCTTAGTTTATCACTTCAAATTCAAATATAAGTCGAAGGTTATAACCAAAGAATGTGCATGATTGCAAGGATGCCAATGATAGGTACATAGTATTGAATATGATCTAAATTTGAATTCTATAAGTTTGAAAAAATAAATTTTATAAGACAAAAGACTTGGGCAAGTGTATAATCTCTAAAAAATCATTACTATATCATAGTAATTAACTACACATTAGAAGTAATTACATCATGTGAAATATCATACAATTCAATAGTTTTATGAATATTCATTGTGAGGAACAAACTAAAATTTAAATTATTTATTTATTTATTAAATGATATTTTGAATGTTGAAGTATATTTAAATTCTGGATATCAACAATAATCACGTATTGGATCTTCCTTGCTGTACAAAACTCTTGACGATAACACATGATATCGAAAACTTAATAAATCTTAAGATATATAAATCTTCATAGTGGAGAAGAAAAATAAATTTTTAAGTGAAGACTACCAATGGATACACATGAACCTTTAAATAGATGATCTAAATGATCTTTATGGGTAGCTTTGGTGAGATACTTTCCTCCATCTCTTTCCACATCATAAGAGGTTTGAATCAACATTTGAAAAAGTTAAAAGACAAACAATAAAATACATTACCCATCAAAATATGAGAAAATGGAGTTATTTAAACTCTCACAAAGATCTATAAATATGTATCCCAAAGGAGTAAGTAGACAAGAGTTGTCTAGATAAGAATAGTTGAACATAAAAATCTTAAATTAATGAGCTTGGAGACAACTATTTCTTCTTCATATCTTCTATCTCTCTCTCTTTAGTATTTCTACTCTCTTTCGTCTCTCTCATAAGAAATTAATCTTACTAGTCTATTTTTGTGTAAATTTTTTTTTGATAAGTCTATAGACCCTTAATGTCATAATAAAAATCAATTAGAAGTTTATTAAGGACTACTCGATATTCAATTAAACATCACTGCCCAACAAATTAATGTCATTGATGATCAAAATAAGGTAATAATGACAAGTCATCAAATTGATGACATCATTCGTACTTTGGACCTTTGAGTATAGTTGACATAAGCACAACAATCCAACCCCATATTGACTTTGGTGATCTATAGATCTTTGATGATTGAGTTAATATCTCTCAAAACATCTCTCACACAATTAAATAAATTACAGTCAACCCTCAACTAACAATTATTCTTCATATACAAAGTGGAAGATAAATTTTCCACAATAAGTCTTAACCTAGATTGTAAGTCTCTCACATTATTTCAATGGACATATGTGACAAGTTATTTCAAAATTTAGAGCATATATGACAATAGTAATTAAATAATTTAATTTCAGATTTACTATATCAAAAAAAATTAGAGCTTCATTAATAAGGAACAATCACAAAATATCATGAGTAATTTGAGTTCATGTTCGTTATTTTGAGGCACATATGAGAACATATCTTATCAACCACATTCATCACACATTTACCAATAGATATTCAAGTAATATTATTCTCTTGAAACCTATTGGGAGGGCTTAAAGGTTATTATGTGAATTATTTGAAAAGTTGAAAATTATTGAAAACCTCTTCCAACCACTTTATATTATTCTTTGTGAAGAAGAAAATAGTCAAAATTATCATTTTATCATGATGAGACATTGATGGAATTGAAGACAACATTTATCTTTAATTTCACGACATCAACCAATGTGGAGAAGACTTAGTGGCACAATATCACCTTGATGAAAATTCAAACATATTGTGTATAAAGACTTTGCTCACTTAAAATACAACAAAAAATAGATGGACATCACTACTATAAATAATTACATATCATCACCATTATAAGAAGATGACATCCATCTATATCTCATCAAAGATTTACTCATAATATAATAGAAGAAGAGATTATAATCGACTTTGAAATTTATCTCTACTCTATCATAGATGATTTATTAATGAAGTCACTCAAGTTTTAGGGACATTGTTGATCAAGTGCAAATGATTCTCATCGATAGTGAGGCATCATCTCACAACTTTAACATACAACCTCATGTAGGAGTTAATAATCTCAATCAATAGAACCTACCACTAATTTTAGATGATCACCATATTAAAAAAAAAATCTAAATTAATAGATATATTATGGAGTCATGATTGAGCTATTAATGCTTAAGATTAACAAAAAATTTATGATTTTTTTCTTTGTCACTATTGACATAGTTTGGGACTATGGAAGAAGCCACTAAAGCCAATTGAGATATATTTCAAAAAATAAATACTCTCCTTCAAAATGGGCATAATGCAAATTAACTTCAAAATAGAACTACATAAATGCTCATCAGCTATTTTCTTAAAGTCATTATCAAAACATCAAAGTAAGAGAATATTTATTTCAAACTATATCAATTGTCATAGTAGATAACCTACAAGAATTCAACTCATCTCGAAACATTGTTAATAATATAATTTTTCAACATTCAAATGAGGTTATGGGACTCCCTATTAATAGGGAGATGGATCATTTGATATCCTTAAATCATAGTACAAAGTATGTCAATGTATAATCATTTAAAATATCTTTATTTCTAAAAAATAAAATAAAATAATTATTCTAAGAAATATTAAAAGTAGGAATCATTCAACTAGCTCATTTTCCTCAGAAAGAAGAATGATTCATGGTAATTATATATGGATTACTACTAACTCAACAAGGTCACTATTTTGGATTATTTTTTATCCTCATAGACCAAGAGTTTTTGAATAAGTTGAATAGAGTCAATATCTTCTCAAAACTGGACCTTTAATATGGTTATCACCATGTTAGAATCTAAGTTGAAGATGTTTCAAAGATGACATTCTGACCACACAAATGCCATTATGAGTCTTAATATTTTTCAATCATTCTAACATCCTAACAATCTTTCAATGTTTGATGACTACAATTTTTGTAGTATTCTCTAGAAGTGTATGTTTATATTCTTCGACAACATTATAATTTATTGCTCAAGCATGACAATACACCAAAAATATCTTACCTTAGGTTTCAATATCTTGTAGGATCATCAACTATACATAAACTTGAAAAAATATTCATTCAAACATTTTCAAATCATGTAGGGTGAATATGATTTCAATGTATCATATTCCCCCTTTCAATGTCCACTAATTATAGTCTAGTATTTCTCCTTATTTGGGCCTTTAGAGGCTCTTGCATTTTCAAAGTTAATCTAGCCCCCTGTTCTTCTTACAAAAATATGTGCAGCCCACATGCCCAACATGACTTGTGGATCCAACATTACCCTCCACTATCTTTAACACCTTGTCTCCAACATGTAGTTCTAGGAAGAGGTTTGAGAAATTGGTTATTGACTCTCATGTTGTTTCAAAGGAAGGTAGGTTATATCAATTGATTAAAACCTCTAACTTTCATAGTGATTATCTAACATCAAGGACCTCAGTTGGCTGTACCACACACTAAAGGTCACATTGTCAAGAAGGGTTGAATATTGTGTTGTGATTCCAAGATACACTTTAGTTGTGGCACATGAAAGATAAGATGAATATGAGTAATTGATGAGAAATGGAAATGACACATCATTAACACAATACACAACAAGATTGTGAAGGATCAAAAGAATAATGGGGTGAGTTTTTTGCTCCTCTTTCAACATGTTGTGTTTAAGCTCCACATACAGTACAACTAAAACTTCAAGAAAATAAGGCCACTCACTTCAAATTCAATATCCTAACAATGTTAGTCAACTAGCTACTTCATGCAAGTTTGTGTTTGCTTGAAATCCTCCTTAATTGTGTTGAACATGTCGTCTGGGTAGTGAATTGAACCCTAAATAATTGAGAATGGATTCCACAATTTAACCCACATAAGCCACTTGTTCCAGTGGCATAATTTGTCAAAAGAGAAATAACATAAGGTTTTCAAGTATCAATTGGCTCTCTCTATTTGGTCATCTATTTGTAGATGAAATGTCATGCTTTGCTTCTCCCTATTATGAAGGAAAAAGTTGGCAACATCAATCCCATTCTACGTATCTTGCTTAGGGCAGAGTCAGCATCCACCTCTTGATGAACACCATGTAGTTCCAAGGGGGAATAGGTGAGAGGTTACTGTCACCTGAAGTTTGTTGTCAATAAAATAAGGCATGTAGTGTTATATTTTCTCCTCTCATCTTGTATTGAATCTCAAAGTCATAATATGTGAGCTTCAAGATCTATCTTTGATGTTAAGGCAACATGGCAACATCTATTGATGTTCTAATAAAAACTTTAGGCTGCGAGGAGCTTGTCTTCATCTCCATGTATTGTTCAGCGGCTCGGAGGAAGAACAGGGGGAGAAACTAATACAGAGAGAGAGAGAGAGAGAGAGAGAGAGAGGAGGTAGAACAACAATTATATATATATATATTATCATTTATTGGTTTATTTCTAGGCTTAAATAAATAAATAAATAGCTCATCCACGAATCTCGAGAAGAACCTTCTAGTCGAACGTGGGGTGGACCAGGCCGGATCTGATGCCCTGCCCACCCCGCCCTCCCCGATGCCGCGTTTAAGTGGCCTTTTTCTTCTGAATCCTAGATTTTTATGTAACCTTATTTAAAATATAAGTGTTCTTAGTGCCCTTTATTACATCAAGGCGTGGCAAGTTCGTAAAGAAATGGGGCGCAGTATGAGGTTATTTATACAATTTAATGTTTAAGTTGGGTATAACAATTTTGTTCGTTTGAAACCGGTGTCACGTGAGATAGCTTGCCTACTCACGTGCTGCGTAGCCTGAACGCAGGAGTCTGACCATTAAAGGGCAGAGACTTGCAGGCACCTATTATTAGCTCCCATTTTCTTGTAGCCCGCATCCGTTTCGGCCGAGGAGCCGGTGAGGAGAGGGAGCCGACGCCCGGATCTTCTTCTATCTCGTCCTCGCCTCCTCGTCTTGGTTCTGCGTTCGCGTCTGGTCCATCACTAGGTCAGAAATTTCACCTCTGAATTCCGTTTTTCACTATAGATTCTAATATATCATTTTGTTTCTGCCAGATCTTTGATCTGCGTCTACCTTTCAGTTTCTGCGGGTGTGTGATATTCCAGATCTCGTGTCGTAATGTCCATTCATGTCGTTGCGCCTAGGATTCCATTTGTTGTTTCTGCTATTTGCTTTAGAATTATCGTTCGTAGAACTATGCGTACCTGCAGACCCTGGATCTGTTTACCGATCCTCTTCATTTCCGCGGCACATTTTCTTCCTGGTTCATTCATCCGATCCTCTAGCTGCAGTCTAACTTTCTCGTTTCTACTGCGTATTCTGTCTGGTTTTCTAATCCTTAACCTTGCCGTCCTTACTTTGCGAATCGAATTTCCTTTTTCCATTTGCCTAACTTTTGTAGCTTCTTGTTTTACGCGTTCAGGTAATCGAAGATGGGGCTAACGTTCACGAAGCTCTTCAGCCGGCTCTTTGCCAAGAAGGAGATGAGAATCCTGATGGTCGGTCTCGATGCGGCCGGTAAGACGACCATCCTATACAAGCTGAAGCTTGGAGAGATAGTCACGACCATTCCGACCATTGGTTAGCTCTCTCCCTCTCTCTCTCTCTCTCTCTCTCTCTCTCTCTCTCTCTCTCTCTCTCTCTCTCTCTCTCTCTCTCTCTCTCTCTCTCTCTCCCTCTCTCCCTCTCTCTCGATCTCTCGATATCGTCGTCTGTCTTCGGAAAATAGACTGCATGCCATTTATTGCTTTGCTAGCTGATTTTTTCGTTGCTAAAATATCTGTGCGTCTTTATTGCATTTCTTGAGCAAGATACATAGGGTATCACTAGTGGAACAGGTTCTCACATTTAGTGGACGTGATTTCGCTACCTTTTTTTCTGCCGTCTTTTGTTGATCCGGTATGAAGAGTGGTATTATTATAGTTTGGGAAGAAAAGAAGTGCACGTTGATCTGGATGTCCTGTTTTCGACGATAGAATAGGAAAATATAGACCCTTCTCGTAAGTTGGTCAGAACTTTTACATAGAAACGGTGATGTGTTTCTTTTGTATTTTCACTGTTAGCTTTTATTGATGATAATTTTTTGCATCAGAATCTGCTTAATCTGCTTAGTAACTCAATGTTATAGAGATCATATGGGAGGTATTATGTGATCTAATAATTTTTACCCCTAATGAAATTCATGAGTCGAAGCTATTTGGTTGTGACCCTATGTTACAATTGTGTACATGAAGGCTAGTCGTAAGTTGATTGAAATATATTTTTTCCATCATAGAGTTAATGATTTTTGTTTATGAAGTCCAGATAGTTTCATTCTAAAGTCACAATTTAATAATTTTATGACGACATAACATCACTTCGATGATTTCTTAAATATATTTGAAGGGTCTTTGTTTAGAAGAAGAACAGTAGGAGAGCCACACTAGAGAATGCGATTAAATGTGAAATATTTTAGTAATGTGAGAATATAAGAGTAATGGATCTGCGCCTCATTGATATTTACGATTATTTAGAGAACTTTTATCTCAGAGAAGAACATCCGCTGGGCTACATGAGAGTGTAGATAGGAAGAGTTTTTGCTTATATAAAAGTTTGTCAAGAAACATTGATGTCTGCTCTTTTGAGGCACTCGTTAAGGAACACAGATTTATACGGCGCTATTTCTCGTTATAAAATTTCAGATCTAAGACTGAACTAAAGACGCTTATTTTATTATTACGGTTTGACCCTTTATCATTCCCTGAAAATCGCATCCTTTCTTTACTGCTATGTTTTTATTTTGCTATTTCTATGACAGAGCATGACAAAGGAATGCTAAAAAATGTCCTGAACTTTGGTGTCATTCCTTTTCTACTCCTGTAGGTTTTAACGTGGAAACTGTGGAATACAAGAACATTAGCTTCACTGTTTGGGATGTTGGCGGTCAGGACAAGGTACTGTACTCGTATTGTTATTGACTATACAGACATCGTTTGCTATTTTGTTGATGGCATATTCTCCTTTATCACAAAATTGTCTTTCACTCTTCATTTAGGCTCGATCAGAAGCCTAATTCTCTAAAATGTGCAACTAATTAAGAACTTATCCGGTCTGCCATCTGGTCTCGTGCAACTAGTCTAAAGTCAATTGGCAAGGCACTGGATAACATCCTTCACAAAGTTGAAGTCAGCCTGATATTGTCTAAAGGGTTATCTGTTTGTTGCTTTGCCTGCCAGTTTATAGTGTGATTAAAGGTTGAATTATGGTTAACAATTAGAGCCTGTTACCCGTCCATGGTATCCATTAGATATTCATACAACTTCTACCTTTTTTCTGTTTGCTTTATTGATCAGTTTGTTCGATAGTGTTGTGAGATCAGGATGAAATACTGCTATTTCACGTTGCCAATTAATAACTTGAACTTTGGAAAACAGATTAGGCCGCTCTGGAGGCACTACTTCCAGAACACCCAGGGCCTTATCTTTGTTGTGGACAGTAATGATAGGGATCGTGTGGTTGAGGCAAGGGATGAACTCCATAGGATGCTGAATGAGGTGAGTTTTCTATCGCTCAAAACGCCACAGGCTGTTGCTATACTATCAGTCTTCATACATTCACTTGGTTTTTGCCGTCCATGCAGTATTTCAGCAAAAATGCCATGCATCTCTGCATCTCCAAATTATCTTTAAAATCCGATGACTATTGATCATTCATCAACACGGTGTTTGGTGATGGCAGGATGAGTTACGAGATGCTGTGTTGCTCGTATTTGCCAACAAACAAGATCTTCCAAATGCAATGAATGCTGCTGAAATCACTGACAAGCTTGGCCTGCACTCCTTACGCCAACGACACTGGTGAGACAATCATTCCTCATTCTGAATTACTCCATTTTTTGTGTTTCTTAGAATAAAATAAGCAGAAACACACGACAGGGAATCATAAATCTACTGATAAAATATGCATTTTTACTCTCACGGGAGTCTTAGTTTGAATGTGCCAATGACCGCCGTCCAGTGGAAATAAAAAACCGAGCACACATTCGTGGTAGAATAATGTCTTCTTTTTTACCAAAGTCCCATAAAGATTCCTGTTTTAATCGTTGAGCTCTGATCGCACCACTTCTTCCTCCTAATACTAACTGCCCTCCCCATATGCCCCATGAATAATATCTTCGTGCTGGATAGCCCAACAGCTTCAAAAGCTTAACACCATCGGGCTAAAATTATTTATTCTACGAGCCAGATCTGCGAACTCCATCCACATTTGTGACATGCTTGCAGGTACATCCAGAGCACCTGTGCCACTTCCGGTGAAGGCCTCTACGAGGGCTTGGATTGGCTCTCCAGCAATATCGCCAGCAAGGTATCATCATCTCTCACTTATAGATAGAGCAAGGCCCCTACCTAGTTTGAACGTGGTCTCATCACGCAACCGTCCCCGCTGCAGGCTTGACGAATTTCCCCCGTGCCAGAAGAGCTGAGCATCATCCTGCCGACATGGTTGCCGTTCCGTCTATTAAACGGAAAAAATCGTCTCTTGAATCTTTTTCTGGACTGGTCTGGATTTTTCTTCCCGTCTCGTGTTCCTTGCGGATTTGTAATCGTCCCTAGTTATTTAAAATCTTCTTGTGGGCCGTGCGTTAGCTGCACTTGTGGATGTCTGAACGTTCTGTCGGTGACCTTGTCGTAAAAATTCCAACGCTTAAGTATCGCATTTCTCGTTGTTCAGTCAGAGGGCTGATTTTGTCATTACAATCAGGCATAACCGGGGCTCCTAAAATGAAGACGACGGGCTTCAAAACTCTGGTAAAACTGACTTACTTCTTCCCTTGTTCGCCGCCGCTGGCCCCCCGGTATGATAGAGATCTCTTCACGATCGCCTCATGAAGCTACTACCCACACAGCAACCATATATAACGCGGGGTTAGCGCCGACGGACAGCCGGCAGATTCGTATCAAATAAAATCTGAATAAAACCCAGAGGGGAAGCAAAAGCGGCTACCTCGTCCACCACCGCTGGGGCGTCCACAGCACGGAGAAGAAGCCGGCCTCCACGTTCTACAAGGCGCGCATAGGGGGAGAGCTCCTCGATCAGCGAGCGAGCAAGCGAGAGCCAACCAACCAGCAGAAGTGAGAGGATCCCAACCGGAACTACATACATCTCTTACCGTGGTGGGACGGTCGTCTTCCCGGTCTATGAAGCCCAGCGAGCTCAGAACCTCCCCGAAGTGTCTGTAGATGCTCCGGTAGCTGCGGTCGATCTCCTCTTCCCCCGCCGTCTTCGCCTCGACCTGATTGTCCCCTGCCCTCATCCCGAAGCTCTCCCATATCGGCAAAAGGCTCTCCGCTACCTCCGCCCTCACGTCTCGCGACAGAGAGAGGCGCTCCTCCTCCACCTCCCTCCTGAAGCTCTCGAACTCCGCGCTGACCCTCCGCGCTGTGGCCCGCGCCTCCCGCAGCTCACCCGCCAAGGCGGCGGCTCTTCCCGAAAGAACTTCCTTCTCGTCTTCCATCGACCTGAGAAAGCCCTCCATCTCCCGGACCATCGACCGGTCGCCGCTCGTCAAAGCTTCACCGTACCCTCGGAGCGCCTTCTTCAAATCACCTCCTCCGGCGTCCTCCTCAACGGCTACCACCACCTCCCCTTCTACTAAACCTCCCTGCTGAGATAAATAAACAACCGACCAACCAGTCAGCCAGCGGAGAGAGAGGATTCCCAAACTGGTTCATCGCTCGGAATTCCCTCAAAATTCAGATTTTCGCGGAATGGCCTTCTACGACACGGAACAGCATTGAGCAGAGACATTCCCACACCCCCCAACGTCGGTACCTCAGAGGCTTCTTCGTAGCCCGCCGTAGGAAGAGCCTGGAAGCGGCGGGGCTTGCGGGGGGTGGCGCGGAGCCTGGGACGGGGAGGCCAGCGAGGTCTCGGGATCTCCAACCCCGTCGGCAGTGGCGGGAGAAGCGCCGCCATGGCGCCGCCGCGGCTTCTCCAGGCCCTGTGGCAGAGCCTCCCTCGCGGGTAGAGAACGAGAGGGGGAGGGCCTCCTTGCTGGGGGCCCGGTGATTTCCGATATCCTCCACTCCCACAATTTTTTTGAGACAAAAACTTGTTCTCGAGTCTTATTAAAAGTAAGACATGGATTGGAGGGTAACTTATTACCTACTCCCACATATATGGGAGCGAGCTAAAAATGTTAAATTTTATTTTTATTCATATTTATTTATTTATAAATTAAATTATGTGAAGTTCACATGGTCATGAAGGTCACTGAAGGCACCTTAGCTGGGCCTAATGGGCCACAATACGCCCCACCGTCACTACGGCCACTTTTTGTGGTTTCTGTTCAAGTCTGAGTCCAGTCCGGTCCTCGAAATGCTGGGCTTGGTGAGGCCCATCCCGGTTTGGCCCCATTTGGACTCCCCACGCAACGTCTATCTTTGACAAAAAATTTTAAATTATTCAAAAGTAATTAAACTTACCACCTTTCGTCCAAAATTTTGTTACTGGACTAGAGGGACATAATTAATACTCGTGCCAAGACGGTTTTATGTCAGAAAAAAAAAAGAGCGAATAAATTTTGTGATTAACAAAATCTTGGTTTTTCTACTTCTCCATAATTAAAAACCTAAAAATTATTTAAAAACCATTATATTTATTGAAATTGAGAATATGGCTCATAGTCGCATCGTATGAGCCATGCCATCGAGCAAATAATAACCTTGCTGACCGAGGCCAACCAATCATTAATCTCAATTGGCATGATTTTTTTTAATAATTATTATTTTCTATATATTTTGAAAGCTGGTGGGCTCCACGTTATAGGATAAGAGTGAAGAGGCCAATTTTTTTCGGGTGTATGCTCTACTTGGAGGTATGATCGCCAGATGGGGACGTCAGGAGATGGGAAGGTGCAGGAGACGGGCGATCGCCAGTGAACCCACCGGTGTCGCTGTCCGCCCACGGAGGGGAGACTCTCTCTCTCTCTCTCTCTCTCTCTCTCTCTCTCTCTCTCTCTGTCCGCTCTCGCTGTCTGTTTGTTTGAAATTTCCTCCGGTCGAGGACTCCTGAGGGGGTGAGGGAGAGGAAAAGAGGAACAGGGTCGGGACGGAGGAGTCGTCGGCGTCTCCGAACGACGGAAGTTGGTTCTAATTAAGGTGCTATTTTGCTGTCTTTTCTCCTGACACCCTCGCCTCTCGCTGTCCGCGGCGGCGGGAACATGGTGGTGTAACTGAGCAGTCGATTCCTGCCGCGGCTTCTGTGGCGAAAACCCTAGTATCACAGTCGGGGGGCTGATTTTATTTTTGTGGACGAACGAACCACGGGTGGATTTTTGGGAAACAATATTATCTCGGAGAGGTGCTCTTCTTTTCTGGTCGAGGCATTGAGTTGAAAACGCGGGTTCGGAAGGGGAAACATTTGATTCGCTTTGGGCAGCTCAAGTTTGAAGCTAAAGATAGCCGGGATTTCCGGTTTTTCTGGTATTTATTATGAGAGTTGAAAGGCTGTGTTTTCCCGTGTCGAATCGTTGGGCACCTTGGTGAGCGCTTCGATCCTTGGGTTGAACACTGTCGACGTTGGGAGTCTCGTCGTTTTGGGAGCGATTCTGAGAAGATGAGTAGCAGAAAGGAGGAGGAGAGGAATGAGAAGATTATTCGTGGCCTCATGAAACTGCCCCCAAACCGGAGGTGTATCAACTGTAATAGCCTGGTAAGTTTTTCATAGCTTCGATTCCGTTTTCTCAACTGCATGGCATATCGAGGGCTAGATAGATTTTTATTTTATTTTATTTATCGACGAAACCCTTATTGATGTTTTTCCGTCAACAGGGGCCGCAGTATGTCTGTACTAATTTCTGGACCTTTGTATGTATCTCTTGCAGCGGGATTCAGTGAGTATTTTTCTTTTTTTCTCGTGCCTTTTCTTTTTTTACTTTTTCTCCTTGTCTGGTGGGCACTTTTCTATTTGGCGTCAACTTGTAAAACATAATATTCATATTGGGCAATGGAACGTGAAGCTACCAAATTTGAATTACCAGTCCACGTGCTTTAATTTTTACTCATGAGATTTTAAGTTTCTTTGCAGCTATTTTCCTTTTTCTTCCCGTAAGCATTCTCAAATCTTTTGACCAGTGATCTATCGAGTCTCAGGAATGGGGTTGTTTTTAGTAGTTTTCAATTAATTTATTAGAGTGGGAGTGGGGGCGGGGGGACAGCGCAAAGAAGGGAAGAAAAAGATTCAGAGAGAAAGCTTCATTTATTGAATTAATACTGATACAGGTGCTTTCAATTTGTGTTGACCTACGGTTGTCTTTCTTTCAATATGATAGAAGGATCTGATGCCGTGTTCATTTTTGATAATTTTTTGTTAAGTTGTCCCTTGAACAGAGAGACAAACCAATATTAGCTGTCTTTTACTATGCTTACTACTGTCAAAGGGGCCGGCATCTGCTCCAATAGCATTGATAGAAATTGGATCTATGTATCTACTTAAATGCCCATAATGACATGATCAGCTCCTTGGAGACGAGTGATCTTGTGACCTTCATGGAACTAAGCCCTTGATGCCAAATTTGGGGATCATGTCATCTTTTGCAGGTTAATCAAAATTAGACTTGCCAACATGCAAAAAGAAAGAGAGATACGATTATTGTGGATAGTATTCTTCTGGCATTGAAAGGAAGTGGTGGATTTTCGATTTTTCTGAACCGGAAATCAAGGAGAAGTACCCCCTCAATATCCTTGTCACCCTCAACTCCCTTCATCATTACTACCTTGAAATATGTACACTCCTTGAATTATATGTTGATCGCAAATCCATGTAGGCTCTCACATGTCATGCTATAAATGTAGTTATGAGCATGTAGAGAATTTTTTGTCTAGTAGCCATCTAAGAACTGTCATTATTCCGTACTAACATTCCATCGCTGATCAGAACACTGGAGTAAGTCATGATGAGGGTATCTTTCTACATCCATCCGGGAGGTTGCCTGGCTTAAAATGTTTGAATTTTCATGCCCCTTCTTGATTTTGGTGATTTCTTTCACCAGATGCTTGGACGCTCACGCTTAGATCCTAACTAGATTACCCCCCTCTTATACCTTGATCTAGCCTTGTTCAATGCTCTGTTTAATGTTAGCATGTCATCCTGTTTAATATTCTTGGATTGGTCTGCACCTCCACTCAGAGACATATTTGAACTTCTTTTCCACTCACAAATTGGGAAATGCCTCGTGTGCTTTGGATTCACATTCTAATAACTTTTAGTCCATCTGAAAATTAGTCAACCAAGTTCCAATGGGAACAAAAACTCTTAGAAGATTCTCCTAACCTTTCTTAGACATAAATCCTGAAATATACATCTCTGAACCAATATCTAGCATTTTCTGGCCTATTTAAAATGGCTATTTAAAGTCAACTTAAATAGCAGTTTTATTTAGATTTGTCTGGAATCCGGTCCAATCAAAGATGCTTGGACGTGTTGTTTTTTTTCTTTTTTCTGATCAATGACTAAATGCCATCGTTCATAGTATGCATTATGGCAAATTCATCCATAGGTAAGTTGTTGACTGTAAATCTGCTTCATGGAATGCTTCTTTAGCATTTTCTATGGCAATCTCGTAGTCCATCTGCTCTACCTTGAGAACAATTTGGCTAATTTTTTCTCTAGAAAAGCGTATCTGGACTGAAAATGCATCATTTAACCATAACGTTGTTTGATGACCGCTTTTGTTGAATAGGCTCTTTTCAAAGTTATGGCAATTTTGAGTGTTTTACGTGTGTATGAACATAAACTGCAAGTTGGAGTGTAGTCATAAAAACCTCGTCATTCTTTCTGTTGTAATCGGCTAATACTGTATTGGTACTTGGATCACTATGAGATGTTATTTATAGGGTGGCTGATGCCTTGACAAATTTTAAAAGTATTTTTTTGCGGAGTGGCGACCTTGATTGATGTGATAAGGCTTATGATGGTGATGATGATGATGATGATGATGATGATGATGATAATGATAAATTGAACTGATTTTCTGTCGTAATAATGATAGACATTGGTTGCAACATGTACAAGACAATCCTGCACGATACCATCCAACATGTACAAGACGGTCCTGGATTAATCATAGAATTTTTTTCTCATTGTTTTTCTCTGACACAGTCGAGAATTCACTCATCGGGTGAAGTCTGTTTCCATGGCAAAATTTACCACTAAGGAGGTTGAAGCTCTTCAAAAAGGTGGTAATCAGGTAAAAAGCACAGATTTTCTCCTGCAAGAGGTTACTTCTTGCCACCTTTTTCTGACTGAGTTTAATTTAATATTTAAGCGTGCAAGGGAGATCTTTTTATCAGACTGGGACTTTCAGAGGACGAGATTGCCTGACAGCAGGTGAAAGTTATATCATTCAGAAAATTGTTTTCACGTGCAGCACGCTTATATTTTCTTTTCGTCACTGCCTTTCTTCAGCAATCCTGATAGAATCAGGGAGTTCATTAAAAATGTGTATGTGGATAAGAAGTATGCTGGTGGGAGATCGTCTGACAAGCCACCCAGGAATATGCAGGTATTTAGATTTAAAGAGTTATAAATAATTCTGGAGTACTCTGCGGTCTATTTCTTTCATCTTTCTCTCTCTGGACTGCTTTACCCCTTCCTTCCACACGTAGACATTATTTTATAAACTTGTTCCCTGGGATTTCTGACAGAGCCAGAAGAGCTTTGAAGAAGATCATCGCCGTGCCAGTTCTTATCATTCATACTCTCAGAGTCCACCATATGACCATCAATATGAAGATAGGCGTTATGGAAAACAAAGTGGGATGCTTACTAGAAAGCCCGGTTCAGATCGAGGGACTTTTGAAGGGAAGATATCTAGTCTCATTTACAGCCCTGGTCGTCTAGGTGAGCAGATGTATGAGGATAGATTTGCCAATGAAATTTCCGGTCCAAGAATATCAGACTTTTCAGTATCTAGCACTGGCGATACCTTAAAATTTGATGGTCAGCCACCGAATTTTCAAGGGGATAGCACTTGTGTCACCAATACCCAGCAGGTGAGAGAGATCCTAATCGAAGATGGACGGTGTCAGGTATCGACGCAATATTCAGAAGCAAATCCCAGGAGAAATGTAGAAAGTGCTCTACACTCACAGGTTGGTGTTCCCTTCGTCTCACAATCATGTGGCATGGATGTATAGTTATTATATTTACGTGACGATGATGGTAATAACAATGAATTTTGAAAAACTGTCTTCAGAGAAGCGCATCTTCAGGCAGCTTTGGATCATTTGATAGCAACTCGGTGTCATTGAAATCAGTTAATTCTGGTGGTTCACGTGAAGTTGTCATAGAAGCTGAACAGCCAGTCAGAAGTCAACAGGTGGAATCATTGTTTCCTTCCGAACAGCAATCATCTTCTCCTATTCAGCCTTCTTTTGCTCAACAAGGAACTATTCCTTCAGCATCATCTTCGGATTTTTTTGCTGAGAATCAGTACTCTTCTACATCTTTGTTTGAGAATCCCTTATCACAGTCGTCTCTTCACGGAAACCTTGGGAATCCAAATATGTCTGGTCCATCTTTTGTTCAGCAGGCAACCAGCTCTTCTGTCCTACCTTTGGATTTGTTTGCTGAAATCACTCATCCCTCATCCTCGACTACTTTGGATAAGTCACAGCCAGTACCATTCTCTGAGAAAGAGGGATGGGCTACATTCGATTTGCCACCTTCCGGATCTGCTTCTGAAACAAAACCCACATCCTTTTCTACCATTGTTCCTGTCGATGGAATCAGCACGGCAGTTTTTGATGCTCTTCCACCCACTGGTAATAACACTCAGAGGTCATTGGAACAAAGCTCCTTTTCTCATGAAGCTTCTCCATCGTTTACTGGCCAATGGAATTCAGGAATCAGTCTAGTTAAATTAGCTTCTGAGGCGACAACCTCCCAGGTAAGTGATCTCAGAGTTTGATCAGTTTACGGGGGCAACTTGAATTACGTAAGAGTAACTTACACGGTTCTCTTCCCCCTTCTCCTCTCTCCCCCTGTAGACATGGAATGCTTTTGATGATTCTTTTAGAGGTTTTCCTCTCCCGTCCTTTGGGAGCTCAGTGCCAAAGAATGAAGTTCAAGTTCCAGCACACATTCCTCCTACCATTGTCGATCAAAAGGTGCTCCTCATGTCCAGTGTTTCGTGTGAGAAGAATATTGTGGTGGTGCCACGTTAATCCATTTCATTTGGCGCATTTGCAGGATTTTGATAGAGGTGGATTACAAATATCAGGCATTGGTGGTAGAGCTGTAGGATCATCTTTCAACCCAGTTATCCCTCCGATGGTGTGTCTTCTTTCTTTGAGCTCATAGGCATGCTTATCTTGTTTAGATATAAGCTGCATGAGTTTGATTTATTATTCTTATTTACAAAAGGTAATTTATTATTTTTTTCGCAGGGAGCAAACAGTCGCGAATCTAAGTCCACAAATCCATTTGACATTCCATATGAGTCTGATTTGGAACCTGTTAAGGTATATATATCGCTGTAACCTCATCAATGTTTTCTTTAATACAACTCAATTAGATAAGTTTCGGGGCTCGGTTTGTCTCTTTAACGTTGCTTATCCCTGTGACTAAGATTGCTTTCAATGAATCTCTCTCTCTCTCTCTCTCTCTCTCTCTCTCTCTCACACACACACACACACACACACACACACACACACACACACACACGCACAATCTTATGAATCCACCATCAAATAGTTTATATTAATTTAAATAAAATGGATGATACTTTTATTCGATGCTGGTTACTCACTCATGATCGGCTCATTTCCTTCCCAGTTCCTGGACATGAGTCCTCTGCAGGCAACGCTTCCATCTGTGCAGTTTCCACCTCCATTCCTCAACAACCTCGGCCAACAATGGTTTCCTCAGAATCCCATGCCACCTTATGTTGCTTCTGTGGCCTCAGGTACGTTCCAAGTGGTCTCACTAGGGTTTGACTATTTCGGGGAGCCCACCAACCTTTGAAAGTTCCCCTTGCAGGGAGCTTGCCGTACATGGCTGGTCAACCGCCAAGTTCTCAGCTGCCGTGAGTCAAAACAGTTGCCTTATTTGGTATCTTTGATGAATTCTTGGTGATTCTAAAACGATTTGCTTTGGACAGGGACATCCCTTCACAGGGCCCGGTTGCATCCCTTGGGGGAAACCCATTTGCATAGTACAGCACCGAAGCAACCAGGCGGGTCTGTCAGAGATGTTCTTCGAAGCCCGGGCACGGTGACGTTTTCTTGATGCTCTTGTGGGATGGGATTCCTCCATTAGGGCACTTATTTATCAGGTAGGTGTGCTAATTAGGTCAAATACTTCAAAAGGGTTTGCTGATTTCTCTAGGCCATTAGGGTTGGAGGGGTAGGCATTTGTATCAGGTCAACGTGGTGAGGTACTTAATCTTGGCAATCATTTGGGCGTTCGAGGGGATTGCTGTTGAATGTTGTCTGCCCATATTAAGTAGCCCACCTGGGTTCGGGCCGTTGACTCCGAGGATGACTTCCTCGTCTGTTCTTCTTCTTCTTATTGTCCGATGATGAACCACATTAAATCATGTTTGATATGTGTTTTTTCTGAAATTAGGAACTTTTTTTTCGGGGTTTATCGTAAATCGGACCATCGCATTGAGAACCGGTTTCATCTTTATATGGGTCTTCCAATTACGTCTAGAAAAGAGAAAAAACAAGTCGCGGTTCGAAGTTGACTTGGACCTCTTTCTCCCTTGGCGTTTTTTTCCTCTCGCACTCGTTTTGACTTTATTTGTCTCTGTGAGGGAAAAATGCATAAAAAAGCATTGCCTCGACGACTTCTAGAACAGATCTGGCTGCTACCCCTCTCTCTCTCTCTTTCTCTCTCTCTCCCCATCTATCTATCTATATTCGTATATATATATATATATATATATATATATATATATTCATTCATCTATCGATCGATCAGCCGATACTCATTCACCTACACAGCGCAAAAAGGCCCATGATTTTTCCAAAAAGGCATGAACGCAGACGCGTGTTTCCAACTGTGGAAAGGTTTTGACATATAATGATAATGAGGGGGAGGGGAAGAAAAAGAAAGAGAGAACGCCAGGGGAACTACGAAAGAACCTCAATGCCCCACTGGCAATGCCTCCCGCAGGCCCTCCCCGTCGGCGTCCACGTCCAGCCCACTGCAAAAATCAACCACTGAGAATCACGCCACGTGGCTTTCACCGTAAATAGACCAACCCGAAAAATTAATATTATTTAAAAAAAAAAAACAAAACAAAACCCACCTCTCCTTCCCCTGCGTCTTGAGCTGCTCGATGTAGCTCTGCAGATTCACGCAGGCAGCCTCAATCTCGATGTTCTTCTCGCAGAGCTCCCTCCACTGAGCGGTCAACGCGTTGAGCTGGACCGCCGTGTTTTGCTGCACATTATTTACTAATTTATTTATTCATATGCAATATATCGACGGGCGTAAGGTCTCAAGTCAACGAGAGAGTGTGAGGTCAGGATCCTCGTGGCGCTGAAGAGTATGAGCACACACACCTGATGGAATTTCCTCTCCCGATTGACGGCTTCTATTCTTTCGTTGTATTCCAGAGCAATCGCCTGCATCCTGCAAATGGCCACCATGAATCTGAGATCTCAGGGCCAAGAACCCTAATTGCTTCTTATAGATTCATGGACCAAACTGGTCCAATGGTATCTCATCACTCACCCTTTTCTTTTTTTTTCCCACCAGGAAGGAACGTTTTCTTTTTTCGAGTAATTCAAAATGGATTAGAAATTTCCTTTCTGATTATAACCTCAAAGCCACGGTGGCCAAGATCAGGCCACCCAATTCGATTCAAGATATATATGGTTGGAGCAGGAGTTGCTCTCCTATTCCTGCCCAAAGGGATAAAAATAGGAAGCGATTGCTGATCATCTCACAGCACCGTGGCTCAATATGATGTAGTATCATACATATGTTGACAAATAATTCGGTGATCAAATGATGATAGCACCAGCTTCGATAGATCAAGCAAAATTTGGAAAAAAGTAATGGAATCTGAGACAATTCCTCAAGAGCATATGGTCAAAGAACATAAGAGAAGAAAGGATGAAAGAAAGCAAGCGGATTGTGAGTTAATGCGCTTCTTGTTCTTCTTCTTAGAATCTTATCACACGAATAGAGGAGCTATTTTTCTGTTTTAAAAATTAATATTATTAGTGACACATTTCGCTCCTTTGGTTTTATAACAATAGATACTCATTTCACCCTTTTTTTTTTTTTTTTTTAAAAAAAAAAACCAACAAATAGCAACCAGGAACTGGGAGATTTCATTAATCAACCCAGAATTTTAACGGAGTCTGTTTAGCCTTTGATCCAAACGAAAGTTTTCCATCAAACTTGAACCATCATCAATCAAGTATTCAACTGAAGAAAGATCAGTGACTTTCCATCTACAAGATCTGGTATCATAGCTAATCACTGCATCATCAATCAGGTGGGCATCGAAAGAAAAAGGCATGAACAGAGATTGGACACAAGTAGGATCAACAAAATGACTGAATCCAATCTTTGGCTTTGGGGGTACCATGGCCGAGGTAGGTTATATAATCATTCAAATGCCACAAGCTGGACTTAGTTTTCAGTTTGAACAAAAGAGGAAAGTCTTTAGAACGTGCAGCAGGTATCTCAAGATATTGATATTGTCCATAAACTTTCCACGAAACGGACAAGGTACCAGATGACATTCGAGTGTGAATAGATCACGCCAATAATAGGATGCCGAGGAAAGATTTACCTGGACAAAAGTGACTCCAATCTTTTAATGTGTAGTTTCCAAACATCAACACCATGCTTCAGCATTAGTTCCAGATTCTCAATTCTGCAAAACCGAGAATAAATTAAAAGCTAAGAAGAAATAAGAGTGATGTACTATTCATCTGCATAGATCACAAAGAGGGCAGAAAGTTTGCATCTTGAGGAGTAAACAAGTCATACTAGACGTGTGCTAGTAGCAAAATCAATGATAAACTACAGAAGATGGCACCTGCGGCAATAATATTGTTTCTCAGGTCCGTCATCTGATGTAGCCATTCATTATGTCTTGTTTCAGACAATTTTCGATATGTAGTCTGATGCTTTTTACTCATTTTCGGGTGAAAAGGATGGAGGTTCTTGTCAACTATAATTATTACGTACCTAGGAGATAATGAAGACATTTATAAAAAATGGGGAGTGAGTAAAATAAATAAATAAGAACCGATGAAGTTTTGTATTGCTCAGCGCTTCTGTGGACCAGTGGATTTCTTTCCAAAGCATAAATCAGTCTGGGCCTTTAGCAACTTCAGACAACACGTTCTGTCTCTAGTGAGATGGCGTGATCTGAAATTCTGAAAAAAAGTATATCCAACTGATTTGGATTGAAAGCCCAGCTCAGTTACCAGAAAAATCCTTAATCTCAGATGGTGCTACATTAGAGGAAAACCTATCTGAGGTGGTGTTACCTTCATATCCACCCACGAAAACTCTCATCTTCTAACTCCAATTTCAAGTCTTCCCATGGATCCTTTTAACAGCAATATAGTTCTTTCAATAAAGCACGAATCACAATATAATAAAGTGATCCTAGAAGTTTTGAATGCATTTCTGCAACACAATAGCACATCATAGTTCCCCACAATGTATAATTTCTTGACTTGACGACTAGAGACCTTATCTGACCTAACTTTTGTAGACAACAGCCTGTGCATATCATAATATTCCACTTCAAAGGGCAGAATGATGATAGAAGAGTATTTTATCAGCCTAGCTTTAAACATACACCTAGATTGCTGTCAGCATCTTTGCTTACAAACCACTAGTTATGAGTGAAACCCTCCTATGAACTACGGGAGAAGGTAGAAAAGAAAAGATTAGCACAAAAAGGGAGGTGAGGAGTCAAACACATGAACAAAGGGGATCTTATATGAGTTGGCTTTGTCTACATGCACAACCACATGAACTGAATTCACTATTTTCTACGAAGTGATGACTACAAGAGATGAATCGCTCTTCTAGAAATAAGATTAGTGAAGCCTAGTTTGAAAAGGGCAACAGTCAGCATGAAAATCTATTTCGTCACTAATAATCCCACAAGCCCAACCAAACCAAACGGACAACACTAGTTAAGACAAGGGTTGGAATCAAACTCCACAGCTCAGCATCACTAAAGTCCATGGCTCGTCTTTTAAAGGTTTCAGGCACGCCCTTCCAAGTTCCTAATTCAGCATTCAACCCAAGTTTCATACCATCTATCAATAAAACATCACTTATAACGGCAAATGGCATACACCAGTGACGCCTCTAATATTTGCATAACGAAATTCTAAAACGAAAGTAAACAGATAATGACATGAAGACACGTAGAAAACGAATGGGACGTGATTCTTTGCATGATATTTTCATAATTATCAGAAAAAAATATTATAAAGTCGGCTAGAAATATAATGGACCTTCAAGGCATGAGACACGCACTCAGAATGATCAAATTATGCCCTTGGGTAAACAATGTGTGAGCTTGGCCACAACCAATAACGGAAGGGTACATGGGGGATTAGGGACTAATTTTCTAGAAGTCGACATTGAATGTGCTTGCATTTTATACAAAGAAAAGTTCAGTGAAGGAAACGCATTTTCTGTAATTTCATTATATTCCAATCATAGCTCCCAAAACTAAGAAAACGGAGAACTATGATTAGACTCATGAAAAAAATTATAGGTAGCTACAATATATTTTTATTCTTTAATTATCCCTGCAAAAAGACCCTTCCAATTGTTTACGCTGTATGAATAGGCTCTTCAGTCAGGGTAGTCCTCGTCATCTTTTTTTATTCGATCATTTTCACCATATGCTCTATCAACCAACAATAAAATTCTTCTCATCATCCTGTGTTCTCTCAGTCAAAAATGAAATTTACAATAATTAAATTTAATGCCAAATGCGCCTTTATCCAGATTTTATGAAGATCTTTTTATTTCTGTATTGCGCCTCTCAATGAAAACACAGATCAGTGGTCGTCGTAGAAGTATAATCCACTAAGATTTACTTTCAATATAAAGCTTTATAAACGCCGATTGATGTTTGCAGGAGCATATCTAGTCAATAGGAGAAAATGCCCCTAAACGTTATGCCCCCACACGAGTACCCCAACATCGTCTTTGTGCGGCATATTTTTAGTCCAGATATCTCTCACCTCTACGGAAACTATCAAGAGATGCTTAATTAGCCAAAACAAAAAAAACTGCAAAGCAATGTAGGATAGCACTGAAGGAGAACTTATCAAGTACGAAAGACTCGTCAGATCATTTGGCGCGTTGGAAAATATGTTCTTTTTCATGTAAAGTGCTCATAAGAAACAATTGAGGAGAGCTAAACTCGTTAATGCCTCGTGCATAAAAGGAAGCAACACTTAAGCAAATAATATCGGGTATACAAATTAATTAACCTTTACAATTCTTATGACGACTTATAATCTCGTTAAATTGCAAAAATGTATTCGTAGTTACCATTCTTTTCAAGAAAAACGAGGAGAGAATCCCGATGGATGTCTACAAGAGACCAAGCTCATCCGACCTAAAGACACTGATGCTTCTAAACCTCTGATGGGAAGATAATTAGGGAAAGGCAAACTCCAAGGAAGTTTAAGAAACACACTCACCTTCTGTGGATACCATGTGAGAAGCTATTTTCAGTAATCATTCCTCTATGCATACTCTACTCATTCCGAAGTTCACAGGATATAAGGTTCTTTAAGTGTCCGGAAGGTAAGAGCCTCTCAATTTCAAAAGACTCCAGGTAATGCAAACAGAACGCATCAGGAAAATAAATATGGTTTATTTGTAAGCATTATGGCACGATAGCCTCGAGCATAGTAAAATGAGAAACCTGAAATGACATGAAGTTTCAAATGTTCATATTTCCAATCTCGTTATACACCACCACGTGCACACCTGACAATTTGATGCTGCAACAGGCTCTGCGCATTTTTGACAGCGTGCCTCCAGGCGGCAACATCATTGCGTTTTGGTGGTTCTAAGCCATATCTTGACATATCCAGCGCCACCGGGGGTTTGCCAGCCCTGATCCGTTCGTACTCTCGAGCGAGCATAGGGTGATTCTACAACATTATCAACAGTAGAACTTCTTAAACACAAGCGACAAAAAGTGACACCCGCAAGTTCATCTGAATCCGAGAAAAAATAATCCAAGCCCCCACAAAAGCCCTAGACCCCGAAAATGGATTCCGACGATAGGGAGGGAAAAAGAGAGAAGGCAGGAGGAAAGCGCTGTGTACCTCGAAACTGAACTTCGGCATAGGCGGAAGGTCTCTAAGGAAGTCCGCAGGCCTCTTCGCGCTCCTCCGCATCTCATCTTCGACCAGCCTGTCCACCTCCTCCTTCACCCTCGGATCGCCGTACTCGTCGTCGATGTAGGGAAGCGCGTCGATGACATCCGCCTTAGGGACAACCGTCCAGCTCTGGCGAGAGCTCTCCGGTGGAGCTTCGAGCATCAGCACATCGCCTCCCGCCATTCTTCTTCCTCCTCTTCCACCACAAGTTGCAGGCGTCTCTGAGACGACGACGAGAGAAAAGAGGTAAGAGAACCGGAGGTATTCAAACCAACGAGATACTGGGCTACTAATGGGCCTTCTGGCCCAATTACTAATATAGAGCCCAAATCAACCAGAGAGCCGCACGCATCCTACTGTCTCTCTTTGGTGAGAGCAGAGATGTATTGCACCTTTCTATCCAGATAAAATTAGTAAATAAATAAAATAAATATTTTCATTTTCATAGGAAAAACTGTATATATACGAACAAGAGGAAAAAAAATGTATCCACCAGAAAATGACGATTTTTTTATTATCGGTGAAACAAAAAATGGAAAACTCTCTTTATGGTAAAAAAAAAATTCCTTACTCCCAGAAAATGAGCCTGTAGATTTTTGCCAATAAAAATAAAAAAAAGAAAACAAAGAGCCTGTCGAATTTTAAGTAAATAAATAAAATATTTTCTTATTTGGATACAAAATATTGTATATGCACGAACAAGAGGGAAACATTTTAGTGCCTACCAGAAAATGACGAAAAATATTCTTTATGGCGAAAAAAATATATTACTCACATTTTTTTCGCCAATAAAAAATAAAAAGGAAGAAAAAGAGCATGCCGAATTCAAAGTAAATAAATAATTTAAATATTTTATTTGGATATAAAAAATTGTATATGTACCAAGACAAGAGGAAAACATTTTAGTGCCTACCAGAAATGATGAAAATTATTTTTTTATGATCGGCGAAATTAAAAAATGGAAAACTCTTCTTGATGGTAAAAAAAAGAATTACTCTCAATTATTTCGCTAACAAAAAAAATAAAAAGAAGAAGACAAAGAACCTGTCGAATGTTAGGTAAATAAAAATATATATTATTTGGATATAAATAATTGTATGTGTACGAACGAGAGAAAACCATTTTGTGTCTACCAGAAAATGACGAAAAATATTTTTCTGATCGGTGAAATTAAAAAATGGAAACTCTTATTTATGGTGAAAAAAATAATTACTCTTAGTTGTTTCGCCAATAAAAAAAAAGAAGCAGACAAAGAACCCGTCAACTCTTAAATATAGTCTGGAAAGAATTGCATGAAAGGGACTTTTCATAAATTATGGGGAGAATGTCAACGGGTGGTGAGGTATTTGTCAGATAAAAATTAATTGGTCAACTTTGGATATTCGGGAGCAAAAAAACTCGTTAATTATAATATTCGTTTAATTATGATTGCTTTTGTATTGGGCCCGGCCCATTATTAAATTAAAATTATGCTCACCCACGTGACTAGAAAAGACAAGCCCGGCCCTCGCTTCGAGCGGTATCTATTATCGTAAATAATAATGTGGCAATTATTTCGTTTGAACTTATTTTTAATTTAATTTAATTTATTAAGAAGTACATAAATGGGCGGGTAAATCTACGATGAATCGCTTTGGCGCTCGGGAATCGGAAGAGTTTGTCTTAATGGGGTCAGGACTGAACACGAGGCTGTCCGGCTCCCTCTGAGTCTGGGCTTGTCGGCGACGGCCGGGGCGACACAGACGACGGCGTGGGGCCAACGCGTCCCGCCGGCTTGGTTGCAGGCGAATCCCCAGGGCTAGTACGAAAACGGTAACCTCACCATTGGTCAGTGCACTCCCATCCAGTTTAACCATCGGCCGCCACGCCGCCATCCGCGGTCAAGTACACCCGAAAAGCGGCGGCCCGTGTGAACGATTTAATGCCCCGACGGTAGCTAAAAACAGCAATAAAATCTGTAATAAGTTGTTCCCCCATTCAGGTGCGCTCTCTCTGTCTGTACGTCTGCCTGTCTCTCACTCTCTCTTTCTGCGATGTTTCTACGCCGGGAATCCAGCGGAGGCCGTGGGAACAAAGAGCGGTTCAAACTAGTGAACCCATCAAGACAGTTGTGAGAAGTTATTGGGTCGGCCCACTGGAGAGAGAGAGAGAGAGAGAGAGAGAGAGAGAGAGAGAGAGAGCTTTTAGAGATAAAAGTGAGTGTAGTCATTGAAACCTGCCTTTCTAGAGTAAAGAAATGACCTTCCCCGAGAAGAAATCGGCGGCCGCTCCGGTGGGCAATTACATGGGTTTCGTCTTAGAGAGAGAGAGAGAGAGAGAGAGAGGTCTGATGAACGTCGGCCCCGCGGCGGCAGTTCCAGCTTCGCAGCTGGTCTGGCCAGGACAGCCTGACAACTGGCGCCTTTCGGGAGAAATCGGCGGCAAGAAAAAGAAGCAACCAGACAGACGGTCACGATTCCGACGGGTCACGCGTTCTTGGATGACGTCATCGTGAGGACGTCAAAGAATATATCACATCCTGCGTCTCTGAGTCGACCACGTAGGCGGACTCGAAGACGCCGACTAAAACGGGATCGAATAGGGGGTTGGAATCCGATTCCTCCCACGGAGATATCGACGGCTGAAGCAGAACCATTTGCGAGTGTAACTGGATGCGGACAAGAGATCTCCAGTTGCCAGTAAAGCTGGCTCTCAGGGGAGCGGTGTCAGCTCTACGAGGGTCTTATTCATAAAACAACCCATAAATATTTGTACCTTATGATAACTTCCAAAATGATATCTTATGATTAATCTACTCTCATAGTGTTCAGATATGAATAACCATTAAGAGCTTCTAGTCTCACCGACGTGTCAACTGAAGTAAATATCTTATGATCTCGGGGGTATTTTTCAAGAGAAATCTTTCAAAGTTACTACTTTCATTAGCAAACATTGGCGCCAAGAAGATTATTAGTTTTACAAAGTATTATTTCACCAAAATTCACATTATTTGCGCTCATGACCTTCCAAAAATTATAATTTTAACCCTCTCGAATAAAAATAGTTGGGTTCGTAAACATTTATATATTTAATTATTTTTTTGCATAATATACCCGGTTTCTAAATAATCGACCGCGATTTCCACGTAGGCGTGCTACTTTGCATTATTTTTTTTGGCCCTCCAATCACGTGACTATCAGTGAGATACAAAACTTAGTTACAGTGAGATGGTTGTGATCATTCTTACATTTTTCGGGGGGTTAGGTGCAATTATGAGGTGCTTATGAAAACAGATATTTCATAAGACGAGTGCGGTGAGAGTTTGTAAACAAATTTTATGGAAGAACACTCCAAAAGGGAGAACATTTTACGGAAAACCCATTAATAGAACCAATATTTTGTCTTAACCCGGTGATTAAAAGGATTAAGAGAGATAATTTATAACGCTATTATCTTTGGAGGTGTCGTAATTTTAATATACTTCAAGCTCATGTAGGGAAGCGGCATGGTCGGACGTACGAGAGGTGTAACACAACCAATCAGGGGCGACCACGTTTGAGAGCAATCTTGAGGCCACGTAGAACGCAGCTTCCGACGCGGAGGAGCTTAACTGGGAGTCGATGTTAACTTAACCAGAGTCAGTGGAAGACTGTTACAGTATATCAAGCGGCTCGCCCTCTGCGGGAGGAGCCAGTGCAACAAGAGGCCAAGGCCGATCATTCTCTCTCTCTCTCTCTCTCTCTCTCTCTATCTATCTAGCTCTCTATCTAACAGCGTCCTCATCATCCCACGAGACTCAACTTCTGGCCCCGGATCCCCCCTTTTTCCTCGTTCAATCTTCGGCATCCGGGCATCCACCGTCTCCTCTCCTATCTTATCCTCTCCCTCCGTTGCTACCGCTGGACCTGCGCGGCGTTCGAGCTCGGGGGAAAGTGTTTTCATGGCGTCCCGGAGGGGCTGAGGAGGAGCCCAAAGAAGAGTACTTTGTACCTGCAACGCTTAGTCTCTCTTATTTCCCAGGTAAGACGACTGAAGTTGCTACTTGTCCGATTTTTTGTTCATTCCGTGGCTACTCTGGTTCTTCTTCTTCTTCTTCTTCTCTTCCTCCTCCTTCCTCTCCTTTTTATTCTGCTTCTGTTTGTTTCACGATTTACTGTCGTCTCAGTTTCTGATCTCCCCGTCTTCGTCCTCTGAATCCTCGGCTACCCGAACTCGACTCTCATGAAGACAAGGCAAAACCAGAGAGTTCACCATGCAGATGCACTCTCTCTCATCGTCATCGTCGCCCTCTCCATTCTCTCTCCCTCTCTATCTCTCTCTCGTCTTCACGGATCACACCGAGAGTTCCCCGCCGCAGTTTCCGTTCTCGGTCGCCGTCTTTCTGCCCCCTCGTGGGCCTCGCTGCGGTCATTCTGTTATAGGAAGAATTCTGAGGTTCACGATGGTTTTGGCCAAGTTATTCTTAACAGGCCGAGCATCTCTCTGAATATGATTCGCATCCGTCGCAGTGGCTGTTTCCAGGCTCTCTGTCTGTGCTCTCTCCCCCACCCCTCAGCTTCTCGGTCAACCCAGGTTATTTTATTTTCCTTCATGTGGGAGCAGAAATCGAGGAGATTGTCTGTATTCTCGCCGGAACCAGATTTGGCATCTCGTGTGGAGATGATCTCATCGATTCTAGATGGAAGAGATGCATAAAATCTCGCCTTTGTTTCCGATTTCTCTCACGTCGTGTCGAGTACGTCGGTGCATAGTTCTAACTCATATATCATCTCCTTGAATTTCATCCGTTTCTGAACGTAATTCTTATTTCCCACATGAACAGGAAATCCTCGGGTTGATCCAAAAAGCTGTGATTCTTGATCCGAACCCTCGGGTTGATCCAAAAAGCTGTGATTTTCTGCGTCTGAGAGCTCTCCCCGATCTCATCTCGGGAACAATGGGAGGGATAGCAGTGGACGAGTTTTGCTTCCCCGGTTCCTTCGACTTTCTGCAACTCCCACCGTCCGTCGACGTGGAGAGCTTCCCGTTCTCTCCTCCCCTCGCCCCGCCGCCCGCTGCGGTGGCGCCACTGGCCGCCCCCGCCGCCGGCGAGACCTTCCCGGAGGACGAAGATAGCGAGGACGACATCGACGTCGACGAGCTGGAGAGGAGAATGTGGAGGGACAGGCTGAAGCTGAAGCGGCTCCGGGAACAGCAGATCGGCACCAAGCCGGCCGACCACGGCGGCGCCGCCAAGCTCCGGCAGTCGCAGGAACAGGCGAGGAGGAAGAAGATGTCCCGCGCCCAAGACGGCATCCTAAAGTACATGCTGAAGATGATGGAGGTCTGCAAGGCCCAGGGCTTCGTCTACGGCATCATCCCCGAGAAGGGCAAGCCCGTCGGCGGCGCCTCCGACAACCTTCGCGCTTGGTGGAAGGAAAAAGTCCGCTTCGACCGCAACGGCCCCGCCGCCATCGCCAAGTACCAGGCCGAGAACTGCCTCCTCCCCTCTCGACCCATCTCCGCCGCCGCAGCCGGCGGCGGTGCCGGTCCCCGGTCGCTGCATGAGCTTCAAGACACCACTCTGGGATCCCTCCTCTCCGCTCTCATGCAGCACTGTGACCCCCCACAGAGGAAGTTCCCCCTGGAGAGGGGAATCCCGCCGCCGTGGTGGCCCACCGGCGGCGAGGAGTGGTGGCCCCAGACGGGGGCCCAGGGGGCGCCGCCGTACAAGAAGCCTCACGATCTCAAGAAGGCGTGGAAAGTCGGCGTCTTGACGGCGGTGATCAAGCACATGTCGCCGGACGTTGAAAAGATTAGGAAGCTGGTGAGGCAGTCCAAGTGCCTCCAGGACAAGATGACTGCCAAGGAGAGTCAGATCTGGTCGGCGGTAGTCAACCAGGAGGAGTCCTCCCTTCCTTCCTGCTTTCAGGTCAACGCCGAAGCCTGCGGCGACCCCGCGAGCTTCTCCTTCGGCAGCAGTTGCACCGGCGAGTACGACGTCGACGGGTTGGACGACTTGGCGGAGGTGGTGGCGCCGCCGAAGAAGGAGGCTGCTGCTTCAGTGGCCTCCTTCTCCTCCTCCTTCTCCTCCTCCTCCTCCTTGGAGTTCATCCGGAAGAGGCCACCGTCGCCGGAGACGGAGTTGATGATGATGATGGACCAGTATCGTTCCCACCTCCGGCAAGGCTCCGGCGAGAAGAAACCCAAGACCGGCGACCATCACTACGATCGTCGGAGCGAGAACAGCTTCTGCTTCCAGCCCCCGGCGGCGGAGGAGAAGCCGCCGCCGGCGACGGCGAACATCTCCGGCCTGGGGATTCCGGCAGATGGGCAAAAGTCCATCAGCGATCTCCTGTCCTTCTACGACAGCGCCATCAACCGGGCCAACGACGGCCATGGCTTCCTCGGACAAGCTCTGTTTTCAGGCCCCACCCCCGCCGCCGCCGGCGCCTACGACGCTCAGAACACCCGCGGCGGCACGTTACCGCCGCCTACGCCGCCGCCGCCGTTCTTCAGGGACGAGGTAGGCGGCGGGTTTCAACAAGGATTCAGCGTCCAGAGGCCCAATCCGGTCAACGAGGACTTCATCAGATTTAGCTCTTTCGGCTTCTCCGGACTGGACTCCGGAGACGGGCTCTCTAGGGTTTCAGGGAACCCCATGGGGAAGATGGAAGGATCAAACTGGCCCTTCTGAGCTGCGATCCGACCTAGGATTATCACGGTCGCCCTGTAAATTAGAACTCGTTGAAGATCTCAGGCATTTGTTAGGTAATTCTTATTGGGTTTTAGCTCACATGATCTTGGTTTTCTTCCATTCTCCCGATGCATCTGAGCATTTTTCTAAGGTTCTTTTCCCGTCAATAAATAATCCTCATCGAACCAGTTTAAAGCTGGGTGCTGCCTAACAGGCGATTAAAAGATAGAATCCTTGTAATGTGATTCTGTCAGATTAGTCTGAAAAAAAATGGTGTTCTTTGCGGTGCTGGAGATCATCCACATGGTCCAAGGTTCCTGATCACGGTCGATCTAATCTGGTTGACCGGCGGCCCACGGGATTGGCCAGTCAATCTAGGCCTGGCCCCCGGTGGTCAATGCGTACAACTGCAAGCCAGATCATGATGGGATCCGCGGCAGCAGATCCAGCCCATCGATCCGACGTGGTTGTCCGAGAGAGATGATAGCGACTTTGGGTTAGTGGGGCCACGTCAGACGTTGACGGGCCCACTAGGGCCGGAGACGAAAGCTGACCAATGTGGATAAGTAGATGACTGCTTTGTTGTCTCCCTCTTATAGGTGGTGATCCGTTGTTATCCAATAATCCTGTGGATTCTACGGCTGGGGCCCACATTTCTTTTTGTGGGTCCCAGTGGGCCCAGCATGTCGGACAGCCCACGAGCTAAAGCCTATCCAGCCGCCGGTTTGAACGGTCGCATGTCCAGCCCACTGGGCCGTTAAGACATGAACCCAATCTCTCTCTCTCTCTCTCTACCGTATCATTTTCACATTGAAGAGCTCTTTAATAGCAGAGGGCTCAGGCTAGATAGACAGTGAGATACGTGTGCTGTTCATGCAGAAACCAACGACTACGCCCCAACTGCAAGCGTCTATCTCTCCTCTCTATCTCTATCTCTAACTCTTATTCTCTCTCTATCTCTAGCCCACTATATCTCTCTAGTCGTGGGCGGGCGGGTTTTGGGAGAGGGAGAATTGATGAGAGGGAGGAGGAGGGATCAGGTAACTAGCCATTAAGTGCGGTCGGAGGATGGGGTTGGAGGGTGGTGGCGTGGGGAGGAGAATGGGCCGGGGGTGGGGCCAGGTGACCCAATTTGGCCGCCCTATAATGGGCGACCCCGTCCAGGACTCCCGGGAGACTAGGGCGCCGCTACCCGAAAAGTCAAAGGGGATAGGGTCGACGCTAGAGACGGGTTGTGATAAAGAGGATTGAAACTCTGGGCCTTGCGGAGGAATTCATGCCGACCCCGTCAGTGGGTTGTAGAGCGAGAGAGAGAGAGAGAGAGAGAGGGGGGGACGACGGGGACTGGTCTTGAGAGTTACACGACTCCCCGTTTGTCGCCGCTCGTAAGATGGTTCTGCCGATTGTAGTTGGGTTTGAAACATAGAGAGGGACAGACGTAGAGAGAGAAAGAGAGAGAGAGAGAGAGAGAGAGAGAGAGAGAGAAGCGCGTGCCCGGAGGCGATAGGAGCTGGTCGTGCAAGTTACACGACACCGCAGTCGTCGTCACTCGTGAGATGGTTATGTAGGCGGTAGTTGGGTTTGAGACAGAGAGAGAGAGAGGGGGACAACAGCGCGTGATCCGGGGCGATGGGGGCTGGTCTTGCGGGTTACACGACTCTCTGGTTATCGCCACTCGTAAGATGGTTATGTCGACGGTAGTTGGGTTGAGAGAGAGAGAGAGAGAGAGAGAGAGAGAGAGAGCGCCAATTCAGGCCCAAGAGTAAAAGGGCCTGAAGCCCTCGTGTGTTCTATCTATTTTTGGTCCTCTACGTTGTTCCCATCAGCCATCCCCGGCCTAAAACGAAATTCCCGAGCTTTTCCTTAAGAATGGGAGTAATTGGGCCGGTATCGGGCTTTTCCCTTAAGCTCCGGCCCAGACTAGACCATTTCCACCGCAAGATAGAAATTACCCAAAATAGAACAAAAGCTGCTCGAGGGGAGCCATTTATCTAGGCATATCTAACTATCGAAGAAAAAAAAATGTATAAAGTGGGCTAATTTAGGCCATATTTGGGCACTTCTTTGGTCGGATGCGACTCCTTGAGCGAAGCCCACTGGGCCTGTAAGCTGTGTGGGCCCAAGCTATGTTAGGCCAATACGCCACTCTTGGAGGAGTCCTCCCGCACCATCCTTAGCTCCAAAGCATGCCCACCTGCCTGTCAACCCCCGCCTTGACTGTACCTCTCTCTCTCTCTCTCTAAAATGTTAGGTGGTGGAACTTGTAGCTTCTCCATTCCCCAATCTTTTAGCCGGCTTCCTCTTCCTCTGAAGCTGAGGCAGTTAACCAGCGGCCATCTCCTGCAAAGGTGTAGTTCCAACTGCTAAACCCTCTCTCTCTTTCTCTCTCTATCTCGCTGTCTGTCTCTGTGTTTCTTTGTGGACAGTGGCCGAGTCTTCTGCGGCCTTTAGTCTCTGGTTCATCCGATCCACCTGTACTACTGCATCTCTTATAAAAATTGAAGGAGCAATTGATGCCGCTGAAATATTTATGATTCTGAAGAACAAATCATAGTTCTTTCAATCATATGCCACAATTCATATAAGTTTTATGCCAAATCAGTACAACTTGCTTTGCTTACCAGTGGAATCCACAAAATTTCACTAGGAAAAAATGGAAATATGTTCAGATCAGTGGCAACAATTTTCCTTCTGTTCCTAAACACAAGCTGCCTTACCAGGGGTTAATCTTCAGCTTAACCAGGGAGCCCCGTTGACTTTTGAAGCATGTCTTCGAACAAATCAAGGTCAAATGGCCGTCAGAAAGCATTGTCAACTGCTGAACAGCGAATGAAGGTAATGCAGCAACTTGGTCTCTTTTTCATGGTCATTAGGCTCTGCTTCTGGTCTAAAATTCATGGCATTGAAAAATCTTGCAAACACCTCGCAAAAAAAATATATATATAAAAAAAAATAACCATGTTCATAAATCGTTGACTGGGTCTAAGCCTTAAGAAATTCTCCATCTAATTCAGCTACTAATCTTAGTTTTCCTCAGGCTATATCAGCATCTAATAGTGTTTTTCTTCATCATCCAGATCGATGAGGTTCGGAAGCTTGTGGGGCCCTTGTCCACCAAGCTGCCAAGCTCATGCTCAGATGCTTCCATTTCAAGATACCTCATTGCAAGGAACGGGAGCACCAAAAAGGCTAGTAAAATGCTGAGAGAAGCTCTCGAATGGAGGCTGAAGTACAAGCCTGAGGCAATTCGCTGGGTATGATCTTTCTCCATGATCTTTTCCTCTGAATGCGAATCAATAATTGAACAAAAAAGACATTTGGAAAGAAAGATGATATAGTTCTTCATTATAATATCAGATATGAATCAAATGGGCAGCATAGATCGAACATTATTGAAAGATAATTCAGATTACCAACCTCGAATCAACCATATATTTGCCGTGTTGATTACATATTTTCTGCAGTCTGATGCCAATCCCTTCGAAAGGTAAAAATATTTCATCTGGTTTCCTACACAGATGAGGACGCAATGGCCTTACTAAACCAAAATATTTATCTCCAGATTCTTCGTTCTGAGGTCATTGTTTCCTGTGTGACTGCCAGGAAGAGATTGCTGAGGAGGCCAAGACTGGGAAGATCTACAGGGCCAAGTACCTAGACAAGTTCGGAAGGCCCGTTCTCGTCATGAAGCCTGGGTTGCAGGTAACATCAAGTCACAAGTATGGGAAAACAATAAGCGCTTTCACAGCTTACACTTGTCTAAGAATTGGTCGTTCTTCTCAGAACACAAACTCGACCAAGGGGCAGATCAGGTACTGGATCTACTGCATGGAGAATTGCATCTTGAATTTTCCAAAAGGTCAGGAGCAGATGGTGTGGCTAATCGACTTCCAAGGCTGGAATATGGGAAGTGTCTCGATGAATGTCACCAGAGAGACAGCTCACGTGTTGCAGGACTTCTACCCTGAGATGTTGGGATTAGCAATCCTCTACAATCCTCCGAAGATATTCGAGCAATTTCGGAAGGTGACATTGCTGAAATACTTTACCTTTGTGAAGATCCCTACTGGAAATTATAATACATTTGGTTAAATCCTTGTGATGATTCATGGGTGCAGCTTGTGAGGCCCTTCCTGGAGTCAGAGACGTATCAGAAGGTGAAGTTCATTTTCTCTGATGACCCAGAGAGCCAGAAGATGATGGAGGAGTTGTTTGATCTGGATGAACTGGAATCTGCGTTTGGAGGGCACAATCCTATTGAATTTGACTATAATGAGTTCCAAGAGAGAATGAAGAAGGATGAGATGAAATTCTCTGATCCCACGTCGTCGCCTGGAGATTTGCACCCCACTGAAGAAAAAGATGCTGTGATGGTCACCCAGGCCGCAGAGCTGTCAGAGCCCATTCTCCAGCCAGGTGAGGAAGCTCAGTCAGATGCATCCGATGAAGCTCCTTCATCCATTGAGGGTTCTTCCCCAGAACAACCAGAAGCTACGCCCAAGCTTCCTGAAGACCATTTGACATGCCAGGTCGTCTGCAAAGGCAGTGTAGTCTCTGTCCCAGAAGAACAAGCTCTAGCCGTTCAGATGAAATGAATCAACTGAGAGCCCTTGTTTGCATACAAAACAGCTGGCGTTTTGAAGAGTTCTGATCTGAGAAAATGAACACAATCTCCGTGGCGACATAAAAGGGGAATCCCAGTCTCAATGATCATTTTGATACATAAGTGTTCATTACTCTCTTTCTTCAAGATGTGGCTTGTCTTGCTATGCTTCCAATTCCGCTGCCTGTAAAAGAGAATAAGCTGTTTCGGTAGTCTTTCACCATAGAATTCAGAATTTAACTCCAAACAGACCTTCTTTTACTTAACATCAGTGCAGAACCATCTTGTACTCCGAAGAAAATGCAGAGAATCGTTTTCTACTCCGAAGATTGATAGTTCACCAAGTTATCAAAAAAATTATCATATCTTGTCATCTGAATAGGGCTAGATCTTTTTTGAATCCCAGTTGGTGGCCACGATCCACCCCACACACAGCTCGCTGGAGTTAAGTGCTTTCTCGTGGCACTGTGATCTCCACTAGGCAATCCCGCTTAACAGCCCCTGCGGGAAAGGTTGGGCTAACACGCCAGAGGCAGGCTCTCAGAATCCGCCAAGAAGGCACAGACATCAATGGCTTCTCTAATGGGTTCTCAATTGGACGCCAATGAAGACATTACTGTGGTAAATATAAAAATACGACGTTAAATACAACTGTTTTCAGAATACAAGCAACTAAATGTCGTCCAATCGTTTATACATAGGAACGTACACTTTTAAACCCTAAGATTCAGTAGTTCAAAAGGTCCAAATAATGAAAGTAAAACCTGATTAAACTTATATTTCGCTCTAATATCATAAATATGCATATCTATGGTTCAGGCAGCAATACCCACGTAACTTTGTGTAGATAATAAGCTGGCTTGCTGGTGGATGACCGGAAAGACAGAATCTCTCCATCATTTCTGCTAAACATGAGAACATGTTTTCACATGCCAGGTTTACAGTCGTCCACTTCTTCCTGCATTTCTTCATAAATGGAAACAATCTTACCTAGAGATTAGCTGATTTTTAATCCCCATAATGAGATACAAAAATGATTATCACACTTCATGAGACTGGAAAGCCAATTCCATTCTGAGAATCAACGGAAAAATAAACTTCTTTGTGCAAAGGTTTAAAATATGAATATGAGTCATGCTGTGCCAACTGAATTGGGAATGTATTGACAGACACGGGAGCTACATACTTTCAATCGTTCAGAACTTTACAAATAAATCAACAACGGAAGAAAAGTTTTCTGTTGACTGGAATGTCCGAGACATGCCATATGCTTACAGCAAAAAATTACCTTGTTCAATACTTTTCACTTCCATAACTGATGGAAACTTCTGTCTCAATACAAATTTACAAATGCTGCTAAAAGTAAGAATCCAATCTGAAGAAAAAGATACCATATCTTTATAAATTTACATGTTCATTTAGATCTGTTGGGTAGACATGATGTATTATGAAACGTGGAGTGAATCATATCCTCCCTGTGCATAGATCGTGTTAAGAAACGTTAATCATTCGAAAAGAAATTGCAACTCGCAAAGGGAAAATTTGTCCCATCTTTTTCATTGGATGGAGCTACCAGATCTTTAGCTAGTTTACCTGAATCATCCATGAGGCTCATAGATTGTCAGAATCATATTGTTTCCATTGTATTCTTCAAGTATGGTATATTATAAGGAGAAGAAAAAGAATTCTGATAACATTCGAACATGTCAACTCACTGTGTGTAGATCACATCAAATGATTCCATTTTCTTTCAGCACATGATGCCTATATTCATCAGACAAAGAACTACTATGGATAGAGAGTGATCAGTTACAACATCACCAACTGGCTGGATATACCAACCACAAATGGTTCCATCAACAACCGGGTCAGAAAATAGAAAATGATCCCTAGGGCGATGGAGATAGGAAGAGCAGGCAAAGCCTGACGGCAAACTGAAAGCAGAATAAGTGTGCATCCAAGCCCTGATATGATCGCCAAATAGCACGCATACACAGTCATCAGATCGTACATTGCAGCTCGTCCCACAAGCACACTGTAAAAAACGAAATCCCCCAGACCCAGTTTGATACCTCGAGTCGTCTCCATCAGCTCACTGTGGCCCGAAGAGTCACCTCTTTCTGTGCTCCGCATCTGTTGCCTTTCACGACTTCCTACCAACGGCGATCTCTCCTCCTCGACTTGCTCAATTTCCACAATCGAACTCCTCACGGACGAGTTCTCAACAATCTCTGCTTCCAGATTGACAATCTCGATGGCCGAAGCGCGGGCGAGGTGGGATGCAGGCTGAAGCTCGAGGGAACCAGTGACAGGCCTGGTGGAAACATTAGGTCGCGCCTCGTAGACGAGAGCGGGGAGCTCCTCATCCCTGCTTGAAGCCAGCTCCACCAGGAGCTTGAGCGGCCCTCCGGGAGCAAGGACGGCGATCAGATCATACACAGCGAGCGCCATCAGAAGCGCCCATGTCGTCCATTCGGGAAGCTTCGTGAACCAAGCTGCGACTATGATGCCTAGGGCAACCATGTAGGCCTGCCTCAGAAGGATCGGCACGCTAACAGAAAATACCGAGAGCACTCCCACTATCGAGAAATTAAAGATGAAAATCGCGCAGGTGAAGGCGTCGAGAGGCAAGGAGAAGCGCTGGACAAGGGAGAGTAGAATCGATCCCCCCATGGAGCCGAGAACAAAGAAGGCAGAGAAGCGCATGTAGTTCTTGAGGAAGTTTGTGCAGTTGTAGTAGTAGAGAAGGAGGAGAAGGAAAGTTACGGCAGCGATGAGCAGCACGAAGACGACAGCATTCAGGAGGGCCCCCTCGAGCTTCTGAGACGGGGAATCGGCGGGCGACTCCTGGTACACCAACGTTGCAGCGGTCGTTACGGCGGGGGCAGCTGCAGCGAGATCGCTAGGCGTGGAGAGAGAATAGACGAGGAGAACCACGAGTAGCATGCAGATGGACACCGGCGACATCACGCCGATGATGTCGGTGCCGAGGGAGTCGAGGATGCTGGACTCCATGGCCGCCCCGATCTGGAGGTCTTAGCGGCGGCGCCACCAGAGACAGAGACAGAGAGAGAGAGGCCAGTGGGCCGGCCGAGGGGGAAATAAATAGGAGGAGGGGGGGCCATTAGATCTGTAAAAGGTCCATGGATCTAACGGTTGTATTTAGTGGATTTTGTCATATCTGACCTGGGCGGTTGTTTTTCCCGATCAGTTCGAGGAGTGAGCGGGAAGCGATTGAAGAGAAAATCTCAGCGCCGTGGGAGGGAGAGAGATGGTAGGACTCTTGAAATCCACCTGCGGAATCTCTTTCTCTCGGATTCCATGTTCATTTCGATCCGATCGCGTTGCGCGGCTCTGCTGGTAGGATTTTCTCCAGTTCAGTCCCGAGCTCGTTCGGTCGTGCCGTCGATTTCTTCCCTCTTCTTAGACCGCGGATCTGCCCCCGATCCTCTTCGTCCATTTCGATGCCTGTTTCATTCCCTTGCTAGCGTGATCTTAAACATCGAGGCTGGATAGGCAGGCTGATCTTGCTGTCGCGTGGCCGAACTTCCTCTGACTTTGCTACCTCTTCGTCATGATCCCCGGAGCTCGGTTCTCTTTCGAGTTCGATGGGGACATCGGAGCTTGGCTTTTACAGCAATCGGTTTTTCTAGAGTAAATCGAACTTTGTAAGCTCTCTGCCAGATAAATTGTACCATTTAAATCAGTAAGGAATAATCACTCTGTCTGGCATTCATATCATTAGATAATTAATCATTGTACAGTTAATCATCGAATAACCGTCTTGAGGCAAAGAAGAGGGCATAACATATTTTACAGACCATGTGGACATTGCGGTGTAGATTTGGTTTTTTTAATTTTTTTTTTTATCACATTTAATGCGATTTATTTTATGCCTATTGGATGACAACCCCTAATTTCCTAAGCTCACGGTTTGGCTGAAGATGAACACTGGTAAGAAACAAAAAAACGAAAAATCTATTCAACTTAGGGCTTGCAACCCTCTTAAGTACATAGATATTGTTCGGTTAGTTACAAGGCATAAGTGGCTAGACTCCATAATGATAGGGATAGTACGAAAATAAAAAAGATATAATGGGTACATATATAAAGGATAAGTAGATACTTTATCTTCCGACACTCTTCCTCAAGTTGGTGAATGAATATCTTCTATTCTCAACTTACTCATCAATCTCTTCAACATGGAATTGTGAAGTCTCTTGGTAAACAAGTCAGCACTTTGGTCCTTTGATTTGACATGAGGTGTGTAAAGGATTCTAATCTTGATGTTTTCCTTTGATGAAATATCGATTTACCTTAACATACTTCATGCGATCATCATGACCTAGATTGTGCATAATGTCTATCATTAATTTATTATCGCATAAGACTTTGAATGACATTTCATATGATGTCTTAAGATCATCTAGAATCTATTTGATCCATATTGCTTCACATACTCTTCATGCTATGAGTCATAATCATATTTCCTCTTAGAAACAAGTAGTACCTTGATGTTGATCTTCTATTCACAATTGACACTACATAATCTATATCGTTAAACACTTCTAAATTTTGATTATGTTAGAATAAATTCTATATCCTAGTGTTTCTTTCAAGTATAAGAGAGCATATCCCATTGTCCTGTCATATATTTCTCTTAGATCATGCATAAATTGGCTTAGTAATTCCACGATATATGAGATATAGGGCCTAGTATGAAAAAATATTAGTTTCTCAACTAATATTTGATATCTTCCTTGATCTATTTGCGGACTATTTTCTCCATAGTCTAATTTTTCATTAGGATTGATGGGAATGGTTGCTGATTTACATCTATTAGTGTTGGTTTCTTTGAGTAAATTTAATTGTATTTCAATTGGGATAGAGATATTCTATGCTTAGAATGGACTATTTCCATTCCTAAGAAATATTTTACATTCTCTAGTTGTTTTATCTCAAAATGTGTTGATAACTTATTATTTAATAATTCATTTCTAAAACCTAATCTTTGATAAGAATTTTGTCATCAACACAAACTACTAAGATATAAAATCTTATTTTTGAATGTTTAAAAGATAAAGTATGATCACCATTACTCTATCAAGAATGCATCTCCTATATAGTCATCTAGAGCTTGCCAAATCAGGCCTATATAAGGACTTTAATTATAGTTTTGATTCTTTTAATTTCAAAATCTAGGTTAAATGTCTATAAATATTTCTTCATTTAGTGATTCATGTAGGAAATCATTCTTCATGTCTACTTAGTCTCTTAATGGTTGCTATTAAAATCAAAATTCACATACTGTTCATCTTTGGTAATGGTGCGAATGTTTCATCATAATCAATCTCAATTTTTTTAGTGAACCTTTTGACGACTAATCTTGCCTTATATCTTTCTACTCATCCATCCAGATTATACCTAATGGTGAACCTGCCTACATCCCACAATCTTCTTCTCTCTTTGAGGTCTAGTTATCTCCCATGTCTCATTTTTTGTTAAAGCCTCAATCTCTACATCTATAGTCTTATTCTACTCTTTGTCATTTGAGGCTTTCAGTAGTGTAGTTGGGATATGAATAAATCTTAGCCTTGTAAGGAATAATAAATGAGTTGACGATAATCGATGAAGAGAAAGGTAATTTATAGGGGATACATATTGTTACTGTTATGATGACCTAGAGAATTTTCTTGGTTCCCTGATTGTTATAGGGGAAAGGTTTGATGTATTTTCAGTAGGTATATCTCTTGTTAGAATTGAGTTTGAAATTTGATCCTTTTTCTTTCATCTAGTATATGTGAGTTTGTACTTATCTTCTAGGTTTGGAATATGGGATCTTAATTCATCTCTAAGGAATAAGTAGCTCCCTTGATTTATATTTGGTTCATACTCTATCTCACCCTCAATTACTACTTCTCTGTTTGTCTTGTAAAAAATTTCATTCTCGTAACATTTATTGTAATATGAAATTTCTGCTTTTGAGGGTCATAACATTTATAACCTTTTAGTGTGATAAAATATTCCACAAAGATGTACTTAAGTGTTCTTGGGTCTAATTTTTTGGTGTGGTATAAGTGTACATCTGCCACTTACCAAAATATTTTGGGTGATAGGTTTATTTTCAATTTTAAAATAAGAATATACAATTACACAATCACTTATTAATTAGTTGGGTGATAGTAAGTAAAGCCTCCCCCCACACATATTTTGGGCCATTTCTTTGGATCAAGAAGAATTTAGTCACATCTAGTAAATGTAGGTTCTTCCTTCAGTTTCATTTTTTTTAGAGATGTTCACACGATGTTTAATGAGTTATTTACTTTGAAAAATTGGACTAAATGTTATTGATGTAGTCATTTGTATTATCAGACTTAAAACATCTATTATTGATACAAAATTTATGATTAATTAAGTACATCCATGTTATCTTAGTGCAATCATTTATAAATGTGATGAACCAATGATAGTTGGGAGTAGCTCTCACTTATGTTAGATCCCACACGTCGCTATGAATTAAATCGAAGGGTTTGAGACATTTTAAATTTGATGGACGATAAAATTAATCATGTACTCTTGACTAATTGACAAGCCTTGCATATACAAGAGCCATAATTGAGTTCATTACATAAGTTTGGAAACAAAGTTTTGAGAGTCATAATTGATGGATGCCCTTGACATCTATGAATCATACTAATTTTCTATTTCAATGTTTGCCTCCACTACTTGTGCTACCTCTTAATACTCCCCCTTTGTTCCTCCAAGTCAATATATATAATAAAATCTTTCACATTCTTCAGTAAGTCTAATCCTCCATTTTGTGTCTTTGTTATATAAAACACATACATCAAGGGTTATTAACATTTCACAATTTAAAGAACATCTAAGTTAACTAAGTGAATTAAGGTGGATGTGTGTAGGGGAATATATATGACTTGATGGATTCTACTAATTTTGGGAATTTGGATGGATCCTATACCTTCTACAACAAAAAAATTACCATTGGCTGTCAAAATCTATCTACCCTTATGACACAATTCATGACATAAAAAATGTTCTATGAGATGTCATGTGATATGTGGCTCATCAATCTAGGATCTATATATCACTTTTAAGATACATATTTGAAGTACATGAATATTGATAACTTAATGACAAAGTAGTGAAGGCAATGAGAGAGTTACTAGAGGAGGTTACTTAGGATGTGAATGAGCTTGACGTTATTTATTTATTTATAATCTTTTGACTGAACTTGTAGCTTATGATTTTGTTGCCTCTCTTGGGGATGATGGTGTGCTTCTTTGAGATAGATTTCTCTTTTGTCTTGAAAGTTGTAGGAATTTTCAAGATGGTGACGCTCCCTTTATTAAGTTAGTTTGTAGACGAGTATGAGCGCAAACTATTGCTCTTTATCACTGTCTCTTAGCTTTGAGAGCAAAAGAAGAAAAAGAATTGTGTTATTCTAATTTGGGCTTGAGGCCCTCTAAGTACACAATTTGATGCTTATGTGTCTATTACATGGTACAAATGACTCGACTTAATAGTTGTAACTAAAAAACATGATCCAACATACGAAATAAATAGAAAATATATTAGATAAATTCCACATTTTAATACTCCCCTTCAAGCTAGTGAATGGATATCTTCAATTCCCAACTTGTTCAAAAGTTTTCTTATTGTAGGATCATGAAGCCCCTCGGTGAAGATATCTCCACATTGGTCTTTGGATTTAACATGTTTAGTAGAAAGAATCTCAAATACCTCCATGTGTTTTGATCATGATGTATAAAGTTATGAGCTATATCTATAGTTAACTTTTTATCACATAAGAGCTTGATGGGTGAGTCATATTGAATTTTTAGATCTTCCAAGATCCCTTTAGTTTATAATCCTTCATATACTCTCTGAGTCATGGCTTTAAGGTCTGATTCTACACTAGACCTCGAAACCATTGATTGTCTCTTGATGTGTCAAGTGATCAAATTCCCTCTTAGGAATGAGCAGTAACTTGAAGTAGATCATGTCTACAATAGAACTTGCATAATCAACATTCATAAATCTTTTCACATTAGTATATCCATGTAACTGAAAAAAGATTTAATATTCGGGTGTACCCTTTAGATAGAGAAGTACTTGCCTTACCACAATGTTGTGTACTTCTCTAGGCTTATTCATAAATTGACTTAGCAGTCTTATTGAATTATGGTTGAGTGTAAGAGAGATAGATTAATTTTCTAATTAATCTTTGATAACTTTCTCTGTTAATTAGTAGGTTGTCATCTCTTTGACTCAATTTCTCATCATGATCAATGAGAGTAGCAACTAGCTTGCAGCCACTAGTACCAATCTTTTTAAGTAAATCTAATATATATTTCAATTGAGTAAAAAACATTCTACATCTAGAATAGGTAATTTTCATTATGAGAAACTTCAAATTTCCTAATTATTTTATTTCAAGGTACATAAATAATTGACCATCTAATGATTTAATTTCTAATAAGTCATCTTCAGTAAAAATCATGTCATCAACGTAAGCTAATAAAATAAAAGTTCTCTTATCACTATGTTTATAGAAGAGAGTATGATCGCAATTACTTCGGTTCTATTTCTCATGCATGGTGGCTAAGAGCTTGCCAAAAAAGTCATGGATGACTATTTTAGTCCATATAAATACTTCTTTAATTTATAATCATGTGTTGATTTTATTCGCTTCCAAAACTAGGGGATATGTCCATATAAATCTCTACATTTAAGGAGCCATGTAAGAGGTCATTTTTCACAACTAATTGATGGAGTTGTCATCCCTTCACTATTGTCACAAAGATTAAAATCATCATGATATTTATCTTTATCATCAGGAAAATATATATATTAAAAGGTACATGATGTGATGAGATTGAAAAAATCTAGGCATTTATGATTGATTGTAATATGGTTTTCTTCATCATTTAAGTTTGAAGTAGATGGAGAATTTTAACGTCATCATGTTGTAGATCTCGAAAGATAACCAATGAAAATCATAAATGAGCACCTTTGTTGGTTGGAAAAGTGTTGTGAACCTTTTCCATATACAGTGTTCTCCCTCCCTCCACATTCAAATTTGAATTATGAAACCCAAAATCATCAATATATATTCCCAATATTCGAAGCCTTTTGCTAATGTAGGGTAACACCATCAACAAAGGTGTTCCATCAACTATGTAATGTAAACCAACATTTGATGAGATAGACTCTGAGCCAGGTATTTAATCATAACTTGTCCAACTTCTTTATGTGGTTAGTGAATTGTCCATTCTTTGTATAAAAAGATGGAGATCGTTGTTCATCACCTTATCCATTATTTGTGTTCTTCTAGAGTGATGGAGACCACACCCACTTCAAGAGCTCTATCTTGAAGGATAGTAAGGATCATGGTTTTTGTACTCTCTAGATGACAATTAATAAGTGAGAAGCATCATATATAACCTCTCTACACTTGTATTTTCATATGTTGCTTTCATGCATATGAAATTCAATCATTATTCTAGATATCCAGAGTGGGCTTGGGGCCTTGCTGTTTGGTGCCTTTGCAAGGGTGACAGCTAAATTAAGAAGGATGTGCAATTGTTGAGGCAAATTCAATTTGTTGACATTTAACAAATTTGAAAAAAGAATCGTTCTATCAATCTACTGTTACATAGAGATCAAAGCAAAATCAGATCGATTATGTTTTGTCATTAACAATCTAATGACTAGAAGTTTATCATTTCTATAAAGATTTAGGAATTAGGAAAACATAATAACGAAACATTGGATGATTTACTTATAACTCTAATTTGGCATATTAACAGTCTAACAAGAAAAAAGCATTTGTCTTCGTCATCATTCCAAGTTGGGGATTATTTTATGAGTTTTCAAAATTTGTCATAATATTTTTCTTCTACTTCGGAAGTAAATTTGGATATTTCGATTATTACTTTAGTTTTTTGTCTCAGAGCTTGTGGGCTTTTATTATTTTATTTATTTTCTTTTCTTTTCGGGGGGGAGGGGAGGGTGGGAGCGTATGTGTATCTTCCCTTACAGTATTTTACATGATTATAATTATGATTGTCCTATGATGCACCCTACAATGAGGAGGAGAAAGCCATGGTTGCAGCAGCAATGACTGCGGTTGGGGATGGAGTGAACCCATCTTGGGATTCTTTGAGTGACGATGCTTATTTCCCTATTTGTTTCAAGTCGGTTTTCTATTCGCTTTTCCCATATGATTTTTTCCCCAGACACATCATTAATGTTTCACGGATGCAGGAACTGAATATTTCTATTTTCTCCTGGCGGATTTCGAGGATAGAGAAAGAGAATAAGAATGTACCTTGTCCAAAGCGTGTCTTGTCCAGCTTTCATTCCCTGCTCCTGGTGAAGCATTCGACCTTGCGCTCCCTTCCTGTTACTCGGAGGTAAGGATCTGGTGAGAAATGCAGAACAGAACCTCGCTGATGATCCGCTTTCTGAGAAGAAGGAATCCGGCGACTATGTCTCGTGATCATCGTTGCTTCCAGACGAACCCATCAATCGATCCACTTTCCTTGGGTGAACCCACCTACCTTCTCATCACTCCTCCTTCGCTGTTCTGGGGAGATAATGGATGAGATTTTTGCTGTCAAAATGCCTAAACCTCCTGCTTGATGTGATTGAACTGGGTGTGGAATTTCCAAATATGTCAAGTCTCCGCCTGTCAGCTTCCCACCTTTTGCTCAATTTGTTCACCATATATATATAAAAAGGAGGAGGTTTAGGCATTTTGATCTGGGAAATGCGAAGTGCAGGGATGAGTTATGCCTGTCGATCCCCTAAGGGATCTTCCTCCAGAGTAGTACACCCTCATTCAAGTACCGGGGGTCATTCATCTTCGTCAACCCCATCACCACCACCACCACCCTATGGCCTGTTTATCTCCGTCAAATTCTCTGCCGCGGTATAAACCACGAGGGTGGCCGGCGAGGGCTGGCTGGCGGAGCACCGACCCCATTTAAGCTTGGGGCGGCTGTGTTAAGTTATCGCAGGTGGATGTAGGCAGGCCAACCGAGGCCGCTGGAGGGGCGCCCATTAAGACCCTGCAAAAAGCTCAGTCCAGTGGCTTCCACCGCCATAATGGAGCCCGTACGACGAGCTACGTCGCGTCGTGAGTCCACGTGGTAACAAGCCAGTCCAGGCCTCCCTCGGTCGGTCTGATCGCACCCGTGGGGTCTCTGGCCCAGGAGAAATCCGATGTCCTCCGTTATACCTGTAAAGAGAGAGATAGAGATAGAGAGAGGGAGGGAGGTAGAGGACTTGAACTTCGCCGGCCACCAACGGCGTAAGACGGTAGGCAAACAACAGCACTGCAATCGGAGGCGATACGGGCCATAATGGCCGTCGCCACGGCGGAGGACACAACGGGAGCGTACGGCGGCGGAGGAGGATGAACAAGAGGAGAGCGCGCCCCTAGAGCGTCCCCTGGCTCCATTAGGTTGAGGACCGCCGCCGCCGCCGCCGCCGGAGGAGGAGGAGGGCGGTAATTTCATTGCGATCGCCGCCAGCCTCTTCGTTGTAGATCCTGTTCATCCTCCTACTCGTAATCTTCCGCCCGTGGAGATCCAGAAGAACGCTAGTTATCGGAGGACCTTCGGAGACGGTCATCGACCATCAAAGAGCGATAAAAATGAATGAATTCCGTCGTAGATTGAGCACACAAACCACTCCTGCGCTCTGATCTCGCCCAGAGGGAGAGAAAGATGAAGAACATTGATGATCGACCTACTGGCGAGGCCGGCCCTGAAACCCTAAAATCCGATTAAATGTTAATCGGCTCCGGGATCGAACTTGATTCCCCGAAAACTGGAGTGGGCCCCATCAACTTCCACGTCAGCCTCGTCCATGCACGTGATGTCATGGCAAACTGGGGGCCGTACGAGATTATCGTTGTTTAAACATTGTAGGGCGTTTTTAATAGATTAGTATTTATTTTAATAGTAGAAGTTCCTACCTTTGAGTAATCAAATTTTGCCTATTTACTTTGATTAGTAATTATTTAAAATGCCCATACAAGGTACGACCCGTGGTTTCTTAATGGCCCACGTGAACTGCAGTGTGGGTGGAGTGAGAGAATTGCTTTGGGATTGGGGAGAGAGAGAGAGAGAGAGAGAGAGAGAGAGAGAGAGAGAGAGAGAGATTAGGGAGAGTAGTTATCGCTGCTAGATGCCGAAGGTGACCGGAAGAAAGTAGAAAATAAAGAAACTGAAACTTACTGACTAGATAGAGAGAGATAGATAGAGAGAGAGAGAGAGGGAGAGAGAGATAGAGATAATAGATAGATAGATAGCGAGAGAGAGAGAGAGAGAGAGAGAGAGAGAGAGAGAGAAATGGTTTCCATCGCCTTACATGAAGATCCAACGCCGGCAGTCTCCATGAGGCGTGGTCACGGAGAGCTCACCTCGGTGAGTACCAGAAAAGGTCCAACGCGACGACATCGTCGGAGAGGGTTGACTCGTAGTAACGAGGTGGTGGTGGGAAAATGGAAAGAGCGAACCAAGCCAGTGACCGGAAGAACTCTGGGTGAAAACAAGAGGATGCTTTCTCTCTCCTCGCGTATATAAGCGCTCGCATGGTCGTCGACGCCAAAGGAGACAGAAAGAAGACGACTCCACGTATTGAGAGAGAGAGATGGGAAGACCTCCTTGCTGTGACAGCGCCGGCATCAAGAAGGGGCCGTGGACGCCAGAGGAGGACATCATCTTGATATCCTACATCCAAGAGCGTGGCCCAGGCAACTGGAGATCAGTGCCCACCAACACCGGTACTCTCTATCTATCTTTACCTCTGTCTCTCTCTGTCTATCTCTCTCTCTCTCTCTCTCTCATCTCAGAGGGGCGCCTTGTTTATTCTGTGATGGACAAGGGCTGATGAGGTGCAGCAAGAGCTGCAGGCTGAGGTGGACGAACTACCTCAGGCCAGGGATCAGGAGAGGGAACTTCACCCCACAGGAGGAAGCTGTAATAATCCAGCTCCAGGGCTTGCTGGGCAACAGGTGATGACCGTCCGATTCATCTAAGATTTCGTCAGGTTCCTTCTTTCCTGCAAGAACAAGTCCCCGTTTTGCTATCTTTTGAGTACAAAACCGCTCCTTTGCCTGATTATCTCGACATCATCTTCCTGGGTTCTTCTGGTCGCCGTTTCAGGTGGGCGGTCATAGCTTCGTACCTCCCTCAGAGAACCGACAACGACATCAAGAACTACTGGAACACCCACCTGAAGAAGAAGCTCAAGCAGCTCCACGCATCAGTGGCGGCGCCGTCGCCGTCGGGTCCCACCTCCAATCTCCCCCTCCCTCTGCCGGGGATCAACCATGGCGGCGCTGCCGACTACGCGTCGAGCACCGATAACATCTCCAGGCTCCTAGAAGGGTGGATGAATTCCTGCAAACCCAGGCTCACAACGGAGTGCAAGCGGCTCGCCGGAGAAGACGGCGGCGCCGCCGGGTTCGAGCGCTCTACGGACAACCTCTCCGCCGGGTTTTTAGACGGGCAACAGGCTCAGCTGCCGCTATCTCTGTTGGAGAGTTGGCTGCTGGAGGAGACGGCGGCGAAGCAGGTGGAGGAGTTAATGGAGAACTCCCCCGACGCTTGGCCCAGGCCACTGTTCTGACAGCGAAGATCAGTAGCAGAAGGAAGATGAAGAAGAAGAAGAAGAAGAAGAAGAAAAAGAAGACGATCAGAGCTCACGAATAAACAGTGGTGAAATCTGTTCATGATCCACGAATTCTGCCCCCTGCGTGTGTTCTTCTTCCCTTAATCCCGGTCAAGAGTTTATAGTGATTTGGCCGTAACTTTCTGAGGATTATCGTCGATGTGTTCATGTTTATGTAAGGTTCATATACAGTTAAGGGGGAGAGAGAGAGAGAGAGAGAGAGAGAGAGAGAGAGAGAGAGAGAGAGGAGTTCTGATGGTCAGTGTACCCAGTCGCCATTAAAGGGTTTGTGGTCTTCAGAAGGTCTTCATCAGCTCTCCCATTTGTCTCCCCCTTTTCCGCGTCTTCCTCTGAACACCTGTGGTGCAACAGCCGCTCATTCACTCGGCTTTCGGACAAAGGAAGCCACGTGCAACGCGTGCAAAGGATTGGACAGCTACATCGCGTATCACCGGGCTTGGCCGGGTTGAAGTTGGCGTTTCTTTATCAGGTTGGATTGGAGGCCTCTTTGTGGGTGATAACGAGAAATTCATATGGAAAATTAAATAAGAGACGGTTATTATTATTCATTCATATAAATTATATGCATGCTTAGTCATGTGAAAAAAAATTCATTTTTATATGAGATGATATTCCGCACGTTCTACCTCCACATCTTCCTATTATTCTTCGATTCACTTATTCACCTCTATAATTTTTTTCCTTATTTGTATGATATAGAATTCTTATTATTATAATATGGAGACTTTTAAATATTTTAAAATGAAAAATATTATCATAATCTGATCTTGCTCATAGGTCTCAAGAGATTATGATGTGATCCTCACACCCTCTAACCACACCAATAAAAGCTAAGTAGAGAGGGGAGAAGAGAAGTCTTGAAGAGAGTTTGGAGATTGACCATCTCGAAGTGGTCGTCGAGTCCATGTGAGTCCTCTTTTGAGATTATCTTGATTCTTTATATTCCATTTGATGTTCCCATGTATCTTTTATTTTATATTATGTGAAAAATGAAGACCTTTTTTTTTTGGTAATTCCTCATTTGTCATTCCATCTGCCTCTTTTTTCTCTTGGACTTTGAGCATTCGACCTCAAGAGGAGTGAGATCCCATCAGATTACTATTAAAAGTATAACAAAATTGAATAGGATAGCTAATATAATATGTAATAATTATTTTGTGTATATAATAATAATTTTATATAATATGTAAATGTGCAAATAGTAGTACATGGTGAAACTTGTGCAAATGGTAGCCATTTGAGCCCATTAAGGATATGACATAAGATTGAAATATATTTTTCGAAATAAATAAAATATATGGAAATTGTATACTTTTTGGCCCAACCTAGTTTTGACCCTTTGACTCCCCAAATATTAATACATACTTCCACTAAGTACAATTTCATTGGCTATGTAGGAATATTTTGTAGATTTTTTAATTATTAGATAAAATTTAATATTTCATAATTAATTAAAATATAAAATATTTTTATCACTCCGTGTATATCAAAGGAAAAAAATCCATTACCGAATAGGGAGTGATTTATGGATGCTATAATTTTTGGAGGTATATTTGAAAAATGAAACTTTTTTGGATGAATGGGAAAAAATTATCTGGTCAAAATATATTACTTTTCATTGACTGATTTACGTGTTAAATGACGCTAATTTGAAGGTATACTGTTTGATCTCGGGTCCAGGAGAAAGGATAATATAACAATTTTTAATTTTAGTTGGTATAAAAATATCTGTAAAACTATGTGTACTGTTGCAAGATCTCTCTCTCTCTCTCTCTCTCTCTCTCTCTCTCTCTTCTCTCTTATTCTCTCTCCCCTATCGTGAAGCCATAATCCTCGCGGCCAAAGCCCTCCTAAAACCCTCTCCCCTGAGCACTGAGATGGTTGCTAATGCTCTTCTTCCCCTAGTCTCCCTTCCTCCTCATCAGCTTGTTCCCTCCAGAATTCCTTCCGTCGCTCTCCGCGTTTCCATCAATGGTAGCGGGTCAGTGCGCGCCTTGCGGACCCCCAATTTCTCCGCCAAGGTGGTCCATCAGTGCAGTAGGGAAGCGCTTGAAGCCGTCAACATTGCGGAAGACGTCACCCAGGTCTGCGTGTATTTATGTGAATTTTTAACTCCATTTCTCTAGTTTATCATCCTCGCTCTGTATGTGGTGCCCTGTCCGTGGGGATGGATGTTTTGTGGGTTGCATGGTGCCAAACCCTACTTCTGAAGAGTGATGATTGCCTTCAAGAGAGTCGATAAGTGTCTAGTGTAAAATATCTCGATGGAAATAAGGTCTGGGAAGTGAGCAAGCCACCCGTGTTTTTCAATTGTCATAAGGTTGCAATTATTTCAGTGTTAGTTCGTATATTACTTGAGACAGGATTAATCTTTGTATTTTTCTATTTCAAGAATTCAGCGACATGTTTTTTTTTTAGAATCGTCGGAGAGGTTAAGGAAGAATCGACGAGCTTCAATTTGGGTAGCATGTCATATATTTTCAACACTGGTTCATGGAACTCTGTTATCTCCTGTTGGAACCGTCTCGTGGAATGGAAGGATGGTGCTTACAAACTGAGCATATTCTCACAAGTTGTTGCATTGATGTTTATGGTGGAGTTTAATGCTTTGGTGATGATACCTCAATAGATGCCGGCAATACACTGGCCTGATGATACCTTCCTTGCCATCATCTCTTGCTTCACTTGAAGTTCTATTGTTCTTTTTTGCTGTAACTCTAGCCATCATCATTGTCCTGGTGGTTTATTGACAGATTTTTTTTCTCTCTTTGCCTCCCTTAGCCACAAGTCACTGGAGGGACGGTGTAGACTCACTGTGCTTTGTTGCTATCACAGTTTCATTTTCATTTCCTCAGTTCCCAGGCAAATGTTGTCAAAAAATTTGCACGCATATTCTTCATGTTTACATCGCATTTTCTAGTTTGCATGAAAAAAATATTGTGACACTGCTGATTAGAAAATAAAAGGTTTATATCCTCTGCTGATCTTCCAATGTTTGATCCTGGCAGTTGATTGGGAGTACACCTATGGTATATCTTAACAAGGTGGTAGATGGTTGTGTGGCTAACATAGCTGCAAAGTTGGAATCTATGGAACCTTGCAGAAGTGTGAAGGATAGGTGAATTTCTTTCATCCTTATGATCATGTCATGTTAACGTGCACAGGTGTTCATTTACTGATTCACCATATCTGTGACAGGATTGGATGTAGCATGATATCTGAAGCCGAAGAGAGCGGAGCTATCATTCCTGGGAAGGTTAGACTTTCTCCCCTGTTAAGTTCTAGTTTCTGTGTGCTTTTGGAGATCCTATCATGTACAATTTTCCAGTCTGATGCAGAGTATTTTAGTAGAGCCAACCAGTGGAAATACTGGAGTTGGTATTGCTTTTGTAGCAGCAGCCAAGGGATACAGGCTTATTGTTACCATGCCTGCTTCAATAAACCTCGAAAGACGTATTCTACTTAGAGCATTGGGTGCAGAGATTGTTTTGACAGATCCCGCAAAAGGGTTAAAAGGAGCTGTTGATAAAGCATGTGAGATAGTTAGTAAGACACCAAATGCGTATATGTTTCAGCAGTTTGACAATCCAGCTAACACAAAGGTTTTCTTTCCCCGCACTTTATATGGATCTTCATGTTCTTCTTATCCATCTATTTTTAGATGTCTAATTTGAATCAATTACAGATCCACTTTGAAACCACAGGCCCAGAAATCTGGGAGGATACCATAGGAGGTGTTGACCTATTTGTCGCTGGAATAGGAACAGGTGGTACTATCACAGGCACTGGGCGCTATCTCAAGATGATGAATGAACATATCAAGGTCTGAACATTAAAATTATCCTATGTTAAATTTTATCTGTGGAGGTTGAAAATATACGGTAATCTCGTTACAAGTATTCCTTTCATTGTTCCAGTGTTATACTGCTGTGTCATATGCCACCTTCATTTAAAAAAAAAAACATATGTCATATTTTAATTTGATCAGTTCAGGAAATTATAACTGCAGTCTTTTCCATGGATCAGTGTTCAGTGAAATTATAACTTCGATGGATTGTGTTTAAAAACGAAATCATTGAAAATATGAAGATAAGCCATGCAACCTAAAACTATGACTAGTTTCTCTCCTAACGGCTTCTAATTAATCTTTCTGGACATTGTTGTTTTAATGATATTCATAATACATGAAGTCAAATTAATACCTTACCTTCTATCATTGCTGCTTTTGTAGGTGATTGGCGTAGAACCTGCTGACAGAAGTATTATCTCTGGTGAAAATCCAGGTTGAAAATAGTCCTTTTTTCTGCTTCAGAACCACCCGAAGCAGGTGTTTTTATTTTTCAGTACTCAAATTTGTTGACTACTTCTTACAGGCTATATACCAAGCATTTTGGATGTTAAACTGCTTGACGAGGTTATAAAGGTGAGAATGCTCTTTGATTTCTGTTTTCCCCTAAACCACGGGATTAAAATAATGTATTCATGTACATCAGTTAAAAGTTATTATGTTTTCATGATTTTTTTGCACACTTATTTCTAAAGTTTAACGTTAACATCTTATAACATTTCTGATTCCTTAGAAATCTCCATTCATCTATGTGGACTGGGATCTTCTTTTGATAATTTGATTTGACAATATGACTGAACTTCCCTGTACATAAATAGGTGTTGCTCGTTATCCATCCCTGTGGCTGAATTCACACAAGATAAACGTGCGAAAGTAGTGCTTAATAAGGGTATTTTCATTTGTATGTTCTGGGAGGAAACATCTTCCTACTTGAAGGTTTATATTATTTTTGCTATTGTAGGTTGGTGGATCCGCTTGTATTTAGAATGAGATTTTAATTTATGTGGATGGTAATTCGTTCCCATTTTATTTGACATCACTAATGTGGGAGGGGTCAAAAAAACGGGATGGAGATTAGCTAGTTTCAGTGGGATACTACTGAGATTCTTAGCTCATTGAATATTATTCCTGGATGAAGATTTGTATACTTTTCTTGAAGATGTGTTGATGTTACTTTCAATGGGTCAACATTTTATTTAGAAATCATGGTCCCTGTTATAGTTAGACTTTGACTGCCTGATGCTAATATGCTGAAACTATTCCATAATTAGATTAGCACTGATGAAGCAGTTGAAATGGCGAGGACATTGGCTTTGAAGGAAGGGTTACTGGTAAGCTTCCGATCAGATGTGTTATAGAGAAGAAGAAAAAAAAAATTGCTGTTGTAAATCCAATTATCGTATTCTTCTAACTTTAGCAGAAATATTAATAATATTGTAAAATCCTTTCAATGTATGCAGGTTGGCATTTCATCAGGTGCTGCTGCGGCTGCTGCTGTCCACGTGGCTAGGAGACCTGAAAATGCTGGGAAGCTCATTGTGGTGAGATTGTGTTCATTTTCTTCCTCTGGGTTTTATATAGCATTTTTCATCCATATTCAAAAGCTATTGCTCTGAAGAATTGCACATTTCTCTTCATAATCATGATATGTGGGATGTCCAAATCCGGATGATATGAGCACCAGCCCATTGATTACACATTTCTCTTCATAATCATGATATGTGGGATGTCCAAATCCGGATGATATGATCACCAGCCCATTGATTACACATTTCTCTTCATAATCATGATATGTGGGATTTCCCATTCCGGATGATATGAGCACCAGCTATTGGTTACACATTTCTCTTCATAATCGTGACATGTGGGATTGCCCAATCTGGATGATATGGGCACCGGCCCATTGGATTCTTTGATCACCCAGTCTTTAAATATGGTTTAATTCGGCCAATTTTGATCCCCATCAGGATCGAATCTTCCCAGTTCTTCTCTTGACCAGGGCATCTGAGATCAACCCATCGGCAGTAGTGGCCTACCTGATCTTTGGTTCCAACTTTAGTCCAATCTGACCCCATTGGGCTGGGGTTCTTGACAGTCCCCGGAGGTATGGACCGTCTGCTGCAACGGATCTTGACCGGCCCTAATCAAGATCAACTACATGGAATTGACCCATCTATAGATCTGGCTCAAAGTCAACACAGTTCTTCATACCCAGCCAAACCGGAGTCTTTGATGATTCCGTATGGCTGATCCAACTGTGTTCTTCGATCACATGATCTGGCTGGCCCGAGCCCAATCCAAATTGGCGGGGCCTCATACGCTCTTTGACTTCCCATCATCTTTGTCAGCTGCTTTCTAGATCTTATGGCAACCAGAGTCAGTTCCTGACGTCTCCATGGATGATCTTGCGGCAGGTTATCTTCCCGAGCTTCGGTGAGAGGTACATCTCCTCTGTTCTTTATGGCTCCATTTATGAGGAAGTCCAGAAGATGAGGCAGAAGTGAGATCAGCTTCAAAAGTGACCGTTGGGGAAATCTCATAAGATCAAAAACAGGTCAGAGAAGGTTGTGCTCCCATTCATGTCGAAGGATCCGAGAGCAGTGGTGCTGGAGAGGATCCGCCTTGTTCTTCTGGTTTGATTCTTTTCCTTCTTTAGGAAAATATCTCTTTTAGGGAAATTTTCTGTTATATTTTTTTTCCTTTTCCTTCCACACAGTGGAGTTTTTTTGTATTTAAATATCGTCAAATAATACCATGATCCTCTCTCTCTCTCTCTCTCTCTCTCTCTCTCTCTCTTACCTGGGTTTTCATGGCGCCAGAGAATAATTAGAGTGGGGGGGTGATGAGACCATCCCAACGGAAGTGCTGCTGCGTCTTCTCCCTGTTTATTGGCCGTAGAAAAAGTCAAAACCCGGTTCGCGACCGGTTCTAATGAAAGAGTCACGAGGAAGAACTCTTGATGGAGGTCAGAAGGGTGAATGTGACTGGGCCTAGAACTGGAACTGCATCTCCTTCGAGTAACCGAGCTCGTCCAGGTGGGCCGCCATGGCCTTGTTCATGGGCGGAGGGCCGCATCTCAGGATCTGCAGCACCACCACAGCGGAGGGTTTCAGTCGGAGGGAGAAGAAGAAGAAGAAGAAGCTCTCTTTACTATTTTTGGAAGGTTCACCTTGATATCCTGGGCCGGAGGAGGGCAGTGAGCTTGGATCATCTCCTTAGACACGAACCCAACCCCGCCATTCCAGTTCTCAGGGGGCTGATCAGGAGGAGATTCAGCACACCGAGAGAGCGAGAGAGAGAGAGAGAGACTCAGTGGATCATCAGGGGGGGAGGGAAGAGAGAGACCTGGTTCAAGACGTAGTAGACTTTGAAGCGGTCGGGGTAGATCTCAGAGAGGCCCTCCAGCTCTTCCTGCAGCAGGAAAAGGGGAAATTATACATATGTTCTATGTGAACGGAATAAAGTTCAGGGGAAATCCAACCTTGAGGAGGATGTCATCGTATGTGACATTAGCGTAGATCAGATGGACCTTGGTGGCGTCCTTGGGGTTCTCTAGTATCGCCCTTGCGACCTGTTCGAGGCACACCCGAGGAGGAACATGGGACAATGAGCGGCGGTCAACATGGCCAAATCAGGAAACACTGATGCAAGTTGGGGGGGCTGACTTGGAACATGGGGGTGATCCCAGATCCTCCGGCGATCATTCCGAATGCTCTGACTTGGCCGGGCTGGTATCTGAATCGTCCCTAAGAGCAGCAGCAGCAGCAGCAAAGAGATGGAGAAGAGGAATAAGTATGCAAATTATATCATATATATATATATATGGTCATTCATGCAAGGATGACTAGCAGGTTCTCCTTGTTATACCAAAGAACAACAACTACCTTAGTTTATTGGGGTTGTGACTCGTCTCCATGAAAAGCACTAAACTCGGGAATGGTTGCATAGTGGCAGAACGATTAGACATGAGTAAGAAATGAGAGATCTTTTCCCAAGGGAACAGACTTTCATAGCCAACAAGAAGAAGATTAAGTGCAGAAATAAAAAGCGAGGAAACAAGCGCATAAAAATAAAAAATAAAAAAATTGGCTCACGTTTCTCAGAACCTTTTATTGTGCTTATTATTAAACAAAGAAGTTCCCATTGTGATAGAAAGAAAGCGGAACAGAGTTGAACGAAAAGAAGCGGTGAAAACTATAAAACCCATGAATGCACAAATCAAAAACTATTTACTGGTATTCCTATGATTACTGAGAAACGAACTAGAAGACTATGGGTGACCGTGCGCATAAATGATCCCGGGTAAGAACATAGGCATGTCTTTCTTTTTAAGTGTCCGTTTGCCAAGTAAGCTGTCCAAGGAGCCTGATTCCTTGCTCTCTGATTTTTCCCCGTTGATTGGTAACTTTTTTTTTTAAAAGCCCACATAAATGCATAATTCCACGGCAAAGTTCAAGACAGAAATCTCTAATACTCTTTCATTTTGCAGCATATGAAGAGTCATTTTCAAGTTTTCGTGAAGAATTTATCAAGCACAATAAAAAATAATCTTGTCCCCGGTGGGAGATATGCAAGTACTGATAGGAAATTAATTACCAATGAAAATAAATGCTAATTACCTTCGGTCCCTTCACAGACAAGTAATCACCGACCTTCAACTCACGAAAATGATGAGACATCCTTCCTTGAGGATACATCTACGCACCAAAAGAAAACAAACATTAGAACAAGGATATGGAAGTTTTACACAGCAAAGCAGCAGGTTTCGATCACAATCTTGGTGCCACCCTAGGCATACCTTTATAACAAGTTCAAAATGTCCAAGATCTGAATCCAGAGTAGTTGGCGTATATGGTTTAATGACTTCTTCCCCGACACTGTCTTTCCCCCTGCATCACAATCAAAGCATTCGATGTTGACAAAAAGACCCAGAATCAATAACAATTACCTTGAGAATAAGGCAAACTCAACCTGCAACTAATGTGTTGCCCAATTGGGAGGCCCAAAGAAGAAGTGGGAATAGGAAGGGCAAATCTGAATTTGGCCACATTATGACTCAGTTGTTTTCGTTCCACGAGTTCAAAATCCCTGAAGTTTTCAGGGTCCAGGCAAGCTGTGCAAACAGAATTCAGCATAAATAACTGCCAAATGAGTCATTTTGATAGATACAGACCGAGATAAAGACAGCTAAAATTAAGATCCAAAAGAATCAAATGTTTCACTTCAGAGATGAGAGAAATCCGCAACTGGAATAACTACAGAGAGTAAAGCTCAATAGTAGAACAGATGTACGACCAGAAAAACGATTTGAACTAGATAGATTATAGGCTCAATTTCTAGTGAGCATCATAGACATTGAACAGAAAAAGCTGAAAATTAGACCCGCTGATGTTCAAGCAATCCGTTTGAAGAACAGAAAAAGCTGCAAATTTCTAGTGTGTGTGTGTGTGTGTGAGAGAGAGAGAGAGAGAGAGAATTGGGAGCTGTTAAATTCCTCAGAATTTACGATACGAAAGAAAGGGCTAAATAACTGTAACAAAATAGACAAAAAAGAAGGGGGACAACCGGTCCCGCAAAACCTCGATCGTCCCACCAGTTCCAATCATTCAGGCAACCAATCAGACGGACAGGATCCCACACACAGACAATACAGCCGAAGCCACACATACACGAACCCTTGCGCTTCTTGCTGGAGTAGAGGTAAGCCGCACCGGCTCCGACGGCGATGACGGCCACAGCGATGGCGAGGATCTGGATGTTATGCCCCTGCAACCCCTCCATCTCCCCCAACAGCTTCAGACCCCCTGCTGCTGCTCCCCCTCCCGAGTTCGGTAGCTCGCCAGTGATGAAGGGGATGGGTAGCTCAGCCTGTATATATATATATATATATAGATACAGATCAGCTGAGAAAAGCGGAGAGATGCACCCCCACCGGAAAGAAGCACCTAACCGCGCGGTAGCCCACCTGACCGGCTGCTGCCGGTCAACGTGTGGTCGTCTACTCACGTGATTGCCAGGTGGCGCTCTCCCGTTGGTTGGCTGGACTCAACTGGGCACCCTAGTGACGGGGTTTATATGGTAGCTTCAATGTCACAGCGACGCATGGGAGAAAAGTCGTATTTAGTCATTTTTTAATTAAATTTCGTATTTAAGATGCTCGTTATTTATTATCAAGACAGCTATTTTATTTATTATTTTTACTGTAAATAAGCACTAAATATCGTGACATTTTATTCCTATTTTTCAGATTTTGTGTTAATTTGGTAGAATTACAGCATATTTATTAAAATATTTCGTTAAAAATTAAGTTCCCTCTCTTCTCTCCTCCTACCAAGAGAGCAAGATAGAAGGGATCGATGAACAAATAATTAGCCTTCTTGAAATTTTATATTTATTTTAAATATTATATTTTTTTACCGAAATATAATAAAAATAATATATTCCTTTTAAAAAATAATCCTCCCTCCCTCTCTCTCTCTCTCTAAAAAATATACACCCAGAAAGAAAAATGAAAACAGAACTTGACTCCAATCAACCTGAACAATAAAAACAGCTCCCAAAAATAAAACTGATAAATGGTAATATACATATATAATTGCCTGTCTACCTCCCCCCCCCCTCTCTCTCTCTCTCTCTCTCTCTCTCTAAGATATATATATATATAGCCAGAAAAAATAAATGAAAACATAACTTGACTCCAATCAACCTGAACAGTAAAAACGGCCCCAAAATAAACCGATAAATGGTGGTAATATACGTATATAGTTGTTGGTCTACCTCCTCTCTCTCTCTCTCTCTCTCTTTCTCTCTCTCTAAAAATATATATACCCAGAAAGAAGAATGAAAATAGAACTTGACTCCAATCAACCTCCAAGCATTACCTGAACAGTCAGTAAAAAACAGCTCCCAAAAGGATCAGCAGCTTTCATACGAGGTATAAGTTACAGGATAAGCTTGGGAGAAAAAAAAAGGAAAAAAGAAGGGAGCTTTCATCAAGGGCCCTTCTCCACAAGCCACACAATCCTTCCTCAGAGCGCAGAGGAGAACCAGAACCTCTCCAGATCGGCCGTGAAATCCCTCTCTCTGCCTATAATCACAGAGCTGTGATCGGCACCAGAGATGACCCGGAGATCCAGATGGGGAACCTTCAGCTTCATGGCGTGCCCATACTCGACAGGGACGACTCGATCCTCAGAGCCGTGGATCAGGCAGGCAGGAACTCCAGATCTGCTCAGGGCCTCCAAGAACCGCTCCGTTGACTTCGCCACCCCACAGATCACATTGTGCATCGTGTGCCAGGCCGAATGATGAGTGTGCTTGGTCAAATCCACCATCTTGAAGTTGAGGTCCCTGTGATGGATCGGACGGTCAAGAAAGAATTTAATCCCCATTTTTCTTTCATAAATTGTTATTCCCTATGAACAGTGAGAAATATTCGAGCTTGATGATGCCAAATTGGCTCCTGCACACCTCTCTTTATTATGAAATAAATAAGAAAATGGGTTTTTTTCCCCATTAGATAAACAAGTAGAAAAGCGTAAAAATAATCTGAAATCAGCTCGCGGCCTCTCAGATTTGGAAGGATATGGATCAAGAAAAGAAAAGAAAAAAGCTTCTTAAAGAAGAAATGAACTAGTTTCTGGATAATTAAGGGGGTATAAATAGTACAGAGGAGCCTGATCAGCTGCAAAATATTATCTTTAATACCTTTTGGTAAGCAGCCTGAGAATCCACTCCCATTTGGTGTGGTAGCGGCAGACAATGAAGCAGATGCTCCGTCCCAAGTGCTCATACCAGGACATGATAGAAACCCCAAGCTTCCCCGGCGGCCAGATCTCCTTTGGTGCCAATCTTCTCAGCAAGGTGTGGCTCGTCACTTCTCCAGATGAAAAGCAAGGCTGGTCACAGAGATTAAAAGGGAAACTCAGCAGATGAATAGAATGACGAGAACTTTACTAAATTTAGTGAATTTAGCAAGAAGATGATACTCACAGGAGCGACAAGGCTGACAGACTTTACTAACCCTGGGTGTCTCTCAGCGATTGCCAGGGCGATGATGCAGCCCATCGAGTGCGCGACTAAATGGAAAGAGCCCAATTGGAATGGGTTGATCACGGTCTTCTCTATCATTTCTACATGGTCTTTCAATGTGTATAGACGATCTCCGGGCTTGGGGCTCTTGCCGAAGCCGAGAAGATCCACAGCAAACAGCCGGCAATTCTCGGAGGCGAAGGCGGAGAGGTTGGGGAATACCGTCTCTGCCCATAATGAGGAAGAAGAGAGAAACCCGTGCAAGAAAATTATGTTCTCAGTTGAGCTCCCGGAGCAGTGCCTGTGAGTATCTGCAAAGATTACTCAACACAGAGGGTAACGCATCAGCCTCTTCCCCCTCATTAACCTGATACAAATCTTTTTTCCATGGTTAAAAAGACGGTCGTAGATATCTTCCACTGGAAAAAGGAGAGAAAATCTGGAAGAATATTTTTGAAATGGACAGCTGATGGGAATTTCTATGATGACGATGTGATGTATGGAATTTACTGAAATACTATTTTTTTCCTACAAGATATAAAAAATAATTAAAGTGTAAATGCCCCAGATTGGTATGGGGACCATTGCACTGGATCCAGATTGACAGGTGGAGAACGGAGGTGAAGATCGATATTGATCCACCATTATCTTGAAAGAGATCAATTTCCCAGAAAGAAACTTGGGAAAAGGGAGATTGCAACATTTCGGAGAGGGATTCTTTATAACCGGGCCCCTATAATAAAGTTCTAAGGCGAGATATTTAGAAAATATCAGGCACTGAGGTGCTTCAGATTGTGCATTCATGGGATTAGTTTCAGGGAGAGATGGGCGGATTCTCCCCTGGTTTGGTATCGAGGCACCAACTATGCATAAAAATGAACGCTTTGACTATCATAAGTAGAGTTTTAGTTATAATTCTTGAAACGGAAATATGCAGAAGGAGATGTCGCTTCCACGATACCTTGAGTTGGCGGCTCCCTGAGGACGAGATGGAGCTTCTCTTCTCCCTTCTCTGTCCAGGAGATGCACGTCTGGCAGCAGCAGTCAGACCACCTCGGCGACCTTCTCCCTCCTCCCTTTTTCACGCTCCCCTTCTTCCTCGAAGATGATGACAATGACGACGACGACGACGACCTTACAAGCCGGATTCCCCAGAAGATGTTCCTCCTGCCGTATAGAGTCTCCGAAACCCCCTCTTCCTCCTGGTTCTCCTTGCCCCTCCCTCCGCTCCAGCAGTAACAGGGGGGAGAAGACTTCCCCTCGATGACGTCATCGGCAATCCTGAAGAAGAGGCAGAGGGCGAGGTCCGCCAGATCCAGGAAGGCGAAGACGAGAAAGTTCACCGCGGAGAGGATGGCTCCCACCGCCGCCCTCCACCATCTCCTCAGAGGAACGGAAGGGAGTCCCAGCGGCGCCTCGGCGGGGGGGAAGCCGGAGGCGGCGCTGCCCACCAACCCCAAAATCCGGTGCGGTGCTGCGCCGACGGGGTCGAGGAGGGTCATTGGAACAAGCAAATGTAGGACGCCCCCGTTGACCCTCGTCTCCGTCGGCGGCCTCAGCTTCTCGCCCGCTCCGTGACTCTAGCCACCAGCCGCAGTGGTGCAGCAGACGCCGACTGTCGGTGCCAGGAACTCATTTTTATTCGTTGATATGACGCAATATTTTCTGTATGGTTTTCTGCTCAAGATCTACAGTTGACTCTTCTCAAGGGGGAGGAAGACTCAGTATCTATGCACCGGTTAGCAAGGAGGAAGGCTCTGACTGGCGCAGTCTACTTGTACGAAGGCGTTGACCTTCAACCAGCCTCACAAGAGGAGAATACTCAAAATGGGAGATGAGCAACATGTCCAATAAGGCAATGGCCCACTCCTTTTATAGGAGAATTGGTGAGTCTATTTTTTACCGTTGACAAGATGATTGGTGTTTCAATTTATGACCGTTGACGCGACAGTTGGTGCTTCAACTTTTGATCATTGACAAGATAAATTGACCTCCTACTTTTACGGATAATTGACGCAACTCTTAACGCCTAATCGATCCCTTGTCATACTGGCTGATGCTCTGTGCCCCGTACCTAATACACAATATGGGAGATGGCCCACATTCGATAAGGCAGTTGACTCTGACAAGTGGCGCTCGACCGTTGACGCAATTCCTTACGATTAACTGCCGATGCCTCATCCCAACGGCTGATGCTCTGTACTCCATTCCTAATACACAATTTGGGAGATGACCCACATACTTAAGAAGGCAGTGCCAACGCCTCTTTTCTTTTACTGGAGAAACGATGTGGGGCCCAAATCGGCAATTGGTGCTTCAACTCTGGACCGTTGACACGACAAGTGGCGCCCTACTGTTCTCAACCGTTGACTAACTGCTAACGGTTGATGCATGATACCCCGAGCCTGATACACTATATGGGAGATGGACCACGTATTCAATAAGGCAGTGTCAACGCCTCTTCCTTTTTAGAAGATAAACGCCGCGGCCCAATTTGACAATTGGTGCTTCACTTTTTGGCAGTTGACACGACAATCAACAGTTGACCTCTCTCTCTCTCTCTCTCTCTCTCTCTCGCTCTGTGTATATATGTTGAGCAATTTAGGAATTCAATGATTCAGCAGCACTTGGGTCGAATAGCATGTAGAAAATTCAGGATGATTAGATCATAAGGTATACTTGAATGTCATGACCCATCATCTGCGGAAAAAATTAATAGGTGTTATATGAAGAAAAAATATTAATTAATCAGTCAATCAAGCAATCGATCGGAAGACTCTTTTGTGTGTCGGTCCATCATTTACCTGAAGAACAGTGAGAGAGAGAATGACTCCCAGGTTCCACATTGCGTGCATGGAGATGGGAGTGAGGAGGTTTCTTGTCTGGGCATACACCATCCCCAACACAGTTCCTGAAGAATGGAAGATAGAATGGATTCTAAGCAAATATTCTTAGGAAGCACCGTTATACTGGTTTACATGAAACCATAAACCCTAAAATCTAACAAAGTACCAGCTGATTTTTTCCTGGAAGAACACAAGATTCCAGCTGTTCATATCGTAGGGAGTCATCTCATCTACTCTTCTCATGGCTATCTCAAGAGCCCTCTTCCATCTTATGGAGGCATCATCATCGACTGTTCTTGTGGCTAGATCGGTAATTTTCTTCTCCCAAAGCCCTAGATTTCAGCTGTTTGATATGTTTAATGAGAAAAATCGTAGGAAGATGATGGTGATGATTAGTTTAAAGGAGAATTTTATTACCAAATATGAAAATCTCCAGAGATTTTCCAGGTGATAGGTGGGCGAGGGTGAACACCGCAGAGCTTAGGATTATACAAACACTAGGAGGCAACCTGCGAAAACCATGATAACAAGTAAATAATTCGAATGAACATGGGTTAATCAAGGATTTGAGGGAGAGGAAACCACCATTTCGTCAAAGAAGTCATGAGAAAACCACGATACAATATCTCTTCAGAGACTGGAGCCAGAAATCCAACGACCCCCATAAGAGAGAATGTGCTGCCCAGCAAACATGATCTTTGTTAAAAATCTATTGGCCCCAGTTGACCTGAAAACTTGAAGACTTTCTGTTTCTGAATATGCTTAGATTGTTTGCGGGCCGGGCCAGGCTGGGGCTGGGCTTGTTCAAGTCCTGGCCCGCTTATGATGCCTGGCCTGGACCTGACCCACCCTCTGTGGGAACCAATCTGAGATAGACAGAGGAGATTGAGAGGGGTGGGCAGAAATGTGGGAGAGCAACGTGAAAGAAAGATATATTTTTTCATTTTTTTTATTTATTGGCATGATACCAAGGCTCAGGACCCAAAAAAATCTGGCCCGGGCCGGGCCCAGGTTTACCTGGCCCATCGAGACCCCCCTGGATCTGGTATGGATCGGAAAAATACCTGACGTTCGATGAACCAATAAGAGGCAATAATCGCGCCAGAGATTCTCCCTGAGGAAAATTCAGATCGTTGGAAGGTGCTTATCATCCACTTCGTAATATGATAGAGAAAACATAGCAACTGAGTGCGCTAAGAACATATAAAATATGAAAGAAATAAGAACATTATCATCAGAAGCGAGTATCTTATAGATAAAGAAATAGGTAGCTTATTTACACATTACACCCTCGCTTATTCAACTAACGAGATAACAGTTAGAGCGTTTATAGAATATACAGGGATCAAACTTATGTAGATTTTGTCACTAGTTCCATTTACTAAATAGACCATACTTTCTTGTCCGTGAACCTAAAAACTATGAACAGAGGCTAGCTCTGCTGATAACTCTCCCTAGTTATTCTTGGGCAACCTAAAAATGTCTTATATAAATAGTAGTATACTTCTCATCTCGATTGTCATATCAAGAAACATGAAAAAACATTCTGTTTTGAAGGAATTCAATAAAAATGGTTTTTTTTATTTTTTTTAGTTCAAAGGGGGGGAGGACGTACCTCGCTTTGAGTCTGACTATCAAATGAGCCAGATACAATAGCCTTTGCAAGAAATGCAGTACAAGAAGCAATGAATAAGCCACCCCCTGCCCATAAAAGCCAGCCTCTCCGAAGATTAAATGGCTGATTCCACCCTGTTTAAAGACAAGCCCAATCGTGAGATTGCCAATTAAAAGGGAATCAAGTTTTTTCAATATAATTTATAATTGTGTCATTATAGAAAAAAAGTTTAATTTTATCCAAAAAGACGGGAAAATAAATTGTTGACCCTCATAACTTGATGCGAGAAAATGCTTGCAATCAATATATATCAAGCCTGGGTCTTAAGAAACTATTGCAACCATCACCGGATTCTCTTTGAATATTTATTCAGAATCCCCCTGTTGGCCTTTCTTATCACATTCTATCAGCTGTTCCTTACGTTTAAAACTTCAGGCCCTCTTCATTGAGGAAATATCTAACTCAGTCTTCTATACCAATCTTACTTTCTGATATTCTAATATTCATTGGGTATCTATCCAGAAATTATTAATCCCTAAGCATTTCTTTATGGCATGATTTGGGATTGACGTCTGACGAATTTCATGTCCTTGATCATGAACTGGTTTTAAAGAATTTTTAATATCCAGCGGCTTGCAAATCAGTCTAATAAACACATCTTTAGTTTCGAAATTCGCCTTAATAAATAAACTAAATGCTATGATACACTTCAATTTATCCACATTTAACTGTCACGAATATTATGGAGCAGGTAAATGTTCATACTGAAGGAGAAGACATCATCTGGAAATGGTTGATACCGACTGACAAATAAATAGAGGACTGAAAGTTTAGCCATTGTTTTGAGTCTGCATGGGAAAAAAGAAATGAATAAGCCTAGAAGAAAAAAAATATATCCAGAGGAAATAATTATACTTGAATAAAAAATTAGAGGCCGTACGATTGATCTGCAAAGAACATTATTGCTGCCTCCTCACCACCCTCCGTTTTTGGCAATGGATATCCACTCTCAGCTGATTTAAAATTTCCTGATAGAAAAATGCTGTGAAGATATCCTTAGCCTTTCCAAGGCATGATTTATGACATTAATTGAAACCAAAAAAAAAATCACATATATGTATGAGATATCATTGAATCATGCCCCATTCACAGAAAATTAGATGCGCGTACATAATGTCAAAATCTACGCAGCATCTTTCTAGATACTAAAAATATTTCTCTAGTGATTTCCTTATTATAAACAAAAGTCAGTGGAAGTGGTTGCCTCACGTAAAAATGTCTTCGATCTTCCATCCTTTTAGTATTATTGGTCCGTGAGGCCAAGCATCAGAATGTTGATCTTCAATGCAGCAGCTTAGAAGGATTTCACATGAATGAGGATCTATTGTCCCCAAGATTTTTTCCCATCACCTACCTCAACCATGGTTTACAGTTATTCAGGAGACATCTTCATTCATTCGTCCCTATTCTGTCACAAAGTTGTCGGCGGAAAAAGAAACGTGCAAGACTACCAGGAAGTATGCAATGTTGACGACAGGTTTCTGTGAGAAACCCCCAGTGTTCTCAATCGGCAAAACCTCACTACACACAACCCGCTTCGCTCCATGGAACTCCGCTCGCTTCGAAAAGTAAGTTAGTAAGGAATACACAAGCTCAACCTTAATTGATGCGATGCTTTGTTGGACGAGGGGTTAGCAATCTCTAGTTCACCACCATAGAAAGGGAGCTGAATAAATAGAATTGCGCGCGAGATAAGCTCTCTTTCATGGGCTATTGTTTTCCCTCTCTTTGGGCGCGGGATCCCATTGCCCTATTTGAGATCATCCGTCAGGTATACATTACTACACCGTAGCTTATGTCTTACCTTTCAAAAAACAAATATATTCGCTGGATGACAGAGTTTTTACAGTTTTATCTGAGATAGAAATAGAAGAAAAAGGCTCTCCACGATTTTCTGCCCCTTCATGGCCGCCCGGTAATCATAAATTTCCTTAAATCCGCTCCAAAAGACTACACATAATTTTTCTCCTACATCTCCTCATCCTTCACTCCGACAGTAGAATTACGATTCCTGAAGCATAATCCTCATAAAATCTTAACTCAAAGGTCGTAATCAACTCGTAAATAATTCCTTTCTTCATCCGATCCAATATCTTCAAATATACAAAGACCTAATTCAGAAACAGTGGATACAGAAATATACCTCATCAAGTAAGGCGTCATAACGAGCGCAGTGACCTTCCAATCCCAGGGTACATCCCACGGTCGGAAAGAAAACAGCCCCTCAACCTCCGTCTCCTGATAAAATCCACAGTTCGCGAGAGTTCCAGAAGAATACCCAACGACAACAAGAATAAAAATAAAAAATAGAACCAAGGTTCAAAGCACAGAACAGGAGCAACAGGAATCAATCAAAGTACGAAAAACCATCCGTTCCTACCTCATTGGAGGCCGCATTACCCGGTTCTTCTGGCCCGGCGGAGCGAACTCTAGAACTCCCGCGAATGCGGCGAGGGTCTCCATTTCTTCTGGATCTCCTCAGGCTGTATCCAGACTTGGGATTTACGAAGGCGACAAGATGGGAGGAGAACAGCCGATCGGGGAACCGGAAGGCGCAGTCGATTGGACGCGCCAACGATGGCAAGGACATGTTGATCGGCCAGGAGGGGGGGGGGGAGGGAGGGGGGCTTGCTTCTTATCCGTCGTGGCGGCGCATTTCCCTCCGGCGATCCGTTGGAGGTCGTTATCTTTCGAACTAGTTAGTGACGAAAATACCCCTCCCTTCAAACGCAAAAACCGGCCTTAAAGTCCGATAGGAAAAGTTTGGCCCGGACTCTTATCTGGGCTTCATATGATCCGGCTGAAAGCCCAATCTAATTTACACCACACTGCATTAGCCCATTTACCCCTCTCTCTCTCTCTCTCTCTCTCTTCACTTGATCCAGTTTAAACCCCAGTCTTGTCTATACCATATTGAATTAGCCCATTTTACCCCTCTCTCTCTCTCTCTCTCTCTCTCATAACTAGATTCACCACAGCAAACTTGATTAAGATCTGGATCAAAGAAGCTCATCTTCCAGACCCATGATCCAAATAATTCCTTCGATTTTTACAAATTCATGCTAATAAATAAAGTCCAACACCTGCATAAGCAGCCCAAATCCTTTTTTATTAATCAGATGATGAGCCCACCAACAAAAAAAAAAAAAAGGTCTCATGCAACACAAAAGCCCAGGGCCGTCCGATTGTCAAGATACCACCCAATAATAGAAGAAAAAAAAAATGCGATCGAACTGACCAGCCAAGATCCTTCCACAGCCACCGATCTCCCCAAGGCAGCATCTCTGTGCAACATCAAACTCGAATGCCCAGCTCGGAGATCTCCGTGATCTCCTTGTCCAGCTCAGCCTTCTGTCGCCTGGCGAGCGCCATCATAGATGCTACCTACAGAGACCAGAGGACTTATGATTATCCATTTCAGGAAAGATGGAAGGTGAGTAGAGAGAGAGAGAGAGCGATGATGACTCTTGGGTTGGGTTGGGTTGGTACCTCCTTGCGAAGCTTCAATGCTTCACCGTCGGGGATCTCCCTCAGCTCATCCATGAAATCTGCGGTTTCAGAGGGATAAAAGTATTCCATTAATTAACAATTATATCAGAAGAAGATGATGAATTTAATGCCGAAGATCAAAGGAGAAATGGAACCTGTAACGTCGGATTCGATCCTATTGATGTGCCTCACAAGGCTCTGGATCTGGCGGCCTGTGTCCCTGCAGGCAATGATTTGAGACAAATCTGGGGGTGCTCAGCCACTGAGGATGGTAGAGAGAGAGAGAGAGAGAGAGAGAGAGGGTAGAGAACTTGAGCTTGGTCCGGCCGGTCTGGATTTCTTGTTCGGCGAAGGACGCCCTTTCAAGCAATTTCTTCGTCTCCAGCTTCACTGATCCCACGGCTTGCTCCAGTTCCTTTGCGTTGCTCACGGCTTTGGCAAAAACCGCCTGCAAATCATCTCTGGTGAGATAACATGCGGTAGCAGCCCACGGCTATCATGCATTAAACGAGAGAATTTGATGAAAACTTGCAGAAAAATGTGAGCGATTCATTTGTTGTTCCTCTATCAGATGAATAATGACAAGGATTCAGTGTTCGTCCCCAAGCTTCTTGGGTTATCAAGTCTTGATCTACATAGTGTTGGTTATATAACTATGTACATATAATTAAAGGTTATTAAGATTATTTTTTTTGAATGAAATGAGTAACGACCAACTATGGCCTCTCCAGAGAAGACCATAGAGAGAGAGAGAGAGAGAGAAATGAGAGGCACAGATGAACGCATACTTTTTTTTTCTTTTTGCAGATAAGCTCACCCATGCAGAGATCAGAGTCCATATTCCAACACGTCAGTCCAAGTGTGTTCAACATAACCAAATTGGTATGGTCAGCCTCTGACTCAAATTACCATTATTGGTATTAAAATTATTTCACCATTAAAGGATGAATACGAAAGTAAGTAGGTGAACCTTGCTATTGATGATAAGCAGAAGTAGACAAGAAATCAGGTGGGTTACTCAAGGGTTACAGCTTAAAGATTAGGTAACAGAAAATGAAGGTCTGGACGGTTAGAAAAAAAATATGGCGATTGTATGTCAAAATGTCTTCAGAAATCTTTTCCTATGCAACGAGATCATTTGGCATTTGATTCGAATGCATGAGTTCCGAACATGCTTAGTGAAAAATTACAGCCAATAGGTGAGAATCCTTTGGTCGCAGACTCCGGATTATAATGGATAAGAATGCAAAGGTAAAAGCCAACAACTGTCTAGGCAGAGATATGATGTTGAACGTTTCTGTAGGGTTCATTTGAAAGAGAAAAATTAACAGGATTCACCAAAAATCAATGTTTAAAAAAAAAAAGAATTTCTTAAGATAGTTTCTTTTAAGAATTCAAACACTTTCTAGTTTCCTAATCTAGCAAATGTTCTTTTTTTTTTAATGCATTGTTTCATCGACACATTAATATCAAAAAACTCAAGAACATTCGCTCTTTCTGTATAGAAAAGTGGGCATTACTAAATATACATAATTTTACAGAGAAATCCAAGTGCATTTTCCTTGCAGTAAATAATAGATGAAATAGAACCAATAAATTTCATCATCAAAACGTCATATAAAACTAAATTGGAAAGCATCTTCAGTGTACCGTGAAACGATAAGTACTACCTCCTGATCTTGCAAGCGACCTAATGTTTGACGGAATAAAAATCTTCTAGGACCTGCAAGCATAAAGAGGTTGGATGTTGGATAGTCGTCCACAAACTGATGGAAGCTAAGAAGAGAAGGGAAGATGACAAAAGGAGCAAGTTCTCACAATAAAGGCATGCTTCAGATAATAGGATGTTTCAAGTACATCCAATATTTAAGAGTTTGGATATTTCCAAAGACATTCTCTGCAATGTCATAGTTGATCCAAATCTAAAAGAGTAAAAGAAAAATATAAAAATGTAGATGCCTTGATTTTGAAGCTTTTCACGGAAGTCATTTAATCCGTGTTATTATAATCGTTTTCGGAGTATCTTTGATTCTAGATATATGTAAAGAATTTACAAATCTTTAAAGTCTGTAGACCATTAATTATCACATTATTTACTAATCGTATGATATTTGTGAGGCATGGAAGCATCCTGAAAAGCAGATCTGCTTCAACCAGCCTGGCGGATGAAATAGAGAAGCCATCATCTATAGGGGGAAAAAAGAGGAGCTGGCTACGGTTGTCACATTCAACATGAAGAACATGACGAAAAATTAGGATTCAAACGGTGTTAGATGGGAAACCATCAGAACAGAAGCAAGGCAGGAAACCTTTCTTCGGTAAAAGCAAGGACTTAAGGAGAACATGTGGTAAGTTTGAGGACAAAATATGTCAGGCTCTTTTCTTAACGTGTGTGACAAGGATTTTTGTACAGAATTGCATGTCTGCGAATTTTGTAAGGTTTTGGCTTTTAGTTGGTGTTCTTTTTTCAAGGAAGATTAATGTACACTTGAGCAGAGGATAATTTTCTGGGATAACTGCTTTTCAATTTCTCATGATGGTCGCTTAATACCACCATTTATCAAAAATAAAATGCGGCCTATACAAGCCACAACAGATGAAGTAGCACTCGAATCTGGAAGTAGCAAGCTTCATTTTCTCCTCTTTCCTCCTTATTTTCCTCATACAGAGAAGTATTTCATGCCTAAGGAATATTTGATACCTTCTTGCAAAACATTGCCCATGAATGATACTTAAGCGACTTATAATTGACTACTTTAAAAGTTATGAGCCTTTCTTCTATTGTCCTACATCTATTCTACTTTGCTTCAAATTTATGGAGCACAAATTTCAAATTCATTCATCTGACATCTCTTAAATGCAGTCCACTCGACAGAACTACAAAACATAAGGTACCTACCGAAGCTACTCAGATATTGCAGGATATAAAACATGATTAAATCGTGTTTAATCTTAAAATTAGGCTCGTCAATGATGATGCTGAAATATTCCACAGTTGCAATTTAGCTTTTGGAAAAGAAAATCTGTAGAATCACTTCGTTTCCCCACCAATGACCTCTATTCTCTGAAGAACATTCTAAGTATTTCCATTTTATTCAATCTCACTCAAAATTCTGATTTCTTAAGCTTCATATCGGATTTAAGGATGAAAATTAAAAACTCAAATAAAGGTTGTGCAAACATAGAGGTCTGTGACATTGTATTTTTTATATTTTTCGGAGAAGGGCGTATGACCGGCATGAGGCGTCAACAAGACTGTGGATCTTTACAGAACTGATAATTTCCCAAGGGATTAGTATTAATACAACACATCACCCTCAGGGACCTCAGAACGGTCTATTTTGAACCAAACACATGAACTATCTGGGGCTTCAACATGCTGCGAGGATTGGGCCGGTCATAAGATAAGGGTGGGCAATGTCTTTCTCTTATAGTCCAGATAAACCCGGTTGACATCCATATGCAAATAAATGCATAAATAAGGACAAACATGTGTATGCATGCATCTATGCATGATGGGATGCAAAGGTACAAATAATATGAGTACCTCGCATGAGGAGGAGGCCGGCAGCAACAGCAACTCCACATGCCACAGTTGGTTGCTCTCGAATAATCAGCAGCTCATCTGAGGGTATCAATGTAGAAGATTCAGAAAAAAATATACCAGGTGAAAATATGGCATCCAAGGCATGACCATTGTGCAAGACAGATAATTGATTATGTCAGAGTATTCAGCCTTTGAAGCCAAAGATTGTCTTGTACTCTACACATGGTATGAATAAATGGGAAGATTTTATTTGAGAAAAATATGCAGGAATACCTTTTGCTTTCTTGAAGAACGCATCTTCATACACTTGATAATGTGCTCCGAGCTCGGATAATGAGGCCTGACAATATTGAGAAGCAGCCAAAAGCATTAGAATGAGAACTAAGAAAACAACAGCAAAGCTGATTTTCTTGTCTCAGTCATCTTCTGATGACAACGAAATCAAACACGTATAAATTAATCATTAATGTCAACAACATGTAGAAGATAATATACAGGTTTCTTGAAGATGATACATAATCAAAATGCATCTCAGGATGAAAGTCCAAATGGCTGGAAATGGAGCTGGAAACGAACAAAATGAATGCATACAAGTCTATGGAAAAACTAGTTATATAGTGTTGTCAATAGTTTTTTAGCTGTAGCAGCGTTCCTATGACAACTTTTCAGCCTTGTAGCTGTTACATATTTCTCCACAGGGAGAGAAAAAAGCAAGCTGTTTGACAATAAAATGGAAAAACATCAATCGCTTGCACATCAGTACTCAAGGTAAAGAGAGGAGAATGCACCAAAACAGACTACACTAGATGAAGTTCTAGGTCCCACGAAGTTTTAGTTTCAGACATTCACCTCATGAAATGATGAGGCTTTCAGTGTTGATTTGGCCGATAATCTTGGAAATCTCTTGCTTCTCTCTGCTAGTGAAAGGCTGCCAACCCCACTGGCGTTCCCACTATTCACCAAGTTCTCCGTTTTTATTAGAGGCAAACAAATGATAGATCACGAGGTTTGTGTTACTGAAAAAAAATGAAGCTTATGAAGTTAACTGCCGGTATTATGTAATTTATAATATGATCCTAGCTCTGCAGCTTTTCTCGCGAGTCCTTTTTGAGAACTTCTAATGAATTGTATGTCTACATAAAAACACAGAAGAATAATTATCCTGGTGGCACATGTTTAAACCTAAACGTTCCTTTCAAGAAATCATTGTCAATAATATAACATATGACTGCTGCTTTTTATCCTGGAGATTGCATGCAAAAGCCCATTGAAATGGAAGGAAGACAGCTCGAATTATCTCACATGTAAGGTCTTGGAGGTTCAACTGGCTATCATTTTTCCTAGTCAATTATCTTTATGTCAAGTTCGTAAGATAAGTTACCGCTTTTAACCAATTTCCTTGATTTCAATATGTCTTGGTTGAGAAGATAACAGGTGAAAGTTAGGTCGGTCAAACATCAGATTTGGAATATGCTTTTAGGAATACATTAGTTCTAAAATATGAAATATCAAGAGTCTAAAAAATGTGAAACGTATATGCATATGTATATCTATATTCTGTTATGGGAGGAATGAGCTTTAAAAAAATAAAAAATCATTTACATAATGTTGAGCTTTTCCTCATCAGTCCCCAGTCAGAAGACGTTCAAATACCAATTTAAAATGTCCTAATTAAAATGGATAGCAAACGCAGGAGAAATATAGAAGCAAGTGGATAGGATACGAACAGCTTTGGCTACTGGACGAATATTTGGTAAGCACTGTTGGGATTTTAATAAAAAATATGTAAGAAACCATTCTAGAACTTGGAGTCAAGGTAACTACACGGTTTCAAATGAAAAGGTGGACCATATTCTCATGAACAGTTGAGACAAAGCATATCATCTCCATGAAATTGATGAATGTTTGTCCAGCTTTTCAGCTTTTCTTCATCAAAAAATTTCCATCCATAAATCTTATTAGCCATGTGCCTCATACATAACATACGATCTAGGACTCTAAAGGGGGACCAGGAAACCCTTTCATCGCCAACATTGAGCGATGCATGACAAATCTCACTAAGGATCTGAAAGCAACGATGAGACACTATATGTTCATGTTTTGATTTACACTTCCACATACATATTTCTGGAAAATGATGTACGAATCACACTGTAAGTTTAACTACCATACCAGAAAAGTCTCTTCGGGTCAAAAAGATACGTAGGCATTTAAGCTACATTTAATCAAATTTCTAATAAGGTATCCTTGTGACAAGAATCTATCTTCCTCTTAAAATAAACGGCTAAAGAATAATAAATTTCAAGCATCCCGTACTGAGGGAGCTATTACAACATCTACAAAAGTACAGAAAAGCCATTGCTTTTGCCGTGATTGTGATAAAAAGGTGAATATGGAAGAGACAGAAAAGTCTCCCTGTATCTATGCAATTGATCGATGCAAAAGTCAAAAGGTCGGAAGGTAAGAATGAAGGGATCATTACAGCATTATGAGAAGAATAGTTCATCTATCATTCGCATTCATTCTGGAGTCTTCTTTCTAGAAACAAGCCGCAGCCAAGCAATTGCTAACCACTAAAACCAGAGTGAGCAGTAAACTTTTCTCATCCCGTCATTTCCAGCGACCGACGGACAGCCCACTCGTTTTTCGTCGACTATCTGACATGAACATTTTCCAACCCGGAACTTTCTCCCCGCCTGTAATACAGACAGACTTTACTGCTGCAAGCCTTCGCCGGCCCAATGGCATTTCATTCCCATGTGAAGGCAAACAATCGGTGGAGGAAGAAGTAAAAGAAAACCCTAAGCTAATAGAAAAATATCACATCCAGAAGAAAAAAGAAAAGCCAAAGAACAGGCAGCGATCATCACGATTCCAACACAGATGAGACCTAAAAAAACCATAGATCGAAAACACACACGATCCTCTACCAGCAGAGGGCACCTGAAGCGCTCGGAAATACCCCGAGAGACTATCCCGCGGTCGCAGTGGCGACGGCGAGGAAGCCGGAGAAGCGGACTCCGACGCCTCCGCCATGCTTCCTTCCCGCCTTCTTCCGTCACCCGAATGGAAACGCCGATCCGCCCAGGCTCCTTCACCAGCAAATCCGTTAAAAGACAGAGGCGGCTTTCCGCTATAATGCGCTCACAGAGGAGACTTCTGCTTCGGTTTGGTTTGAAAAGGGCCTTTAATTGGCCATCATTAAGAAGCCCACAACATCGGCCCAAAAAGGTCGTTGGTCCATTTTTTTCCATAAGTCAAAATCATGCGGCAGTTTAAGCATTTGAGGATTGAATTTAAATAAAATAAATAATATGTATTTATTTTTATCTGTGGATATTCTTCACAACCATATAAATCATGAATAAAGTTGCCTCATTTTTCTTCATAAATCAAAATCATGCGGCAGTTTAATCATTTCAAGAATGAACTTAAATAAACTAAATAATACTTATTTTTTTTATTGATTTGGATATTCTCCACAACCATGTACATCGTGAATAAATTCGAATTTTTTTATCATAAATAAAAATCATGCGGCAGTTTAATCATCTGAGGAATGAATTTATAGGGTTTTAAACTCTTAGCAAATTCACAGAGAAAAATCAAATCAAACGCCGAAATAAAATTCACCTATTTCCTCCCATTAAATTCCCCATTAAAATTAGGGATTTTTTATTTCCAAAGTCTGGAAGAAATAGTAGATGTGGGGACAAGCGGAATTTTCAATTATTCAGGGTAAGAAAAAAATGGGTAAATGTGATGGCCTGGCATAAATTTCTGGGCTCGTAATTTTTCAGCGCAGGCTACCGAGGGAGGACGCGGCAGGCTGACGTGTGCCAAATAGACATTACGGAGGGCGGATCCCCAGCGGTCACGTGTTCAGACTCCCTGCCCTCAACAAAATTTTATAATAATAATAACAATTACTATTATAATAATAATAATGGGAAGATAAGAGTGAGGAGAGAGAGAGAGAGGAGTTGTTATTTAATAATTATTATTATAATTGGAAGATAAGATTTAGGTTCCAGGGGAATCGACCCAAGGCGGACCCACTCATGCCCAAAAAGGAACTAGCTATTTACTATTTGAACCAACAATGCTAAGGACTACTTAGGGTCAACCTTTCGCATCCCTATATATAGCAATGGGAAGATAACATGAAAAAAACATAAAATGTTAAATATTTAATGGTTAAGACTGAAAAGGATCGACTTTTCATGTTGAATTATTCTTAGTAGTTAAAAAGCTTTCTAATGACAGTCTCAGCTTGAAAGCCAAAGCTTTAACCTAATTAAAATAGCTTAGGTGGGTACTTAAGGTGATAAAGTTACAAAAATAATTGCTTAATTATTTTAGTGCAAAAAAAAAAAGAGCATATCCCAGACTGCTTGATCTTCAATGACCAGCCTCCAGTTGATTTCAGGCTGCACTGTCATAAAAAGCACCTGTTTTTTCATACTCAGGCATTATTTTCTGCATGGTGTGCAAGCTTGGGTTGACATAGAGAAGCAGGTCAATGGCAATGACTGATGAAGAAAATACATGAAAGGAGAGGAGCTAAACTATCTGAATTCAATCTTTTTAAGTTACCCATAGTCATGGCTGATCTGTGTTCTTTTTACAGAGATATTCCTGACAACAGCCATGAGGCAATCCAGATGCCAGAAGAACCGACAACTATCCACGATGCATGACTCGCGGGCCATAACTTGAAATCAAATAAGGGTTACTGACCAACCATCACGTTAGTAAGTAGTAAAAAGCATTTGGACTCGATAAGTTCATCTGAGCTTCGCAAGCAAGCTGAAAAGGATATAATGCTGCAGATTCAATGTAAAATATAAGCTGTCAGTGTGGCTCCCAGTTAGATAATAGCTAATTTTCTTTTCAATCATCAAGAAAATGTCCCACATCGAAGAAAGTGGCAAAAAACTACATCATCCGTTTGGGACACAACGGTTCTGAAAATTAGAATATGGTGGTCACTGTAATAGAACAACGTGTTTAAGAGGGAGGAAATGATATCAGGACCTTGATCTTTCAGAAGGTCTACAAGGGAAATTGATCACGTTTAGTATTTTCAAGGGGGAACCAGACGAGGCAGCATGATTAATTTGAAGCTTTTTTCTCACATGTAAAGGTGAAATGATGTGCAAAATGAACTAGGAACCCCACAATCTGAATGCAGTGAACTATCAATAAAAAGACCGTATATTGTTGCGCCATAATTGTAACAATGCCTCGTAATGCCCACCACAGTTATAAAAGCCCCGTGGTGGACTCAAGCCTGGTGTTGACATGGAACAATTGCAACCATTGAATCAGACACTTTGAAAGAAACCAAAATAAAACTGTAAAAAAGAATTTAGAACAACTTTGCTCGTCAATTTTACAAAAGAATTCGGATACGCTTGCAGATAATTTGTAAAGGGTATCAGCAAACCAGTTATGTCTAAAAGCACAGCTGAGGTTGAGATATGGAACTGTTATACTTGTTAGCACAAAGTCAACATTAGAAAAAGCGAGTGCATCATAACATTTTGCGCTTTCTTAAACATGGATGATTTACATTTTGCAACAATGGCACAGGCGTGTGCTATCATACAACCAATGAATGGAGTAGAAGAAAATTCTATCCGTCCCCGGACATTAAGCTTTATGCTGCACAGTATTGTATCAACAAACCCGTGTATGTCACAAAACCCATTCTTTCTAATCTCGAACCCACAAGACGTTGTTCAACATGAGGAAACGGTAGAGTCAACCGCACATTTTTAGGTGGTAGCCTAGTCAATATGTAAAACGACTCCATAGCTGAGAAAGATAACAGAAGGCAATCAACACGTAAAAAATCAATATATTTTGTAATAAGTCTGAAATAGAAATTAGTTGCTTGCCATACTAAATATTATGGTGATACATTCTATGGATATTGGTGGAGGGAAAAAGAGAATTCCCCCAATATTTGAACTTTTGAATGACTCTTATTTCAAGATGGAACAAGGATTCTCTAAGATCCAGGTACACGGTTTTTGAAGACTTATTGCTTTAAAGAGCTAGATTATGAGGAACAATCAAAATAAACCCAACTACTTCTTGACCCGATGAGTTTTTCTAGGGCCCCAAACCTCCATTCTTCCTCGTGGACAGCCGCAACGTGCACGAAAGATGAGAACTGTACGGCCATTGAGGGGTGCCATCTTCTTTAGCTCGGCTTCCAGCTCCTTGTGGTCTTCTCCGAGCTCAAATGGGCACGAACCAAGCACATCGTTTGGCAAAGATGGCAGGTGCTTCACACACTCTTCAGGTTCAAGCTGAATATCAAATTCAACAGCATTTCTTAAACCCCTGCAGTAAGGACTTCCACATTTCCTAGAACTCAGACTGATTATCTCCCAACAGGCAACCACTGCTCCAAAAGTGAGCACCAATCCGATTCCATAAGCAACTGGAGCTCCATAGACGAAGCCACCAATCAGGTCAAATGCAACAGGAAGAAACTCGGAGGCTTCTTGGAAGATGAACTTGAAGTATGGCAGGATCAAAATTCCCAGAGCTCCTATCACGAGAAATAGCACGAAAATATCCATTACAGCAAGAGGCGATTGCTCACAGAAAGGGTGGGATAAAGGGTTCAAAGATTTGCAACGCCTGTTGCGCGATTGACCACGGATGCTGCGATTATCCGACGAGCCCAAGGAGTTCTGACGCTGCACGAAAGCCCTGCAGAACTCGATCAGACTGCGGCAATCAACCATCGGTGGATCCATCGATCGCCGGATGATCAAAAGGGAAAGCAGGTCGACGTTCAGATTCCCCTCTGCCGCTCAAATTTTCACCGAAGCTAATCACGCAAATTTTTCTCCGGCAGAAACGCTGCCCAAATAAACTGATTTCGAACCCAAAGAAGAACCCTAGATTTCAATCAACGATTTAAACCTCTCAACACCGACAGGCATCCACCAAAAGGAAAGAGGCCAAGGAATTCCCACGACGAGGAGGGCCTCCTGCAAACTTCCCAATCCAGATCAAGCTCAAATGTCCGACAGATCTCGATGCCACAAGAAGAATCAGAACCACCCCCACCACCGATCAACAACGATCCAAGCGTCAGCCTGGAGAGAGAGAGAGAGAGATGGAAACAGGCAGATCAGAACTCCACCGACAAGGCGAGTCCCCGAAATCTCCAAGCGTTCTCTGGATCCGGACGGCCGATCCTGTCGGCAGGCGAAAGTGTTGTACTACTACTCAACGACCGTCCACGAGCCTCCGCGACCAAAAGCTCCCTCCTCAGACGGAATTCTGAGGAGACCATAAAAAGGGGCGAGCAAGAACGAGAGCGATAGAGAGACGTAGAGAGAGAGAGAGAGAGAGAGAGAGAGAGAGAGAGGAGAGTAAAGGCGTGTGAGTTGACACGTGCACGTCAAGCGGAGCACCGATCTGGGCCTGACAATCGAGGGGCCTAAATGGGCTGAGCACATCTAAGAGAGCTCCATATTGGGCTTCTAAAGACGGCCCGGATAGATTAGGCCCGGGCTTGGCCGCTTTAGATATAATTGGGGCCGGCTCTTGGCGTAGTTACAGCTAGGCCCAATATATATATTTCTCTCTCCATCTTCTCCTTCATCTGTGGGTAAGACGAGGATCCGTTGCGATTGGGCACAAAACCCGTTTACCCGGCCCATTGACAACGTGAGCCCGGTCCAAAAAGCCCGAGCATGATCCTTGTCCGATTCAGAGAGAGAGAGAGAGAGAGAGGAGAATATTTTTCTCTGGGCTTTGGGCTCAAAATTCAAAACAGGCCCATAAAAGTTCTTCCATAGTAGTAGTGTTCTTACTTCAAAGTTGATGTAGATAATATAATGCACTTGTAAACAAATAAATAGACAAGCTTTTCCCCAGCTGATGAAAATAAACCAAGGAGAGTTCTCCAGTGAGAATGAAAGAGGAAGCTGGTAGGCGTCAAGTGCCTCCTCTCTGGGTTCTCTCTCTCTCTCTCTACCCTTCTCTTCTGCGCTGCTACTGCATCAAGCTCGCAGATGCGTCTCAATCCAAATCAAATCTGATCTTTTTGGGCACCGGCCGCTTCCTGCCAACCTGCATCAAATGATGATCCAAACTTATTGAGGTAAACTGAAAAATACTTGATAAAATAGAACCAAGGGAAGATTGCCTGATTAGAGGGAAAGGGTCGTTGACTTTACAGTCAACCAATCAATCAACTTTCTTAATTAGTCAAAGGCAGTGGACCTCGGGACAGGTTTCAACAGCACAAAAGGCTTGGTCAAGAGCCGGTCAAGGAAGAACAGGCCGGGCCATTGACGCCCAAGTTTCACCCATTGATAATCAACCAAACAGCCCGCATACTTACAAAGTCCGGGAACTCATAATCAATACCAGCAGCAGCTATCCTTTTGCGGCATCTCCCATCTCTCCTCAAAATGTGCTCGACCAGGTGCTGATGTTGCTCGACTGTTCTTTCCTGGAAAAGAACGGATGTCGTCACAGAAGAGAAACATGATCAGACGAGGAGATAAGAACGCATGCTTGACAGACCCAGTACCCTGTTATGCCGCCACCTCTCGATCTCTGTCCAGTTCCTCTGCTTGAACCTGAGATTCATTCCTCTCCATCTACAGAAATAGGAATAGGGAGAAGAAAACATGAGCAGCTCTCCAACTCCCTTTTCGAATCTCAAATCAAACTCATACATCAAGCCCTGCCGCAATTTCATGCATTATACACAGAATGACCTTTCATTTGAAAAATCTTCCAAACAATATCATGCTGGATCTGTATTATCTTCTCGTTTTCTCAGAAACATATTGACATTGATATCATGGGGAGCGAACTGTAGAGAAACTGATCCAGTGTTTGTCAGATATCGGATTATTGTTACCGCTGTCTGACAAATCCCAGGCAGGAGCATAATTTCCTCGGTTTTTCTTCACCTTATTTAAAAAGGAATATTTACATATCTAGAGACATTTTCCATTGCCCTTTAACAATCTTGAAGAGTTAGATCAAATCAGCTTACAGAGGATTAGCCTGATACTCTGGGTCTGTGAGATTTACACGTCCATTTTTTTACTAAGAAGGGTCAGAACCAGAGAGCATCTTATATATGCCATTGTATTTAGATAAAGTTTAAATATACCTATCTTCTAAGATGTCAGTAGGAATGTGTATGGGAAAAGATATCGAGTGGGGGGAAGAGGAACATCAAGATTTTGGTTAAACGTGAGATAGAGAATGAAAAAACAGCTACTGGAAATGACGATCAAACGCCTCTTTCAAACAATACACTCTTTAGTTCATCATCTAAGATGAAAACCAAGGATGCAAAAAGAATCTCAAACATATATGGTACCTGAAGGGTGTTCGCAAAAAGAAAAAACTTAGGCAAAAATTAGGTAGTGATAACAGAAAATTGGAGCAGATATCAATGCCGTTCTGGTATTATAATAATTGGTGTCCTCGTCCTGATTCAGATTTTCTGGGAAAGCTTTTCAATAATCTCAAACAAAAAGGAGTAACGTAAAAGTGAATTGCTTACGGTACTTTGTTCACAACTGACAAATGATTCGTGAGAAATATTAAAAAGACGAAGGAACTGAAGATTCCCATCAAGAAGATAAGTACATACAACTTTGGATGAACACGTTCTGGTGGAATAGGTTTAATTTGCAATTGGTGCTCGAACAGAAGATAACCGTGAATCTCATCAGCAACAACTTTTGCCACCTACAATCACCGAAAGTAATGGAAACTTGAGCTTGCAGAAATGAGACAAGTTCGTGATTTCAGCTGATAAACAAAAATCATAAAAGGAAATGCATACCTCAGGATTTTCAAACTCAATAAAGCCATAATGCTTTGACCTTCCCGTCTGTAGACGACGAAGGCAATAAATTAGTTGTGCCAAAAAAAATAACGTTCAATCACCAAACATTCGAGGAGAAAAACAAATAAAAGAATCTAGAACGGGGAAGGTCACAGTACACGATATAAGAATAGTGAAAATGATGTTTGCTTTTCAGAATAAATGAGACCTTTTATCTTTTATGCTGTAACGACATTAGACGTTGTCTTTATCATTTCAATGGTGTTCATTCAGAATACGGGCATCACGAAGACAGCTTAATTTTTATATTTTTCTCGATAATCACAACATAAAATAAGGATTTGAGCACATTCAATTGATTCCATTTCAAGCTTCTTCAAGAAAAGGAACAACGCAAACTTGAAAATATGTAATTAAAATAGGATTCTACCTTCCTGTTTCTTGCGATTCTTATCCTCTTGATTTTCCCAAATTGCTTAAAAAACCCTGAAAGCAGGTAAGACCTGTCGATGAGATTCGATCCTAGACACCGTTGGGCAAGTAATGTTCACAATGATACAACACTCCCTCCAATAATGGGACTAAGGGAACAACCTTCCATTTCGTCCTCATAGAAACCATGGGGTATCCGACCAACGTACAAAACTGTGGCAGTTGCTGGGGGCTCCGAGAGTTGGGGGATTTTTCCTCCTGAGCCTCCTTCTAGGGGCTTTGACAAATCGACAGAAATTAGCAAGTATGTTAAATTGAAATGAGAGGCAATTAACAGAGAAAAAAAGTTCAAATATAATACTCAGCACATACCACGAAGTCAGAAGAATCACTTTTAAGGGCAGGAATAGCCAAAGTAGGCCTGGTCTTCTTTGGTTTTTTCGCCAATGCCCTCTTTTTTGCCTTTGTAACCATCTTCCTAATGAATTAATCAAACAAACAATCAGGTTGGCACGATCGCATTCCAACGGGAGGAGTCTCGGGTGGGCAGGGGAGAAAACACGGGGAATGGGGGCATCAGGCTCCGCGCGGATCTGAGCTCCGCACCGAGGGTAATATAGGGAAGGGGAGACGGCGACGAACGGGAACGACAGGGGCAACTCGGCAACCTCCGTCCCCATTACCTATTGCGCTCGTGAACTGCGCATGACTGAACCCCATCGGAGAGGGCCGAGGGTTGAGAGAGAGAAAAGAATCAGGAATTACGATGCAAGAGCTTACCTCTGCGGAGAACGACAGCCCCCGAAGACGATGACCCCTGGATGAGAGCACCAATCCTCCTCGTCCGCTAGGGTTCGAGCTTCAAAGAGAAGCCGCAGAGAGGAAGTTTTCGGCGAGGAGGGCTAGGGTTTAATCAGACCGCTGAACCTCGTCTCACGGGCGAAAGCGGCTATTCGGATCCAGAATTACGTGGATAGTAACGGACCCGCAATCCGGCGTCGGGATCCGTTACGTGAAGCCAGACGATTCTAAATTCGGCATTTAATTTTAAAAATAAATAAATAAAGTTTTGTTTGTGTCGATTTCTTTAAAAATAATTTTAATATTTTCATCGTGTGTAAGTTTTATTCTTTATTATAAAAATATATACACTATTTTCGATATTCATTATTTTTTATCACGTTCAAGACACGTATATTATATTATCAATATGTCAAAGTTTTTAACATATTATATTGCTTGTTGTTGATATAGTAAGCTGGACCCATATGATGGCAATCGAAGGCAAAGTGCTACCACAATAACTTTATATTGTGTTTATACCTAGTTGTAGTAGATTATCCGAAGTTTGGCATGACGAGCTTAGGTAAGGAATGTATTTACAATATTTTGGGGTGCTAGATGCAATAAAATAATAGCTTGTTTAGCAAGAACAGAAGTTTAAGGTGATACCAATAATTATATATTTTGGGCAGGTTCTTGAGTAGCTTCGGGGCTCTTAATATATTTATTCTGGTCAATAAATTAGTATTCGTTTTTAAACAAATAAAATATTTAGTAAATTAAATACTCTTAGTTTATCTCGTTGCAAGATGTTCAAGAATGATAAAATTCAAAGATAAAAAAAATAAATGATAATGCAATTATATTACGGGGCTTAACTTATATTGGACCATGGGAAATAAAAAATAGGAGTTTATTAAATGTATTTAATACAGGAATATGAGAATAAAAGCAGCGTCATAAATGAGGACTTTAAAAAATATTTCAACTAAAAAGGCGGCGTACGCTGGACACCGTCGATCTCGATCACGATGATCGGACTACTGCAGTTCCCGAATCGCTTCCAAACGTCAAGGCAAAGCGTTTTTGTACCCCCGAGTCAACGGTGAACGTGATTTTGATGAAAAGGGTACGTGTCAGCTTTTTGTCATCCTGTCTTTTTGCGGTTTGCTTTTGGACAAGATTACGTGTCGCCTCTTCAGTTAGGACGCGTGGGGTGTTCTATTTTATGCTCGAAAGCAAACACTGAGTGCGAGGCCCACATGCTGGAGGACATTCATCGAGTTTCACCGGCTGCCGTCGGTAACGGGTACGCGGGTCGCAGTAATATACCCCCAAATTTGAATAAAGTTACGAAAATTACCCCTTGAAGTTCAGTGTTCTTATGATCCAAGTGGTGGTGATTGTGTAGATAGTGGAAAGAACTGGGGTAGAAAAATAATTTGGGAAAAGTGACTTGGATTCCTCGCTGGCGGGTGACAGGTCCGCCGGGCTCTGCCAGTTGGGAGTTCCGCCATTTCCGCCGGGAAGGTTGAAGCTTTCTCTCTCACCTCCGCCCCCCGTCTCTCTTCTCTCTCTATATTCTCTCTCTTCTCTCGCATGGTTGTCCCCTCCGCTTCCGCCGCTTTGTCTCCTCCCCCGCCTCCTTGTGCTTGCTTCTGTCCTCCTTGCTAATGATATGCGATCCGGGGGGGCGCTGCGGGACGATGGTTCAGGGGAAAGATCCGGCTATAAAGCTCTTCGGCAGGACAATACCAGTGGTGGGGCGACGGGCGGTGGGAGGGGCCGTGCGGGATTCCGATCCGTCCCTTGCGGATGGCGCAGTCGGGGAGATTAAGGTGAGGTTTCTGCTTCTCGTGATCCTTTTTTTTTGTCGGGGGGGGGGGGGTTGGTGTTTCTCTCATGGGGAAGGTTGGGAAGAGCTGCGGGAAGTGTGGAGGAGAAGGGTTGTTGGCCAATTATTCTACTCCTCCTATCCGCCGGGTGGAGCATTTGCTGGCTCTGTTCTGGATCGGATGCTTGTGGTCATGCTTTCGTTTCCTGGTTATTTTTGTTTGATGATCGGTTCGAGTGTTTTCGTGATATCCTTTTCTTTCGTCGAGATGGTAGATGTTTGGATCTGAATCGGCTTCGATATTTCAAGGCGCACTGTTTCTTCCCATACTCTCTGACTCATATTAGGTCGAAATTCTTCATTTCTTTCATCCCGGACTTCATACCTCGAGGCAGATGGGGGATTTACCTCACCTGGGATGATTCTTTTTAGCTGGTGTTCTCGCGTATTTTCTTCGCTTTTCTCGATGTAGTTCCCTGATCCTTGTGAATCCATGACTAACAGATCACAGGCGAAGGAGATGTGCTTTATTATTCGGCAAAATTTTAAGAAAACCTTAAGGGATCAAATCGGTGAGTTAATGGCCGACTTATCAAGTACTCCCATGCTCATCAGGGTAGAACAAGAGTTCCATCGCCAGATAGATTTCTGTTCTTGAAAATCCTGCATGTGGGTATGCGTAGAGGTGTTTCTATGTAGCCATGGACATTATAGTCACCTTCCAATCGAAATCATGACATGAATAAATCCCACTTCGAGTGGGATGATCAATTCACGTGGCTAAAATTTGTGGGCCTACTCCAGTCATATTTTAATGATTTCGAATTGAATTGGTTTGACTCTTTCCCATGATTTCTACCCGATTTGTATTTTCCAGGCAATGGGACCATTAAGAAGCCTAAGTTTGACGAACAATCACGAACTGTGGTGAAAGTACTCAGTTGGATTTTAGTTGGATTATTTAAAGTGTTTTCCCATCTTGGGCTGATTTTGTATGAGACTGTAATCCGTTGGGAGGGTTGACTTTCATCTCAGGTGAATCATGAAAGCACTGCTATCTGATTTCGAATTGACCTGGTTTGACTCTTTCCCCATGGTCTCGGAGCTCCACGCCCAATCCTATGATTGCTCCCCGATGTGTATTTTCCAGGCAACAGAACCATTAAGAAGCCTAAGTTTGACGAATAATCATCAACTGTAGTGAAAATACCCAGTTGGATTTTAGTTGAATTACTGGATTGTTTGAAGTGTTTTCCCATCTTGGGCTAATTTTGTCTGAGACTGTAATCCACTGGGAGGGTTGACTTTCATCTCTAGTGAATCAGAAAAGCACTGTTTTCTGCTTAATGTTGCTCTGCCAACTGAGGATTTGCCATTAATAGGAGTTTTTTTTTTTTTCCCAGGTTGGATTCAAAGGGAGAATAAATGCAGCGGCCAAGGAGGCCTTGCTTGAGGAACCCCATGGCCGAGATCAGATTGAGTCAAATCTGCCCTTCGTTGAAGAGAAAGAGCACGGTGAAGCTGACGGTTCTGTCCAGGAGAAGACCCTCAAGAGGCCGGACAAGATCCTTCCTTGCCCTCGCTGCAACAGCCTGGACACCAAATTCTGCTACTACAACAACTACAACGTGAACCAGCCGAGGCACTTCTGCAAGAACTGCCAGAGGTACTGGACCGCCGGAGGGACGATGAGGAACGTCCCTGTCGGCGCCGGGAGGAGGAGGAGCAAGCCCTCGCCGCCGCCTGAGCTTGTTCCTAGACGGTTTCCTGCGTGGGGCAGCAGTCATGGAGCAGGTCTGGAACTGGGTCCTGCTGAGATGGCCTCCTCTGAATCAGGGGACTCTGTTCATGGCCTCGGAGATCAGCGGAGAGATTCTGAGATCAATCCCACTGCCGTTGGTGTACAGAATTGTGAAGAACCCTCAGAAAATGGGATGCGAGGTTCTTTCCCTAGAATTGGGCCTCTGCAACAGTCGCCATGGATGAGCCATTGGAGCAGCATGGGAAGCTCTGGTCTGCCGCTGCCGCCACTGCCACCTTCGGCCTCGGGGAGGTGCTCGTCTGAGATGAAATGCCGCCAGGAGAAGGATAATTCCAGTCCTTTAATGAGGAGCTCTGGTCCTCCGTTGTTCCACGACCCAGTCTCCTTGAGCGGGTTATCAAGCTGGGCCAGCTCGTCACAGCCTCCCGGATCTTCTTCTCTGGGGAAGCATTCAAGGGGGCCTGGTCTTGCAGGCCAAGAACAGGAGGGAATTCCCCTCTGGGGTCCTAAAACTCCGAGGGGTAGTGACCGCCATTACCCTCCTGGAGGTTCTTTGTGGGTCAACCCTGATGCGGCTGAAGCAATTGAAAAGGGGGATATTTCTTGAGCCTCCCACTCTACGGATGACGAGGTACGAGCCCTTTGAATCTGATGTTTTAGGAGAAACGAGCAGGAAAGATGCCATTTTTCTCTGCACTTAATCTGATATAGGCATGTGTTTCCTTTTTCAGATGAGGAAGCTGTCGGTAGGGTTGACTTTATAGGAGATACCCGAGTATAGAGAGAATCCCAGAAAGGGAGACTCTGGGATGGGCCTGGAATGGCCACAGCTGCAGAGGCTATTGTGCTCCTTGTTTTCTCTTGGTTTCCCAAAAAGTAGGCCTTTTTTTTTGTGGAGAAAATGTGGTGATTTTTCGATTCCGAGGTTGCTGTGCATAGTAGAAACCTTAGTTTGCAGAAAAAAATTGGTATGTATATATATTGGAAGAGCGATATTTATTGGTAATTTCAGGAATTCCCTCTCCGACTCCGACAGGAAGCAGCAGCAGCTACCGAAACCCGGCGAAGCGCCGCCAGTCCGGCCACTCCTCCGGCGGCGGCGGCGCCGAGCAGGACCCGACCGACTCTCTCCTCCGGACCGGCCTCCAGTGGCCACGCAGGCCCATCACGAGCCTCTCCTTCTCCAGCTCCCGCCGCCCAGTCCTCCTCAAGCTCTCCTTCCTGGCAGCGGCGGCGCTCGGCCGCCGCCGGCCGCGCCATCCGGCGACCGGCGGCGGCGGCGGCGGTACAGGCACCGGCACCGCCTCCAGGCCCATCAGCTTGGCAACTATCCCGGGCTCGCACCAGAGGACCCTCTCGCCGGCGACGACGGCGGTGCCGCCGCCGGCGAACCTCCTCCTCTCGCCCCCGGCGAGGAAGGAGGACCTGTACATGGCGTCCCTCCCGTCGAGGGAGAATCGCGGGTACTGGTCCAGAGCCCTCCTCGCCGACCGGAGGACGTCGGAGCTGTTGACGCAGGACATCCTCCGCCGCCGCTGGCGGTCCTCCTCCTCCTCCGCCGCCACCTTTGCCCTCCTCGCCGCCGCCTCCTCCATCTCCAGCCGCCGTATCATCTGCTCCAGCGTCATCGGAGGCTCGACGACCTCCCCCTGCTCCTCCTCCTCCTCCTCCGTCGCCGCCGCCGTCCCCTGCTGCTCCAGCGTCGTCGTGGAGGCGGCGCCGCTGCAGAAGTTCCTGATCCCTTTCTTCAGCTTTGACGAGAGGGAGTTCTTCAGGAGGAACAAGGACAGGTCTTTCATGGCGGCTCTTCCTCGAAGGAGACGACCTCCTCCTCCTTCCCCTCCCTGGTAAAGACCACCGGAAGAGAGGGAGAGACAGAGAGAGAGACAGAGAGAGAGAGAGAGGGGGGGGCGGCGGCGTGCGGCGTGAAGGAAGTGAATGCCGGGGGGCGCCGCCCCATCGCCGGCTCGTGACCGGCGAAGGGGGAAGAAAGAGAGCAGCGGCGGGGTCACGGCGCGGCGGCTGGGGGTCATTGAAAGAAGCCTGCGCCTGGTCTCACTCACGTCTTCCACGTGGTAGTAATTAAATATTATTATTTTTACCGGTATAGTAAAATTGACTACACTATTTGAATTATTAGTTTTATTTCGTCACTGGTATTTATAATTAAGTTTAACTATAAATAAAATACAAGGAACCAAAACTTATAGTTAAGAACAATCATTACAGAATACATGAAAATTATATCAAAGAAATATATATACATATATTTTCATATATTATATTTTTTATCCATCAATTAAAATAGAGTTTATACATGATGTACATTTCAAATATATATATATATTTAATTAATAATTTATGTAATTAAAAATATGTAGCGATTTTTTTTAATAACTGCCTTATGATATTAACTAAAAATAAAAATGTTAGTAGTCGTAGAATCCGTATGGATTACTCGGGCCGGTTCCGGCCGACGGGTCGGATCTGGGGAACTACGAGCCCGGCCCCGGAGTTGCAGGCTACGGGGTCAGATTAGTGTAATTAACGTCGCAGTGACACCTGCGACGAACTATATATAATTGGATCTTGCACATGATTTGTGCGCGATTGGTTGAGCCGCCATTTCTCGTGTACAGGTAGAAACCCTAGAACTCCTGAAGTCCTGGTTCATAGAGTTCTACTTTGGTTTCTGGCGAATAGGCTGCGTTTTTCCGATCGTAGATTGAGTTCGTATTGCAATTATTATGCGCATTGGCCTCAGGCACATTATGGAATCGGATTTTACGATGCTGGACGTCGCTTTGGGGTTTGTTCCGGCATTTGCATTTACGGCCTTTATGTCCTTAGTGTGCTTGCTTATGTGATAATTCTTGCGTAATTATCTGTAGGTTTTTCTCCGACTTGCACCGTGTTCCCTTGCTGAAACATTGTGTCTAGATTTATGTTTTTTTGAAAACCTCGGGTGCAATTGTGTCCGCATGATGTGCACTGAAGTGTACTATCGACCTTGTATATCGGGCTAGACCCCGATCCTTGAAAAAAGGAAGCCATTCTTTTAGTAGTTAAAACTTCCAATTGAGAACTGATTAAGAGACTGTGCTGTATGATGCTGCACCGATTATTTCAGAGTTGTCTTGTAGATGCTTCTTTTGATTTTGCACGAATTACTCCACGGGATCTGATTCCTCGGGTTCATGGTTGTATTTGAGTTGCACACGTACTGAGGCTCCATAACATTCTAGTTGTTTGGTTGCTTAATCTCAATGTGCTATATAAAGCTTGGAATGGTCTTTGCAGCCTAATTTCACTAGATTTCCGCTGCTTGTTCTTTCCCAATATATTTATTTGCTTGAAGTTATCATGGGACATTGCTGTTTTCAAGCTTTTTCCTGACTTCCCTCCAACTTGTGTAGGCAAAGAAGATTGAAGAGGGGTTGGAAGTTAGCCATGGTTCTCAAGTAAGTATTCCCAAGACTTGCTTCACATGGGGATCATTTTTCTGGGGTATGTTCGGGCTACTCGTCTGAGATTGGCCTGGCCAGGTCGCCCTGGTAAAATTTTGGACGTGTACCAGATCCACGATAGTGACGCCCACATCTGGTGGAGTGGAAGGAACTTAAAAACGTGTCATCTCAGATAAACCCATGACACGAGCACATTGAGCTTGCCTAAAGCTCAGGGTTTATTCTTTGGATGCACAGGGTGGGTGTGTAGATGATGATTGTTTCATTTCTATTTTTGTTAGTCTAGTTCTGATGAAGATAAATATGCAGACCTTTATTTAGATGACATCTGTGCCGTTATGTGATTATATAAAGAGGTTACTTCTTATGGTTGCCTTCTTGTTTTCATCGCAAACAAACAATAAATAAGGGAATGCATTCTCTCTGTGCAGCATCGGATTCTTGGTACGATCTTTTAGATAAGGGAAGCGTGGGGATTGTTCTATTATAAAAAGTGCTCAGCTGGTCATGCTATTGATGATGACGACGGTCTTACAATAGTTTCCTTTTTGACTTGCAGAACAGAGTCGTGTCGTTTTAGTGGTGCGAATATATACCCTAGAAAGGGTATTAGATTTGCGTGTGCTGATTCTCAGGTAGACTAATGAGGTCCTTCACCGGGTAAAACTGAGTAATATTCGAATTTTACTTTAGCTTGACATCTACATGATGGTTTTTGCTTTCTGGTCTTCCTTTTTTCTGACTCAAAATGCAAACGGTATCTCCACAACCGTCTCAGGCCTGCCAAGCTTACCTTCACGGCACTGTACAGATAACAACACAAGAAGGTAGCATGCCTCTTCACGTTTCTTGGGCCTTTACCATATCTTATTTGGTTTTGTGCGTAATAAGTCATGGAAAATAATGGAGATTTTAGTTCTTCACACAGTTCACAGCTTCTTTTTTCTATTTATTTTGATCAATGTTGTTCTGATGCAACTCTTAGTAGCTGTCTCCTTTCCCCATTTCCCTTTACCAGAATCCCATGTCTTTCTGTCAGGTTTGAGTCCTCAAGAGTTGTTGTCTTGACAAACTTGTAGGACATCCATGTGGAAGCTCTACGGTATGATCTTGGTATTCTCTTCCATTCAGCTAGATGATGCATCAATATCCTGAGCTTCTTTATTTTCTTCTCTTGTATTTCCCCCCTAATCTTTGGATTCTATCTCATCTAACATGAGTTCCACCGTTTTATTCACATTGACAAGGAATGCTCGACGACACTTCCTCTGAACTCTCTCATCCTTCTCTTCTTTTCAGCTGGATTAGTGAGGGTGACTAAGACTAATGCCATGATGAACATTTTTTATCTTCTTGAGATTCTTTAGATTTTCATTCTTTTCTACTTTCCCAGAATGAAAGAGTTCGATCTAATCAAACGTGGGTTCCAGCCAATTGTTCAGATTGACTTCAGTGGTCTTTCTCATTTCCATAATTGGTGATGAATGCCCAATGATGATTGCTCAGAATCCTCCATATCATGCTTTGTTTCTATATGCACGTATATGTGTTGAGATATGTGCATCTGTTGTTGTCTTCCCCATTGGCAGCGAGATCAAGGAGAGGATTAAGAAGGCCAAGGACGATAAGAAGGCAAAGAAAGCCGAGCTGAATGGCCAAGCCTCAGAAACGCGAACCAAGGGAAGCCGGTCGCCTGCTTGGTGGAGGTGGAGGGAAGTGTTGACCAAGGCCAATCACCCCCCTCTTCTCTCTCTCTCTCTCTCTCTCTGTGTTTTCCCCATGGTTTCCTCAGACCCAGGGATGAGAGAGAGAGAAACCTTGGCGGAGGTGGAGGGAAGCTTTGAGCTGGGCCAATCTCTCTCTCTCTCCCCCCTCGTTTCCTGGATTCAACGAGGTTTATTTCCTCATGTTTTCCTCAGGCCCAGGGTAGGGGAGGGAGGGGAGAGAGAGAGAGGGAGATGATGAATTTTAGGGCCCATTAAGTAACGGGTCAGATTGAGCAGGACTTAATTTTACATGCCCGTTAATACCTTCGGAGCTTACTTACATAAATAATAAGATATGTTTACTGAAAAGATTTTTTTATTATAGTTAATTGATGGTTGAGAAACCTTTATTGAAAATTGTCGTCAGATTGAACCGGTTCGTCTCATGGATATGGTTTTTTTAATATATATATATATATATATATATTTACGGTGTAAGGCTAAGATATTGATCAGGACTTAATTTTACAGGCCCAATAATATCATCGCCCGCAAGTAAATTTATTTACACAAATAATGACTTGTTTTGCCGAAAATATATTTTATTTTAATGCATTTATTATAGAGGAAATTTTCATTGAAAATATTTCATCAGATTCGACCGGTGATCTCTTGGATTATGAAAATCGGGTTGGTTTTTTATAAAGTACAGTATAAGGTTAAATGGAATTGTCGGATCCAGATCCTCCTGGGTCGTGGGTCTTTGGAGCCAGTAGAGACCTGATATCGGATCCACTGGGGTTCTCAGGGGGCTGTGGAGGTGACGCCACATGTACGGGGAAATTCCGAAATTGCCATCGTCTTGTCCATTGAAGAGAGGAAGCCTCCGTTTGCTGCTTCCCGTCCGTCCGTAGCGGTTAGGGGAGATTCCGATCCCGCGGCTGGGGGGCTGAGGTGAGGGGCGACGTGTGCCTCGGCTCCAGGTAATATCTGGATCGGTATCCGTTCACATCTCCTTGCCGATTCCTGCACAGTCCAGCGAATCTGTCGCTCCCCAATCGCTTAAAACTGGTCGATCGCAAACCCCCCCGGTTTCTGGATGGATGATTGCTTTTTTTCCCTCGATCAATTTTGCGAGTTTGGTTTCAGGATTTTCCCCTAAATTTGGGAAACTGGTGGCCTCGTTTTGTTCTATCCGTGGGATACGGCATTTAGGCTTTTTTTTGTGCCCGTTTTTCTTTTTTCCAGTTGTGCCACCCAAATCCTTCTGCCACGATGATTCACGACGATTTCTCGTTGAAGATTTCCATCCCCCAAAGTATAGTCTGTTCTCTGACTATTCTTTCCGTCCTCCTGAGTGGGCCATTACACGGCTGATAAATTTCCCTTTATGGAGTGATTCTGTCGCCTTCGTTTATGCGTATTTCTCTTTAATCTGTTTAGGTTGAAATGGAGGGACTTAAAGCGGCTCTGTTTGTAGCCGTATTTCTGGCGAATCAGTTAGCTCATGGATTATCGTCGCCCGCGACAGTTCCAGCTTTCTTGTGGTCTCCTCACAATTACATGTGCGGTCCCTTCTCTTTTTTGACTTGGATATTTGAGGATAATACCCAAGCAGATGGATTGAATCGCTGTCTTATCTTATAGTAGTTTTATTGTTATCATTGTGAGTTTTGTTCCCTTCTAACACAGCTTAGTTGTCTCTTTGATCTCTTTCCCTTTACATTTATGAGGTTTGTAAATATGGTGACCACAGTGTCTGAAATAAGTAAGGAAACTAATGAAGTTACAGTAGAAAATCATGGCTGCCATAACAAAAGGCTCCAAAAATATATCTTAAGGAACATCTGGGTTTAATGAACGTGATCACGATATTGGCTGGACTTTATACCGTTCACCACCAACTCTGGGATGGTAACCGACCAAATGAAGTTCTCGATTGACACAGCATGATACCTTATCGAAAATGCATCCACTATTTTTGTGTTTTATGTAAATAACCGTGTGGTTAATGTGCATTATTTTGAGTATTCTTAACTAAAAATCATCGATGATTGTGCTTGTAGCTCTCTAGATATTTGCTTCCTTCTTCTAGTGGGTGATCTTTGATCTATTGACTAAATGGTTTATGGTCTGGAATATTTGCTGAGCGGATGTTGGGTTGTTTCAGAGACCCTCTTAGATTCCTGGCCTAAATACTGCTACAGAGATTTAGATTTTCGCCGTTTGTAAACTTGGCAAGCATTATGCCTAAATGCTTCTGAGTATCAGTGGCTACTACAGAGATTTAGATTTTGACGCATAGTAAATGTGGCAGATGCTAAACGTTATTTTAATGGCTTGAGGAATGTTTTTGTTAGATAATTATCAAAGCATTTAATTTATGGCCCTAGTGCCTGTAATTGTCTTAAGTAATAAAGTTCATTTTCAGCTTCATAGCCTAAATGTCGGGCATATTCTTGCAACAGGCTTTAGAAGCTCTTAGGGGAAAGTAGGTCTTATGCATTGAGTATTATTGCACTTCTGGATGGTTAGTTTGATTCAGTTGTGGATGACATAAATTTTTTGTGGACAAGGCCTTTTCCACGGAGTGGTTCCTGGTTTTTCATGCACATTTGTTGATTTTTTATTTATTTTTCATGTTTTTTCGTTTTACGTCTTAAATGATTCTCCATTGTTTCAGAGGTGTTATGTACTTTATTTACCATTCATTTTCTGGTGGTGAAGAACCCATTATATGTATATTACATGTGGGAAAGCGAGAAAAAATTCCATTATGCATATTATTGATGGATCCTTTAGGTAGGATCTTTAAAGGGACATGGAAATCTGTGAATCATCACGTACATTATTTGTGGAAGGGTACCTAAGGTTCACTGAATCTTTTTGTTCTTCTTCTAGCCAAAAAGATATATCTTACTGCAAATTCCTGCTAGCCCATGTTTGAACTGGTTTTTTCACATCAAGTCTTAAATCTCTCCCAAACCATATTCATAGAGATTTTATGTCTGCACAAAAGACACTGCTATTCAGTACTCCAACCAAGATGAAGACTATCATGTTTACAGGACGTTTTCCTTCCTTTTTATAGCTCAACTTGGTATACTCAAAAGAAGCAGTCATTTCATCTACCGGATTTACATTCATTCGTTACTGTTTGAGACCGGTATTATTTATGGTATCGTCTTACTCGTTCTTGCTTGTGTTATTGTGCTAAATTCCAGTTGAAACGAGGGAGTGCAATTTATCTTGAAAAGAAAACGGCGAAAACCTGAAATTTGAAATTCCACTCCGTGTACATGTTCTAGTATAAGTTTTTCAAATTGTTCATTCGTTCAAACAGATATCTTCTGTCAATCAGCGTTCTTCTTCTTCTTCCTATTATTATTATTATTATTATTATTTTACCATGAGGCATCTTAGTACATTTGGTTGTACACCCACTGTTATCTTACCAAACGCATCTGTATACTTGTACTTAATGGGCCTTCTGACAACTGGTAATAGGTTGGAGAGCTGATGACATGCATTGATCCACTGTTTTCTGCAAAGTCACGCATTATCTTGGAATCTATTTTCAGAATAACATGGGATTATGAAAAATCATGTTTCTTGTGATACAAGCATTGTTGGTTTTGATTCCTGGTTTACATTTACTTACATTTATTGGTATTCTTATTTCAATAATAAAAACCTAAACTTAAAATCTCAATTTGTCGTAGAAACTATGCTCTCCAAGTTACCTATCACTATGGGGAATGATGTTTCTTATGATACAAAGTTTGTTGCTTCGAATGACTTGTTTACATGTATATAAACATATGTAAATATACACATACGTGTATGGATTGATACTCCCCTCCGAATATAGAATCTCAGTGTGATTTAAAATTACGTGGAATAATGATTAGTGATGTTTCTTATGACACAAGTTTCTAGTTGTTTTAAATGCCTGATTTACATATATTTGCGAGTAATGTTTTTCTTATTCCAATATTGAAACTTTTACCAAAATCTCATTTTGTCATGTCAGAGGATCGCAATCTGGGGTGAAAGAAGTCGTTCGCTACTCTAGGATCTCCCCAAAGGAGTTAACTGAATCAGTTCTCTCCGAAGGAAGTTGGTCAAACTTATTGGTATATTTCATCCATGGATTATCTGTAACTTAACTAAAGTGGTCCATTATTTTCTTTCTTTCTTTACATATTTAAGTTGTGCAAGCAGTCAGAATGGTAATTTTCTCTAACAACGGGGTACCTTCCTTTAGTGTTCTGCGGAAAATCTTCAAGATGATGTGGATATTGCGCTTGTTTTTATTGGGGGAAAGGTAAGGCAGCCTTTAGATTATTAGCTTCTCAATAATCTGCAGACATGCATACATGTATCATCCTACTATAGCTGGAATTTTCTTCTTACGATGCTGAACCTTCATCCTTCAGTTAAGAACTTCTGACATTTCTCGAAGTACATCAGACCCATCTCTTGTGGACTCACTGAAGGTAAACCATCAAACTCTCTCTGCATGCCGCTTATTTGTTCCATTGCCTCTCCCAATATTCAACTTTTATTTTCGGGCTTACAAACTTTGTGTGTGTCTGTATCTCCTAACAGCTTGCTTTCACTCGCTCCAATGTCTCAATGGCATTCCCGTACGTTTCTGCATTAGATGAGGGAAAGGTACTGGAGACCTCTTTAGTTTCAGGGCTCACTGAGTTCTGTGGCCACGGACTGGGAGTGAACCGTGTTGCATACTTGGACTCATGCTCTATTGATAGGACAGATTTTACAAAGCTTCAAGGGCTCGACTCACTTCATGTAATCAAGTTCCTGTTATTCATTTCCATCATTCTATCTTTTCAAGTCAAAGCTTGACAACCTGATGGTGATTATGAACAGGAACATCTGAGCTCCAAGATGGAATCGCCCACGAGTGTAAAGACAGACCTGGTGGTTTTCTGCAGTGGAGGGGCCGAGCAAGTGGAAAATTCTCAATCAGATGGTATATTCTGTTCTAAATCTGGTTTGGTTCCTTTATACAGAGTGAACGTTCATTGTATTTTGCGTGATGGGATCTGCAGGGGAGATACTCTCTGAACTTATCACTTCTCTTGAGCAATTGGGTGCCAAGTACTCAGTCCTCTATGTTTCGGACCCACATAGAGCAGGCCAACCTTCTCCATATCCGTCACTGGGGAGGTTCCTCGCAGAAGGAGCTGGTCAGAATGGGTCGGCCAGCCTAGCTTTCTGTGATGGTGTCTGCCAAATCAAGTCATCACTTCTGGAGGGCCTCTTTGTCGTATGTGTCTCGAACTTGACTCGACACATCTTTCTGGTCTACTGATGATCACATTCTGATGCATCTTGTTCATTGTTTTAGGGGGTTGTTCTTCTAATCATACTAATTTCCGGGCTCTGCTGCATGATGGGAATTGACACACCATCGCGGTTCGAGACATCCCAAGAGTCGTGATGAAGGAAGGTGACACTTTCCTTATATGGCATGTGAGAAGTCTACTTCCTGTTCTTGATAACTGCAGTCATATTTATGTTTATCTCAGTAGTTTTGGGGAGGAAGAAAAGTAAGGAGGGCTTGATCTTCTGTAATAAATCTTGATCCTCCGAGCCATTTTATGATTAGCTTTGGTAATTTAATTGTATATTTTTTTTTACGTTCATGCATCTCGATGTAGCTGGATTCTGTTGGTGTCGTCCTATTTCTCTCGATTTATATTTTACTTAAACTAGAGTTGGAATACCTACTCCCGATTGGGCCTTCCCAGGTTCCCTTCTTTTGCTGCCTGAATGCAGGAGACCGTGTGAATCGTCTCAAATTCAGCAGCATTAGAGATAGATAGAGAGATAGGTAGGTAGGTAGGTAGGGGATTTGATACGATCTAATCTGGAACTCCTTGGACCCAATGGCTTATGTTCGATTACTTTCCACTCGAGTAGGAGCATTTATGTCAAAATGAGGAGCACTCAATGGGTTATTCCTCAAATCTTTTTCTGTGAAAGTATAAATCTTATGATCTATTTCAATATCTTGATTCTCTCATGAGAAACTAGCTTTTCTTTAAAATAAGGAAATTCATTTTTATAAAAGCGAAAAGTGTACAACCTCAGGCATCAAACCTTGATCCATCCTGCTAGAAGGATCACTTCATCATTTCTTGTTGATCTATAGGGTGATGCTAAATCAGCAAGTTCTATTGTCCATAATTTACATCTATGAAGGATAAATGCCCTTCTATACTCTTTTCCCCCCCCATTTTTATCACATTCCTTCCTTTCCAGATCTCCCATGGTAAGCATGCGAAAGTGACTCTCCGTGTGATCTCTGCCTTTGTTTCTCTTTGTTTTCCTCATGAGAAAGAACTCAACCATTCTTTTAGTGTTCTGGCAGCTTGATCATGAAGGTCTTCCACTTATTTAAGAACCAGGACCAGCAGCTGGTCGCCCACTTATCTTTTATCTTGCTCCTGATGAATAGGACAACTTGGGTGCCATAGACACACGCATTGAAAGTTGGCAACGTATGTCAAGGTTCTTCAAACAAAATTTTTCAGTCCTGTGTTATTGACACGCAAATATGAGTCATAACCCTGTGTTATGCTTCAACAACGAATCTGATAAAGATATATTCTCTTGTTTTTCCGAGATTTTTTTTTTTTTTTTTTACCTATGCAGATGTAATAACGAATGATAGGCTGCTTAACTATCTTAGATCATACATAATCTGTGAAGTATACAGAACCTCTTTTTAATACATTGTTGTCTCCTTACAGAAGATTCACAAATAACCTCCTTTTTTTTTAATACTGATTTTTCATAAATTGATTAATCACTCAGACAATAAATGTCGTATTAGTCAATTGACAATAAAATAAATAAAATAAATAAAATAATCAAAAAATAATTTGTATCCAAGTCTGTTACTAGAGATCTCTTCATCCTTTGATTATATTTCACATGTTGGTTCTGTAGTGACGTTTGGAATCTTTTCATTAGTTCATAGCATACGTTCTAGTGTATCCTTTTGAATCAGGTAAAACATTAGAATGATGAATATATACACCGTGTTAATATTTGATTGTGAAAACCCATTGGTGAGAGACAACATCAACACTCTGTTTGTGGTGGAACCGACTCCCTAGTGCCATGGGATCTCTTCCTCCATGTTAGTGTCGTATGTTGGAGGCTCCACAGCTTCTTCATAACTCCTTAAGTATAGACTTGTCACATCAAGGCCAACAGTACAAAAATTAATGGCAAAAAATGAAAATTATCTGTACACTTTGGAGTTGATGTAGTGATGATTACCCTATGATGGATATAGAGTCATCTCAAACAAGGTAGCATTAATATTGTACAATCTGACTCACACTTTTTCCATGCTATCTATCATAAATTTAACTAAGAATTCCGTGAATTTTCTCTCTCATCAGACACCCCTAATGTAACTTTTTTACTAACCATAATCCTCCATGGTATTTAATTGTAATTCCTAACTAAGCCATTACGGGATATTGTAAAGGTTTGTAATTCTTAGTGCTAAGTTAATGAAGAGATGGATATCCTCATTCTCTCCTTTCCCTCTCTCTCTCTCTCTCTCTCTCTCTCTCTCTCTCTCTCTCTCTCTCTCTATCTCTCTATCTATATATATATATATATCTTTCTCTCTCTCTCCCTTCGCTCCAATTCTACTTCCTCTCTCTCCTTGCCCTCTCTCTCTCTCTATATATATATATGATGGATATCTCTCTATGTATATGCTCGAATCCACCTCTACTTGTTTGTGTGCGTTTGGGCCTTATATTGCCACTAGTTTACCTACACCTGCATCCTACATTAATCCACACGTGTGTCCATGGCTGATAAGATCCTCTTCACATCCTCCATTTCTTTTCACATGGTAGCATGTTTATGTAATACTCGGTATTTTATTAATGGGGTCGAGCATGTTCATGAAGAATCTAAATTTTAAATGTTCTCATGACCGGCTTTCTTCATTAAGTATTAATGAGATGACCAAATTCTTATATAATCATACATGGTGTTAATTTTTGTGTCATGTCCCCTATCACATTTAGCATTATGTCACCTTAAAATGATATAAGAGCATGCATGTGAAGGATATTGATATGAGAAACAGCCATAAGGATATTGATGTTAGAAGTCATGATGAAATTGAGTATCATCCTATGAGGGCATGGAATATATATCATCCTTGGAATGAAATAAGTAACAAGAATGATGAGAGAGCTTTTAATGGTTAACATACAATATGAAATCAGAGGGATCTTGCTTTAAAACCATGTTAAAACGGTTTACAAGGGTTCAAAGTTGTGGTTTTCCTACTCTTCTATTCTATTCTATTCTAGAGAGAGAGAGAGAGAGCACGTTTGGATCTCAAACCTAATTACATCAACTAAAGCTAATGAAATATGTTACCAGTAACTTAGTAAAATTTATGTGAAAGAGTTAACAAGTGCAATTATGAATTTGATAATTTTACCCATCTTCCATTCATGGATCTTTTAATGAAGATTTTGAATGTTTTCCTTTATCGATTAGGTAAATAACCCCCACCTATCTGAAGTTGCTAAAAATATCATCTTTCTTGCTAATACAAATTATAAAAATATGAAAAACATTACCATATTTAAGAACATACAAATTCTTTATTTAGTAATAAATAAATAAAGATGCGGTTACTCCCTAAGGCGACAATCTCTTCATTCCAAAGAGCTAACTCAGATTTATCTTTACTATCTCAATGTCCCTTTTGAAATCTGACATATTATTATACTTGGGGGATTGATGAGTCTATCCATTACTTATCCTTGCCTAGTATCATTTTTACCTACATGTCTATTTCTAGTTGCCATACCACATGAGCTCCTCTTTCTTGCCTTTAACATGGCAATTAGTCCCAACTCACCCCACTAACCTAGTAGCCCTATTTCTAGTTGCCATGCTACAAGCTCTCAACAGTGGCCCCTTGTATCACTTGATCTGAGTCTACAGTTTACGCTCCAAAACTGTTGGACTAGGGACACGAGGCATTCTAGTACACATGAGTCCAGGCCTTTGTGTGAAAAATAGCATTGTTTTCCTTTGGGAACAGATTAGGTAGAGAAGATGACCCCTAAAATGATTTCAAATATATTAAAATAAAGATAATTATTTAAAATATATTTGAGGTTGTTAAGATATCTTCTTGGGTTGGTGAAATGAGCTGGTCATTGCGTTCAATAAACACGAGCTTCATATTTTCTTAATTTTTCTTCTGGCATCGGAATTGGTATTTTATGAGATCACCGACACGAGAGCTATTTTAAAAATGCAGAACGAACAGGCCCGAGTGAGGGGCACGTGCGATTTTTTTGCCCAGATCTCCGATTGCGTCACGGGATAGACTTGCCATTGCGGCTCGTGCACGTGATCCACGTTGACCCGGGGGAGGGGAGGTGTACAGGTGGGGCAAACAAGTCTAATAATTAAATGAATTGGAATTTATAATAATATTGACCTCCATTAAAAAAATAATTATTTCAGTTACGAATGAAAACTGCCCGGGTAATTAATTAAAGTCACGCCCTTCTCCTTCTCAAGTGAAGATCCGCTAGACCGCTTGTGGCACCTGGCTTCCTCTCTCTCTCTCTCTACTATACGCTTCTTACCTCCCCACACTGTCCTACAGAACTATTGTCGTTGCATATGTCAATAGTCATAAATTGATCTTCTAGGTAGTGTTTAGTTAGCTCAATCCCTTTTATATTGCTCCTTTAAAGAAGAATGTCATCAATATGTAAAATAATAATAATTCTGAATTAGTTTACTAAAAAAAAAAAAAAAACAACCAGTGTGACTTCTAGAAAAACCGAACTAGATTGCGTTGTTTATGGGATTTGTTGAAGACCATCCACTGTAATTCTTAAGCTTGTGGACATGAGAGGAGTCCCTTTGAACATCATACTTGGCAGGTTCCTCCACCTATACTTGTTTAAGTTCTCCATGGAAGAAGTCATTTTTTTTTAAAGTCCAATTGATATATTGACCAATTGGATAACATAACTTATATATACATAATTTGAGCCATTGAAGAATCTTTTCAGTATTTCATAGCGCTCATTAGAGTGTATCCTTTTGAATCATGTAAAACATTGGAATGATGAATATAGACACCATGTTAATATTTGATTGTGAATACCCATTGATGAGAGACAACGGCAACCTCTGCTTGTGGTGGAACTGGCTCCCTGGTGCCACGAGAACGAAGGGCATAATATCTCTTCCTCCATGTCAGTGTGGTAGGTCGAAAGCTCCAGGGCTTCTTTACATCTATTGAGTATAAAGACATGACACATCAAGGTCAACAATTAAAAGTAAGAGAAAAAAACGCAAAATAGATGTAATGAGAGATAAGCTATTTAGAGGTATCGACAGGTGAGTTAAGGTTACAAGATGATGAAGTCGAAGGGTCTGTAGATGTAAGAGGGCGATGAGCAGAATGCATGAGAGCAGGCTCGTCTTAGGAGGGGGAGAGAGAATATAATGAGGTTATGGAACGAGAAAGTACTTTGGAGTTAATGTAATGATGGCCCTATGATGGATATAGAGTCATCTCAAGGAAGGTAACATTAATATTGTATAATCTGACTATTCATGCTTTTCCGCTACCATTTATCATAAATTTAACGAAGAATTTCGTGATTTTGATATCTCATGGGCACCCCTACTCTTAACTTTTTTAATACCCATAATCGTCCATGGTATTTTGTTTTAATTCCTTGCTAAGCCATTACGTGTAAGGACTTGTAATTCTTAGTTCTAAGTTAATGAAGGGATGAATGGAAACTAAGGTTATGAGCAACTTGCAGCTGAAAGATAGACTCAGGTGAGAGGGCATGATCAAACTATGGCGAGAAGCCTTATATCCTCTTTCTCTCATTGCCCTATCTCTCTCTCTCTCTCTCTCACACACACACACACACTCTCTCTCTCTCCACATTCGCTCCAATTCTACTTCCTCTTCGATGCTCTAATCCACCTTATCTCTATTCGTTTGTGTGCATTTGGGCCTATTATTGCCACTACCTACACCTGTACCCTACATTCACCCACACGTGTGTCAATGGCTGATATGGTCCTCTTCACATCCTCTATTCCTTTTCATAGAGTAGCATGTTCAAACAATACTCCGTAGTTTATTAATGAAGTGAGCGTATTCATGAGAAATCTAATTTTTACATGTTTCTCATGTCTGACTTTCTTGATTAATTATCAATGAGACGACCAAATTCTTGTATACTCATAGCATGGTGTCAATTTTTGTGTTCTCCCCATCACGTTAAGTATTATGTCACCTCAAAAGGATATAAGAACATGCATGTGAAGGATTTTGGTTCGAGAAACACCTGAAAAGATTACAAGCTTTCATTATGCAATCTATTTTCATGATGTTTAGACGTTGTGACAAAATTTGACTATCATCTTACAAGGATATGGAAAATATCTCATCTTTGGAATGAAATGAGTGAGAAGAATGATGAGAGAGCTTTTAGTGGTGAACCTACGATATGAAATCAGAGGGTTCTTGCTTTAAAAACATCATAAAAGTGTTAATTAGAGTTAAAAGTAGGGGTTTTCCTACTCTTTTCATCTAGTGTGTGTGTGTGTGTGTGAGAGAGAGAGAGGAGTGAGGGAGAGAGCAACTTGGGTCTCCTCAAACCTAAGTACATCAAGTACTGAAGCTAATGAAATATGTTACAAGTAACTTAAGCAAAAATTCTACAAACTAAATAAGAAGTTAAGTATGAATGAGATTATATTAAACCACCTTCCATACGTGGATTTTTAGTAAAGATTTTCAATATTTTCCTTAGTCAATTAGCTCAATAAATTCCAACTAGGTAATGTTGGCAAAAAGATCATCTTTCGTGTTAATTAAAATGATAAAAATGTCAAAAATAGGAATATATTTAAGATCTACTAACTTTATGTTTAATAATAAAAAAGGCAGTTACTCCCTAAGTTTGATTGCACTATCCCAATGGCTAGTTTGAAGTCTAACATGCATTATTATACTTAGGGTATTGAGCTAGAAGTCCATTTCTAGTTGTCATACCACATGAACTCCTCTTCTCTTTACGATAGCAATGAGCCCCAACTCATCCCCACTAACCTAGAAGCCTATTTTCAGTTGCCATACCACACAAGCTCTCTACAATGGCCTGTTGCATTGCATGGCAGCCACCCTTCCCCAATCACCTAATCTTGGACACATTTAGGCTCCACAATTGCTGGATTAGAGACGAGTCTTTCTAGTAGAGATTAGTCTGACCGTTTGTGTGAAGTATTATTTTCACTGGGAACTGATTAGTTAGAGAAGATGACCTCTAAAATAATTTCAAATATATTGAAATATAAATAACTCTTTAAAATATATTTTAATTTATTAAAATATTTCGGGTTGGTGAAAGGAGCTAATCATTTCTTTCGAAAAACACAAGGTTTTTTATATTTTATTTTTATTGTGACATCGGAATTTGTATTTTATGAGATTAACGACACGAGCTTTATTTTTAAAAAACGCAGAACGAACAGGTCCAAGTGAGGGGGACGTGAGACTCTAGGACCAGATCTCCGATTGCGTCACGGGATAGACTTGCTCATGGCGGCTCGCGCACGTGACCAACGTTGACCGGGAGGGGGGAGGCGTTCAGGTGGCACAAAAGGTCTAATAATTAAATACATTGGAATTAATAATAATAGCGAGTTCCATTAAAAAACTAATTATTTTAGTCACGAGTGAAAATGGCTTGGGTGATTAAAGTCGTGGCCTCCCTCTCAAGCGAAGATCCGCCATGTGGCACCTGGCTTTCTCTCTCTACTAGATCTCTTCTGACCATGATGAGGCAGCGTCTAGACACCCCACCGACACGTCACAGCTTGAATATAACACTCTCTCTCTCTCTCATATGGGCCGGTTCAAACAAGAGTGTGCTTCCGGGGGGGTTTTCTTTTAGGCTCGAAACGACTTCACGGCCGCCTTCTCGTCAAGTTTGTATCTTTTAATGGTAAGAAGACAAACGAAATGGTGGCCTGGACCGCTGCCATGGTCAGTCTAATCCGATCGTCCCGGTTGGCTTCCTCGTCTCTTGGCCATCTTATCCACCTGGTCCATCCCAGCGTGGGCCCACTGCGCCCGTCTCCGTTCACAGAGCCCCCCCCAATGATTAATGACGAGAATTTGCGATAATAATGTCGGTGACAGTTAGTAGTCGAGGAGGATGATTATGAGGCTATGGTTCATAATATTCACAGATTAAAAATTTCCAAGGTCATCTCCCCACGGGGGGCTTCTTTTCGATTTCATCGAAGAAGTTCCAGGTGAGAGTTGAGCAGCCTGTGCTGGTTACATGGGAGAGAGGTGGCGTCTTCGCCGTCCCCGGCGCCGGTGCAGTGGCCGTCGTACCGGTCGAAGGCGGCGGCGGTGGGGCCGCCTTGGTCGGCCGCTGTTCTCTGACGCTTCGGAGGGGACTCCTCCGCTGTCAGAAGAGAGAAGATGCCGCCACCGTCCAAGTACTGGTCCAGCTCGGGGGCCCTCATATCGGAGGGGTTCTCGTGGAGCAGCCGCGCGAGCGCGGAGAAGTCGGCGTCGTTGAACAGGTCGCTCAGGGAGGCGTTCTTCGGCAGGCGGCCGCCGCCGCCGCCGCCGCTGTGGCTCGGTGGGAAGTAGGTGTCCTCCACGGTGGAGGCCTCCTGATCTCGATCAGACGGCAAGCTCGGGTGCTGGTTGTTTGACTTCTTGTAGATCCGGCACAACACCCAGTCGTCCAACTGCAAAGAATACAGCGTCAGCACTCTCATGATCAAAAAGAAAGAAGACGACAATCAGATCGTTCGTCTTTCGTTGACGAAGAAGGTAAAAGAGTGTAACTTCGATTTCTCACCCTCATGGAGGAGTCGCGGGGCCGCTTGAGCCCGCCATGGTGGCGGCCGCCGGCGCCGTCGACGAGGCGGTATTCGTGCATAATCCAGTCGGTCTTGATCCCCTTGGGCGGCCGTCCCTGGTAGAAAACCAGCGCCTTCTTCACCCCGATGTTCTCCCTCCTGGAGGCACCGCCGTCGGCTACAATCGGCTTGTCGGTGCCGGTGGCCTTCCAGTAGCCTGACGCCGCCGCCCGGTTGGGCCGCACGCCGTTGGGGTACTTCCGGTCCCTCGGACTGAAGAAGTACCACTCCTTGTCCCCAAACATCGCCTTCGCTGCACGAACCCACCACAGCGCCGCCGCAACGGTCGGGTCAAAGAAACCAGGAGAAGGAGAAAGAAAAGAAACGACTTGTGGCTGGATGGAATCCTTCTCTCACCAGGGAGTTCCCAGGGATCGAACTTGTAGATGTCAACTTCCGCGATGATGGAGACGGGGCAGGGGAGAGAGGTCGCCTGGTTCCTGAGGTAGTGCTGGATGAGCTCCTCGTCCGTCGGGTGGAAGCGGAATCCTGGTGGCAGCAGCGTCTCCGGGTTCGCCATGGCTCAGAGCTTGGTGGCGCTGCCGATCATGCTGCGGTGGTCGACCCCCCAGTAGCGGTGGTGGAAGCGGCGGCGCCGCCGGTGGAGGAGGAGGAAGAAGAAGAAGAAAAGGAAGAGAAAGGGGAAGGATTGAAAGCTTTGGGGACGAAATGGTGCACTGGTTTTATGGCTTCGGATTTTTTGTCGTCTAATGGCGGCGTGGGCCCAACTTAATGAGAATTTTAGCAAAACGACAAAGGACAAAATAACGCATATCAAACGCGGCCGCTTTCACCACGTACCAGGGCCGAGGGGAGCGCGGGAGGCGTGCTTCAACGGTTGGATAAGGGCTTCTTCACTGGCACGTGTCGAGTGACCAATGGGCCTAGAGAGTCCGTCGTCCAGTCCACGTCACCGCCGCCATTGAGTTAACCTCCATCATTGGCGTCCCCTTTGCGGCGACGTAGCACGTCGGCGGCCCCACATTTTCTGCCACGTGTCGACCTGAGCCTTCACCGCAACCAGAATCCAATTCCCGAAACCCATAGTCCCGGTCCGATCGATCAAATCGGGACCACTGATTCTCCGTCTTTTAAACTAACCGACTCTCTTTAATCATTATTTTTTCGGCCGTCGGAATGACCACGTGCGGTTCCCGGACTACCACGTGGGTCCTGTCTTAATTGGCGGCATCTGGGTGGATTAGTTTCCGTCATTAGCAGCGGCGGGGTGTAATCAGACGGCACCTCGGCCAGCTGTGGAGCCTTCGTGGGGGAGGCATCGCCGTCGTCTCTACGGAGGGTTAATTCTAATTATAGTAAGTTTTGGCCGTCTCCTCCACCTCTCACGGGAGATGGTGATGGTGGTGGTAGTGGTGGGGGAGGGATTCCACCTTATCGGTGAATGAGGCGGCGGCGGGGGGGAATATGGACCGCCGTGGACGGCTGAGGTGGCGCAGCGCCGCCTGGTGACGACGGCGGTGACGGCGACCCGGGAGGCGAACCTTCCCCGAAATGTTCTCCCCCGGCGGCGATGACGATAGTGCCAAGGAAGAGGCTCGCGTATGCTGTGGATACCAGATTCCGCGGGGAGAGCGAGAGAGAGGTCTTTTGTTTCAAAGATATTTGGATATTTAGTGTTTTATGATGCATGAGATTGACCCATCCAACTCGCTCTCCTCCCTAGATTTCATGGGGGAAGAGAGAGAGAGAGAGAGAGAGAGAGAGAGAGAGAGAGAGAGAGAGAGAGAGGTCATTTGCTTCAAAGATATTTGGACATCAGTTTGTTATGATGCGTGAGATTGACCAGTCCAACTCGCTCTCCTCCCTAGATTTCATGGAGAGAGAGAGAGAGAGGGAGAGTTGTTTCTTGGCTTCCAAAGATATTTGAAGGACTGTTTTGTTCGGAGACGTCAGGTCGTAGAGGTCCAACTCTCTCTCGCTCTGAGCGGTCTGCAGTGTAGATAGAGAGATACATCGACATAGAGAGATGGAGAGAGAGAGAGATCAGTCTGCTACGTTCATGAATGTGGACGGTTCTGCACACATGGGTCGTGGTCAACTGTCAGGGAGGGGAAACAAGTGCGTTAGGACAGGTAGGACGGCGAAGTCGGGGAGTCGTCCTCCCGACTAGAAAGCGACAAAAGACATGGTCTTGATGATTATCTATTCAAACCCCACGAACCCATGATTCGACAGAACGAGGATAGATGGTCGAACAGAGCCAACCCATCCCTCCGCCTTTCACATCACGACGCGTATCCATGGCATGCGCATAGGACCGGCTCGCCGAGAATATTCTCTCCCCTCTCTCTCTCTCTCACACTCACACACACACACACACACGAGCCCCTCCTATGGGTATGCTATGGATATCATCACCTAATGTTTGTGTGTGTATGTATAAATGTCTGAGGAAGAGAAAGGGTGAGAGAGGGGGGAGAGAGATTTGACCTTTTACGTCGTCCCGGAAGACGCTCTCTCCCAAGGATGGGGATTCAATCGAGATGAAGAAACCCCGTGGAAGCAAGGGCTCCACGTCGGCAAGGGAGGAGAGAGAAAGTTCACCTCGAACAGCAGTGATAGGGAGGAGGGGGCGTGTTGCTCTCCCATGCAGTCCAACGACCCTCGACTTATCCTTATCCCTTTCCGCACCCCAAGAATGTGATCCTCACGTTACCCCACCTCACCCTTTTACGTAACCGTCCCTCTCCTCTCTCTCTCTCTCTCGCCTCTCTCCTTTCTCTCTCTTGTCTTTGTCTCCTCGTGCGTTGTGACTTAACTAGCTTTACTAGCTGAGACTGCTTCGATCGTTATCTAACAGTCGCAGTGTTGCGAGCCGATTCTCACACCGTTATAGATGCGGCGAAGTCTTGTCACCAGAAAGGCTGTGATATAGGCGTCGCGGGCATTTTAGTCATTCGGTATTTCATATCTTTCAAAGGAGAGAGAGAGAGAGAGAGAAACAGAAGCATGGTTTTTTTTCCAGCTCATGCCCGATCCGGAGCTCTGTGAGTCTAATGGGCCCTGCATAATGGGATCTCTTTGTATCTGTAATGGGCTGGCAACACCAGAGGGAATATCCTCCTTGGAAAGGAAACGCCAACCTCCGCCATGCACAATCTCTCTCTCTCTCTCCTGTAGTTTACAAATGAGTGGTCGTTCGGTCTAAGAGGGAAGCGGTTTCCCCTTCTCCTTGGTGCATTCTCCCCCTCTCTGTCTGTCTGCATCTTTCAAATTCAAACCAGAGGACATCCGATCTCCTCCTCAACAACTCCACGAGTTGCCTTGTTCCTGAATTCGGGTTTTCCTAGCGCTGCTTGCTTGCGGCGCACAAATCCCGCGGAGGAGGGCTTCGTCAACCTGCACCGCAAGACAAACCACCGTTTCCGCGAACCCAATGATTCCCCCCCCAATTAATCTCCATTGAAGCTCCTATTAATAGGAACCCCGGTGGAAGCCATGGCGGGAGGAGAAGGTCTCCGAGTTTCTTGGATGGCCGCAGAGGTGGTATTCTTCGACGTGGAGACGACCGTCCCCAACCAGCCGGGCAGGAGGTTCTGGATTATGGAGTTTGGGGCCATTCTCGTTTGCTCTCGGAGGTTCGTGGAGTTGGACAGCTACTGCACCCTCATACGGCCGGGGGACCTCATGGCGGCGCCGGAGACGTCGGGGAGGAGCGACGGCATCACCCGCGGCGCCGTCGCCGCCGCGCCGACGTTCGAGGAAGTGGCAGATCGGATATTCGACGTGCTCAACGGTGAGTATGGAAGAGGAGGTTTGAAGCTGGTGTGTGGAGTGGGGAGATTGAGCTCTCCATGTGTTTAGTGGATTTAAAAGCGATGAAATGACAGGGAGAGTGTGGGCGGGGCATAACATCCAGCGCTTCGACTGTGCGAGGATCAGGGAGGCCTTCGCAGACGCCGGACGCGCTCCTCCGATGCCCGCGGGGATCGTCGACTCCTTGACGATATTAAATCAGCAGTTCGGTCGTAGGGCCGGGAACCTCAAGGTGGCCAAGATCTCTACTCCTCGTCGTCATCATCATCATCATCATCATCATCTCTCTCTCTCTCAACACTCGTCTCAATTCTCTCTCTCTTCATGTCTCTCTCTCCTTCTATCTCTGACCACCCTCTCTCGATCTCATTCTCTCCCTCTCTCTGGAGATCATTCTAATATAGTAATAAAAGCTAATAAATACATGAAAATAAATGGGTATTTTTCAGTACCAACAAATGATATCAGGGATATGATTTCTAACCATATTTTTTATATCTTCGGTTTGTTTTTCCTCCTCGAAGTTACGTTAATTTTCTTCAAAGAGCATTATGAGTAGGATCAAATATTAATATAATGGCTCGAACAAGTATTCCTTTACTTCTCGGGAATGCAGGTGATCATCACCCCATTTGATGTATTTTTTAAAAATTCATGTCTTCAATTTCCTTTCAGATGGCAACCTTGGCCTCTTACTTTGGGCTCGGAAAACAGAAGCACAGGTAACAGCTAAGCTTAAGAAGCCTAATTTTTATACGTCTCAATGCACCGGCTACCCGAGGGCCCATGTTATCTTACGGTTACCTGGATTACTGAGTGACTGACTATCTCTCTCTCTCACTCGTCGATGTTCTGACGTTTCATCACTGACGCAGGAGCCTGGATGACGTCCGAATGAACTTGGAGGTCTTCAAGTATTGTGCCACAGTATTATTACTCGTAATATTCTATCACTAGCCATATTTTCAATGTGCAGATTTTATCCACGACAAAATATATAATATTTGTTCCTAAGAAAACGGGAAAAAATATCAAAACTTTCTCATTTTGAAGTCATACACCTTTCAAAATATGAATTACTCGTATCAATAGGGTTTCTATGAGAACGACATGGACGAGTAAGTAGTTCAGAGGAACCCTGCACCCGGCAATCCCTGCCAGCACAGAGGAGTTTTCAAACCCAAGGAATTTCCGGCGGAGCTTCTGAGTGCAGCCCGGGGGCTGCGCTGCCGCCAAAGATTTCCTTCGTCCTGCATGCTCATGTGGACTCCGTGGATATCTCGCAGGAATCGAGCCTGCCGCAGGTTTTATCGAACGACGGAGGCGTCCATGGCCCGGCTGTTCTAACGAGGAGCAGGGCCCGCGGGGAGGAGCTGGCTGGGAAGTCTCCTCCCCGCTGCCCCACACCCCCGCCGCCGCAGCCGCCGTCGCGGAGACCTACTCGCAACGGGAAGAAGGAGAAGCTCGCCGGAAAGGTCGTCGGCCACTCCTCTGATTCCCTCTCCCTCTGACCGTCTGAAGAATGACGAGACCCATGGAAACCCTCGTGCAGGCGATCGAGGCGGCGAAGGGGATGGCGAGGTGCGCAGGCCAAGGGAGGCCGCCCTCCCTCGCCGGCCTTCTCAGGCACTCCGGGGCTCTGATCAGATGAGAGCTTCTTCCGGTTTTTCCCTGTTTCTTTCGTTGGTCAGATTGTAATTTTGTTGCGAAAAAAATATTATTTTCATTCTAAATTGACAAATGGGATTGTTGGTGGACCGCAAGGGCTCGATCGCTAGCTCAGTGTCAAAATAGGGCCCGAATAGAAAGATCGCTAGTTCATGTGGCTGCTGCATGAGTATACTTTAAACTTTGGTTCATTTCTTTTATATAAAAAGTAAAATCAGAACTTAGAGAGACGTGGAAGTAGAAGTGTTTGGGAGATGTGCAAGGAGCCTACTCACATATTACCTGTTCGGGAGACGTGTGAGGGTTTGTGTAAAAAAGAGAGCGGGAAACGAGGGTGGTTGAAATCATCACCTATTAAATGTGTGGGCTCGCCCTCACGTAGATCTAGATGATTTATTTTGGGGGATGATTATCTTTTTCCTTTTTCTACAAATAATATATATATTTCTTCTTATTGAGGACGACTGATGACAAGATCTATCTCTTTCTTAATTCTATTATCTCTTCTTTTTTGGTCTCTTCTTTTTCTTTTATTATAAGTTAAGTCTTGATAGAAAGATATACCAAAAAGGAAAAGATTCTGAGACGTAGATTATAGGTGTTTAGTGGAAGTCTTGTTCTCATCAAGATTTTTGATAGTTTAATGATTTTTCTTCTATTTACTCTCACTAATATCTACAAATTAAATATTTGTTGTTATTGTGATTCTGTGTTTGTATATTTATTTCTACAAGTGATATTAGAATATTAGTTTGATTATTTTTAGATTTATTATGACTTCTAAATTATATATTGATACCTAGAAGTTGTATAAGTCATTTAATTTCAAAATTTGGAAGTATCATGATGTGCTGTTACATATGGACTTGTATAAGACTTTGGATGGATCAAAGTCATACAAGATTAATGCTAATGATTGAAAGATAATAGAGAAGAAGTATAAAAGTTTTATTTGTACATGTTTGTTTGATTGAATTCTTCAATAAGTCATGAATGAATATAATCTCAAGAAACTTTAAAAAAAGTTTGAGTGATATGTACCAAAGTCGATGATGAGTAAATTGACATTGAAGATAAAATTATTTAAGTTATACATGTGAGAAGAAGATGATTTAACATCTCATATTGAATATTTTAATCAATTATTGAATAATTTATTTCATATAGAATTAAAATTTTCTAATAAAAATAAAGTTTTTTTTCTTAATTCATATGATCATCTTGTTATGACTTTTGTTACATGATAATACAATACCTATTCTTGAAGATATTATTGATTTATTGATGAAGTATTATCATCAGAAAAAAGATGTTAGTGAAGCTTGTGGTGAAGGTTTGTATGTGAAGGATGAAAGAAATCATGAAAGGTAGAAAAAGAAATAAATTGTCAAGAGACAAGAAGAGTTAGCCAAAGTAACAAACAAATTCATTGAAAATAAAATTTATCTTAAGTGTTATGAAAAGATACACTTTTGAAGAGATTGTTCAAATAATTAAAATGATAAAATAGTAAGAGGTGAATTTAGTTTGAATAATGTTGCAAAGGTTGAGGACAAAATATTGTGAAGTCTATTTTAATCTTGTTGTAGTTAAAGAGTTATCAAACACATGAATTCTTGATACTAATTGCTCTTATCATGTCTCAAAATGTTGATTGATTTAACTCATACAAGAGTACAATGTGAGTTATTTTCATAAGAAATAATATGAAGTTATTGGTATTAGTTCAGTAAAGGTTTAGATATTTGACAAGGTGGTCCGAGAACTTAGAAATATTTGTCATATTCTGATATTGTACTATAATTTGATTTTGCTTAGAGTTTTGGAGATGAATGAATGATGCTTCAAATGTGAGAATGTGATTATCAAAATTATTAAAATTTATTGTGATGAAGAGAAGATGTCAGCAAATGAATATTTATAAACTTGAGAGGAGTACTATTGTAGGTGGAGATTGTGTTGTGACATTAGATGATTTCATAATTGATGACACTCTTTATTGGTTCTTATGATTGGGCTATTTGAGTAAAATAAGTATGCATAAGTTATGTGCACGATGATTATTAATTAGAGTAAAAAATTGTAAATTTAATTTTTGTAAGTATTATGTCATAAAAAAATAATATAGGGTGACATTCAAGGTAGTAAAATATGAGACGAGCATTGTGTTAGATTATATTCATTCATATGTGTATGGTTCAGTTGATGTGACATTAATGGGTGACACTTGTTATTTTCTGACCTTTGTTGATAGTTTTTTCAAGAAAGTTTAAATATTCTTCTTGAAGCACAAGTCATAAGTATTTATAAAGTTCAAGATAGTGTGCGAAGCTGGAGAATCAAACAAGGAAGAAGATCAAAGTCTTGTAGATTAAAAATTATATATAATTTAAGAATTCTGACTTTGATTAATTTTGTGATGAGTATGACATTTAACATCACTAGACAATGAAGAAGACTTTGTAGTATGAGTGTTGTTGGACAGATGAACCACATAATTATTAAGAGAGCATAATGTTTATGGCTGAATGCCGACTTATTTAAGGAGTTTTGAGCTTTGAGCAAAAATTGTGAGTATGACGATTTATTTGGTGAATTTATCACCAAATTTTATTTTTGATGGGAAGGTAGCCAAAGAAGTATGGATTGAAGATCCTATTTATTATTTACATTTACATATATTTAGATATTTAAGATATACATTTACTTTTGTTGATGAGAGATCAAAGTTAGATCAAAAATTGAAGAAATGTATCTTTTTGGACTATAGGACTAAGATGAAGGGATATTAACTTTGAGATTAAGAAACGAAAAAAGTTATTTTCAGTAGGTATATGGTCTTTAATGAAGATTACATATTGAAATCCTTTTCTATAGAACATATGATTCAAGAATTTGATGGTATTCTTGTTGAAAATAGAGTAAGACTAGAGGTCTAGTCTGTGCATAGTCTTCTCAATTGTGTTGTGAGTGAAGATTGAGTTATAAAATTATCAAATATTTCTGATTATATTACTATTAGATGGAGCAGGTGTGAAGTAAGGTTTCTTACTTATCTTAATGACTACATTACTTTTGTATTATTTATAGGAGATGGTAAGTTCACAACTTTTTGAGAGTTAATTAATTATTTTGAAAAGAAAAAGTGACTATAGACAATGTTTGAAGAGCAAGCATCATTAGACAAGAATTACACATGAGAACTAGTAGATCTTCATACAGTGAAGTAAGTTGTTGGGTGTGAATGAGTGTACAAGAAGTCATTGATGATTAATGATGACCAATTACAATACAAAGTAAAATTTGTTACAAATGGTTTTACACATAAGTAAAGACTTTCTATACCAAGAATTTGAGATATCTATAGTTTTTCTCTTTTTTTGATCTCTATAGATTTCTGTACCAAAGATCTTCTTTGCTAACTCAACATACTTCATCTCAAATTTCCTTTTCAATAAAGATTTCAATTTGTGATATCAGTCATATTTAGTTAGAAATAAACATATCATCTACATAGAGTATTAAATAAATATATGAATCATCTTAAAGTAATTTTACATACACACAACAATTATACTTACATCAAGTATACTTAATCCATTTCATAAAAGAGACAAACTTCTTATATTATTACCTTAGTGATTGCTTTAAATCATGGATTGACTTTTTCTGACCTACATACAAGATATTCATATTCTGATTCTTTGAAACCTTTAGTCCACTTCATCTAAATGATATCCTCTAAGTTATCATGAAGTAATGCAATCTTCATGGAAAATTGTTCCAACTTTAGGTCCTTTTGTACAACTACAATTAACAATGCCTTAATTGATGTGCATTTTATTATAAGAAAAAATATATCTTTATAATCAATTCATTTATCTTCTAAATGTCTTTTTGTTACAAGTCTTACTTTGGATTGTGGTTCCTTTTCAGATGCATCATTTTTTTTCTTAAAATTCAACTAGATTCAAAGTCTTTTTTTTTCATATGCAACATACGATGGTCTTTTACCCTTTTGGAAGTTCAACTAGATTCTAAGTCCTATTTTTGTGCAAAGACTCCTTTTCTTTTAGCATTACCTTTAACCATTACTTTCTCCTTGTAATTAATTGCATCTTTGAAGTATGTGGGCTCTCATTCATTTTTAATCAAGACAAAAGATACATAATCTTTGGAACTATAGCTTAATGGTCGCTTTATTATCTGCTTATCCCTCTTGGTGGTAATGCCATCAATTGTTTCCTCAACTAAACCTTCTTCTTTGATTGGTATCAAATAATTTTATGTCTCTTACACTTCAACTTGAATACCTTTTTTTGTTGGAGGTCTCATATTCTTGTTGTTGTGTTTTTGATCAAAAAATTTCAGCATGTAATTTTCATAAAGATTACATCTTTAATATCACATTATTTTCAACTATTAGATTTCAAACCTTATACCATTTCATACTATTTTGAACCCCCAAAAAATATATTTTTAAAAATTTGGGTCAAGTTTAGATCTCTTGTCATTATGAATATAAACATATATAGGACCCCAAAATAATTATAAATTTAAATAGTCTACTTCACTACTTGTTCATACTTCCTCAAAAAAATTCCTTCATGAACAACATTAGGTGATTTAATGATCACATAGACTGCGATGTTCAAAAAGTTGAGATGTTTTCTTAACAATAGGTTATCATTTAATTCCTTGATCTTCATGATCCTTAATAAATAAATAATTTATATATTAAAATTTATTGTCATTCCTAAATATTCTTATCTTACTTTTTCAACGTCAATTTTCTACAAATTAAGCTTTTCAAAAGTCTCATATTTATGTTTTATGAAATAAACCCAAATCTTCTTAGCATAATCATCAATAAAAGGCACAAAATGATATGATACTCCTTTTGATTTTACATTAATAGGTCTTCTTGCAACATAATGAATATAATCCACCACACTTTTGATGTTGTGATTGACTATTTTGAATGTTACCTTACATTTATTTTCATTATATAATATTTACAAAAATTTAATTTACAAGTTTTGACTCCGTTATGTAATTCATGCTTACATAGCTCTTTAATATTAGCTTCATTAACATGCCTCAATTACATCTGTCATAAAAGTGTGATTTCTTCCATGAGATCACTAAGTACTAGAGATACTCCACCTTCAATAGTGCTCAATCAAATTTTCATATCTTATCTCGTAATTTTACGTCTTTTACCATTATGAGTATTCCCTTGGAAGCTTTTAGAATTATGTTTTCACTTTTATACATGAAATCATTTGAATCTAATGTTCCTATAAGATTTAGATTATTCTCGAAATTAATGACATATCTCGAATTTTAAATTTCTCACAATTATGTTAGACACACTGTGTCTAGAACTCAAGAATTTGTCAATTCATCAATTGCAACTGAAACATAAATTAATTTTTATTTCTCCTTTTACAATATTTGTTGAATCGAATAATTACTTTTCCATTAGTTTCTTTTGAAGAAATCTCTCCTCAAGTGTCCCTTTTCGTAATCCTTCAAACATTCTTTATTTTTAAACCAATTAGCTCTAGATGTTGATCTATACTATGATTTTTCCTCTTGGTAGAATTTCCTCTTTTTTTATATTTTTATTTTTTCCCCTCTCTTTGTCCTCAGTCATTCACCCTGCCTATCATTATAATTCACCTTCCTATAATAATATTATAATCATGTTGATAATAACTCTTCATATTTGTTAGTTTCCTTCCCATAAAATAATGTTGTTGCCTAGTGTTCATAAGAACTAGGGAGAAAATTAACAAGGTACAAAATTTTATCTTCATCCTCATACTTTATATTCAGTCTCAACATTTCACTCACAATCTGATTAAAAGAGTCTATATTGCAAGATTAGTACCTTTAGTCATTCTTATCCACATATAATTTCGTTTGAGAAATATCTTACTAATCAATGTCTTTGGCATATATTGACTATCTAATTTGCTCAAATTTCATAAGGTAATTTCACATCAAGAATATGATTTAAAATATTATCTACAAAATACAGTTTACTAATACTCATAGCTTTCATTCAAACTTCATCCAATAATATTTTGTGATGTTTTCATGATTACTTTCTTTTCCAACTAAAGTCATTGCAAGATCTTGTTGAAAAATAGATAGTTTATCCTTTGTTGCCATAGGCTAGAATTAGAAAACCCATTGAATTTTTCCATGTCAAAAACAAGATGAAGAAGTACTTACCTTTTTTTGTTAAACCCAAAATCTTAAGCTATGATACCACTTATTATAAAATCTATAACTGTATAAATCTAAATGGACTTGAAGATGTATGAGAATGACATATGCTTAGAATGAGGACAACTTGCCTCAAAGATCTAGTCAATAAGACTTTCAAGATCCTTGAAATAGTTGATATATGTCTCTAATAATTCATAAATATTCATAGATTATAATAGCTCTTTATCCAAAAGAAAAGACACATTATTCACAACTATCTTCTAACTACAATCAATCTTTAATTTTTTATATTTTAAACCTTGAATATAGCTTGTTACTTACTATTCTTGAAAGTTCAAGCACAAAAACCACATTCCACATTTCTCTTTTGTTTCCTCTAACAATAGCTTCAACTACAAGCTTTAAGTTGATGCCCTTTCCACTAAGGTACTACAACTTAAAACCAACCCATCAAGATAACAAAATAAGAGGAAGATAATGGGAGAGGTTGCTAGATTTAGATAGAACATTGGAGAAGAGAAAGAATCATAAACCACAAAGGGTTTTTTGTGCTTTTAGGAAATAAAGTTCATCCTATCAGTAGTCATATGCTTACACATGTTAGTAGTCATGTGCTTTTAGCATTAGTAGATAGGGACAGTGAAAATCTCATTAATCCATTCATATGTGCCACTAATTAAATGACGAGGCGTTTGACTATCATAAGAGAGTCATAGTTACTCACATCATTTACGTGTGTGACGTGACTTAGTCGTTGTATAATAAATCATGTAAATTTAAAAATTATAAAACTAAAAAATATTAATTTTTAAATATTTAGAAGTATTTCTGAACAAATATATCAATTATAATTTAATAAAAAATCTACAAATAATGGTAATTTTTTAGGTCAATCATAGGGATATAATATAATATCAGGTAATTATTCAAAAAAAATCTCAAAAAATATGATTTTCATGAATTTTATATAAATAAATAAAAATAAAATATATTTAAAATTCAAAAAAAGGGAAATAAAGTACAGATGTCATCCAGTAGATGTCAAGATGATGTCAGTGCCCGACGAATGTGAATCGAGTAAAAATAGAGTTTTACTTGATGATTCTTACGTAAGTGATTATAGACAATTTAATTAAACAAATTAAGATTTGTAAAGGCTAGAAGAATTGTGATTGAATGAAGTATAACTTGGTAAATTTAAATCACATAAATTATTACTAAATGAAGTAGAAATTAAGTTAAAAGTAGGAAACAGAGTTCCGATGTCACGGTGACGATGTGTCGGTGATGCACTGAAATGTTGAGCATTTAGGAGGATTGTTGTACAATATCCACAGCCTTAAAGGCTCTCCTTAGACAAGGACAACATGGGCAATCTCTAGATCTCCTCGTGAAGTCTAAAGATCAACAAAATGGGTTGTCAAATCGTCTTTGGCAGCTATCACCCAGTGGAGCAAAAAAATGGCGACTTTGTGGCTCTTTGGTGACTATCACCCAACAAAGAAAAGCTGAATAGAGGTGGAGCGTGTGTCAGGGAGCTTTATCCTCAAGTTCGCACAACAAGAGGAGCCTCTTCATTGCATCTGGTACGCTCTCAAGAGGTGACAACTCGTCTCCCGACAAATTATCTTCTTCTCGAGGACAGCTTATTCGTCAATCAATTAGAGATGATTTACTCGATAGATTCACAATCTTTTTATTGCAAATCGTTCAATAATTTTAGTAATAATTTTCTATGAACCGTATTGACAAGATTTTCACCAATGATCTAGTAATTCTAATAGCTTAATCTTTTATCAATGATCAAAAAAGTCATGATAATCAGATAAAAATACGAGTTTTGACTCTAAGAGTATTCAAACTTGCACTAGTTGCCTACCTACATGAGAGAGATTGAAATAAATACTTTAATATCTTTATCAAATGACATCATTATGATATATCTCTATTATAAATAAATGATATTTTAGGTATTAAATTATCAAAAGTCTTTCGAGGGAAGGTGTGATGCGAGTTTAGTCTCACATCGCTTGTGTGACGAGGGTGAATATTTAGTAATATTATATTTATAAGCAATGAGTCTCTTTCTCCCACGTGTACAACCACTCCTTGTCCTACAGTCAACTAGCCACTAGTGATATGAAAGGAGAGTGGTGCACACATGTACTCATCAGTTCTAGTCGCTCGAGCCCCTACTTATGGCTCCTCTCCAACTACGCTTTCGACCTGCTTGCAGGCTCGATTAGTCAGTAGGTTCCCCCATTTTGCTATATTTTTATTTTTATTTCTTTTTCTTCATTTACTTCAAAAATAAGACTATAAAAATTATATAAATTTGTAAAAAATTACATAATTAGCCAAAAATTTATGTTAATTAATTGAAAATCATTTTCACACTTTAACATAAATATAAGTATATTTTTTATGAGTTAATATTAAAAAATATTATTTACTAATTATTAACTCATGATAATAAAGACTTATCACCATGCTTGGTTGAATCTCTTCACTTTGACATTTAGAGCACTAAGTAGAAATCACATTGTGTGAGCATCTACAAGGACTATCACAATGCTTTATTTTGATTAAACAATTGGATTTCTCTTGTCCATATTAGTTTTGAGTTGACTATTCAATGCTTGGGGAAGGCCCCCACCCTTGCTGCCCACCCACACTTGAGGGCGTGGGGTAGACATGTGGCACTAGCCGCTCCCAGCTAGCATGCAGTAACCCGCTCTTGCCGTGCAAGCAACTTGAGTAGTTTGTCAGCAGCCAATGGGTTCAAGACTAGGACCTCCGGACTTAGCCCTCAGAGCTAATCCTTTTCCCAAGGTTACAGATCCATTTTGTAGACTTCTCTTGCCTACATTCGTCTGTCGACCAAAGGTTGTTCACCTTGGAGACCTAATGTGGTTATGAGTACGACAAGGTGTGGGCGGCACTCAGTCCTCTAGATTTTCAAGGGTTGTCGAGTGTGTACTAGATGCTGCAGAAAGTGCAGTGCTCTTCTGGCCATTGGACCCCTACCCCTAGCTGAGCCATTTCCATGGGGCCCCACTAGTGTCGTCATTAGGCGCCACATCTCGATTCGAGAATTTTAACCCGATCCCCTTTCGACTTGTACACAAGATTACACTGTTTGTTGGGCTTTCCCTGACCCTTAGGATCAACTAACCCATGTGCAAGTGCCATTCACATGGAACCTTTCCCCTCTTCGGCCTTCAAAGTTCTCATTTGAATATTTGCTACTACCACCGAGATCTTCATCGACGGCTGCTCTACTTGGGCTTACGCCTTAGGCTTTGCGGTGGCCGCCATGCCCTCTTACTCATCGGGGCCTGCCCCTCGCCCCGATGGTCGGGTGTGGGTGGTGTGCTTTAGCGTCATCTATTTTTGGGGCTAATTGATTCAGCAAGTGAGTTGTTACACACTCCTTAGCGGATTTTTACTTCCATGACCACTGTCTTACTATCTTAATCGATCAACAACCTTTGTGGGTTCTGAGTTAACACATAGTCTGACACCATAACTCGGCTTCATGTTCATCTTGCATCGCTAATTTTACTTACAAAAAATGGCTCACTTAGAGCTCTCGATTTTGCTTGTGGCTCACCGAAGAAGTTGCACCAGTCCTACCTATTGAAAGTTTGAGAATAGGTTGAGGGCATCGAGTCCTCAAGGCATCTAATCATTGGCTTTACCTAATAAAACTCGACGATGAGCTCCAACTATTTTGAGGAAAACTTTGGAGGGAACTAGGTACTGGATGGTTTGATTAATCTTTCGCCCCTATACCCAAGTCAGACAAACAATTTGCACATCAATATCACTGCGAGCCTCCACTAGAGTTTCCTCTGGCTTCACCCTACTTAGACATAGTTCACCATCTTTCGAGTTCCAATGTCCATGCTCCACTTGAACCTTTCTCAGAAGATTGGGGTTGGCCGATGGTGCACCCCTTGGGAGGGATCCCACTAGTCAATTTGCTTGCACCTCATGAGTTTCTACACCCGTTGACGTGCATGCATGTCGAACTCCTTGGTCTGTGTTTCAAGACATGCCAGATGAGGGGTCCACCAGCTATTACCTGGAGCATATGGGTGCCCCACTAGGGAGCATGCCGAGATGACATGCACTGCATCCCCTGATTGCTGTTGACAGCATCTCCACGAATGAATGCTTCGCCTAGGTTTACACCACCGATGCAACCTATGACGGTCCGCACCCTAAGTCAAGTAGTAGAACAGCGGCATCCAGCCGAGGCGCACTGCTGGCCCCCATCCGCTTCCCTCCCAACAATTTCAAGCACTCTTTGACTCTCTTTTCAAAGTTCTTTTCATCTTTTCCCTCATAATAGTTGTTTGCTATCAATCTCTCGCCCATATTTAGCCTTGGATGGAATTTACTGCCCAATTGGGGCTACATTCCAAACAACTTGACTTGCCAACAGCCCCTCATGCTGCACCAGGTCTAGGCACGATGGGGCTCGCAGCCTCTTTGGTGCCACCTTCCAAGGGACTTGTGCCCAGTCCATCGTTGAGGACACCTCTACATACTACAATTTGGGAGGTGGACCTGATTCTCAAGCTGGGCCGTTCCCAATTTGCTCACCATTTACTAGGGGAATCCTCATCAGTTTCTTCTCCTCTACTTATTTATATGCTTAAACTCGGCAGGTGGCCTTGCTTGACCTAGGGTTGCGGTCTGAGTAGGTAGCATAGGGGCCGCCACACTCATGCCTAGGTTCTGTCCCTCTCTCTCTCTCCCCCCCCCACCTCCGACAACAAACGGTGGCTGTGGTGACGATGAAAGTCCCACCACTTGCCGCAGCACATCTTGTAGGGGGCTGAGTGCTTTGGCCCGCTGTGCACATGTGCACAGCCAGCCAGCCTCCGTGTCTGCATGCCCACTTGCTTGCCCGCTGCAGGGGCAAGGGGGGGTGGGGGGGCATGTAGAGCAACTAGAGGCATGATGCCCATGCAGGTGTGCCCTCGGCTGGATGGCCTCGGGTGCAACTTGCATTCAAAGATTCGATGGTTTGCGGGATTTTGCAATTCACACCACGTATCGCATTCTTCATCATTACAAGAGCCGAGATATTTGTTATCAGGAGTCATGTGGAGCGTGTGAAAGTGGTTGTGTGTTGCGCCGCCCATGTGGGGAGTCATTTGTTATCCTTGGCACGGGCCACGCTGAGAAAGGTCGGTCACATCGGCCAGCTCGCCGCGGCACTGCACGCACCCCCCTCCTACATGGCAGCATGCCAGCGTGCGTGGTGGCACAAGCTGCCAAGTACGCATCGCTCAGTGTACCATTCGCTTGTACATCTGCTGGCCGAGGCTAGGCTGCAACGACAATGATCCTTCTACATGTTCACATACGGAAACCTTGTTACGACTTCTCTTCTTCTAAATTATAATGTTCAGCAGACTTTTCGCAAAGTCACGGGCGAGAGACCACCTGCGTCACCACGATCTAAGCACTTCACTAAATCATTCAATTGGTAGGAGTGATGGGTGGTGTGTACAAAGGGCTAAGATGTAGTCAATAGGAGCTGATGACTCTCACTTTCTAGGAATTCCTCATTGAAGATTGATAATTACAACAATCTATCCCCATCATGATGAAATTTCAAAGATTACTTGAGCCCGTCATCTGAAGTTATAAACCCGTTGAATACATTTGACCTTCGTTTGCTCTATCATTTTCTCCATGTAAGATGTTGATGTGTTACTTTATAAGATATGTAGTGATGACTTCTTTGCTTCCATAAGGGCTTCATGTGAACATTCCACTTCAATCATTGTGTAGGACTAAAATTTGATTCTTATTTTAGTCATTAATCTTTTGATATCACTTTGTATTTTCTTAATCAACTTTATAGCATCTTAGTGTTGAGGTCTCAATTTTAAATCTCACCAATCTTGTTCTTTGTATTATTCAAATATTTTGACTGTCATTTTTCTCAACTTTCCATAACTTATGTCTTGAGTTTGAATCTTACACGACATTTTATGCTTTAATTTTTTAGAGCACTTTTCATATTACAACTTTTGACTCCATGTCATTCAGATCTCAATATAACTTTGCACCTATAGATTGTACAGGAGACTTCATCATACATGTTGACACATATTTTTCTATACTTACACTCTAGTAATATGATCATGTATTATTTCAATATAAAGAATATCTCAAAGGTGTAACTCCTTAAATTCATTGTTAATCATAAGATTGTATTGAGCATCATTAATATGTATACATTATATATTTCTCATATATATTAAAGTTGTGATATAAACTACCATAATGTCTATTGACGGTTTAATAACTCATTCATAAATAAAATTTTCAATGTAAATGTCAAAACTAAAGGGATTAACAACTTGTTTGATACTTAATTTTATAGTAGTTAGACTTATTCCAATTCTCAAGTACTTATGTTATGCATTGCTTCTTTGGGTTCCACAAATATCTTCATAAAATACATGTTGAGTTATGAGCTACAGTAGTCTTACATGACAGATTTAATAACTTCAGCTAAATCAAGATTCTATCTTGAAACCTTTTCTAGATTCTAAATCTAAAGGGCCTAGCACAATAAACCCACTCTCCTCTTTTAGATTATGGTCTCTATGTGGCCTAACATAAATTAATGATTAATAATCCCCTCTATATTAAGGTTCTAAATTAGCCTTGACTGCAAACATACTCTAATCATAAGGTAAAATAAATTCTCTCTTAGATGGTCAGCACAATACCTCTTGGAGGCTTGTTCCTCTTGATGTCTGATTCAAGAAGTTTGTTGGTTTTTTCAATCCTGAGCAACATAAAGTTGATGATGCTTTCAAGTGCTCAAGGTTGTAGTAGGTTGGTGCATACTCTTGAGAGATGGGTTCACATTAAAGCTCACTCTTGACATAAGGTGAAATAATAATTTTTTTTCCTTGTTTTCTCTCCTCTAACTCCATGTAAGCAGAGGCCTTTCTATATTTGAAGGGTTTACTGGGATGTGCCTGATTAACATGTTAGTGGGCTGCTTCAATGGTACCCTAACTGTCTATAAAATATCACATTTTGTGTATTATTTTGATTTTGAAAAATACATAGTAATATTTTAAGGTAGATAACAATTCAACACCTTGTAATTTTTCTGTGCAATTTGGTGCATTGAGTTCCTCTTCCAGAGAGCCTTCCAATGGGTGTCTAGATTATTGATGCCAATTAATATAAAAAAGTTAATTCTTTCAATCTCATACATAATTGATGAGCATTTTTTTTCTTAAGAACAATTCTTAATTAATTAGAGCACATTAAAGGCTTTTTATGAGTTTATTTTAATTTTAGGCAAATCTTTGTGAGTGCTCAACAATCATGATCATTTGTAAATAATTCTACCATTTGTGAAGTTACCAAAATGCCCTTTCAATGAGCCCTCTTCAAAACATTTTAGGCTGACCAAACCCTTTAGAGACCTGCTAAAAGGTCTTTACCAAATATAGAATTAACTGAAGAACAAACCGTTGATTATTCTAGATGGAGTTTGGATTATTTTACTATTCCTAATTATGAAACTTTATTATGCTTTTGATATTTGGAAGAAAATTTCAAATAATAACTGTTATTTAGTTAAGTAAATTGAAAGTGAAACATAGATTGATCTGAATAGTTGACTTTTTTAGGATAACTCAAAGATTGTTAGAAACATTAAAACTCTTTTGCGTCACTACCAACTTTAGTTTCACTTAAATTTCACTTCTAATTATTATCACAATAACCTTCCAAAACTTTTAGACAGCTTATAAAATGAAGGTTGTAGTCTGAGTCTCCACTTAGGTTTGTAAATATTCTAACTAAACCTTCTATCATGATTATTAGGATATCGATGCAATCGCCTGACTGCATTTATACGTGGCACAGAACAATTCGGCAAGCGCACAAACTTCCTCTGCATTGATTATGAAACAAAGATGAAGTTCCTTTATTCACGCTGACGAGATGCGAGTGAAAAAACTAAGTGGATAAACACCTCTCCTTTGCACCTCGCACCAAGAGAGCCAAGCACAGGGAAGAGGGAAAAGTACTCAATTGTCAGCGTGCCCATTGGTCGATGATGTTATGGCATCAATGGCACTGCCCAGAGGCCATGCAGCCTCCCCGTAGAAGTTTCCGTATGGCAGCTGCCTCACCAGCGTGATCTCTCGCCTTGGATTCAATGCTGTGTTCAGTAACACGCACAGAGTGAGTGAGTGGGAGAGAGAGAGAGAGAGAGATCAGCCCCCGGTGATAAGAAGGAGAAGAGAGGGGCAGAGAGAGAGCGAGAGCGTACCGAATCCGTCGACGAGAAGCGAGTACTGATACACAAGGTCCATGCAGATGAAAGGCAGATCCTCCGGCCAAACGGCCGAGTACGTCGAGTTAGCGGTGGCGAGGTTCATCCCGCAGGCGCGCTTCGCCGCATTCTTGAAGTCCGAAGGCGTCGCCTTGGCAGTCGTCGCCGTGGGATCTATGAAATCCGCCTGAGCGAGAACACGACTGAATCTACACTCAGAGGACTGTAATTTGAAACGTAAATTCGTTGACTCTGGAAACGATGATTCTTGTGGTGACCTGCGCAGCCTTGTCGAAGAAGAAAGAGGCCAGAAATAGATCTCTCTGTCCGGCACCGCCGCCGCCGTTCCAAACACCGCTGAAGGTGCAGTTCAGGGTCTCGCACGGCGCGTCGACGTTGAGGGCCTTCACGGCGGCTCTCCGGCACTTGGCGAAGCTGGAGCCGGAGGCTGATGCTGAGGCGTTGTACGTCTCCCCTCCGTAGTTATAGGACCCTTCAAAGTGGGGGAGGGGGAGAAAAATAAAGCACAAACCCAGTATGGAAATTTCGAATAAATTACTTTGTAAACCAGCACCAATACATACATTTTTGGAAAATAATCGTTAATTTAAGTGTTTTATATTTTATTATTTTCCATATGGGCCAATCGTTAAGTGGCATCGATGATTTCCATATGGGTCGATCGTCAATCAGGCACATGGTAATTCCATCTCTCTCAGCCCTCTCTTTCCCTCTCCAAGATGGAGGGCTTGGCTTAGGGTTCAAAGTGCCCCCTCAGTGCCCATTTTTCTTCAATTCTCTTCCCTTGTTTGGGTTCAGGCAAACTTTAAGGTTAGTATATATCTAAAAGTATCGATTATAAACGATTATAAACCGTCAATACGCTAATAACGTCAAGCGAAGTGTGATTCAGGCCGAAGAACAATACCCTCGTATCCTTCCAAGATGCAGGAACGGCCGGACCCCCCGCCAACCTTGAGAATCTCGGCCCGTGCGGCCAGTAGACCGTAGTTCAGATAGCTGTCGTTCCAGGTTAGTAGTCAAACTTACGGTTAAATCTCCCACAATCATCATCAAATCAGAGGGACTCAGATCCACGAGATAAGGGGGGAAAGGCAGTACCTGTGGACGTAGAGGTTGTACTCGGCGCCCTTGAGAGAGAACTCGTTCACGTACCCATCTTTCCCATCCTTGGCTGGGGGAGCCTTCGCGGCGTTGGTGCTTGAGACGGCGTAAGCCATCTGCACCGATCCACCCCCGAGGTCAACTACCCCCGCCGTATGTGGATAGGCCTTCCCCAGTCTCCCTAGCAAGTAGTTGATTGTCACCTATGGATCGACGAAACAATCAGCTTGTTAGCTCTAGAGCATACCTTCTGAATCTACATATACATACTGAAACATAGGTATACGCATTTATATTCATGTATACATAGATAATGTGCATTGTATGTAGATATAGATGCACATATACACGATGATGAAACTAGTGAGTAGTACTTGGGAGAAGAACCGTGTAGACATACCCACATATATTTGCCTTCTTGTGTTCCTGAAAGAACAGAAACCCATTCCGGCTGGAAGCTGAAGGAGCTCTTCTCTTGCAGAAGGGCTCTAATCTGCAGTGGTTTCACGAGGTCTGATCTTCAGCGATGTGGTGAAAATGAAGACCGAGATCATTTTCCGGACAGAAGAAAGAGAGTAGAAAGTTGCTGAAGCAAGTATGGGGGTCGCACCGCCTCTAATATCTGCTCCGATTTCTCCGTGCCCAGTGATCTCAACCCCGCCGTCGCCTGAACGAGCAAACCGACGCTGAACCATGATCGCACTGAGCAAAATAATGTTACAGAGAGGGAAGAAGATCTATCTAGATTACCCCGACTCTCACAGGCGTATTCTCTCTCGTTTCCACAGGGACTGCAGCCTCGGCCTTCTCCATAAGAGGAAGAAGGGAGTTCGCAGCCTCCTCCGGATCCGACGCGTAGGCGCTCAATCCTGGCTTCGTCTGTAGAAGATTAAGATACTGAGAAGGAAGAACCCATGCGGCGAAATGGAGACGGAATGATGAGTTCGTAAGGCAATGACCTTGACATAAAGCTCGAGATCTTCGCCGATGGGAAGGAGACGGAGTTCGCTGTCGAAGCAGTAAACATGGACCCGGGTGCCGGAGCTGCCGGCGTCGAAGATGACGGCGTAGCGCTCCGCTCCGCCGCCGCCGGCCGCAATCTTCCGTCCACCGGCTGATGCCACCCCTCCTCCGCCTGTTACGAGGAAGAAGAAGAAGACGGAGGAGATGAGCAGGAGTGGGCCGCTGTCGTTCAGAGTCATGCTCCGGCGCCCCTGCATCTTAGCGAGCGAGCGAGAGAGAGAGAGAGAAGCTCTGTTGTATCGTAACACCGACGGTGTAAACGTCTTAAAAAAACGCAGAGAATTTCTCTCGGGGTTCGAGAGAGGGCCCAATTGTCCAACTTATCCGGCGTCCGCCAATCAGAGACGACCCTCGTGGTTACTGCCCCTCGATTTAGCGGGAATATAAAAAATAAAAATATATTTTTATGACCATGGATTTGATGATATTTCTAGGATATTCTGATGGACGTGCATTCGCACATAAATAAATGATTATTACCAATATTTCGAGGGCAGAATATTCCATAATTTCCGGAGGTCTGACTGCAGAAACATTATGTAAATATAAATATCCAGGAAAATAAATTTAATAGACAGCGCTGCACGTTTTCGATTGTTGGGGGGGGGGGGGGTGCGGTTCACGTGAAGGGAAATTGCAGAGATTAGCCAGCAGGAGCGTCCACTGATCTCATGCCACGTGTCTCGATATAAGAAAATTCCAAAAACTGTCTACTCAAGCATATCTCTCTCTCTCTCTCTCAGAGAGTGATACCGGTCAATTGAAAATGGTGCCAAGAGAAGGGGGGGTGGCACGTGGACGGCCGCCGTGAGCCGCGCGTGTGGTCCCAAAACTCTCCAACCATTGCGCCCCCCCGTCAGAATTTCCGATATAGTTGAAGATTTTGAAATATAATATTCGAATTTAAGATATTTTTAAGTTATGCAAAATCAAAAGATTTCCGGAGGTCTGACTGCAGAAACACTATGTAAATATGAATATCCAGGAAAAAAAAATTAACAGACAGCGCTGCACGTTTTCGATTGTTGGGCGGGAAGATCGACGTGGCGGGCGAAGGCCCAATTGCAGATGGCGACAAGGATTGGCCAGCAAGAGCGTCCTCTGATCCATCTCTCTCTCTCTCGCTGTGAGTAACAGCGTGATCCACGGGCCGGTTGAAAATGATGGCTTGAGAGAGAGAGGGAGCGTGTGATCCGCGCGTGTGCCTCTCTCTCTGGCTAGATAGGTAGTAGACGTTATCTATTTAGAGAGAGAGAGAGAGAGAGAGGTCTCTACTAGGTAGATAGATCTGGGGTCTGACACGGGGCCTATGGTGGTCTCTTTCTCTGTCTGTCTCTTGCTCGGAAGTTACATAGACAAGTGTATCTATTTAGGTTTAGAAAGAGAGAGAGGAAGACAGTAAGAAATGAGTATGCTTTTACAGCCCCTCTCCATGCCTTGGATGGCTCCATCCAGGAAAATGATAGAAGAGGAATTTTGATTAGCCGAGTTTACTTCTCGAGAAGCCATGACAATCGACAACAAGCTTCAGCTTCGTTTTATCTAGACAAAAACATGCACATAATCACCGAGACCTGCTGCAGTTTCAAAACTAGTTTTTTTATTTAAGTAGGAATATCAAAAAAAAAAAGAATTACAGATTTTCTCGAGAAAGGAAGGAAAGCTGGCGCTTTGAAAACCAAATAACCAAAATTCGGATTTTACAAACACTCAAATAAAAAAATATATCCATAGATCACCTGCATAAATTGGAAAATAATAGCCTGCGGGGGAGAGAAACCCAGTTTCTACAGACACATATAATGCACATAATCTCCTCGTCGGAACCCAAGAGGTACAAGAAACCTGGGAACTGCTGGTACAGGAAAGTTGGAGAGCAAGGACCTCTTTTTTATTGCAGGATGGGAGAACCTGACCCAGTAGATTGATTCCGCATCAGTTGTCCACTTCATCTTTGATCTGTTTGAGGAGATCGTCCTTGTAGTCCTCAAAGGTTCCGTCAAAGATGCTGACGGTCCCGTCTTCGACAATCCAGATTTGGCTCTTCTCTTCATCCTCGCACACTCTGGAGATCAACCTCGAATCATGGCTAACCAGGACGACGCCGCCAGAGAACTCCTCCAGTGCTTCTGCCAGGGCATCGATACTCTGCATGTCCAGATGATTCGTCGGCTCGTCCAGCAGCAGGATATGAGGCTTGGACATGGAAATGGAGGTGAACACAACCCTGGCCTTCTGACCTCCAGAGAGCTTGGCGATCGGAGTGAGGTGATTGTGGCTGGGGAGCCCGAACTTCCCCAGCTTGGCGCGAACGGCCTCCTGCTTGCTGAAACCTTCTTGATCAGGATGAAGGCGGAGGAGATACTGGACTGGCGTCTCTTCCATGGTCAGCAAGTCTACAAAATGTTGCGAATACCTCCCGATTCTCAACTTCTGGCTCCGGCGGACCTCTCCTTCGGTGGGCTGCAGATCGCCTGCGAGTAGATTCAGTAGAGTGGATTTCCCGGCTCCATTGGGCCCGACGATCGCAACCCGCGTTCCCATGTCGATGCCAACATCCACATCTGAAAGTCTGAAATCTGGCCTATTAGGGTATGCGAAGCTGACTTCTATGAGCTGCAAGAGAGGAGGAGTGAGCTCGGTGGGCTCAGGAAAGTGAAACTCCACGGTGTAGTCCCTCCACCTCTTTGGTGCCTCTGGCTGCAACTCATCGTCATTGTCCACCTTTCCCTTTGATTTGTTCTTGGACGCTTCCTTGGCGGCAACGAACTTGGCCTTGTCCTTCACCTTCTCTTGCTGCACCCTGCTACCAGACCTCTTTGCAGCTTTGACCTGCTTGTCGTACGTCTCGAATTTCTTGTTCGCCTCCTTCCGCTTCTGCTCGTAACCGACTTCAAACTCGTCAAAGTTGCCCCGGTAGAAGTGGAGCTTCAAGTCATGGAGATGAATAATATCAGTGCAGACGGTGTTTAGAAAATCCCGATCATGGGAGACGACGACCAGTGTTTTCTTCCATCGTGTCAGATACTCTTCAAGCCAGAGCACTGCCCGGAGATCAAGATGGTTAGTAGGCTCATCGAGCAGGAGCAGAGTGGGTTGAATGAAAAGAGCTCTCGCCAGAGAAATCCTCATCCTCCACCCTCCACTGAAGGAACGGGTTGCTCTGGTCTGCATCTCCTTAGTAAAACCCAGTCCAGCCAAGATTTTGGAGGCCTGTGCCTCGGCGGCATCTGAACCCATTATCTGTAGCTTCTCGTAAAGTTCTGCGAGCCTCTCCCCAGCTTCATCGTCTGCATCACCATCGGTATCGCCAGCAGCAGCTCCAGAAAGGGACGCCACTTCCTGGCGTACTCTCACAAGTTCCTCATTTGCAGAAACTACAGCTTCCAGGGCGGACTTGTCATCGCCCACGACTTCCTGCTCAACCAAGAGAACGTCTATATTACGAGGCACCGGAATTTTCCTCCATGCCAAGAGCTTGAGCAGCGTAGATTTCCCTTTCCCGTTGGGACCGATCAGGCCGTACCTCTTCCCGTGAGTAATCTTCACGGTCGCATTCTTCAGCAGCTCCTTGCCCCTGGCTGACACCGAGAAGTTCTCGACCGTGATGTCTCTCACGTTGGCATCGGCAGCGCCAGCGCCGTCCTCTCCGTCATCAAGCGTCGACGCCCTGCTCGCGACGACCACCGTGAAGGCATCCCTATCATCCTTGAGAGCCTCCTTCCTAGCAAACTCGGCGGCCTGGACGGCAAGTTGCTCCTTCTTCTCCCTCTTCTTGAGCTCCTTCGTCGAGGGGCCAACGGATAGGTCCGCCAGCGGCTTCGCCGCCGCAGATCTCGAACCGGAAGCCCTGGAACTCCTCACCTCCTCTCCTCCGCCGAGATCGGGCTCCTCTCCTTCCTCTTCCTCGTCGGACGGGGGAAGGTCGAGGCCGTCGGTATAGGACGACGGATTTGGCTTCCCTTTGGGCTTCTTCGCGGCTGCGGAGGAACCCTTCGGCTTCTGGTCCATGTTAGCGAGCATAGCAGAGACCGATAGCTTCTCCTTCCTGCCGTCCTTCGCGGAAGAGGTGCTGCTCTCCTTGGGCTTAGCGGCCTTGCCCGCCGGCCGCTCCTCCGCCGCCGGCTTCCGCCCCATGCCGCCGGCCGATCGAGATCGAGATTGGGATTGATTTCCTTTCACGGATTTATCGAGGAGCAGAGTAAGAGATGAAGACGGACCAAAAAACCCTAGGCGAAGAGGGTCGGAGGGTATTTATGAGAAGAGCTCAGCAGGCGCTGGTCGACAGTTTTCCATATAAGCTCACACTAAATTTAATATTATAAAAACATAGCCCATTAAGAATAAATTTATGCACATACGTCCATTTGATATCATTTTCCAGAGAAAAACCCTCGCTTAAATTATTATTATGTTATATAGAGTTTTAAGTATTTTATTTATATATGCGCACATTTTATGGTCCGAACTCTGTTGGTAATTTTGTCTTTGACAATCTTACTCTAAAGTTCCAATCGAAGAGGACAAAGAAAAAAATAAATGAAAAAAGGAGTTTATTAGGTATAGATCCCTATAAATCTTTGAACTTACGGATGAGTCCCTGGACTTTCTACTTGTGTGCTCTATGTCCTTGTAAATTACTACAAGCTATTTATTGGTCCATTTAATTAAAAAAATTACATTCATATTCAAGAAAGATGACAATACCCTCATAATTTAACAAATAATGCTAACTCCCGAAAGAATCTCATGGTAATTTTTCATTGATGAGGTTATATTGACAAAGTCTCTTACTAGTTTGGGTTTTATTGCTTGCAAGTTTTGTACTTCTACTCTCTTACGGGATGTGAGTTGACTCACTTGGTAAGAAAAAATGGAGCGTTTTTTACCCAAAAAAAGTTGCCTCTAAGTGAGTCAACTCAACCCCATTTGGAAAAGTCTCAACTCTGTCAATGACCGAGTTGGTAAGAAAGAATGGCAAAGTTATCAATCACCTAGGGAAAGGATGGGAGTTGACTCACATGGTAGGTAAGAAAAAATGCAACACTTTATATTGACGAAGTTACTCTAATTGAGTAAAGTCAACTTATTTGGAAAAGTTTCAACACGATCAATGACCCATGAAGGGACATGCCTTGCTTAGTAGGAGCTTGGAGGTGACAAAGGTATCAGTAGAAGGGAGCCTACCCTACCCATTCAACCAAAGCAAACATCAACACATTGTGATCAAAGTGGATATAAAGATAAAATGACAAATTTGCAATGAAAACATTTGACCCTTAAATATATATTTTGAAGATTCTTTCATAGAATGTGGAAAAGACTTTCCAAATTTTTATGGCTTATCACTTTCAAGAAGAAGTGAATTGACTTCCTTGCAAAGAAGTGAATTGACCCATAACGTCAATTCACTTGGTAAGTTTTTGTGTTTAGTTGTACTAACAATTGTCGATGGAATATGGAGACATTGTTCTTAAACAGTGGAGGAGGTTAGGTATGCTGAACCACTATAAATTATAGTCTCGGCTCTGGTAATTATAGGACACTATAAATTATATAATATTTCACTAAACAACTAATTGCAAACATCGTATGGATTCTATGTGTTTATTACCATAATGTGATCATTCATTTGATATTTAGATTGATCCATTAATATAATCTAGTGTTGATCTAAATCTAGCACTAATTTTAGTTTGTTTTATGAATGATTTTAAGGTATAAAAATGCTCAAGTAATTATAATAAAATCACAACAGAAACAATTTTGCAATGTAACTAAAATTTAGAGAAATCTTATGTAATATGGTTTCTATATGCTAACATTTATGTCTGGTACAGTCTAGACATACATTCAATACTTGCATTCAATACTAGACATACATAGACTAACTTCCATCATCAGAATAAGGAAAAATAGAGACAAAGATGGGTGTAAAATTAGGGTTATCTAAAGCAAATGCATTAAGAAAATGTGCCAGTTAAATAGATGGATGGTTTATCCTCTAAAAAACCTTAGAACTTAAGTACACATTTCTTTTCCAAATTAGTCCGTATATTATTAAAAAAAAAATCAAGTAGGAGAATAGTACTTAAGAAGTATGCTTCCAGGGCTCTAAGTCAAAAGCTGAGGTTACAACATCATCTCCTCATAGGAGAACTAGCTTTTCTCGAGAACCCAAGTTCTTACATCACTCAAACTTGATCATACAGAAAATATGCTGAAACGTCTGACAAATTAATCCTATAAGACTTGGATTTAGTCCATCTCTCTCTCTCTCTCTCTCTCTCTCTCTCTCTCTCTCTCTCTCTCTCTCTCTCTCTCTCTCCCCTATATAGAAAGAAAGAGAAAGGTGGGCCATCACAGAATCAGCCAAACTTTTCTCCAAATGAAGATCAATATAATACTGCCATAACGGATATTGAAGCTTAAATGGGGAAAGTCCAAGTGCCCTAATAACCACAACAGATGTTGTAGGAGGGACCCTCAGAAACCCAAGAAGATGATGAGATCGACAGAAGAAGCCCCCAACGCCTCAGGACCCAACAAACTGCTTTAAAAAATATTAGGGCACCTAAAGAATCAACAATGCCAGAACAACCCACTTCCCCCACCTAAAAATAAAAAAATAGGACTTACCGTGTACGACTGGCTGCTACTCAAATTCGAGGAGCCAAAAATCAGAAAAGATTACATTACAAAAATAAAATGCAACCATAGAAATTCACCTCTCCATGTAAAAAGCTCTCCTTTTTGGACGAAGATCTCCCTTTCACCAGAATCCCATATATGCATGCAGAATGAAGCCTCCACAAGATCTCCCATGCTGACAATGGATCACCAATTTGGGTCTCCACAGAGTCACTCTTGATCTTCAATCTCGGTCTCTAATCAGGGTCCATTACATTCAGGGGAAGCATCCTCTTAGAGCGGCCGGGAGCAAGTAGTATTATCTTCTTCTTCAAGGGCACCATCATCATGAGCTCTTGATCTCTAGTTCCAGGGCCCCAGAATGCATGGGTTATCACAGGTTTACATTGCAATCAGCCATGAATGGATCCCCCCTTATAAGGAATCTCTTCCAGTAGGTCTTATAATTCTGGACTCCGAGCTCCAGCCAGGGCTTCATGTTCCCATTGTAATGCAGGACTGCTGCGCTCTGAACGCCCTCTGTGTTAACTTCATAGCTAGCTCCAAGCCCTGACAGAACCCACGAGCTGTTCAAGGGGTGAACCAGACCCTGGAAGGTGAGCATGGCTGTGGGCAGCACGGCGTCCCTCCAAGAGGTGGCAGTTTTCTCTCGCAGATTCAGATTCTGGAAAGACCCAGCGAAGATGTCAGGAGGAACATTCAGATGGATACTCAGACCCGATGCTAAGCAAGAATAATTCGGATGAAATCATAACGCGTTCCTCTAGAATTAGGGTTCCTCTAGTTCTTCTGCACACCTATGATTTTCAGTCACACGTGTCTAGGGCATCTCTCTCCATCTTTTTAGGGCATAATCTCTCCTTGATTGGAATAAAAGATAGGTTGCATGTAAAATGAGGTGAGGCTTGACCAGCTTCTGCCTCGGTCTGCATTTCGTTGATGACAAGTTGGAAGAACCTAAATCTGGAAAGGTCTCATCCGCGGGAGGGTGATTTTCCAGAGTGAAAACGTTTCCAATCAGGAGTTTGATGAACTAATCTGTGACCCATATTTTGCATTAAGAATTAAATTATTCATTCATTGTGAAGGCAGTGAAACTAGCAATGACGTGCAGTGAATGAAACAACCAAGCCACTTACCTCATGAAGCAGCTGCGTGTAGGTGCCAGTTAGGTTGAGCTCTCTCCACTTGTCCAGATCTATTACGTTCAATCCAGACATCCAAACACAGGTGTCCTTGTTGTAGTTCGTTTCGCCATGCATGCCTTTCAGATGACTCAGTCGCATTCCACAGTACTCCACCGCACCAATCACTTTACCTTTTAGTTCAAGGTTCCATAGATGTGACAAGTCCTTCTGGACGACAATGTCGTCATCCAAGACCACCAGCTTTCTAAGCTTCTTGAATAAATCCGGAAGAAGAAAATGCACGTGACCGAAAACCGGGATGTGCTCAATTCGTGGTTGACCGTTATTTCTAATGAAAATTCGGAACTCCTCGAACATTGACAGGTGAGGTTCCATGCCGAACCCATGAGGGTATTGCAAGCCAAACTCTTCAATGTTCTGAACGTCAATCACAGCGTTCTTGTAAGTGTACTTTGAAAACCAGAATTTCATAGAGAAGTAATTCTGAGAATCGGTGAGCAGGTGAAAAACCAAGTTCTTAGTTTCCTGCACGATTGGAAGGAATATTTGTTAATTTTTCGATGACCCAATAAAAAAAAAAGGAAATTGCGACAATAAGGGGTGCTGGATGTTTAGTAGATGAGTTTATGAAAACAATGTCGTGGGACATCCGCAAGAAACCAATTGAGAGAAGATGAGCGCGGACACCTAATAATAAAGTGATGAGCATAGGAAAGTATGTACGTTGATGATGACATGATTAGTTACCTTTGCACTTGTGACTGTTGAGTTAATAGCGACAGAAGATGCCAGTACGTTTTTTGAAAAAATAACATAATGCTGAAGATCTGGGTCACTAAGCCTTTCAGCATGCGCATCCTCTGCATCAACAGGTAAAATCTTGAAAGATTCCGCAGTCAATCTCATTGACAGACAGTGGAGACTCTTGGGCACGGTCTGAACGCTGAGTTGATAAAGAAATGCACCCTGCTTCGCATAAAATTTCGCCTCCTCCTCTGCCCAGTCAAGAATTAGCCTCATTTTCTTCTCAACATAATTGTAGTCCGGTTGTAATGATTTGCTTCTGGATATCACATCTTCCATCGTCTGCATTCTCTCCTCAAAACTAGAAGCACGACCAGAAGAATATCAATACGACTCGTAAAGAACATGCATCCAAATTCCAAATCGCTCCACCCGTCAAGATTTAAAACTAAGAATCTGGAATGTATGGAGAATCTCAGAAGTAACAAAAATGACCCACGTAACTAGTCCAAGTAGTTATTGTCTCATGACTACAAGGGAAAGCGAAAACTTAAAGTGAAATATTGCATAGGAAAAACAACGACATATCATATCTGTCCATTCTGTTGCCAATCTCCACATCAAACACCAGATTCCCTGACCATGTTACTGAGAATCAGATATCAGAGGTTTTCATATCATTACACTATCGTGCATCAAAAGTGAAGGCAAGCATATTAACTTCCTCTCAAGTGAGTCTCGGCATGAGGGCATCGAATTTAGATTCGTCAGTCAGACTAACATTGTATTTGCCGAAAGACGCCTCAAAGTATGGCAAGTCTCACAACAAAAGTGTAAATAGTAGGGGTTTTCATGTTTTTGAGAACATTTTCCAGGCACTTTCATCTACTATTTGACGTCTTGATGTCAAAACGTTCATTGACATTATGACGTGAATTTCGTCAAAACAAAAACAGAGATACATGATGTTTTTGATAAGTCTATCCCCAATGGGTAAGAGCAGAGACAATATTGCATTCACAGAAGACAATTGAACTGTAAGAAACAGTCCAAATGTTTTACCAATGAGACAGAACCTTGGGGGGAAAAAAAGAAGCCAGTACTCCATTTATAGTATAGAGCGAGAAACTATCAACTGTCCACTGTAATGTTGTATACCAAAATTTTATAAATTCAAATAGGAACAATGAACAGCACAATATAGAGGGAAGGAAGAAAGGGGAGGAAAACTAATCAGACAAACCAGAATACACTCGATTAGATAGGTATCTAGGAAGAACAACAAAAAGAGAAAAAAGGATAAATATCTCGTAACTTACTTAGAAGGAAGCTCGGCATCAAACATAGCTCCACCAAGCAAGTGCTCGTGGTCTTGAATATTCTGTTTCACCTTCTGGGAGAAAACCCCCTGACCCTTAATCTTATCAATAAGTGGGTAATATGCTCTGACCACAAAAAGCTGATCTCTGATTTTTTTAACTATAAGATCCTTCATTCTTTCTTTATTTCTCAAGGACCAAAGACAGTAGCTTCCAAATTGAAGTTGGCATAATATCGTAGTTTCGTCATCACTTTTGATCGTACTTGTTCCAGGACTGGGTTTGGCTACCTGAAATTAAACCAATATAAACTTTGATTCAAGAGTCATCTGCAGAAACTATAACGAAACGCAGAAAATCAATGATCTCATGTAAGATGGGCATACAAAATAGAACAGTTTCTGGTCATATTTGAGAGAGATAAAGGTTTGAAAAGTAAACTGAAATTCACCTTCGCCAAAAGAAATTCAGGAAGATGAAATGAATCGTTCTAGATCAGTTGAATCATTCAATGCATTTTAAAATAAAAATGATGCACTTCATTAAGTTTCAGCATAGGATGATTGAACGTTTTAGTAATCCATGAGTTCATAATCGAATCATTACATCAGTGCTAGGAGAAGGATGTGTCTCATTCTCAACTGCTGGAGGGTGGTTGCCTGCACCCAAAAAGCAAATTGAATACCAGTCAAGAGCCAAAAGGACTCCAACAACAAAGAAAAAAACAGAGGAAAGGAATAAGTAAGAATCTTAGAACCCAAGCTTAAAGTAACGTATTAAACTTACATACCTTCAGAGTGGATGGGAGTTTCGTCTAATAAAGAAGTTGAGTTTACATTAGTGCTATTTTGGATGTTTCCTGGCTCCTAGAAAAGAAAGAAACAATATGACACATAATTTAATATATTCCTTAAGGAAAATCCAAAAATTAAACAACAGACATTGAAAGAAAGAAAGAAAAAATTATTGATTTGAATACAACCGAATTAAATAATATAGATGAGTGAATATTCAAGCGAGAATTGAAAAGGTTCTTAAAATCTCATACTAATAGCATCATCCAAATTACAAAGGAGCGGCTAAAGGCTAAACGTCCTAGCATACGTCTGTAAGGGAAAATCCAGTCATTTCATTAACAAAGCTAAGACATAAGAGAGGTCATTTTCATATAGAATAATGTCATCCCTTCTGACTGGTATAGTCGAAAGGGATCGTATGTGCATTACATAAGCACATAGAAAACATGACATTTATTTTTGTTCCCTATTAATATCCCCATCTTTTAGTAGGAGTTGGGTGGATGAAGAAAAAAATGGTGCCAGATTCTGTACCTATCAACTAGCTCTATCTAAAACATATGACAAAAAGGTAGCCACCCTCAATGCCTTTGGCCACAGGGGTAGCAATGTCTAAAAAATAACAGGTGGGAGTTGGACATCATGAAGTCAGAAAATATGAAACGTTATGAAGCATTGATCATTTTTTTTCATTGTATTTGTCTTGGCATTACCATCATTATAGATAACAACATGTGAAGCACAAGCTCTGAAACATAATTATTTATATGCTCTTCCATTTTTTTGTATCTTCATTCTTAATCCTTGGAGAAAAACATGCCAACTGCATCCTAAAAGGTTCGAAGATTCGATCTGTTATTTAATAATTTGATGGAGACCAAAACAATACAGAATATAACACTCTTGAAGGCGTTACGCTTTTTGAAAATGTTTGTTTTCACAAGAATTCAAAGGATAAATATGATGTTTTTACAAGTAAATTCCTATGCGATTTACCACTATTTATACAAAGATGAAATCCAAGAAGTAAACGCAGAGTAGATAAAAACTAGATAGTGAACCTCAGGGAAGAATGGCCTAAAACTGCTGGCTAGTCTGTCCACAATTCTGGTTCCAGCACCCTATACAAGATCCACATACAATAAAAACCATCAAAATAAATATCCTCCCTACGATCAAGAAGATGTATCCAGATGTCTAACAGAATAAAAAAAACTTGTGATGAATCATCAGAGAATTCGATAAAGGAGGAAAATGACAGAATAAAACAAAAGAAGAGACCTCCTTTGGCTTCTCATGATCAAGAAGATCCACTCCATCAACGCTCCGCACATTAGAACCCTAGCTCAAGGTCAAAAATAGAAACAGTAATGAATAACAGAAAATGCAAATTCAATAGCAAATCTCAGTTCATAAAAGCAAAGAGAGCTACTCACCGGAGGTGACTGGTCGTCACTTAAGTATCCTGCAAGGATGGGTAATACGTAATCAGAGAATTGGAGAAAAAAAATCCGGAATCATTCTACATAAACTACTGAAAACGAGAAACGCAAAATGTGGCGGCATAGACCCTGCAAACAACAGAAAGAACTGACACCAGCGCGAAACCTTTTGAGGGAAAACAGGACCACCCGGAGAAGCGCAAGACTCTTCAGATCTGAGCCAGCAAGAAACTCAAAACCACCAGGCAACGGCAAATTGAACATTCGAGCAAGGCAAACTCAATGCAGGGACCCGATCTAACTCGTGCAACCCCCGGAACAGTCAGAGATCTCGGGATCGGAAGCGCAAGAACATCTGTTCCGGAGAGCATTTCCGAATTCCGATGACCAGGGAGCATTCCCTGCTCTAGGTGCATACCATAGGAGGAGCGGCTCTGGACCCCGAACAGGAACACGAGCGGCAAAAGGAGCGAGAGGACGACGAGGGTGAGCACAGCAAGTGCGAATCCCTTCCATCTCCTCTTCACCGCAGGAGTCACCATCCCACCCTTCATCTCCCCCCTCTTCCCCGTCTACAGATCTCCCTCACCCATCCCTGCTCTTCCCACTCCTCCCGTACCCACTCTCCCCCGCCAAGATCAAATCAGCTACCCCCTCCCCCTCCCCACCAGCGACACGCGTCTAATCAAGCCCTCCCTTCGCCTTCGCCTGTCGTCCTCTCCTCTTCACTGATTCATCCCCCTCTCTGAGGTGATAGACAATTAGGGTAGAGAGAGAGAGAGGGAATAGTATGGGGGGTTGGAGGAAGCTGACGTCGGACGCCGACAAATCTAATATTTTTATTATTTATCGGGTGAAATTTATTCTGCAAAAGCTCCCTCGCCGCCGTGGACCGAGAATTTAATATTTAGGGGCATATACTTGATACTATTTTTACTAATTTTTCTTTGCCCTGGATCGTGCCGAAAAAGCCGTTGACTCTGTGGGTGAGATATCGCTGCCTTGTAACTCCTCCTAATATTCATAATATTTTTTCTAAAAATAAATGGGAAGACCATTGAAAAAGAAATTTTGATTTTTCCCCCCAGAGTTTGTACAAGTTTTTTTTTCGTTTTCTTATTATACTATTTTTTTATGTCCAGGATACGCCGTTGACTTGTGTATGCTCTTTTCTTATTTTGAATCCATATTAGAATAATTACGGTATCAAAACGGCATGTGACTATATGCAAGATTCAGTTCTACTAATTGATATTCGGAATCTAGAGAAAATATTTTTAATTAAAAAAAGTCCTCATCATTTCGGTAAATTAAAAAATTAAGGAGAAAATATAATTCCACCCCTGAAACAGAGCAGAGAAATCGGTTCTTAGAAAATTGACCAAGTAGATCCGCATCTCTAATCTTTCCCTCTCTTCTCTCTCTCTCTCTCCCTCTCACACGGAGGTTGAGGAGACGGTGTCGGTGGGTGACTGCGACGGCGGAGAGGGGGAGGGGGGGGAGGTGGGGGGGACAGTGTGGACCGTCGGGTGAGCCGTCGCACGTCGATGGCCGTGACGTCGCCGTCATCACGAACATGGGAAGATCTCAAGGTGGGGGCCCAGAGGACCAGGTCTCTAGCTAAGCCCGAAACGTGACCCTTCGGCCACTGGGTGCGGACCCAGTACGACCGGAGCGTGGACGGCCCAGATGATGACACGTTTATCGGTCCATCATTGAACCTCATTGGGCCTAAATGGGATATTTCGGGCCCGCCTTCATACGGAGCATGCCTAGAAAGTGGAATAAAACCACTACCTCCTTTTGTTGACTATAGACCAATTGACTTTCGCATTATGCTGATAAAAATGGTAACAAAAATCAAGTGACGAACCCAGAGATAGACAAAAGACGTTGAGGACTCCGTAACAAATGGGGAACGATTGCCACCCAACCTACCTCTAACCCTGTCGTCTTTACTGAAAAAGTCTGATCCAGATTTCCAGGAGGCCTTGGCCTTACAAGCTTTCTGACCTCTGGGACAGAGAAGATGACGAGTTTCGATCCAAACCAAAGTCAACGGTCAGGGGGAATAAAAGTCAACCAAACCCTCAGACGAACACCGAAAGGGTCAAACAAACATTACCGGTTTCTTTACAGCCCGCCGAGGCTTCCTCGGATGCCCTGCTGCAGCTGCTTCAGAGAACAAGCTGCTATATTTTTCAAGAACCCTGTTCTTCTCCTCTGACGATCCCATCATCTCGTACGCGTCTGCCACCTTCTGCACGATGGATTTGCTGGGCGACTTGCGATCAAACGATTCGAGGGCCTTGAACAGCTGAAATATTTCACATGAAATGTACCATGAAAATAGAGATTTCGCTACTTACTCCCTTAAAAAAAAAACCATTTCAGTGGTAATTATGTTTCACGTGATTTCGATGACAGCCATTGAATATTTCACACGAAGTATATCGCATAAATAAATATATTTGTTTTCAACCATAGTCAGGGGTGGATTAAAAGATAATTAATTAAGTGGTACCCTGCCAGCCCATTCCAGCATGTTGTTTTACTAATAACGACAGGAAATATACACATGAAATGGTTCATATTTAGTAATGTTAAGGAAAACCCAGGTAATTATGTTTCACATGATTTCACAAGAACTATATCGCATAAATATATTTGATTTCAACCATAGTCAGGGGTTCATATTTAGCCATGGGCTCATTAAAAAAGAATTAATTCGGTGGTTTCAAGCTTTCTGAAAATACCTTGATGAGCCTCTCCAGCATGTTATTTCGGTAGTAAATAGAGACCATGAGATCGCAGACCCGCCATGGCACCGAATGGATATCACTCCCGATCTTCTTCAACCAGATTCGGTGGGCTTCTTCTGCTCTGTGATCCTTCTCTAAGGCCCGAATCAGCTGCTCGTATGTTCCCATTGTTCTTCCTTGTCCCTTACTCAGCATCCACTTTATGACCTGGCAAGAACAGATGGAGAAGAAGAAGAAGAAAAAAGAAAAACCAGAAGGAAGACAGGATGAGTACGAAGTGTTGAATGAGATATCTTTCGAGCCCAAGAGGCGGATTATTTGCAGAAATGGTGTATAGGACCTGAACAACTCTGTGCCACTGCTCCTCCTTCTCAAGTGTGATGAGTATTCTCTTCAAAGAGACCAGAGGAAAGCTCCTCTCCCAGGCAACCCAACCATCAAGAGTCCCATAAACAGCCTCTCTCGAATCATTAAGATTTATAAGCTGCAAGAGGGCTAATCTCCATCACATCATTGGATAAAGAAGTAGAGCAGCAGAAAATCTGGTCAATGACAAGTATAACGAAGAACGGCGTGCCTCCATTCTGCAAGGGGCTTTTGAAAAACTTACGTATCTCCAATTACATTCTTCCTTACAGAAATCAAATCTCTGAATCATGTCATCAGCCACAGATATCATCATTTTGGGAAATTTTTGAACCCAATAAATCCATCTGCTTGTTAACCTAATACTGGAAGATGTTAAATCCCGGACTCATTTGATAGAAGGTGATGAGGTCATTCAGTCAATCATACAGTGGGTATACAGGTTTACAGATCATTTTTGCTGAATTTCGTAGGGCAATAAATCTTAAATTTATCTTTGAATGCTTTCGCTATTTCTAAAAAGTATTTAAGGTTTATTTAAGACCCTAGTTAACCCAACCGTTTTCTTCTATTTTTTAGGAACATTTGAGGCTTAATCTAATCTATTCCAGCGGATTTATCTACTTTTTTGGAGTGTTTAATGCCGAAATTCCGGCCCATTAGTCATGGGAACTGTTGGGTTCTAGGTCAGACCTAAGATCTCCCCTTCAAAGGCCTCAAATTCCACCTATAAATAGGAGGTGGAACTTGATGTTCCCATTGCTAATCCATCACAAGTAATCAACTTAGAGAAAAAAAATCAAGCTTCCTATGATATAAATCTTGTTCTAAAAGCAAGACACCATGATAGGGATCCTAACTATAAACATAAACCTACAGTGATGCTTATCTGATTGGTCAACCATTATTTAAATTAATATTTTCTGACTTATCTTAAAATCAATCATATACATGGTGTGTACTGCATTATAGAGGTAGAACATTGTCTGTGCCCCACCAATTGAATATTTTTTTACACAAAGGGCCCAATGGGCCTTTGATCAGCAGCAAGTTAATTGATTTTTTTTATAAATAGAAAGCATGCAATCAGTCAACAATTCAATAGATACTATCTAATTTTGCAGAAAAGTCCGTGTGCTGATGGACAGAATGGATCTGAAACCCAACATAAGTCACATTGTCTAGTGGGCCACTTCAGACCAGGTTCAATCAAAACCTAAACACACCCACACCCTGACGCCTAGGAGAGAGAGAGAGAGAGAGAGGGGCTTACTGGGGTTTTCCCATATACCAGCTTGATTCATTTACCGATTTGACGGAGTGTTTGCGTTTTAGGCACCGAGTAATATATTCCCAATACAATGTAGGCATTCGTTCATCAAAATAATTAGGAAGTTGTGTTCGAAGCAGATGAAAAACAACCGCATAATGTATAACAAAAAGGAAATCGCAAACAGCTCAGAAGTAATAAATTATTCTAGACTGATGTCCGCTTTTTTACATAAATTATAGAACTTAATTGGATCTTTCAATTCAATTTACACAAAAAAAATTGTCAAAAGTATTTTTCATCGGTCTTTTGGGGCGGAGACAGAGTTCTTGCTGCCCACTCTCACTTATCATAAGCTGCGGTAGCCCTTCATGTTTGAATATGAGCGGAAAAAAAAAATCACAGATCTGGATGGCAGTGCCTACCGCATTGAGAAGAAATGTGCTCTTATCCCTCGATGAAATATTTTCTCCGATAGCTTTCTTCCGTGGTAACATTGTTTTGCTTGAAAATTGATCAAGAGCTTGATAGTCTCCCTGAACCTAAACACATTAACCCTTTTGTTTCAGGGCAAGCTTTAAAACTACCATAGAGAAAAATCATAAAGGTTCAGAAAATGGGCCTTTATTGTGTCCAGAAACCATTGACTGGGGGGAGAATTTATAAAAAAATAAAAAACAAGAATATTGCACATAATCATCAGATAAAATAAACTGGAATTTGATTCCCCATTATACACCCAAATGCTCAGAATGATGTCTTTTTTAGAAACACATGCAACAGGTTTGTTTCTTTTTTCTTGCCGATCGGGTACAATGATTTTTGCTAAGATTCCTTCATCATTGTACCAATAGAGAGAGGATCTTTTGATGGCATTTTTAAATTATTACAAGTAAATGGAGAAAAATGACGAATGATGACTGATACACTCTGTGAATGTTGACAAAATAGGCTTCTGCCAGAAAACTTAGAAGAGAATAAATTGCCAATCAAACAGCAAGAAACAACTGTTTCTGTCTTCATCCATCATCCTCCAAACTCCAACTTGATGAGGTGAGAATATAGTCACAGTTTCACTGCTTTTCAATGTCATATATCATATATACATCCAATATGCTTCATTTCATATCGTTCCTCATTGCCTCCAAACAAGTTCTACTCAGCTTCTTCATCTTCACGAAATGTTGGCCATGGCTGTAAATAACTATTCATGCCGTCTTCCATGCAAGGGTCCAAACAATTGTAAGAAGCTTTCAGAAAAATTTATCAGCAACTGCCTATGCACTTACGTTGGTAATATTTTCTAAGACATGCATACTTAGTCAACATGACTATTGCCAGACAATCTATCCCGTATATTGTTGCTGACCTAACTGTTGTTGTCTAAAACTTGTTCTTCAATATAAAAAGAATTTGATAATCTCGATGCACTGAAGAAGTTGCTTCTATTTTAGCTAAGTACCTGTGATCTTATTAGAATTGTAATTTCACGTATTACATTATATTAAAAAATGATTATAAGTCATCACTTTCGAGAAACTCTATTTCGACCTTGTAACACAGAATAGAAAGGACCGTAAAAGAAAAAAGACGCTCAAAATATATTGAATAGGAACGCAAAGCATACGATGACATAGCACAAGATAACTGTGGTAGGTGCTACCAAGAAGGACAAATCTTCATGTAATATCAAGAAGAAGAGTTTGACTAAAAAAGTTCAATCTTCTAACATAGAAAAAAGAGCAATATCAAAGTTGTAACAGAAGAAAAATAGCATAAAACAAGTAATTTTCAGTGTGCACAAACCTCTGATGATCCTGCGATTGGTTTAGACTCTGAATGATTCTGAGAATCCTCTTCAGTAAATTTATACATATCAGTGTGCCCCAACCTACTTTCGACCATTGAAGTAGAATAACGTCTACCATCTAACCAATCAGCCTGCAACCCAAGTCGAGTTATTATAAAAGCTACCAAAGGGTATGAAGAAAGAGAATAAAAATCAAAAAAGGTACCTGGATTACCAGATTCCATTTACAGTTCCTACAAATAAAATAAATTAAGCATTAGGTTACAAAATGTCATCAACATCAGACTGGGTTATGAAATTCTCTTTCCATAAAAGTGATGATTATTAAAGGTATCTAATTGAATCCTAACTAGTGAGCCAACGAGGGTAAAGGGATTCCGCCCCCGAATCAAACTGAAGGGAAGTTCCAGTCTTTTTCCCAGGCTTGTCTTGCAGCTAGGCCCATACTAACTATAACCAGAAAAAAATGAGGTATTCACATTTAGAAAGCATGAATTTCCCTCGTTGATATATTGAAAACTCTACCCTTACAATCCTCACTTTCAAAACGAATACTAAGGATACAACCATGAACAGGATTTATATCGGGATCTTTCAACTACAGGCCACTTTCGCCACATCTTATTTTACAACTCGTTGATTGGTTCTCATGTTTCGCTGACGAAATTTACAAGTCAATAAACAAAAAACTGCGATTACTGAGAACCACATTAGTTGACATTATCTTAAAGAGAAAGCAGATAAAAATGACATAATGGCAATTTAAATTACGAATTGGCTATGTAAGCATCGTTGCTTAATGAAGATCGTAGAAGCTTGACTGATCTGCACAAAGATGCTTCCAAACGCTGCATAATTGTGGCACTTAATCCGTTCTCACTCCCCCCTTTTGTCTTGGCATGAAGATGTCATAAACAGTCTTCAACTAGAAAAAAAACACAAAAAGGACGATTAAATAAAGAACATAAGTCTAGCCAACACAGGACACTAAGTTGTTAAAGAGGAATTGCTTCCCAAGATTGGAAGCGTAATAAATTTTTAGAAATATAAATTGAATATTAATAATATAAGACAAAAAAGACACCCCATGTGAAGCAAGGTTAGAAAGAGAATGATGCCGATGTTGGCCAAATTGGATGCAGGCGGGGAATTTTTTTCTTGTTTCAACGAAATAAAAAAAAGGTAAATGAGATTAATTACAACTATAAATGTACATGTTCCTTTCAGCAGTCATGAGAACCTCAGTTTATTCGAATAAAAGTGGCCATGACGTAAGCAGAAGATGATTCCAGGGACGAATAAAAAGTTCAAGCTGCTGCCTCCAGGTTAAAAAATGGCAAAGAGAGAAAAATAGACGTGTTGGTTATTGGTGTTTCATTATGTCCCGGACCTGCGGTGTTTACCGGAACACAGACAGAGGGCAGAGAACACATGGCTCTAATCACATAGGGTCACTCTCCCCACGTGCAGTCAGCATGGCAAAGGAGATACGGATTTGGGGAGGGGGGAGGAGGCTCACCAGGAGCTCCCGCGATCAGGATATGTGCTCCGCGCCCAAGACGGATCGGACGATGGCCCCGAGACAGATGAGGGATGGAAAATCTCCGACCGGAAGAATTGGCCCGCAGAAACCGCCCGAAGTAAGCGACCGACCTGATCGACGCTAGCCGCGTGCGCACCCCTGATGAAGGACCCGGTTATGGCCGGACGGCAGGACCCCGTGAGCACGCAAGCATGGAAAGAGAACGGAGAAAGTGCCGGTGCAGGAGGCCAGAGCCAGGAGAGAGACGGCGGCGGCGGGGAGCAGCTCCTCCAAGCGAGCGTCGCGCGAGAGCAAGAGGGAGAGAACGGCGGGAGTGGCAGCTCGGAGCTGTTTGCGGGGGGGGAGTAGGACAAAGGGACTTTTTTCTCTTAGCCCACCACAAAGACGATCAGTTACAAATAAAATTCTCTCCTTCTAATATTATTTTTATCTCCCTTTATCGATGTTTTTTTAGACAAATATATAATTAATATATAAAAGGTAAAATCCGTCAAGGAGCCAGTTTTTTCCTCTTAGCCATCCACAAAGAAGATCAGTTACGAATAAAACTCTCTCCTTTTAATATTATATTTAGCACCTCTCCACACCATATTTATCTCTCTCTTTGTTGATTTTTTTTTAACAAATATGTGAATACGATGTAGAAAAATTAAAATATTAATTAGGAGCCGTCATTTTTCGTTGGACAAGAAGACCAAAAGGTGATTTTTCATATATATATATACTTGGCTCTTTAGAAAGAGTAATACTCTGAAGTGATTTGTAAGGTGTGCAAAGGTTTTTTATAAATTTAACATAGGAAGAAATGTGTTTGATTGCATTGACAAAAGGAATGAAAATCTGAAACTGCAGAAGTATTTTTATTAACTCATCATCAGGCTCCATCCTAGCTCTTGTCTTAAGTTCTAGGGCCTTAGGGAATAGCACTACCTTAGCCTTCCTTGTTATACTCCTGATGTCTATCTTCTCCCCACATTCTTTATCTCCTCAAACTTTTCTTTCAATTCTTTTTCTCCTTCATCAGAAAATAAATCATCATTTTGCTCACCTATGGTGGGTGTTGCTTTTGCTATTACCCTATATATATATATATATATATATATTGATCAATATAAAATAGTAATTTAAGGTATTGGGCATTGAGCACTCAAAACTAGGTTGCAGATTCACCATTTTTATTTTTTATTTTTATCTTTATTGAAAATTTTAATTTAACTTAATTATTTAAAGAAAAAATCATAAGTAAAAGTTTACAATAAGAACATTGCACATGCGTAAATCATATCACATCTAGGTAATATGTAGGCACAAAAATGATGATAAGCAGTGATGAACCACCATAATTCATAAATTTCCTTTCTTTTTTTTTTTCTTCACACGTGTGTGGAAAAGGCGTCAATATATACAATTTCTGTTGATTGTACTGAATCAGCTTCAGGCCATGGCCAAATCCAGCTCAAACTATAAGAAACTGGAGAAAATAATGTGCATGAATGAGTATGTGTGGAGCGTGGCCCTCATCTTGATCTCCAGCTAGTTCTAGCCCTCTTCTTCTACCTCAGGTTCAGGCAGCAGTGGTTGTTCTATGACTGGAGGTATAGCATCCACCTTGTAGCGCAAGCTCTGAGATAATCAATCAGAAGTAAAGGAGAAGCAATGAGTTGGAACTGGTTCGAAAGCATATTTGTTCATCCTATTCAATGTGGGATGCTTCACAATATTTTTGCAAGAATGAAAGAAAAAGCTTCGTTGAGTGATTCTAGTCAGCTGATATCATCAACTAATTTTCTGCTTGCTAACGTTTTCAGGGATTTCCCCACCTTCTTGAAGAAGGTCGAGTAGGAGTTGTCCCAGATGAGCTTGTAGCACCCAGTTGAGATGGTGCAGAAGTTCCCCTGCAAGCAAAACCATGAGCTCTCCAAGAAGCTGGGACGGGAGACGCCCACCATTTACAGAAAATGTGCTGAGATGGGCAAAGAAATGATAACCTACTTGGTCAGATTCATATCTCCGATAAGGCAAAATCAGCTGCAGAAAATGGAAAGCGAATGCAAGAAGTGAGGCCAAACACACGCTGCAGGGCGACGATAGCTTTCTAATGCAATGCCTCAACAGGATGAACAGAGAAGGCTCACCATAGTTTCCCCAGATGGGCTCACATATTCAACACTGAATCCAATATCCTGTGCAGTCATTGAGGGAGGGAGGGACAAACACATAAGTAGCATAAAGAAAGAAAAAAATGATGTCAAAAGTAGAATTAAAAAGGAGAATTGTTCATTCAGTCAAAGGGTTTCTCAGAGAAACCGCAATTGAATGTTTCAGCATTTTAACATGAGAGCACAAGAAGGTCAATAAAAGGTAAAGAGACGATCTATAATTATGCTCTCGAGTAATCTTTGTTAGCTATTTCTGTAAAGATATCTTGTATTTTTGGAAAAAAACCCATTTATAAATGCTGCATGAATGAAAGAAAGGATGAGCCTAAAACTAGAAATACTTTAACACCCACTATTCACTTATATTCATGTCTCCATAGAAAATTGCACACCTTTGCAAGAAATCTCTCGCAGATTAAAGAAAACGTAGTGCAAAAAAAAAAAAACCCTCGTCAGAACTCCCATTAACGAGAAAAATACTAATGGACATCAAAAGAAAATGGGGGAAATGGTCTGGATCGTACCACATTCACTTTCCCTTGAACCAATGAAAAATCCCAAGCAATATATGAGTTCACAGATTCAATCGCCAATGATACCTGAAGACGTTGCAAATACATTAATAAAATAATTGGCGGCAGTATATTCCAAATAATCATTGTGGACAGAGTATTTGAAACTAAAGCTAAGAGAAACAATAAAGGGAATTTGGTTTAAACCCCCTCAAAAGCCAGTTGAATTATTGATAAGCCCCTCTCTTTTTCAGGCTGCCATGTAACTAAACTCTAAGTTTTTGATCCTCTGACTATATCTTATTTCAGAAATAACAATATCTAAATAGAATACTCAATGGATATTTACCGCATGCTGATATTATTTTAAAACTACAAATATTCCTTCTACCTATATCTCCACAGTAATGGGCATGGTGGGCTGTTGGGAGTACAGTGGGGGAGACTGCAGCAACTGGGGCAGCTGTGGGAAGCAGAGGGCTTTGGGGAAGAATGCCCGAGGAGATGGGGAAGGGATCTGGGTTATATGGTCTGATGGGGGCCCAGCTGAACAGGGAAAGGGGGGGAATGAAGCAGCCGGGTAAAGAGCAAGTCTGTTGGAATGACGATGCATGAGAGCAGAGGCAGTGATAATCATGTTCTTACTTTAAATCGACCTCACATGGCTCACTAGCCACTGGTTTCGTTCCAGGAAATCAAAAGGTTTACGAAATGCAATTAAAGTTTTTTCCAATTCTCTTCTTTATAACACGATGGTTATTAAAAAAGTTAGAAGCTATTTCATACTTCTGAATGACCAATCCTTTCCTGATCTTTGATTCGTAAGATCTCCATTATATGATAATTTCAATCCCCTTCACAGATCACAACAACACACTTTTTTGTCTTAACGAATTTTAAGACCATTTCTGAAATTATCATCTTGGAGCTCACATTCCTCCTAAAAAAATTTCTTTTCAGAGCTTTACTCCCTCCGACTATTGTTCATAAATGACTCTTAGAACCCTAATATTCTTCCGTTTTACGCCCAAAACTCGAAAAGGCAGAAATAGTCCAAACCAGATCGTAAGGCCCAATTGTCTCATAACCATTTTTGGCTAACGTCATTCCCGAGGATACCTTATTTTTTGATAAAAAAAGAAGGTTAGAGAGATGTGGACATTTTAGAAGCAATGTATACAAATAAGAAAGATGATTCAACATTCTATCAGGAAATTCATGTGATTCATCAACTGAAACATGGAAATCTCTCATGAATACATACTTTGGTAACCTGACTGGAAAGTAGAAAGATCTTGGCTCATTTTGCCATTGCTGCTTGGGAAACCACGGTGGATTACAAGTGACATCTACAGATCATCCAGAAAAATAGCGTTTCTGAATTTCCTACTAAATATAATACAAAGGTTAATGGACTGCATTATCCTAGGTAAGGATCTCTCATTCCCCTCGAATAATGCTCAATACAAGACTTTTTAATGAAGAAGGAAGCGGAAGGTGATACATAGAATCTCTGATGCTTCTCCAATCATTGTAGTTGGTGAATCATTTGGCCCCTCGGGAATAGGTCTGAACATCAATTGAGGGAACGAAACAGAAAAAAAAGAAAGAAAAATACAAATGTGTTTGCAGTCATTCTGCTAGGGAAAATCAAAGACAGAAAAACTGTTTGGGGGAAATATCCAAAGAAGAAGACTGAAAATTCAAAAAAGGGAAGGAAGACTAATCTTCTTAGCCGATGCAGCCTTATTCACAGGAGCATAGCAACAGATGTGTCTATTGCTTCTATGAAATGTGGTACTAAAGTAGTATTAAAAGTGGTGATACTGGCCATCCAAAGCTACTCTCGTCGCCTTTTTCCCATAAGATATTCTTTGACTATGAAAAGACCTTTCTATAAATTCTCTCCACCTTTACATTAACTTAGTCAAGTATTACCAAGATGCTACTGTCTTGCTCTACAATGATGGCACTGTTAACCCTTCTTGGGCCACACATGCAAGAGCTACGGACCATTGGTGTCCCAGACATTTTCTCCTCCTATTCCCTGGGTTTAAGGTAAGAAAACGTGATGATGGCAAATGGTTTCAAAGCAATTGCTGAACAAGCTAGTATTAGCGTCAATGATCGCTCAGCCTTGCTATTAACCCTTTACATTCATAAATTCTCAACTAAGTCACTCTCTGTTAGTAGTTTGACAAAATTCTTAAAATGTTATTTCAAAGTTATTATGTCTTTAAAGACTTGTGGGCGAGATAAATGCTTAGAAGTGGTCACGAAAAAAAACTTATTGCCTCTAAGATGGATTATCCTATATCTTTCAGACCCAAAAGATTGTTGCCGACGCAAATCAACAAGGTAAGCAGATAACTCGCTTGGAGGAATTATTTTCAAAAAAACAACTTAAAACTTTGGTTTTCATCCATGTTTACTCAAACTAGTCGCTGGTCTCTTAAATGCCATGTTCATCAAATCTTTCAGCATTGTCAAAGTTTGTTCCCTTATTTAACACTAAAATCCCCACCCTTTTTGATAACATGCGGGGACCTTCCCAACCATGTCTATGTGACGATACTAAGGACATCGGATTATTGAAGGTCAAACTTACTGAGAGATTTATAATAAAGGACTTCGGAAATTTGCAATATTTTCTCGAAATTTGCACAGGAGGATTTACACATGGATCACTGAAAAGATGTTGGAAGGTTAGGGTAAATCATAATTTCACCTCCTCTTTGACCCTGATAAAATACATCATGGATTATTGATAAATTATTATATTTAACTCTTACTTGACTTGATGTCAGTTTTGATGTTGATGCTATCAGCCAGTGTGTACACTCACAAAATGACTATGAGATGAAGGTTGCAGAACTGATTTTTCGTTATATCAAGTCAAATCACAAGTAGAAGAATCCTTCAAGAAGCAACACTTTTAAACTGAATGATACCTCAGTGCCATGCTAGTGGAAGACTAACTACAGGATATTGACCGGACCTTGGTACAATCTAAACACCCCGAAAGAACTCTTCTTCCCCCTCACCGGCAAGCATTCCAGCAATCACACCACTCCCACTCTCCTCATGGCCCTCCTTCCCCCTTCCCACATCCAATGCCCGCTCACCTCCTCTGGCTCCGACGCCTCCCACTCTCTTTCCCTAGGGTGCATCATTCCTCTTGCCCTAGCTCGCCAACTCTCACCACACAGCCATTTAACACCTATTTCAGGAATTCAAATAAAAGTTTCTCTCATGCATACCTTGATCTATTACTGTACGAATAGCATTCACAACTGTCGATTGAGCAGCAAAAGGCTGAAAAGCAAGTTCTTTTGATGACATACCTCATGAGTCCTTCCAGCAGGGATGATTGCTTCCTTAAATTCATTAATTTTCCTGGTTAAAGCAAAGAAGGAATCAGAAACATAGGTTTATCTCTCACACTTTCAGTGCTATGGCTCAGAATGTGAGTTACATGTACACTTGACAGATATTTTGCTTGACAGAGGACTTGCCTTGATTCTGCAGCACCAGCTTCCTCGGCTGAAATGAAGAAAGGAGAATTTGCAAAAACCTCACTGCAACACAAAGCTTTTCCGGTAAGAAAACTTCTGCAAGCCGTTTCTTGCATATCCAAAATATAAAAATAGAAATTTCAATGAAATGAATGAGCCTTTAATAATATTACGAGACCATTTCTTTTTATGAAACATAATTTTAAAGCTAACCTCAAATCCTAAACAACACCTAAAGATATTTAGGATCAGAGCCAGTGTAAGCTTCTAACGCAGATTAGCCAAAATTGGAAGATCAGTAGGGAATCCAGTAGACGATCACAATCCAACTGGTATTCACCTGATCCATTTCAACCAATTACTGAAACTAAATCCTTTCTCCCCATTTATTTCACATTCACTTTCCCTGCTCAGCTACATCCATCTGCAAGAAGCTTTTCATGTATTTAGGAAATGGAAGGGTATTTCTTCTGTTTAAATTTTGTGCACCGAATTAAGGTTCACCCAAAATCGATTATGTCATTCAGTCAAAAAGCGCCAATCCTGAATCAACTATCCTTCAGCAATGGCTACTTTCGCCAAAACTGCCTAGGGACACGGGTAACGGCAAAGATGCACAGGTCAACAAGAAGCTGCAGTGGATGCAGAGACAACTCTCTTTTCTTTCCTTCCTACGTAGCCCTCTTTAGAATCAGATCTTCTAAACCAGAGTCTGTCAGGAAGAAACCAAATGGATGTATTTGATTCTTCAAAGAATATGTAAGTACAAATGGAGATTCTAGATGTTGTCTTCCTCTGTATATATTAGTGTGTATGCCTCATAAAATTGATCAGTAATCGGACTGGAATTGGTCTGGTTTCAGTTTCCCCCGTTTTCTTGGTCGTATTCTTAAAAAAATCACTTCCTATCTCCCGGTTTTTTACAAATATAAATGGCTTTAAAGGATTTGATAAAGATCATATAACGCTGTAATAGTACCACCCTGAGACTAACTATGAAAATAAACCACCTCGTCTGTCATCAGACATTGTCCCCGTAAGTTCCACTGCCCACTGCTCAATTCCTTGGCCACCGCTACCGGTGAGTCCTTTTTGTTCCTCCTCCCTCTTCCCCCAACCTGTTCCCTTTTTTTTTAGTTAGTCCCAGCACATTACCTCCATGGTACAAATTGGATGCGGAACTTTCAAATCAAGTTCCAATTTTCTGATGAAGAACATGATGTAGTCTGTGCGTATGTGTTTGTGTGTGTGTATGTGCGTGAGTGAGAGACAGACAGAGAGACAGAGAAAGGAAACAAGATACAAAGATTCCCAATTTTGCACTTCTGTTTGGAAAGGTAGGCATGCAAATAATCATAACAAATAGAAGAAAGCAGCATTCAGTATGGTTTCCCCTGACCTTCCCAAAGGAAAACAAGGAATTCCTTCCAAGAAAAGTAGGTTTCGTTATAGAAAGATACCTAACGACACCATATATAGAGGAGAAAGAAGATCACAGCCAAGAACTGATACAAAAAAATCTAAGATAACGCCATGTTAAAATCCGTCAACTCCAAGACAGAATCTCCAGTAGCCCGTGTCATCCAACTGAGAATTTTGTCTGGTGTATCTAAATCTCTATATGTCATCCCAATGCTAAGGGCAATGGTGCCATGATGTGTCATTTCTTGATTGGCGGAGATTGGCATGGTATCCTATAATTGCCTTTCAATGGGAGTGGCAGCAGAGTCTCCAACCGTGTGGAACAAAGCCGTCCAGGGAAAGCCTAACATTGGATTTGCAGTCATGGGGTTGCCAACTCTGTCCATCTTTCGGGTGGGAGAATAGCACAGGTCCAAACCAGATCGACCAAACTGGCAGTTTATGGGAGGGAATCAAGCCTTAATTAAAGAACTTATTACATAGAAATAAATAGTTTTACTAAGAGAGTGAATAGGTACTACTAAAGTGTAAATAATCTCCTTCCTAACCGACCATTGGACGAACAATGGCGAGGCTACTTTGGGTAGTATGCTACTTTCTTCTCCTTCTATAGCCATGATCTTTCAAATTAGTAAGATAAACTTTAACTCCAGGAAAAAAAAAAAAAATTCCTCAATGGACAATGGGACTGTACCTAAGTAGGCTTCCTACATTTTTTTTCTACTTCAGAAATAAAGTTGAATTAGAACAACAGCATCGGCTCTTCACATGTACTCATAGCAACCCAGAATGGAAAAATAAAGCTAGAGTATCCAGATGCAACAACTCTACAAGGATGCAATAACCCTTTGTGAGGATCTGCAAGGGTAACCATGCTAAATAAAAAAAGAAAAGATCTGCCGGACAAGAAATCGATTAGGTAAAGAAAGCTTTGGGGTTCTCATAATTACTTTCGAGAGGTGATAGTTTTGCTACTGATGCTATCCTGGGTCATACATTTCATTTTCATAATGTGAAATCATGCATTTATAAAAACACACAAAAAATGAAGATATGTTAGCGTGCAACAAAATTACAACAAGCAATCACAGAAAAAGTGAATGAAATAACTAAAGACTGAGCGTGTCAAGTAATCCATTAAAAAAAAAACAGATGAGGAGAACCGTTTGCACCAACACGTTCACAAATAACATAATGCGGAAAATTACCCAATAAACAATAGGAATCTCTCCAATTCTGAGGCATAAAGGCCCATTGCCTGTTCCACAGTGGCTAACTCATCCTTTTGCCTGCACAATATGAAACAAGAAAATACCTGTTAAAGTTAAAAGATGAGAAATATACCAAAACATAAATGCCCAACAATGCAACTTAAAACTTTTTGACATTTTCACTAGGAAAACAAAAGCTAGGCAGTGAAGTGATTCAAGATATCTCACAGTTTTCTTGCCTCGAAATGCCCCCATGAAAGATTCAGAAACAGTCGAATAGAAAGAATCATCTTTGTAAGGGTATAAAGGGATGGACCATAGCGTTGGCGCTGTTCTTCCATGGGCCTAGCCATGCAAGTGCAAAGGAAACATAGATTACTACGCTGTTTGCATTATATTTCCAAAACCAAAGGATAACAACAGCCATAATATCTCGAGAAATTAAAGTATCCAACTATAGATAAAAATGTACCCTTTATCATCATTTATTTGCCGTATAAAATCTAGCAAAACCTGAGAGACAACAAAGAAAGAAGCAAAATCAGAAAACAAGATTCACACAGTGCGTGAGCCTATCAAAAAAAAATTAATGCAAAAAGTTGGCTCGCAAGAAACTATGCATGAATCTCAAAACATATGCCTTAAAGTATTGGCTGGTCAAGAGATACAGAAAATATAGTAAAAACCTAAGGAAGCAGAAGTAATGGGAGAATGTGGTACAACACTGTTTTAGAGAGCAAAGAACCACTTTATGGACAGATATAACAAAGAACCAAGGCAAGCAGAAAGAAAAAAAATGAAACAAGGAAAGCCTGCCAGCAAGTGACGAGAGGACAAGTAGACAGCACTAGCAGTAAGAGAGAATACATAAGAGGCAGGAGAAGAAAGATAAAAAGAGAGAAAACTGAAAACCCCATAAACTTCGGAAAAAATCATGTGAAATTCACTTTTTTTCTGTTGAGCTCGTCAGAGATTAATAAGGATTTAAAATTGAGGTAGCTATAACCGATGCAAAGGTTCTCAAATTTGAACGTAACTGTGGGTTAAAAGAAGACTTCTGTACGATTAAAAGTAATCAAGCCTAACCTGGCAAGAATTAAGCACCATGGACAATCAAAAGTAGTTACATGCCACAGAACAGCAAATGTTCTGTGGACAATCAAATGTTCATCATCCAAACACGTCCCAAAACTAAAGCTAATCCGGAACATAATTTTAAACTATTAAGCAGAATAGAGTTTAACTAAAAATAATTTAGTGTCAATACATGCAGTCAACCAGAATCAAAATATTATTCTTGAGTCTGCTTCCAAGATCAATTTACAAGCAGAGTCTAGATTCAGATATAATTGCAAAGGCATCTATTTCGTGGACACTCGATTAAAATAATATGAGACCCATATGGAGAAAAAGAAACAAAGTACATACAAAGAATCCATGTAGAGTAAGACCAACACTTGGGTTTCTGATGGGAATAATGACAGCGATGATCGAGCATCAAATATTGAAGCTGGAGAAGGGCAATGAAGATTTAATGATCTCTTTTGTTGTATCAATTGAGCTATGACTAAAGGTAGTGGGGCCAGGTAACATTAGAGATAAGATCCAACAGTTGATAGGAAATGAAGCACATTAGAAAATGTTATTCACAGGAGAATATGTGGCTTTGTCATCTACAAATAGAGTGCTCGTACACATCAAATTATATGGGGCAGATTTTCTCCAATAGTTTAGAACATATTCTAGAATAAATGAAAGCCACAATTAAGCACAACCCCCAGAAGGGCTATATAGAAGTTTTTAGGGTTTCCATCAGCTGGTTATGAGCACGAAAATTATAGTCAAAGAAGATCTATATCATGGTGATTCTAGTTCATCAAATTATCCACATTAGTATTGTAGACTTTTTAGGATATGCAGTGTTATCATTCAGAAACTGTGTTTATGTAGACATATCTTTCACTTAAAAAATAATGTAAAAGCGTTACTCTTATGTACTTGATAATACATCAAGGCCATCGAGACATATTTTGGGTTTAAGCTTCCACTGGTCATAGAGAATGGCCGAATTTGGTTGGAAGGTGATGAAAGCATATTTCAGTCAGTGAAATAGTCGATGTACATAGTTAAGAAATAATTACTGAAAAGCCAAAAGAGAACATTACTGAAACCAACCATCTGAGCAAGAAGGTTCTAATTCAGACATTACAAATCCACCATTTCTTGCACCCAGAAAGCACAACGCTCTCTCCTGATAGATGAACAGTCAATTCCAGCCATTATTCAATGGAGGAGGATCAGGCACTAAAATGGATCGTCAAAAAGGGGAAAGGTAAAAAGCGAATATTGCCCATGTAACTACATCGCAAAAATTATTATCTGCCATTTATAAACATGTTTCCATAAAAGGTTTTAATATTTTAGTGTATGGCACGACCATTTACCCGAGGGAAGGAACTATGAAAGTGCTAGAATAGTACATGCACAAATAAAAGTACTGTAACTTCATCAATGGTTAGTCGAACTTTAGCTACACAGACACTAATGTAATTTGTAATCCACCAACAAGTCTCATGGGACCCTAGGCAGGTCTTTCACTAACAAAGAAGACCATTGACTACTGCCTTGAATGAGCTTTCACCATGAAGATAGCTGAAGTTTGCTGCTTGTAGATTTATTTAATAAGGTAAAGTTGCAAAAAAAATCTCTAAAAGATTCCCAGAAGTCTAACCCTGAACGGCATGAATAATCGAGTTTTTTTCTATTTTATGAAGAAAGTGATAAACTTTCAGCATTTATTGGGCCAAATACTACGCTATCAAAAGACCTTTCTAAAGATATCTTGCATTCAAACAGTTGGAAATGATGCAGGGAACATATTTCTCAACACCATCTTACGTCATTTTTCTTCCACGAAATATGGACAACATCCTACACTTAAGTTACTGCATTTGAAACTCAAAACTTGGAGTTTGAGCTTAAAAATAAGGCCTCCATTAATTTCAAATCCGGTGAAAACCCCAAATTATAAAACTGCCCATCTTTTAAATCAAGTTTGGAAATTAAACCTCACATGCATGCATTGAATATAATTGAGCCCTCTGGTTAGGAAGCCTTTCGAAAAAGTTGAATATCCTTGAATACATCCAAAACCCAGCATTTTCTGTCATATTTCTCTAAAAAACAAAAGAAAAAACCATTCCATTCCATTGGCCAAGAGCAGCCTTGTTGGATCGGGAACTTTGACACCCTGAAGCGTGGCTGCTTCCTGGGATTAGGTGGAAAGAAAGGAGTAGCATTCTGACGTTTAGGAGACGAAATTGGGCCCTTGTCTTGGACTGCGGAAACCACTTCTATGATATTCCTAAAATCATCTCCCAGACCTAATTATTATACTTCTTGGAGAATGATTACAAAACTCGAGAAAAACATGGATTGTTTTCATAAACAGTAAAAAAAACTTCCACATGGAACAGGATGTTTAAGAACTTAACCGCTGAAAAAAGGCAAACTTTGATGAACGATCATGTGACAAACCTGAGGCACCCCAACCAAATATTTAACAAGTGTCTTATAGACACCAGCTGCAGATCCAAGCTGAGCTAATTGTCTTCTCCTGAAAGGAACAATAGAGGAGTCTATATAACAGAACATAACAAACAGGGAATATAACTGCAGAACAGAATTGTTAATCTAGTTTAAAAGAAAAAAAAGACAGAATGAGACTCTAGAAAAGACACCTCTCCATTTGCTGCCCCCAAAGTAATGCATATCTATCACGTATACTTCCACCAGCACTAACGAGAGCGTCAACCTCAGCTTGCTTACTTCTCTCTGAACGTTCCCTCTGCTGTCTGATAAGTGAACCTCGAAAATCTTGTGGCATGTATGTCATCACTGCAAAATATATTTATAAGAACTAGATCAAATTGTGAAAGGAGCGTCATGAAAGCATTTGAAAATTTAGTACCATCCCGCAAACATAAAGTTTATGGAACATTCTTTAGTAAGTTAATGACAGAGTTCATTCAGAATCTATTTGCAAGTCCACATTATTATCCGTGAGCATCTTAGTTTCATCATCCTGAAAAGCAGATTTCCCAACTATTGTTTATTCTCAGTACTTGTGTTGCGTTGTAACCAGTTATCAATCCACAAGATGGTCAGAAAAAAAATGCAAGGACTATCCAAGGCACCAAAGTGATCTATGTACAAGAAAGAGGGTTGTCTACACATGAAATGAGAAGTAAGAGAGTTTATATGAAGGTAAACGCTACATACCTGGCCCACAAAAGCCAGTGCAACTCTTACAAACTTACCATTTATTTGTATGCGGAAATAAACAATTTTTTTAGCGGAAAAGAAAAACTCATACGGAAAATTAATGCTTAAGAGCGATGTATACTTTTAAATATATCAAAACACAAATACTTGACACTGACCTGTGTTAAATACATTGGCAGCATTTTTCGATTGGAACGTTTCCAAGGTATTCAAAGAGTTTTTCAAGATGTTCTGAAACTTTTCAAGAGTGGCAGCATCTTCAGGCGTGGCTTGCTGTTGCAGCTGAAATGGACAAAGAAACGCCTAATCATATAAAGCTATTCATTCGTACACCATATAAGCAAGCCCAAGTCTTTTAACACAACTTTAAGGATGATAACTTCAATCCCCAACCTGAGCCAGAACACAGGCGATTAAATTAATATAATGTCAGGAAGGCGTTCTGATTTCAAATAATTTCAAAGCAAAAAGAAAAGGACGGAATATCCAAACAAGAAGCCGGAGCATACTGATCCTGGCCAATGAGATTTCTCAAGCAGGAAGAGTATCTCTTCGATATGTTCTCTGTTCTTCCACATATTCTCATCTAATTTGTGCGGTGCTGGAGAATCTGCTTCACATATCAATTCTTTTTCACCTTTGATGATGAAGTGAAAATCACATGCATAAACGAAACAAGAAATATTGATTAATGAATTATTCTTCAAACTTTCACAGTTGAAAAGAGTATGCAAGGTGAGAAATAAGTAAATGCATAGGAGAAAATAGTGAAATATGATTTATTTCCATTTAACAGTCCACTCGCTATTCAAGCTTTTAAACTTTGAATGCAAGAAATATTCACAAAAGCAGCCTATGTAATAGTAAAAATAATGTATTTAAAATTCGATGGTTAGGATAAAACAATAAGGCCCATTAATGAACACCATTTCAAGAAAAACTTTCCAATCCTACCGCCCTAGTCATCCTCGTCGGATATCAGAATTACATTGCAAACTTTAAATCTTAAGCAATGAAACCCATTATCTAATTGCGGACATTTGTAAGGGTCCCTCTATATCTCCCCTACCAGTATCTAATGGCTATTTGTCCATTTATGAACTCAAAGTGCTCAAAGATAAACTTGACTCCTTTTCTTTCTATGACTGTGTAGGTAGAGTTGCCGTTCACAAGTCATGTATCATGTAGACCATTATTCAGGGAATCTAATGTTCATTGTTTATGAAGTATTCTTTTCCTTAGCATAGTATCTATGCTGAAGACCAATTTAACTTCTTCTTATCATTTACGTATATGTTTGATCTAGAAAGCATGTAATTCAACATCATTTAGACAATCCAGAAAGTTATTGGATTACTTCATGAAACAGTCTGGAGCAGAAATTTTCATTCTAAGATTCTAACGGCAGTAATTTTATTGTGCAGAAATAAAAAGGCAGGTGTCGATTATCAATATCACATGACACAAAAGTTGTTTCGCTTCCTTCTGAAAAGTATCGTATCCGACTGAACATTCCGCACGTTTGATAAGCCAGTCCCATACTAAACAAACCAACATGCCTAACAAAAACCAAGAAAATAAAATTTTAGGACAATTGTTAATGAATGAAAATCGGCAATTGATTGGAGAACCTAAAAAGTGGCGCACAAGGAAAGAATCAACAACATGACTGTACTGACAAGCATTCCATTTGCAGGCCATGACCAGTTACTTATCTGAGGTTCGCAACATTGCCTGTAAAGCATCATGTTCCTAATAGCATGAACATCAAACTCCAGAAAAGTTTTAAATTCTCTGGGATAGATTTTCTGTCCCAGGAGATTTATTTTTCCAAGTAATATGCCAGTTAGTCACGCGGAAAAAATGATTATCAAAACCACCCCATTTGTGAAACTGCGGGATATACTGAACAACAGATAAGTAAAACTATCGGGAATTGAATTCCATAAAATCTCACTTTTTAGACAAAACGATATTGATCATTATTTACCAGGAGTGAGACAAAAATCCTTCTCAAAGACGCCAGAGAGAATCCGGAGCTCGCTGGTCAGCCGTGTAACATCATCGGAGATTGGGGAGAATGGGTACTTGTCGTAGTAACGCGACAAGAAGGCCCGGGTAATCGGCACCAGCCCCTCCACCGAGGAATTCATCCCTCCACGAGCAACACTTCAGCCACCTGCGATCTCCCCCCGTCCGATTCCTCGATCTGCAACCCCTCTGCTTCGAGAGGTCTCCACTACGCCCGAGAAAAAAGAGGAGCAAGGAGGCTTCTCGACGGGGACAAGATCACGGCAGTCCCAAACGCTACCACTAGAGAAGGGGGGTCGGGGGGCGGGTGGAGATCATCCTATTGGTTTAACGGAGAATGTCCATTAACCATCAAATGCCCATCCATCCCAGAGGGACGGGAGCCCCCTCGGCGTTGACCTCTTCGTCACGGCAAGCCACTCGTACGGGAGCAGCGACCGCACCGGACCAGACGCAGCGCGCCGTAAGATGCCTTCCCGTCTTCCACCCGGATCTGCTGACGTCCCCCTCGAGATGCCGAGCTCACTGGGGCAAATCCGTAAAGATGATCGAAACCCTAGCTGATCACCGTCGATCGATCCACGGCTGCAGCGGCAGCGCGGGGGATCGATCGAGCGAAGAAAGCAAAGGGAAATTCAGAACGAGAGAGGAAGGGGACTGATTGTCGTGTCGGTGGATCCCTCCGCGATGTCATTCGGCCAAACGGAAGATTCTCCGCCAGATACCGGGGACCCGGACTCGGATGGATCGGCGACTCGGCAGGGTCGGATCGTCCGGATCGCCCCGATCTCTTCATCCTCCTCCCAGGGGTAAGTCAACAATTTCTAATCATAGCTGAACAATACGTCACATCGTAAAAAGTCTTACATTTTAAAAAATACAATATAAATATTTTTAAAAAAATAACCCAATGATGCTCACTTTCCTGCTTAAAGTTTTTATTTGCGTATTAGCCCCTCCATATTATAACTTTTTAGGGTATTAGTAAGAATGAGAGCACGCTTATGTGAAATGCAAATGGTTTATTGCAGCCCATGTTCTAGATTTTTCAACATTTTTTATAGCTTTTTTTAATTATGGATCAATTTGCGCATGTGGGTATTTATTTATGCATATTTAAAATGAAATACCATTAAATATATTTAATGGGTGCGTGAAAGCGAGGTAATTGTATGGCTGACGTATTTTATATAATTATTATCCGTTAAAATAATCACTATTTTTATTATTACCATTCTATTATTGCTGTTTAGAAAAAACGCCGATCCCCTCTCTCTCTCTCTCTCTCTCTCTCTCTATCTCTAAAGTGAGTCATCTTCGGGCCTGCCACTGGCCAATTAAAAAGCTGGCAATCATTGAGCCCATAATATATAAAATAGGAAGGATGGTGCGGGCCGCATCGAAGAAAAGAGGCCCATAAAAATGGTTGACTTCGACCCCGCGTCAAAAATATTAATTCGGGCCGATTTGTATGGGCCCAGTAGCTTAGTCAGCCCGTACGATCCGGCCTGTCAAGCCCATCGGCCTTTTTACTTTAATATTGCCCATGGAATCGTCAATGGGCCCAGCCCGGACAGGCCCGAAAGAGACGTGGTGCGGGCCCGCTGCTCCTAATAACCGACGACTCTGTTTAAGGGAGCCTCTAAGTGAAAGGTACATGTATAAATATATTAGTTTGTGGGTAGCTCCGTCATGGGACGAGAAGCAATGGGCGGTGATATTAAAAATTATAGACGCCGTTGAATATTAGCGCCGCGGCCGTTGATGCGTGCGCATCGGGTTATCGACCAGTCGTCACTCCGGTTAGAGAGAGAGATAGATAGATATAAGAGAGACAAGAGAGAGAGATGATGGGTCTTCTTCTTCTCGAACTTGAAGCTCGCCTTGCGGATCTGATCTCAAAGCTGCTGACTTGGTCTGTGCTCTCTCTCTCTCTCTCGCTATATATAGAGAGAGATGATTGGTCTATATATATATATATATATATATATATATATATATATATATATCTATCTATCTCTCAACTAGACTGATCACGACGTATCGTTTACTTCCATCATCCCGCTCTCCCCCCTCCGTCTACGTGCGATGGAACTTGCCTAGAAGGAGACCTCGTCGTGGTAAGTCGTCGTAATAATATGTAACAGCTCTCTCTAGAGTTCTCTCTCTCTCTCTCTCTCTAGTGCTAGTTCTACGTCGACTACACAGCCTCTTCAAGAGTACGGGCACATGAGTCTGCATGGGAGTTGATAAGAACAAGACGTCCACCGTGACAGAACTTCGTCATTAGATGGAAGATCTCTCTCTCTCTCTCTCTCTCCTCTCTCTCTCTCTCTCTCTCCCCTCTCTCTATCTAACGTTTTTAAATGGCCGCCCCCTGAGAGGAAGATGGAGATTAGACGTACCGCCCAAGGGGGGGACGGCGGCCACACCGGCCAATCAGATGAGATCACCAAACACGTGGCAAACCGGCAGCCACCAATTTGATCTCCCCCACGAGAATAGAGAGGTCTTGTCCTAATCAGACACCCCAACCGTTAATCTCTAACGCTACCACTTGATATTCTCACACACAGCCACATACATAAACCCACCCCACCGTAGCTCAAACTTCAGACAGAGAGAGAGAGAGAGAGAGAGAGAGAGAGAGAGAGAGAGAGAGATAGAGAGAGAGGGGTAGATAGAGGAGATGGCGAAGGTGCACCCCAGCGCCGCCGGCGTGGAGGCGGCACCGCCGGTCGCCGGCGGGGGAGAGGCGGTGGCGCTTACGGTGTGGAGGAAGTCGCTGCTCTTCAACTTCGACGGCTTCACAGCCTTCGACGGGAAGGGGGACCTTGTGTTCCGCGTGGACGACTACGGTGGCGCCGCCGGGGGGATCGTCCTCATGAACGGTGCCGGGAAGGCGCTCCTGACGGCCCGCCGGAAGGTAAGAGAAGAACCCGAGTCGTCGTCGAGTTCAATAACGATCGTCTTCCGACTCACCCACTTAGCGGAAACTGCAGAAGCTGTGCTGGCGGGAGACATGGCTGGTCTACGAGGGGGAGGGGGCGAAGCAGGAGCTCTCGGTGAGGAAGCGCGTCCACGTCTTGCCCTCGAAGGCGCTGGCGAGGGTGACGTGGGGTGGTGGGGTGTATGACGTGGAGGGCTCGTACGCTCGGCGGACGTGCCATGTGTACGACGAGGAGCGGCGGCGCGTGGCGGAGATACGGCGGAAGAAAGGGCCTCACGGGGTAGGGCTGGGAGCTGACGTGTTCAGCCTGGTGGTCCAGCCTTGCTTCGACGCCACCGTGGCCATGGCCATCGTCCTCCTCCTCGAGCAGATGCTCGGTTCTCGGTGACCCACAAGAAGAAGAAAGAAGAAAGAAGAGAGAAGAAGAAGATCGTGATCATTGTAGTTATCATCGCCAACATAGGGAAAAGCTTTTGTGAGAGAAGATGGTCCCTCCTGCTACTCCGTGGAGTTATTGTGCGGCGTGGTTTCAGTCGTGTAAGCCCACGAAGGGTGATGTTTGGCACAGCTACGGGCGATAGAGCCGAGCTTTCTCCGTGTGGAATGAATTGCAGAGAAGAGAGAGAATATGTCGTTCGTTCTTCCGGTTGAAGGGATCAAATGACAGGGTTAGATGGGCAGGTGAAAAGAGAGATAGATAGAGAGAGAGAGAGAGAGAGAGAGAGAGAGAGAGAGAGAGAGAGGGGATTCCTGAATAGTCATCTCTAGAATGCATCCTGTGGAACCGGATTCCTGATCGAAATCTCCAGATCTTCTCCACCCCGCTCGCCCCCCCGACAGAGAGAAGAAGCTTTTCGATTTGTCGAAGGAACTCGAGAAGGAGACGACTCCCTAAAAAGTCATTCCAAGAATGCATTCTCATTTACAGTCCATCAAACAGGGAGATCGACCCTCCAAGAGAGGATCTTGCTGGAATGCATTCTGAATCACCTTCAGTGCTCGGACTCAACGACGGCATAGATCTCTAAGAAGGTCAACGCTTTTTTTTCTTCCTTCTTTCTGGGCAGCGGGGGATCTACAGAAGAACTGCGCACGATGCAATCAACAACGTCCGAGGCCTCTTCAATGATTCCCACATAACCGGAGCTTCGTCTCGCTCGATCTACTGCTCCTGAATGCCGAGAGAGAGAAGAAGGACCGGGTAGCTGCAGCAAATAGAGAACCAGTCGTTTGGGAAGAAGAAACTGATACCAAGTCAGCATCTTACTAAAAAAGGAAGCTATTCTTTTCGATATTTAGTAGCACGGTAAGAAAGGGTTACCTCTTGTCGAGACCACAGCAGATGACGGGCTTCCTTCTCTCAGCTTGGATGGATTCAGCAGCGGGAGGTCTCCTGCGCTCGATTGGGCTGCAGTCATAGCGAAGATTCGTCAAAGCCCAGATGAAAGGCCATCCCTAGTCTGGAGAGAGTATTTTCTTGGCCCATAAAACCTTTTTCGACCTTTCTTATGAATATATGTATATAAATAATATTAAATTAATGAAAAAAAGGAAGAAATTTTGATGGGTCTGTACCTGGAAAAAAGTCAGAGGCAGCGCAGGAGTCCATGCTTTCCCCGCTAGACACCGTCTTCTGCTGTCCGAGGCCTTCTTCTTGGGCATCCACGGCTCTCTTGCTCGCAGACTTGCCCTCCTCTGTATCTCCAAGTCCTTTGGAGAACACACAGGGAGTGGAGCGACTGAGAGCATTCACATCTCCCTTTCTCTTCTGACCAAACATAAAGAGCCTCCTCAACCCCTTTGGCGGCTCCTTGTGATACACTAATGCCGGCGGTTTTTCGGCATTGCCCCACTCAATCATCTCCGAATGCAGTGAGAGAGGGCTAGGTGGCGCCACCGGTATGATAGCTGAAGATGCAGCCTGCGCCATGGAGCTGCCACAAGCCTCAGACGACCCCTGGTGGCCTGTTTCTGTCTCTTCTTCACCAGGTTGGTTCTTCTCAGAGAAGAGTACTGGAAGCTTTATGACACTGAGACCCACATCAGGAGCAGGACCCAGATCCTCTGTTTCAGAATTTTCACCATTACTAGTTGTTGCTTGCGTTGAAACCTCCTCGGATGGTTGAAGAACTGCCTCAGCCATGCCCATGGCAGGATCTTTCATCTCTTCTTGCGCAAGATTCTCACTGGTTCTCAGGGAGCCATCAGACTGAGGAGGTAGTGCCGTTGGTGTTACTGATCTGAGACCACCCTTCTTCAAGAATGGCTTCGCTTCCACTGGCACCACACTGCTCTTCTTAGTAACCTTGCTGCGTGAATCAGCCTTGGCTAGAACTTCATTTATCTCGTTTCCCTGAGCTGAAACCTTCGTTCTTGTGATTCTCCTGCCGCTCAGTGAACTCTGCTTCTTATTTTCCTTGCTCCTCGCGACAATTTTGCCCTGAGCTTGGCTCCCACTCGAGCCTGACGGTCGAAGCATGGATTTCTCTGTCTCGGGGCCAGAGCTGGTGGAGGTGGGCGCTGGTTGAGGTTTCCGAAGAATTGGTGTGCTGCTGGAAACTGCTCTGGAAGAACTTCTAGTGGATGCCACAGCCATTGTTCTTGAGGAGGGAGCTGATGGAGATGAACTGTGAGTGACGGGTTTTGGTGACGATGACTTGGTTGCTGGCTTCTTTGAGACAGCTGATCTTGATGGCTCCTTTTTGGGTAAAACAGGAGGACAAGAGTTCCTCCTCGATTTTTGAGGATGAGCTGATAAATCTACCATTGCGGGGGCACCCAAGGCATTAGAACGCATTTCTGCTTTCCTCTGATCAAGGGCTTCCTGCATCATTTTGAATTGCAATTCCTTCTCAGCCCTCTTTCTGGAGGTTTCAGATCGAAGCTTCTCATCCCTCTTCTCCTTGTACTGGCTGTAGAAATCCCCTCTCTTTTCACCACAAGTCTCCTTGTTCCCACCAGATTCCAAAGTGGTTCTATAGCACTCGGAGGGCTTATTCTCCATCATTTTCAACAGAATTTGGTTTATGTCAGCTTCGTTTTGCTGGGCCCACTCGCCTGCACCCATTCGAAGTCCATTATTTGCAGGCGCATCCAAGTGAGCATGGTTATTAGTTGAAGTACTCGTCATTATACCTTCCATCAGAGACCTTTCAACCACAGGAGCTTCCACTTTGCTTTGGTAAAAAATGGCAATGTTCGGCTCTGGCTTCATTTCAGACACATTCTCCTCCTCTGCTGCAGGAAGTGGATTGTTGTTTAGGTGTGCCTCATGGTTGTTGTAATCACACATACCTGCACTCCATCTTCTTAGAAGAGACTTGTTAGCAGTAGAAGCTGCATCATCCGAAACATTCTTGTAAAAAATCAAGCTTTGATCTTTTTGTTTGCTTTCAAATATATTAATCGCATTTTGCACAGTCATTTTATTCGCGGAGGTTATGTGGTTTCTTGAGGACTGATCAGATTCGTCATCATCACTGTTCTTTCCATCAGTGTCCATGTTGTGGACTGTTCTCTCCCTTGTTGCGAAGTAATTTAAGCTCTTGATGGCAATAGCCGCTGACCTACGTGATCCAGATCTTCCTATTTGGATCCGCCGCATAGGTGATGCTGATCTTCTCTGTGATCCAGATCTTTTAAGTGGATGACTTCTCTCAATGGGGAACTGATGTTCGTCACAAGATTCGGAAGACCCGCCACTTTCTGATGGATTCTGTTGCTCAGCCTGTACAACGTCGCCTGGAGAAAGGCCATGTTTAACAAATTTCTCTGTAAAACTTGGTGAAGCTGGCTGAGAGGTCTCATCTGTTATTTTCCCATTGCTGCTCAACATATCACGTGGCAATGCTGATTGCTGATCTGAAACATCAGAAAAACGCTCGCTAGAGTTCAATTCCAAATATTTCAGCAAGGAATTCCTGCAGAGAAAAAATAAAAATATTAACTTTCAGAGCTGATGAACCCTTCAAAATGCATGGCTGAAAGAGAGTGGGTTTAATAAACAGACATTGGAGGGGGGGCGGGGTGGCAAGAGAGAGAGAGAGAGAGAGAGAGAGAGAGAGGACAGAACAAAACAGTTTCAGAACTCGCTAACATTCTGCCTGCGGCAAATAAGGAAGAAACAGACTTCAATGGTAAAAAGACTCTTTAAGTAGGCCACAAGTAGTTTTGTAAAATAAAAGTCTTCACAGAGAAGGGAGATACGATGGAATCACATTCAGAAAACTCAGAATGAGATCATTCGATTAGGTTTCCAATCGAATTACATGACCATTAAACGAGATTCTAAAAACAGGAAGTTACAAAGGCGAGGAATAAGTACATATGGGAATATGGTAGAGAAAGAAAAGTTGATGGACAGTCTCTGCCCATGTTCTCCTGTCTTTCAGGCAAAGGACAGTACCCCATATCTTTTGCTCCAAAGTATTGACAGAATGCTGCTACATCCGAAATTAGTTTGGTGGAAGCGGCAGTACCCAGAGCTTGATTTAGAGTAGCCGAAACTGTTTGCCTTAATGCCCTAAGCCTTCGTTCGATAGCCCATAGCAACTCGTTCCTGGATATAATACCAATTATCTTTAAAAACTTACAAATAGTCAACAAATCAAGGTAAAGACAAAGAGAAAGTTGCATACTTCGTAGCATCAGCTGTTGTGGTCTCAACTTTGACCTGAAAAGTTTGTAGTAATGGTCCTCTTGTGAGCAAATACAAGTGAGTTTGAATTAAAAACCTTAGGAATCACACTTACTTTTGGCTTGAAGCCCACCTCCATCAAGTTCCAATCATCTACTACAAGAGAGAAAGATATCTATGTTACATGCTCAGAGAAAAAAAAACTTAAAACGCATCAAAATTGAGGTGGCGTCCAAGAGCTAAGCAAAAGTCAACTAGTTATAATGAATGAAAGTACTCTACATTTGACAACATCAAATGCCATTTTCACACTCCATACGTTATCAATAATCAACAAGCAAGGCTCTATCAGTCCACAAGTAAACAATATTTTGAGTGGTTCCATGCCACTTAACTTCCAGCCAAAGCATGCATTATGAATTCTGTCATCCTGCTCATGAGCAGGCATCTCAGACTTCCCCTCCATTCCTGTCATATTTCCTACCTTCGAGTAAATGCTCTTTCTCTTTCAACTAAACTATGTGCATGGAATATGACGATAAAATATTCGGTTCCTCTCTAGCAGTCAACGACCTAGGAACAGAGGAGAAATATAGACTAATAGATATCAAGCCATTATGTCTGTAGACAAAAAAACAGTACTATGAATTAAAAACTACAAATTTATGCCACTCTATCTGTGCACAGATCTGACATGCATATAGGTGCATTTACAGAAACTAGAGATCGTCAACGAAAAGTAAACAGATAAAAGGACACACCTCCTAGGACACCTGATGGATGATTCAGAAGATCCTGGCAAATGGGAAAAAATTTAGCAGAAACAATCATTATAAGTTGGAAAATAAATTTATGCAGAACAAAAAACAATAATACCTCGGTATACAGGGCAAGATGGCACTTCCTCGTATCTTGTAACTGAGAAATCTCATTTTGAATTGAATTGACACTTCTTAGCAATTCAGACGAATTTACTAGATACAAGAAGCTGAAAAAGGATTCATGATACCGTCTCAGATGAACGTGAAAGTGAGATTATGGATAGACATATGGAGTAAGATGCCTATATGGGGTGCATACCTTGAAACAGTGGATTTGGTAAACCAGGGACAGCTCTTCGTCACTCCAACCAACTCAAGCTTAAAGCTATCGGTCAGATGTTTAGAATATGCATCTTTTGCTTCTGGCAAATGTAATGCTAAGATATCCAGACAACCGGAAGATATTTTTTCGGATTTTCCTTTGCTGCAGATTGTGGCATCATACCTGTAGGAAAATTACTTCCATCTTTTTTTAAAAAAAAATATTGAAGTGGGTAGTACAAAAAAAAAACATGAAATAATAAGAAAAGAGTTTTATACAAATAACTAACTAAAGGAGAGTCTACCACGTCAGTGGAGCATGTAAACCAAGGAAGGAATTAACTCAGATCACCAAAACTACCCAAGCAATGAAAGAAAAGAGAATCTAAAACCGGTTTTTTCATAGTATATAAGAGGTACGAATCAATAACAGTCCTTCTAGCATGCAAACAAAATAACTTTGAGAGAAAAAAAAAAAAGGATTCCTGGGGCGGCCTTTATACATTTCTTCCCCTTATTTCTTTGTACATTTCCTCCGCGCGAGGAGATCAATCGATTCTAGCCTCAGATGACAGAGTGCAACTCTTGCTTTTACGCAAGTAATGAATTCATGAAAGACTTAGAAAAATCAAGCTTAACAAAGCTTCAATATATCACACTAACCGGCCAGAAAAGATGAGGCACAGTTTGATTATTAGCTACCTGATAATTATTCACGCCTAGAGTTTAGTCGTGGACCAATAAATCAAGAGTCATTTCCATCTTTTTCCCGTACTTTAGCCAGGAAAATGGTCCAAATAACGAGAATAAAAAAGAAAAATTACAGACGAAAGTTCACAATAGACTCACCTATTATTGTCCACCATCGTGTGAAATACGGCAACGTCCAGAACAGAATTGGCATCTATTTCTCCCTCCATCTTGTTTTGAATCCTTGAAACCCACAGAAATAAAGCTTGGACTTCTTCAGGTACGGCTCAACATGGAACGATCCCTCTCCACTACTTATATGTGAAGCCCGAAATGGCCCAAGTTGATCAAGATCGACGAGAAACAACCAATCAGGCTGCAAAATTATAAGTCCGCTCGAATTTCATTATCACACACTCTGAAAAATAAACCCAAAGAAAGGGTGTGCGGTGTGGGAGGAAGTTTGGAGAGAACGCGAGAATCTAACTGAAAAACTGCAACAGGAGTATTAAAAGGAGAAAAAATCTCAGCTCACTAACAATCGCATTGCTAGACCTCAGCAAAAAGTTACATTCGCCCAAATAATCCCATCTTCGACCACTCATTTGGCAGGGTTACTACGCCTGAAAATAACCGAATTGGAGCATGCTCGGACAAGCCGAAGAGACATAAACGCGGCATACAAAACAAAAAAGAACGCTCCCGCAGCCTAACTCTCATTGGGCCCTCCCCCTCCCTCCAACTTTAGATCGACAAAGAGTGAACATAACACGAGAAAAATACGCCCCGGGTGATACCAACCGCAAAATGGAGAAGAGCATGAGCGCTCACCAGATCCGACGAAATGCAGTATGCTGCTGCTGTTGCTGCTCAGCCGCCACTGCTGCTGTTCCTGCTCAGCCGCTACTGCTGCTGCTGCTCCTGCCTCCTCTCTCTCTCTCTCTCTCTCTCTCTCTCTCTCTCTCTTCTTCTCTAGGAGTGTGGAAAAGGGCCGGCTGGCCACAGAGGTGGGGAAGTACGGAGGAAAAACAGAAAGTAAAATAAAAATAAATGAAAAGAAAAGGCAAAAGGCAGGAGCAGAGGAGGTAGACAGCCATATTTATAGCCGTACATTTAAATAAAAGTCCTCATAATAAAAGTAGTTGTATTAATACTCATCCACCGAGACCCCACCAAAATCCGTCCTCTTCAGATATCCGCACCGTTGGCCAAGAATGTTAACGAGGTTTCGGATCGATCATATCAACCCTTCGATTTAAATCCAACGGCTGAGAATTAGGATCAAATATACGGAATTAGGACTTTTCCCGAAGAACATTTTATGTGGGGCCTAGATTTACTCTCTCCTGCTCCGAGGGTAAGTGAGAAAGCCCAAGCCCGCTTATCATGGGGAAAGCTTTGGGCTCGATTAGCTAATAATCGGGCCCACTCTGGACTCTTTTCCAAGCAGGGCCCTGCCCCGGGCCCACTCCTGGCCCGCTTCTTTAGTAGCCCAAAATAGGCGGCCCGGGTCTATGATTTAAATCAGCGTGCCATTTGTCCTCCCACGTGCAAAATAAAAAGGTACCCCGTAGCTCGCACGTGCGGTCCCACTTTCACACAAACACCAACCACCCTCAGTGTAAGGTATTTCGACTTTAAAAACAAACAATAAATGGAGAGAGAGAGAGAGAGGGGTCATGTCTACAGAGCAATTCACGTGGCAATTCGGAGCCCCACATAGATCAATTTGACCACACGTGGACGAGGCCAAGCCGGTTGCCGGTGTAGATCTCGTTGCGATCTTCATCGTAGTAGAGAGCGGTAATGTCCTCAAGAGCCACCGCCGCCGCGTTTCGGTGGCCGGAGGTGGCGGCGCCAGTGGGCCCCACAACCGCACTGGCGGCGCTGACTTTCGCGAGGCATCTCCCGGTGAGTATGTTGCTGATATTTATCGACCCAGCTGCCCATTAAGAAGATGAACGGAATTGAGACCGTAGCCCAAATAAAAGTCAACGTCAATGACTCGGTCTGAAATCCAAGCAAAGCGGTCAAAACCTGACTCGGTGACTCTGCCCACCAGACGTTCAGGAAAATATACACAACATCAAAAGCATGATACATCATAGGAAAATCATGGCCCGAAGATGAGATACTGTCGGTGACTCGGTTCACAAAAGACGAGTTTGTAAGCTCCTGCGCGCACCGAGTCACCGAGTCAGACATGAAAACACTTTCTGGGCTCGCATGAAAACGACTACCGCCGACAGTCTGAGATCCCCGCAAACGAAAGAGAGTAAGAATCGGTGACTCAGTGTCAGAATCCCAACAGATTAGAACACACGCACACGCATAATCTGAGCTAATCATGGTGAACAATTTCTTCATAAGAACCAATCAGTCATCTGAGCAAAAGAACGAGTTCTTCAAGAAAAATGCGGTGAGTCTCGGTGACTCGGCGACTCAGTGAACAGTTTGGAACCACTTTTCCAAGAAAGGAAATATATTAATACCATAATATACTTGAGAAAAGAAAAAAGAGAGAGGAGGGGAGTCGACTTTGGTTACCATTTCTATCGGAGGAGTCGTCGTCGGATTTGGCCTTACAATAAGAGATTATAAGATCTTGGTCGGTCGTGATGTAGATGTTATTCGTGTTGCAGTCGGGGTGCCAAAGCAGGTGATCGTCGAAGGTGGTGACGAGCTCGCCTCGGAAGTTCCAGACGGCAACAGTGCGATTGCGGAAGGTCAAGAACAGCTGGTTCTCGTACAGGAAGATGAATGCTGATGGGGTTGTGAACTCCGTTCTGCTGACTTGTGTCAGCTGGGAGTTCCGGACCTGCGAATTTTTAGTAGGAATTATTTCGATAAACAGAAGATGATGACTTGGGGGGGCGAGTTTTTGACTCACTTTGATGGATCAAAGGATCTTCAATCGAAAATTTGGAGAGAGAGAGAGAGAGAGAGAGAGGGGGGGGGATAATGGGAAAAGGAACCATTTTGATACAAGGAAAGATAACTTTTGATGGGCGCAAGGATCTTACATCATGAATTTAGCGAGAGAGAGAGAGAGAGAGAGAGAGAGAGAGAGGAGTATCTCTTCGGGAGAGTGTTATTCAGGGACTTTTTTTAGCTCAGATGACGGTAAAATGAATCATTTGACAAATAACAAGACGGAGAAAGTCTTACCGCAAAAGAAACTAACATCAAGGTGTTGAGAGACAGAGAGAGAAAGAGAGAGAGAGAGAGAGAGAGAGAGTTTTGGGTGTTGTAGAGGGAGGGTTCTTCTAGCATTTTTGAGCCCAGATAACATGAAAGTAAATAGTTTCAATGAACAGAAATGACAGGAAAAAATTGCCTTTTTATACTGGTAAAAAGGGGGATCTTACATCAAGAATCTGGAGATTTTCATTCTCTTGCTTCACGAGGAGCTTCTCGTTGAACTGTTCTATAAAGTCAACCTTCTGGTTCCGATGAAGAAGATGATTGAAGTTTCTGAGAACAGTGCCATCCTCAATGGAGAGAATCTTCAGAGGGACGTGGCCGCTAGCTCTCTTGAATATCAGCAGCATCACACCTGGGCTGTTCCACCAACAGATGGTAAATAAATACACATTGACCTGCCCCACATTTTCAACCCACATAAATCCCAGAATATTAGACAGTATTTGACCGGAATTGGTCACAACCGGCAGCCATTTCGATTCACATGAGGCTAAACCAATATTTAATCAAGAAATTATTTTTTTTAGTCCAGGAAGAGTCAGAAGACTCCATCTGAGTCAAGGTTTTATAACCAAGTATTTCTATAATAACCAATACAGGACTAAGATGGGCAAAAAAAAGAATTCATGGTAGAAAAAATGGGAAAATAGAACCTCTCACTTCATTCATCAGAAAATGGGCATCTCTAAAGAACATGGAACCAGTACTAAGAAATAAACATGGAGTAATGTCATATGAAATATAACCACCATCATCGCCAAAAGCTTCAGGGAATATTAAGAAGAAGCACAGTAATGGTGAAACTGAATAGGTCAGAGCGAGGAACTTGCCTGATCTTGATTTCATGGATGTTGCTGTCAGATATTGAGTAGAGCAGGCTGTAGTTCTTCAGGTCGAACACCTTATAAATGCTAGGAAAAGAGGACAATAAATATTAGCACCCGAAAAAAGGGAACCTTTATCAAAGTACTTGAGAGTCCAGAACTTACCAATCCTGCGCAGAAAAAGTAAGAACCTTCCCATTTACATCATCAAATTCAACAAAACCAGGCCATTTCAGTGATTCCGACTCAAACAGGGCAAAGCCAGCATCAGGCTTCCCCCTTCTGATATACCTGATAAAGTACACCCAATTATTATAAAAAGACCACAAGAAAAAAAAACGAAAATTAAACAAAATTATGATTCAGGCGCAGTGCTCACTCGATCCTAGTTGTTCTACACTTCAAAGAACTGAAGTTGTCGGCTGCATAGACTGAGACGGTAATAAGCGAGTCGTTGTTCTTGTTGTAAAATAAGCTGCGGATGACCTCATCAGGACTCACATTAAGGAAGCATATCCTCTGGTTCGTCCCTGCATTCCAAAAATCCAGGCCCAGGTGGAATCAAGGAAAAATTATTTACATTTATGCATATATATATATATATATATATATCTATATATGAAATTCCATGCTTCCATGCATGAAGATCAGGCATCGCTCAGCATGCAAACCTCTGCTAAAGGCCGCACACACGCCAGACTGGGTCAAAGCAAAGAGAATCCCACGAGCAGCAACAATCTCGATCACTCTGGATCGTTTCCGCAGGAAGGGGAGTTGAAGGAAACACTGACCCTTGGGATCATGAGTGTCGTACTCCTCCTGAAACGAGAATTGTGAGCAGGCTGAGGAGATGACACCTGGAAGGTCTCTGAAAAACTGGGAAAAAGGGCATAATTTTTCTGGATGTTGAGGATCATGGATGAATTTCACAGCTAAAGATGAAGACAGGTATGATTGGCATTCTCCACTGCGTTTTGGCGAAAATGACACCGAAATCATTGTTCTCTAAGTAATGTTTCTGATTCAGTAGAGGGGCCGTTCCACATACTCTTCACAATTATTTATTTTCCGGAATATTCGATTTTTTTAATACCAAAAACTGGGTTCCTCACTTTGTCTCAACGATTGATCAGATTACACACCAGAGGAGACGACACCCCAGAACTCCAGTGATTCTCCGCCTCACTCTGATCCCACAAAAACACTTGAATAACACACACACAGGGAAGAATAACAGAAAGTGAACTGAACTGGAAATTAGCAGAACCGAGTAGCAAGAGGAAAGCACGCCACCAACCTGCAAATGTATGTTCCTGAACCTCTCTTGCGCATTACTCGCGCCGAAAGCGCGGTCCCGCTTGCAGCAAATCTCCCTCCTCTGCAACTTCTTCACACTGTTCACCGACTCGTCGAGCCGAGGCCTTTTCCCCGCCACGATCCGGCGGTTCCGGCACGGCCTAGGGCTGACAGAGATCCTCCTCCCGTCCATCCAAGTCGATCCTCACCCCTCCCCTTCTAGCTCACACCTCACAGGGGGGCAGGCCGCCGACGGCCATGGCAGAGAGCATACACAACCAGCGTCGCCAGCTCAATCCACCGGACCACCTAACCTCTACAAGATACTACCTCTCCAACTCCAATGAAAGCTAAAATCTGAACGAAGCTCAGGAGCCATACAGATCTCCCCAATGAACAACAAAAACCGGACTCTTCAAATGCATCGATCAGCAGTCGAGAAGAGCTGCAGATGCCCAGGCAGCAGCAGTACGAGGGAGGCCGCCGCAATCAGAGAGAGAGAGAAGAGAGAGAGAAAGAGAGAGAGGAGAGAGTTTTGAAATAACTGAACCCCCGCATTCAAATTTTGGAAGCAGCCATTTTATTTGAAATTTTCCGACATCGGACCGCCGCAGGAGCGGCGTGTCAGCGGGTAGACAAGAGATAGATAGAGAGAGAGAGAGAGAGAGAGAGAGAGAGGAAGCCCAGTGGCGACTGAGTGGGCTGGAATCTCACATAAGTCGGGCCAGCCCATTGGACTCCAACCAAGCCAGGAAGTCAGCTCGGAAGATGCCAACATCGTGTCGCAGTCTTCACCTCCCACGTGGCAGTATCCCTCACCCTCAGATGGGCTACTGCTCTTGGGCCGGTCCAAAAAGTCAAGGGGATATATATATATGTGGAACCCACTTTTCGGGCTTTTCCAGCCCATGTTCTGGGCCGGGCCCGCTTCCCCTTTAGTGGGGATACGTACGCGTCTGGGGCCTTCCTTCCACTCCAAAACCCAGAAAGAGCGGGCCGGGCTTCTACCCCTTTTGTATAAACATATCAATATATATAAATGCATATATATCAACACAGGTTCTTCGGGGTTTTCCCAATCAGGAATTGGTCACAAGGGGGGAGGAGAGAGAGAGAGAGAGAGAGAGAGGAGAGAGAAAAAAGAGTAGATCTTAATTGGTCACAATGCATTATGGGTCAATCAAATATTTACAGGAAAAACCCATGTTATACACTTCTCTCACTAGAAAAAAAAAAAAAAAAGTGAGCCCAGTTCATGAGGTCAGCATTGGGAAGCAACAAGCAACTCCATGGAAATAAAAAAATATCTTCCTGTTCTCTGAAAGAAACCGGAAAAAATAGAAAGTGGGCCCCAGTGGGAAGATCCTCCGAAGTTTCCTCAAATAGTAAGCCGCAGATCTTCGTGAGCTGGACTGAACTCCATCATCTTCACAGCTGAAGACCGCTATTTGTGGCAATTTCTCTTCAGCTGCGGAGCTCAAAGCTCCCATTCGGGGGGGAGCGTAAAAAAACCCAGGTTCATCAAGATACTGCCGACGAGAACTGTTTGATCAAGGGACGATTATCCTCCAGCTTCTTGGGTTGACTCAGATGTAGCTGGAGGAGCCCAAGATCAGGTCAAACATATCGTCTGGGGTCAAGAGTGTGGTGCCTCCTATCATCAATTCTACATCGAGCCGACCGCTCTCTGAGATCGCCTCCTGGAGCTCTCGAATCTTCAGGGGAAAAGAAAGAATGAGATAATTCTCTCTAAGGGGGGAGAAAGAACCACAAACCGGGAATAAATATTTATGAGTAAATAAATCGACGAAAGAAAAAAAAAAATTGGCTTGCGTCAAACCTCGAGGCAGTTGATGCCTCCCACGACAAACACGATAATGATATTCTGATCGCCCAGATTCGGCTTTGCCTGCATAAGGGATCAGAAGTCAACCCAAAGTGAGATACGAGTTGACTGATCCAAGTTTTTGACAGAGGAAATTACCTGTCCAAGTCCAAATCTTCCAAAACCACTCTTAAGAAACCGCCCTACGGCCGAAGAATGGTACTCCAACCCAGGTATATCATACTTTGCCAGAATCATCAACAAAAGCTTGTAGAGCAATCCCTTGCTACTGAAAGATTCACTGCCAATTCGAGTCTCTAGATCTATGAACCCCTGATTTCTCCACCTCAGACCGGATATCTTGTGGAAGAACTTAAACAGGTGGTCTACCCTGTCTCGCAGCTCCAACTTAAGCTGCATCTCCCCAAATGATTGTTCATTCTTGTGATCCGAATCGTCTTCCCAGCTGCCCCAGTTGTCGTCCAAGTCTTCCATGCTAAAAGAATCCAGTGCATCTTCAAGCTTTTCGGTGGTCTTCCTCTTCCTGTAATAGGCTTCGAGTTCTTCCTCCAGACCATGGAGAAACCCTAGACCCTGGGTCGTCGGCAGCTCCATTATCGCGTCCAAGACAGCTTCCTTCAGAGAACGCTCTTCTTCCCAGGAGAACGGACCGGAAGACCCAGATGTTGGGAAATTTACACCTGCCAAGATATATCCAACAATGGCGAGGAGGAGACTGTCTTGAAAAGAGAAAAGACCCTGGTCCGATTCGCTGCTCTGACCCTGCCCATGAGATCTCAGTAGAACACTTCTACTGATGATATCACGGATCTGACTTGAGAGAATCTGGCTGCTGTCCCCGTTACTCATCTTCAGGATCCTCTCTGCACTGGAGAATGCATTCCAGCGAGAATTAAAAGGCTCACTCAGGGCGAATAAGGAAGCAACTGCCAATTGGATTATCCCTCTGTTTCTGATGAAGGTCGTCTGGTTTGAAGCCAGCAACCTGGCCATAGAAAGCAACTCCGAGGCAGAAGGAAACGCCAGACGATTTTTCAGGTTGACCGACAGTCTATTCTGGCGAATGATTCCCAAAATCCACTTCTTGACCAGCATAGCTCCATCTTTTATTCCCCTGCCCAGCAATGCCTCCAAGTAATTTACTCCTTGATAATTGTCAACGGATACCAGGGACCCAGTTAGCAACCCAGGATTATCTGTCATCTGACTAATTGGGGAAATAGCATCTTTATGATCACCTGAGTCACCAGCTGCATCTCCAACGCCGCCAGATCTCCAGCCTGAGATGAAGGCTGTAATGCTATTGATGAGCATCTCATTTCTTGCCGGAGAATCCCCGGCGCACACAACTTTCTCCAGAGGAATTTTCACATCAAGAGGTGCACGCTGTACATGAGTAGTGGAAGATTTAGTAGATGGTTGTGAGCTTTTTGCACGTGAAGTGTAGACTGCTCTTTCCTTCCGAGGCAAAGAGGACAGCATCCAATCAACAACAGAGTCCCCATGGCAGCACGGTGTGAGAACATCAAGAGTGCGATCAATAATCAATAGGCCAGCCGACCTTCTATTACGCCGACCCACATCATAGAGGCTTGACATATCTGTCAAAATCTTGCCAATACTTTTTGAGAGATCACCCACAGAAAATATTTCCAGCTTCAGATCCATCTGTGCCTCAGACGAAAGAGATATTAATCATAGTATTAGAAATTTTTGCAGCATCTCAGCAACACTACAATCAGACCAAAGCGAGAGAAAAGAAACGCAGAGAAAGAAAACGAACCTTGGAGGCCAAGTAGTAAAGAAAGTCTGCTGTTAGCGTTGCTCCTGGAGGGATCTCATCGCTGTCGGAACCATGCCCAGTGGATATTATGGGTAAGCCAGGGCTGAGCGAGTCAAAATGTTTATCTGACAGCCGTGCTTCCGCAATACTTCCCTCAGAGGGTAAAATGAAAACTCTTGGTGAAAGGGCACAAAAACCCATAGGGAAATGACTGACAGAGATGACCAATCCAGCAAACCCATCAGGGCCTGCGTATCCAGTAGAAGTAGCTACAGAGTTTGGAGAAAAACCTTCAGCAGACTTCGCTGACAAATGTTTAGGACTATAAAAACTCCCCTCCTGTGCAGTCCCTGTCGATGTTATGAACTTGTTGATTTTATCGGAATCCATTTTTCTCTTCTTATCGTTTTTGACAAGTTCTTCGTAATCCATGAGAAGAAGAGACCCGTATTCACGAAATGCATCTAAACCCAGAGGGCAATCAACACATGCTGAGTGGGCTACCTATCACCATAATATTATATAGTATGAGACGTAAGGGATTACAAAATGAAGTAATTAAAATAGAACCTTGACTTCCATGGATTAGTGGCAATAAACGAAAATCTGAACAATCGCCAGCAGACAAAAGTATTAAATAAATGACAAAGTGAATATGCAATTGGAGCCAAAAATAATCGATCACAACTCCACCCTCAGCAGAAGAGTCAATTCAACAACCAGGAGACAATCTAACAGCAAATGACAAAGGTGATGAACCTAGATAACAAAAACCTGCAAAGAAGATGCGATTTATCTCTTGTGCTTTTATCCACACATACTGTATAAAATTGAAACCAAAGAAAGGGGGGGAATAAAGACATTGATTAAAAATATAAAACTCATGTTATTTTTATGCAAGGTATAAAAAAAATTCTGGATAAGTGCTTTGATGCGGGAAAATGACAATAAAATGACTGAGATGGGTCACATGATTCTAACATAATTTGACCTTCGATGGCAGTTAATTTCAAGTATTATCATCATAAATAAAATTATTTGTTCGATTTTTTTAACAGAGAATTATAATGCATGATTTTACAAGCAATTAGGACACATAACATGACTTAGTTTCTAAGAGACAAACCAGCTTGGTGCATCAAAAAATAAGATGCTAGATTATTAGGTAACATGTAGAGATTATAAAATAATAAAATGACACTGTTAAACCATTTCTATCAGTACTATATTACTAACTTGCGGCATTTCATTCCCCACTACTGTTGCGCCTTTGCCACTATTAACATGACTTCCTTCAAAACATTTTGGTCAATGAAGCCGAAATAGTAGAGAGTCCAAGTTGAAAAATCTGAGCATCCATATAAATTCCTTGTAGTGAAAAATTCCTTGTCATTCATTTTTTCTAGGGTATTCAAAATATAGACCCCTACAGTTAGGATACAAGCCTCCTAACCTGAACATTTTTGCTTATAAGTGCTCTCATTGCTTATTGTTCTAAAATATGCCTCAACAGTTTCCTTTTAAGATATAATTTCAAACGTTTGTCATCCTGCAAAAATGAAAAATGACTTCAAAACCGAGTTTAACAAAATAACTCTTCGAACAGCCCCAGTGCATCCGCCCAGTCCCACCCCGTTTGTCCCAGAATGAGAAGATAAGGAGCAGTAACTGGTAGAGGCAACGGAGGGCAACGCATTGATTAGTAGGGATAATGACAGCAGATTGATTCGTCTTATTACTCCTCTTTTTTTACATTCCAGCAGGGTGTGTGATAACAGCCATGATTAAACAAGTTATTGTCACTGCCGCTGATCCATCTGTCATCATCTAACAGCGGCACATGATTTCTGCCATGACTCACGCAGATTGGCTAAGCTTGTACGTCAGCCAACAGTATTCACATGTAAAATCGAATGGTCTGCACACTGCGAACACAATTTATAAGCCAATCAAGTCAATACACAGGTATTTGACTTTTTCCCCAGGTATTTGACATTTCATGCAGTTCAGATATTAGTAGACCAATTTGAATAGCAGGAATTCGTAACTTTGCACAAATCCCTTTAAGTCGAGACTGAGTCAGCAAACCCTAGATATAGGTGTACTCGAAAAAACCTACTGCACACACCACTCTTTTCGAGAAAAAGGGGACGCAAAACGCCACATTAAAAGGAGAAAATGAAGTCACGTTCATCATGCTTTACGTCATCTTAATTCTTCACAATCAACAGGCCAACATCTGATGTCATGCTTATGTAATGTCTGAACATCATCTCCATGGGAAAGAGCAATGTAGTTCCCTATTGTAAAGATAGTAAAAGTACAGAGTACAAAGCAAAAAAAAATTGCCATAAAACTGATGTTGCACATGGTTTATATCTAGAATGATAAAATTGGCATTGATAAATATTTCAAGGCTACTTAGGAACGAAAAAACGAACTAATACACGTTGCCCTTAAGAGAATCGTATACTGTGGAATAGTGAGCATAAACAATGTACTTCACACAATTATTTCAAACTCAATGCCACTTGTCCGAGCTCCCATCAACACAACAAGATTGACACACACACACACAGACAAAGATCAAGAGTTGCTAGAATGTTATGGTCATAGTTTCTTCATAATTAAGTACCTCTGATATTGAAGTAAATATTCTGCAATCCACAATTGTTTGGTGCGTACTCAGGCAGCGTAAAATATACCTATGTGCGTTGCTAAGGAAGCGTGTTGTAAATACTACCATCTTTGTTGCAGGATCAGTAGAGGCTGAATTCCAGTTAGCAACCTGCAAAAAAGGAATGGAAAAAAAATTGCACATCAAGTACCACTTATGTCTCCACATTTCCAAAGGTGCTACAGGAAGGTCAAGTCTGTCATTTAACTTAATAGGCAGGAAAATAATCATAATTAGTCACGATTATTTACAGAATCCAGACTCCAGGAAGTTATTAAAATTGCCACTAAAATTCCGATGATCAGTTATTTTTATCTGTTTCTGTCTACGTACAATTAATATAAACACATTCCAAACAATCTCCCATCTTCTGTCTTTTTCTGCTCTAGAAGATCTTGACTGACCTTGAGATTTACCTATCAGTATAATGGGAGCGGATACAAAGCTGGGATAAACATTTAGGTAGAGAACGGCTAATAATGGCATTGTCTTCAACCTGCAAATTGATTCTTGTTGTCTTCATTTCAAGCTAAGCAAGTAGATACATGAGAAATTAAGAATGATCTCATTTCCATTAAATCTGCAAATTTTGGTTGGCCCCATCATGATCACAGTCCTGATTTTTATTCGTTTGAACGGGGCCAGTCATCAATCCAGCACAATACAAATCGTAATATTGTATTATTGAACATATTAGTGGCTTACAATGACAAATCTTCCATGGGAAAAGTTTTGACTAATGCAGAATAATGCCTACAATAAAGCCCAGATTACTGTGATTGAATACCGGACTTCTAAACAAGAATGTGCCTCCTAATGTCACATATCCAAAGGACTTTCTAACACTTTTTCTTAAATCATTTTTGGGGTGAACCTGTTGGAAATTTAAAAAGACAGTTATTTCATGTGAAGTAAAAAATGAACACATATCTCTGACTCTTAATTAATATATTTGATACACTGCTTAGCCTTTTTCTGCTAACACTAAGAAGAGTACCAAAATCAGCTGGCCTGATGACTGGTCCTCTACTCAGAGCCTCACTTTCCTAATGTTATTAACGTGAAACTCAATTGAGGGAAGAAAAAACCAGCTCCCTAAGAGATACATCTCCAGACTGAACATAAAAGTAAACTACAAGCAGCTCTAACGTTCCAACTGTCAACATTCCTGTGAAACTTCATCCGGACGGTTCTTTTCAGAAAGCACATCCTCCTTCATGAAGTTCCCGACTCCATTTCGCCGTCAATGTTATATTTACTGCGAAAATCCCTTGGAATACTACCCCCACCCTTTTTAGTGCCACAAAATTCAGAACAATTTCATCACACAGCCATCTTTTGGTTCGTTTCCCCTCCTAAAGGAAATGGAATTTTCTTAACTTAGACCGTCTCTTAGTTAAGATAGATTTTTAAGATAACATTGAAATGAATAGCCAAATTGGAGATTAATGTTTTGCATAGAACTTTTCTTCCCTCAACAGTTAAGTGAGTGCTTTATTACCCTTCTGTTCTTCTGATGTCCTCTCTTACTTGTCACCAAACCATGCCATGCCATGCAATGCCATTCATCTTAAGATTATATTCTTGATATAGGAAAATTGCGGAACTCAATAACAAATATGAGCAGACGACAATGTAAATTATAGCAAGGATGGAAGTTCTGTCTCCGTGAATCATTGCCATATCTCGGAAACAGAATAGTCAACCAAAAATTTGTAATCGTCCAAAAAAACACGAGCATTTTCTGATCAAGCTATGATTTTGTCGACTTATCTGGACATCCTAGTGTCATTTTTATAGCAAAAAAGGCCGCTGAAGTTTTACCTGTACACAGTTATCTGGACCCAGTCGCCGTCTGAAGAGTTTCTTACATTGAAATCACCTCATTGTTAAGCGTTTTTGCCCAGAACGTTATTCCAGTCGAAAAGTTCCCTTACTGATTAGTTATCCAGTGCAATAGGGGATCGCTTCTTGATTACCGAGACATTGAATGAATGCCGGTTACTTTGTTTATGGGAGAGAACAAAAATTCAATTTTAACGGGAACGCTGAAGAAGCCAACGTAGTACTCAGACAGAGGAGAACGAGAACCGTCCCGTGGAAGTTCATCATCGATCCTTCGTAAAATAAAAAATACGTAAATTTTTAAATTTATAAATAAAATCACACTCACAGTGTCTAGGGGAGACATGCTCTCCAGGCTACAGACCGCTCGCACCTTAAGTTCCAATAACAGAGAGAATGCTCCGATAAATTGAAAGGCCTCCAGGCATCCGCCATCAAGATAAATAACGGCGTCTACAACGTCGTCCGATAACTGCGAGGAGTTTTTAGCAGCATAAGTTAAAGACCAACACAGAACGTGAATGGCGCATTCAAATCCATCGCACTGACACGAAAATCCTGTTGCCCAAGAAATTCCAAACAAAACGCAAAATATTACTTTAACAAGTCTAAAAAAACTCGTAACTAACCGAAAAAACGGACCACACCGGAAAGGAAAAAACTCCACCACTCGTACAGCTGCGGCCCCCGAGAAAATGCTCCTTCCGATGAAACGGAGGCATCGAGCTAAATGCAACGAAAGAAAAAGCCGAGATCGCTGGAAATTCTCACCTGCCGAATGGAATCCAGGCAAGATTTGATCACATCAACGGGGTCCATGCTCCTCCTCGCCCCCAACCGTTCTACAAATTCACCGGAGGAAACATAAACCTCCGGGCTACAGCGGATCTCCCTCTTTGGCCTGATACCTCCCCACACGCGAGCCGCTGGTGGCCGGTGGGGAACCGCTGGTGGCCGGCGGGGAGCCGCTGGTGACCGGCGAGGAGCCGCCGGCGGGGAAGGGACGGTGGCCGGAGCGACGAGCACAGAGAGAGATCGAGGGAACTGAAACGCCTCCGTCGTTCCGGATCTTCCTTCAATCTGCTTGCTTCACGTCCCCCCCTCCTGAAACTCCGTTAGCCCAGCCCAATTACATGTGGCCCATTAAGATATTGCGGGGGTCGTGGGCTTTTAATGGGCCTGATCGTGCTATTGCCCCTTTATCTTCAATCATTTTTTTAAAAAAGGATTACGCTATTTTTCTCCGATTTTGGATTATTTATAATTTTTAAAACCTATTTTATCCGCTAAAAAAACCCTGGAGAAAATCGGACTCGACATAGAACACAGAGATTGAAAAAAATAACTGCAGATTATAAAAGTATAACCATTTAAATCGAATTTTAAATAAGGTTTTTTCTACTCGTATTTCTGATTATTCTGCATCAAAATCATACCCACCCCCCCCCCCCACTCATATTCCTCATCTTGTAAACTAATTTTAAGTTATTTTAAAATAAATACAATCCAATAAAGGTGTAATTTAGAAGAAATCAATTTTGGACCATTTAAAAAAAAACAAATGTGGTAATTTTATGGAATGCTTTTTTTCCTCCAATTTTTTATTATTTAAAATATTAGAAAACCCATATTACATGCTGAAAAAACCCTCAAGAGAATCATATGCCCCCCCATATTCCTCATATTATAAAATAATCTGAGGTAATTGTTAAATAAATGCAATACAAGTCCAGTGTGAATTAGAAGCAAAAAAAATGGACTATTTTTACCAAGAAAACTTAAACATGGTAATTTGGTAAAATATCTGTTTTATCCGTTATTTATTTATGATATTTAATAAACCTATTTATCTGGTGAAAAAACCATCGATAAAATAACACGCCCTGCCATATCCTTGTCGTATAAAGAATTTTGAGATTATTTCTTATGTAAATACGATAAAAGTATCGGAGTAAATCAGAAGAAAACCGTTATTTAATATATTTCCTGAAAAAACCCAAAGACGGTAATTTAGTAAAATATCCCGTTTCACTACTCTATGCTCTTCATTTATTTGGGCCAGTTTTCGACTAGTTGCCCAGTTTGGGCCCAGCCCAACAAGGAAATTGTAATAAAAATCCTGTAATCTTATGTGTATTTCCAATGTATTCAGTATCGAATAGCTACACAGATTGTTAGATGATGGGACCGATAGGACCCATACAGTAGAGATTGATTGACAGAGTCAACGTGGGGAGAATGGGCCCTGGCTTTGCCAAGGCGGGCCCAAATCTGATGAGAGAGAGAGAGGGGACGATGAGAACCATGTGAGAGGGAAATGGAATTTCGGGCTTCGGGCCGGGACTCTGAAACCTGATCAAATATTTATATTTTGAAACGGCCAGATTTACGGTTAACGTTATTTTGAGCATAAATATATAGTAAAATTAGTTTTTTTAAAAAAAATCATATCCCGTTTTGGAATGGAAACGTTAGGGTTTTTCACCGCTGAAAACCCTCTATCTCTCTCTCTCTCTCTCTCGTCTACTGAGCTCCGAGAAGCAGCGTCGCCGCCGGTAGCTCAGCCAGTAGTGATGGCGGCAGTAGCTGGTGCCAGATCCGTCTTTCGATCGGCTTCTCTGAGGAATGCGGCGGCGAAAGTTGCCTCCGGTGGTAGGAAACCATCCGCCGGCGCCTCTGCCTTCCTCCGGCCGTCGGGCGTCTCTCGTGTCGCTGTCAGGTAGGTTGCTTCCATCCATCGCTGCTTCCGACAAGCTTTAGATCGTTCCCGTGGGGATGAAGACTGTCGTTTTCATTCGCCTGTTGTGGTTTTTGAAGGTCGCCGATCGAGATGAGCAGCTTCTGCTTGGAATCGCTTCTCCCTATGCACAGCGCCACGGCGTCGGCTCTGTTGACTTCGATGCTGTCCGTTTCGAGACGTCGTTACGGCTGGCTTTTGGAAGGTACCGAATGCGCGGATTTTAGCTCATCCGGTGGTCGTTGTTTTCTGTCTAGCCTAGAAATATATCGTCATTGGTTTCCTCTGGAAGCACGAGTGCACCTGATTTCATTTTTGAGACTGGCGCTGCAAATTTCATCTCAAATCGATTGCACTGCTGTCATCTGTTATTTTGATAAATCATTAGGACGGGAACAGATCGTAGATCCTCAGTGCAATAAGATGCTTTCGGTCTGATTAGTTTATCGAGTCATTTGGCGAGTGCTTCTGGATCTCTGATCATTTGGGACTGTTCTCCGGAAGATGGATTATGTTTAGGAACAAATAATCAGTTCTCTATTGATTTTTTTTATAGTATTATCCTTTTTTTTCGTATTAACTTCCGAAGCTAAGCATAACACTTGATTCAGGTTTTCCCCCACATACCTTCGTATTCATTTCACTGATCCATCCGAATGCTGAAATTATCATAAAAATTCTTCATCTGTGCAAGATAAATGATTTCCCACAGAAAGAAAGGAGAAAGAACTCAATCCAGTGTACATTACGGAATATTATTTCATCTGCTCTATGGTTTGAGCTCGTGTAGACGCAGAAAACTAGTCTCATTACGCGCATCCTTTGTCTTCTGGCTTCGGCTGTGTAGCAGATATCTTGAAACCCCTTCATGTTAGTCGGTTGCATTTTTAAGTAAAAAATATGTTGCATTTACTGGACTTAAGTTTCTTCTTTTAAAACTTTTGATCACGGAGAAGAATACTAATTATTTTTCATTCGATCAGTTGGCAATGATGACGTGTGACAAACTGTAGGAGGAAACTAGCAAAATTATCTGTGTCCAGCAGTATAATTGTGAGTATCTACAGAAAAATTCCGCCTGGCATTTGCAATGAACCTGCTCTTCGAATTACTTTCCGAATTTTTTAACTGATTCTCGTGCTGTCGGCCTTTGAGTGTTGAGGTGAAACTAGGAAGTTATCAATAGCTTACCCCTGACATGCTAATGGCCTTCTGTTCCTTCATCACACCCCGAATATCTTTCTCTGCGTTGAATCCTACCGTGTGATCTAGTCCTTGTGAATATTTTTTGAGGTTGATGCATCTCAGTTCTCTGGGATGTCCATGTTTGCAAAACCCAATGCATTTCAGAGGTCTGGGCAGCATAGAAATTGGAAGCTCTCTCTCTCTCTCTCTCTCTCTCTCTCTATATATATATATATATATATATATATTGCTCTAACACACTCACATGCATACACACAATCATTTCTTCTGGGGACAATTCAGATTCTCTTCGGTTGTCTCCTTGCTCATCCCCCCTGGTTATTATTTCTGCTAACAGTGTGGATGCATTTGATGGGTTTTTTCTGGGTAAGGTCTAGAATGGATGGTTTTTTACGATTAAAAACCGTCAATCGACGTCGATCCCCCCCTCCTTCCCATTGTATCAACATCATCTCCTTGACCTCGCTCGTGCTCAGAAAACCATAGCATCTGTTTCTTGGTTTTTCTACCAAACAGATTTGGCCGCCTATATGCTCTCAAAACTTTCTATTTTTTTTTTCTGATGCCAGCTTAATTCTAGCTTCTGATCGACACCGTTGACCAATACATAGCCAAGCTTTTTTGCCTTGATTTCTAGAATAAGAACTTCCTGCTGATGAGTCATTCATCTTCTGTATTCAAACAGCTTGCAATGATGACGTATGAAGAAGTCCCAGTGGACACAGGCAAAAAACCTTGCTGCAGATAACCTGTGTGAAGAACCCCACTAAACTTCCTGAAATAAAAGTGTAGACCATGGGAATCATCATCCAAGAAGAAGTCTCATTCCCCCGATCATTTCGTATCATCTTTTCTTCTTCCATTGCTTACAGCCTCTTGTATTGACCATATAATCCGCACTCTTTGTGCCCGGTTTCATCAAAGCTGCCTTCTTTCCGAATCCCTCCTCCCTAATGTGCTGTCTCTTTACTCTGTCTGGTTTCCAGAGGCCGAGAGTATATGCGTTGACTCTTTTTTCATTCGTTGACTAGGTCTGTGACCATCCGCGTGCACCTGCCAGTGGGTCCGTGGAGACCATGTTATCTGCAGATTTTCTCTCTTCTGCCCTTTTTTCTCTGACTTGGTTTTTCTTGTTTGTGCAATTGGAATAGCAAGCTATGTTGATGGTGACGAATGATGAACATGATGTTGGAATTTTTTTGGGGCAGATTTTTTTCTCGCTCTCTCTCTCTCTCTCTCTCTCTCTCTGTGGATCGACCGTCTCTACAGATGTTCGTCTTTACTGTTGTAGATGGGTGAGCGGTGGCCTCGCGTTCCTTATGAAGGGGCGGGACCCGGGTTTTGATGAGGAGAACCCGCTGATTTGCCGTTTTCTTCCTACGTCTGTTACTGCTTCCTCTGCTGAACAGGGCAAGAGAGAGAAGTCCCTACAGCTTTGTTCTCTCTCTCTCTCTCTCTCCCCTCCACCATCTACAACAGATGGATTCAGAGGTAGTCGCACAAAGGGGCTTGTTCATCACCTAGTGAACAGTAAACAAAATTGTATGTAATCAGAAGAATCTACCTCTCTCTCTCTCTCTAGGTGTCTATGTTTTAGCACTTGCAGTTGAGGGGTTCAGAGGAAGTCATGGAAAAGTGATTGTTCATCACCTAGTATTCAGTAATGAAAATTGGATGATATCAGAAGAATCTCTCTCTCTCTCTCTGTCTGTCCATGGTTTAGCACTTGCAGTTGTTCATCGCCCCTAGTGAGCAGTAAGGAAAATTAGATGTAATCAGAGAAGCCCATTCGTTCTCTCACTACCTTCCTCTATCTCTCTCTCTCGCTAACCCTTTCTCTCACTGCGATGGTAGTCCAGTCCATTCGTTCTCTCACGGCTCAAGCCCCGGTCCATTCCGGTCCGTTGAGCCCCCCCCCCCTTACCCCGACCCCGCGTTGCCACTGAATTTTCAGAGAAACAGCTTACCGTAAACGATTCCGAGAGAACATGTGAAACAACTCTTAATTAATCAGACAAAGGGGGCGGCTATGGATAAGGGGTCGCTTCTCTGCTGCACCTGCCGGAGCTTCTGCGGCGGCGCCCACACTCCGGCGATGGTGGCTCCGGCGGCGGCGGCGCTGGCTCTGCGGCTATCTTCACCCTTCGCGCCAGCGCTAACTCATGGCGACAGCAGCTGCTTCTTACCCAAGCTCCCCTCTCTCAGCCTCCCATCGAGCTACTCCAGCAGAATCGCCGGCGGCCTCCGCCTCGCCGCCGGCGACAGGCGGCCGACGAGTTCCTCCTCCTCCTCCGCCGCCAGGGCCATCGCCGCAGACTCCGAGCAACAGGCGTCTTCCCCTCCGGCCGATGAGGTACGAACTCCCATCCTTTTCCCGCACGATCCAACCATCTCGTGATTCTCGGGTTTCTAGGGTTTCTAGTGTTCTAGGGTTCTGATCTGCTGTTCTTCTGGGGAGAAGACGAGGAGCTACCACTTCGTGGTGGCGAACGCCAAGTTCATGCTGGACGAGGAGGAGCACTTTCAGGAGCAGCTGTCGGAGAGGCTCCGCTACTTCGGGGAGAAGAATCGCGAGCAGGACTTCTGGCTGGTGATCGAGCCCAAGTTCCTCAACCGGTTCCCCAACATCACGAGTAGGCTGAAGAGGCCCGCCGTCGCTCTCGTGTCCACCGACGCCGCCTGGATCACGTAAGCTCTTCTTTCTGCATCTTCCCCACGGTGCGAATCAGGGACTCCGAAACCCTAACAAGAAGAGAAAAACTCGATCCGCCTCCTTTAACCATCATCAGCAGGTCCTGCCCTAACCCAGAATCCAAAATGGATAACACTCTCAAACCCTAGCGAGAAGATGAAGTCAACCGACCCAGGAATCTCATCTCTGTGTCGAGGAAGAACAGCCAGGCATCACCCTCAACATAAATAGCCTCCTTGTTCTTCAATTCTCAGGTTCATGAAGCTGAGGCTGGACAGAGTCCTGACAGAAAGCTTCGAAGCCAAAACTCTGGAAGAAGCGCTGGCCTCCAACCCAGTCGATCTGCAGTTTGAGAAGCCCAAGAATTGGACGGCCCCATATCCAAAGTATGAGTATGGTTGGTGGGAACCATTTCTGCCACCAGCCTCCGGTGGAGCAGATCTGTCTCTGTCGCAGTGAACTTGCTTGGTTACTCTGCTGTCAGATTCCTGTAGAATCCAGGAGAAGGCGGGGGTGTCTTGTGACAGCTTGGAGCTTGAGGAACTGCATGCTCAGCCAGAAGCCGCCCAGCTATGAAGAAGCTGAACCATGATGCCCTGTACTTCCCTGGTTACACCATAATTTTTCAAAGAACCATGTGATCACCTCAGATTGTGATGAACTGGGTCGGTTTTCATCATATGTATGCGGGTAATCCATACATCAAGGTTTAATATTGGCCTTTAATGTATCAGTGAAATGTAATCCAACTACCCTTTAATGCATAATGTACTAGTGAACTTAGGGGGGGCAGACCGAAATGTGCTGAGAATGTATTTTTATTTTAACCAATAGCTACGGAGTAATTAATGCAATTAATTCAACAATGGTACCCGAATTTATTTTCATATCACCAGGCAGCAAGAAAAAACCCCAATAGGATAAAGAGCAGGATTAAAAATCATTAAATGCTAACTCCAGATATTTCTCATGAATGAAGACACGAAAAAACAGGTCGTGCATTACCTTCATACCTCAGTTCGGATTTAAATTCCCTGAAAAGATGAGTTACTTTTGTTGGTTTGCAAAGTAAATGCCTGGAAATTATAAATGATCTCGTTGGTCAGTAGACAAACCATAATCAGATAACTCCGATGATGTGCAGTTAATGAAGACAAGAGGAAAGAGTCCATCAATGGTCTCCTCCATCCCTTAAAAACATGATTGGCGGCCATAAATGGCCTTGCTAGTTAGTAGATAAACCACAGTCAGATAACTCCAGATATTTCTCATAAATGAAGGCTAGAAGCAGGCTGGGCATGACCTTCATACGCCGAATCGAAGTTATAATTTCCACAAAAATGGATTACATTTATAGCAGCACAGCTTGGATACACAGCGGAGGATATCACCATCTACATTTAGTATAGCAAACAGCACTAAAGCTTACTATAAATAATGAGAACCTCGATGGATCTTCATCCCTGGATGGCGAAAGGTCGCCTCACAACCGCACTGCTCTTCACCAACCAAATCCAAGCAGTCAGTCTACCTACGATGTAAATGGCAAAAAGGAAATACTATATACCAATCTAACTGTAGACTAAGGCTGCACATGATTTCCCTCCGGTCTGGAAAAGAGAAGGCCTCAGTAAGCTTCAAAACGCAAGTTTCCGGCAGATCTTAGCACCGAGCTTCCTTGACTGAGGAACCCGCCTGATGGGCGCACCAGGGCATGCCTCTGCAACACCATTCAGCAATGGTGCCACTGTGGGTGTCCTCGATCCATCAAAGAGAATTGCATCCGTTGAGGACCCTACATTGACTGATCCCCCCGATTGACATGAAATGATAGCTTCGATTATAGACCGGTAGACCGTCTCCAAGAACGCCACTTCTTCTGGTCTTCCTTCCAAGTGAGTGTCCCATGGTTGATGCTTCGGAACACAGCAAGAATCGAAGTCCAGCTTCCGCTGGACAGGAAGGTGAGCTTCTTTGGTCACCTTCTTCTTGGGGGCAAACATCAGTTCTTCCGGTCCAGGGGCAAAAGTATCGAGGGTGCTCTCCCTCGGTGTCTGGCAGTTGGGCGCAAGGTCTGCTCCATCTGTAACATCTAAAGGTAAAGAAACTTGCAGACTTTCTCTCTCTGGCAAGGGTGTGGGAGGACCCTTAAGAGGAAAGTTGATATCAATACTTGATGTCCTGGATTTTGACATCTTCGAAAGATCCATATCTTCCCCAGCTTCGGTGCTAGATGTGCCGCCGCCACTGTCGTTGGAAACCCTAATTTCGTCGAAAACGGATATGGGGGGTGAAGTGATTACATCAAAGAGGGCCCTGCAAACACTTCCCAGCGGCTCCTCTTCCTCCGAAGCTTCTTCAGAAACAATGCTTACCAACCGTTGCTTTGAATCGCAGCAAGAATCAAAATCTAGTTTCCGTTGAATAGGATCGCCAGTTTTCTTTAACGCCTTCTTCTTGGGGGCGAACATCAGACCTTCTCGCCCAGGGGCAAACGGATCAAACATGCTCCTTGTTGGCGTTTGAGAGTTAAACCCCGCATCTGCTTCGTCGCATCCACATGAAGACGAAAGAACTGCATGGTTTTCCCTATCTAGAAAAGGGGTAACAGGCCTCATAATCATCTCATGAGCTAAATCTGACGGACAGACGTGATAAACACCTGAAGTTCCCAAGTTCGCGGTGTAGTCCTTGCAAAGCTCGAAACCCGATCGGTCCTTAGCTTCCTCCATGACGATGGCTTCCGGACTTCTGCCCAGAACAGCTTCATAAATTGAGTCCCATCGAGAGAGCCCGAGTTGCAGGCTGAGCCATCAAACCCTAACCTCGGAAACTGATCCGCCTTCTCCAAATTGAAGCAACGACTGCTAAACTAGCCGCATTATCACGGAAGACGTCGTCTCAGAAAGAAGAGGCGGCGACCCAAGGATCCGTCTTCAAAACGCAACCTAAAGCGCAACAGAAAAACTAATCAGTTTCTCGAATGAGACCAGATATTATCAGAACAGATCAAACAAACGAATGCCCCGCGCCCAATAGCCCCCCACAGCACACATTACAACGATCAGCAAAGGATACGATCACCATAGGTATGAAATCCCGACGATGCTTCAACTCCAGAAGAATGAAAAAATGGAGAAGACAAACCTCAACAGCAATGCGACTCCGAGAACAGAAGCGAGCAAAACCCTAACGCGAATCCATTTATAACCGTAACCCAAGGGAATCCCGACACGGAGGATCCCGAAAGAAGCTGCGAGGATGAGCAAAAACCCAGCGGCACTACGAGAATTCCTTCCCAGCATACCTCCTAGGACAATCCCCACAGCTGCGAAACTCCGAAGCGGCCGCCGGCCAAAGCGAGATCCACTGAGTAGAGAGCGAGCAAGCAAGAGACAGACAGACAACAGAGAGACCCAACGACCTGCGGCGCGAGAGGAGAAGAACCCGCCGTCTCAAGAGGAATAAAGAGTGTAAAACGTGGAATCGTTTTCTCTCAACGGCTGAGATCTCATCTCGGGGCACATAAATCGTTCAAAACGTGATCGAAGGTGAGGATCTTGAGGATTTCATCGTGGGCACACGTCTCGGCTAATAAATAAAATAATGCAGATAATAAGTACGTGCAGTAATATTTTCTCTTAGCCCCAATCATCTTATTTTTACTTTTTAGTCCCTATATTTAGGAGTTTGATCTGACACTTTCATGTGTACATATTAATAATTCAGTGCTGAGAACGGGTTATTTAGTCATAATAATTAGTTGTGGAGGAGCTAAGGTAAAAAGGGAATGGTCGGTGGAGGTCGTGGTTTTGGTCAACATATTCCGACGGAAACGAGTGACTGCCGACAAGAGAGTCTGGTCAACGTTCCACGGGGGAGAACGTGGGAATAGGAAATGGCCACGTCGGGCCGGGGAGACCTGCCAAACCGTCCAAGTCAAACTGAACATTGTAAAAATGTAAGTGCGGATTCTCTCATTTTTTTTATTTTCTTCGCTGTACGACTGCAAATCAATTGTGAGATTTACTGGCGTGGATACACAGCGAGAGAGAGAGAGAGAGATGATTCAGGAGCTCCTGGCGGAGATGGACACCATCATGTTCTTGAATTCGGAGAAGTCCACCCGGCCGTCGTGGTCCCGATCGACGGAGGATATCATCTCGCAGACGCGGGTGATATCCCTCCCCTCCGACAGACCGAGCTTCCCCAGCACGGACTGTAGTTCCTTGGCGGAGATGAACCCATCGCCATTCTCGTCAAAAACCCTAAACGCCTCCGCGAGTTCCTCCTCCACCTCCGCCGCCTCCTCATCCGCCACCGCCACCCCGAAGAGGGCATCCCCGAGGGACTGGTGGAGCCCTGTGAAGTCCTCGAAGCCCAGCCCTTCATGGCCGGGTTTGATGAAGGCGGTCACTGCCGATTCCAGCTCCTTGGCGCCACCTTCCTCCAGGCCAAGCCGAGCCAGGGCCCGGTCCAGCTCCGGCAGGGTGATCTCGCCGTCGCCGTTCTGGTCGAAGAGGTCGAAGACCCGCCGGAGCCGGATGGTGTTCAGGCTGGAACTCCGCAGCCGGAAGGACTTCCCCGCCCGCTCCGGCGGCGGCGCGGCCGCCGGCTTCTTCTCTGGCTCTTCCGATCGCACCATCGCTCTTCAGCCACCAGACGACCGAGAAGAAAGAGATGGGGATGGGAGGGTACGTGCAAGTAGATGAACCAGAAGATAGATCGAGAGAGAGAGAGAGAGAGAGAGAGAGAGAGAGAGGAGGGTATATTTATCCCCGTTGAGACGTTCGCTGGTTTGCCTCCAGACAGGTGGGCGTACCAAAGAAGATGGATTGGATTGGCCTTGTGGCCTCCGTCGACCGCACACGTTGACGGTTCTAGAATGGTTGACTATGATACCACGGGCCATGCCCTCCTCCGCACATCACGCTTACGTATCAAATTTGACCTGAAATTTAATCTAATAACCGGTAGGTCCCTGGTCAGAGATCCCCCGGTTGAAGTCAACCATTTGCCCACCTCATATTTTCATAGGAAATTGCAAGCATTTAATCGGAAATACTATTCTTTAACGTATCAGATATATATTAAGAATAGTAATTTAAACGAAACGCCACACGGGGGCCCATGCCATTGGGGTTCAAACAACCAAGAGCGACGGCTGACCCACCGTTGATCTTCTCGGGCTCGCCAGCGGACGGTGTGGATCTTCCAATCCAATGGGACACTGCACTCCGGCGAGCACGCCGGCCGAGAAGAGGACGTCTGCCGGCAGCCCAACCGCGTGGGCGGTGCGTGTTGGAGCTACATGCAACTCCGGCGAAAGCAACGGCTAACAGGAAGACGTGGGAGATGAGGACACGACACGTGGCGGTGGCGACGGCGCTGCCGCCGTCTCCTGCCGACAGAGGAGGAGCCGCACGGCGGCGCCGCCGTTGGATACGACTATGGGTCGCCGTCGGCCGGTGGAGAGCCACCGCATTTCACCGGCAAGCCTTTCGCGAGCTGCCCGCCTGCCGGGAGTGGGACGTCCTGTAGCGATGGAGAGAGAAACCCGTCTTCTACTATAAACGGAATTCTTGAGAAAAATGTTCTCGACGGCAACCTGTGAGCGGAATCCCGGGAGAGAGGGGTGATGATGGAAGAGGATTGGGGCTCATTTTCCATCCTTTTTCTGTTTTATTCAAATAAAGATCCCCCCGGCGGAGCTACCGCCGTCGCCAGTTCATCCCCTGCGTGGGCCTTCGATCAGTCTTGACGAGCTTCGAGATCCGAAAGCAGATGTTTTGGCTTATCTCTCTCTCTCTCTCTCTCTCTCTCTCTCTGTCTCTCTCTCTATGCTATGCTGTCGCCTTATTTTGAACAAAGTAGGCCCCCATCACATAGCTGCTATATCAGTAATTTAACACGCCATTTATCTCAATAATTCAAATTATTGAGATGTACATTTGCTGGATCGAACTTAGATCTCCAGCCTGCTTCTACCAAGAACAAGAGATAGAAGAGAGAGAGAGAGAGAGAGTTGTGGAAGCAGTCGGAGTCACATTTAGCTCTTTTTTATTTGAGGATGTATCAATGAATGTGATGGACTCTTTGTTCGTGATAGTTTGCATTAAATGCTTTTATCATTTTGTTCACTTAGTGCCTTTATTGGCTTTTGTGGTCTTAACAGTGTGTTCCTCGGAGGTATACATTGCAAAATACGGGTTGATTGCCAAGACTCGAACCATTAGCTGTATATACGGCACATTTAGGTATTCATTTATCCTTGAAGATAAGTTGATGCGTTGACCAGATAGATGGGTGCAATACTTAACGACCTTGAGGTTGATCCATTGGTTTATTCGAGGATTTTTGGATAAAAATGATAATCTTTGATCTTGTTTACAAACTATATGCTTGGGCAAACTATATTGCATCTAAATGATGGTATATGGAATTATTCAAATTATTTTCATAAAATGATTTACTAACCAAGTATTTTCGATAATTCTCAGTTTCCCTCGCACAGTGCGCCGGCTTGATCACTCGCCATCTCAACTGCATGAACTGGGTAGATTTTGAATGCCCATCTAACCAAGAATGCATTTTTTTTGGTTTACTGATTTTTACTGGTCGCTGTTGTTTTGATCTTCTTCGCTGGGAGTCTCTCCTCTCAAATCCCAGTTTATGGGGATAAAGCACGTCGAATTCAACGAGAACCTTCATCGCGATGGGAAGCTCTGCCGCATTCTTTTGGAACGTTATGAGTTAAATGAAACCGGTCGTACTACGGAGGGGCTTGAGCCTTACGCCATGGCTGGAAGGTGGCGGAGGCCGGAGGTGGGTCGTGGGCTCACCCTATAAACACGTCGAGAGAGGCCTCTGCTGGAAGACGAGCCCCAGATTCCTCGCAAAGCCGCCCCCAGTGGCTGCCCCCCCTCTGTCTCTCTTGCCCCGGCTCCTTCGCTTCCACGTTAGGAAATGCTGGCCTGACTCTCTGTCTCTCTCTAGGTTCGTCCGAGGAGCGGTGAGCGGGGGAGGTTCCCCTTTCTCTCTCTCTTTCTCTCTCTCTCTCTCTGTGAATTGCTTCTCCGGCAAAGAAGAATGGGGAGGTCTCCAGTATCTGCTGCCTTTGTGGGGCTGGTAGGAGGGCAGTCCATCTTGACCACCATGAAGTTTGCCGTCCTGCCGATCGCAAAGGTCTTTACGGTGTGCTTCCTGGGATTTCTCATGGCCTCCAAGCACGTTAACATCCTGCCATCTGCTGGTCGGAAGCTTCTAAACGGGGTACGCAGTGGATCCACTTCTGTAATTGCCTTTCTCTCACTTGCAGGAGATGAGATATCCGATCTCGAATTATTTCCCAATCCATGGTAGAACTCAATATGATCATTCATATTAGAAAATATCACCTGTCTCCAGAATTATTCCAAAATAGCTTACAACGAGAACATGAACATTCACAATTCATGAGAATCACCCCTCTCTCTCTCTCTCTCTCTCTCTCTCTCTCTCTCTCTCTCTCTGTTGTGTCGTGGCTCCTGTTTCTACTTCTCATCTGAACCCCTGTTGCAGCTGGTTTTCTCCCTTCTTCTCCCATGTCTGATATTCTCTCAGCTCGGAAGGGCGATTACGTTGCAGAGAATGATGGAATGGTGAGGACTCAGATTTTCTAACCCCGGGGAAGATTCAGACCATAAATGGTGTAAATTCCATGATCTTGCTGATAAGATTGTTTGTCTGAATATTCATGCAGGTGGTTTATTCCTGTCAACATTGTTCTTGCCACAATATCAGGTTCATTAATAGGTTTTCTCGTTGCATCTGTCATACGGCCTCCTTATCCATACTTCAAATTCACCATCATCCACATCGGCATTGGTACAAGTTGCTCTCTCCCTTCATGAACAATTACAGATCTCTATGAACGTTTACCAAAATAAATTGTCATACAAAATTTATACTACATTTTTTTCATTTTCATATTAAATTTGTTTTGGATCCCGATTTTATCTGCCTTTTAATTGCAGGAAATATTGGAAATATTCCTCTTGTTCTAATTTCTGCCTTATGCCGTGATACATCAAACCCTTTTGGCGACTCCGACAAATGCAGTGAGGATGGGACTGCATATATTTCCTTTGGCCAATGGGTATATCACCTCTAATTTTTTCATTAAGATCACCCGGACCTACATTTTTTTATGGAAAATTCTATTTTTGTTTTTTTTCTAATTATCTTTCTTTATTTCATTAGAGTTCTTTTCTCGGCACTATTGCTCTATTGGTTCCTTTTGAACTCTTGAGGTAGACTGGTGTCTGGATTCTTTGGTTTATTGCTCATTAGGATGATTATCATGGGTGGGCTCAAACCTAGCATACATTTTTTGGAAAAAAAAGGGTTTTATTCTCTTGTAGTTCCCAGTTCATCAGAAAGTTCATCATGGTGGGCCCGACCCTGATGAACCTCTTACGGGGAAAATTTTCATGTAGCTAATGATATCAATTTATGTTTATTTAACTTTCCTGGGTGATTTTTTCAAACATAGATAGTTAATTTTCATCTGCTCATTCTCGGGGACTCAGCTTTGCTTTTTTACTTTCCAAGGCACCACCACCCAGCAAAAAAAAAACTATTTTTTTCAGCTTGGTCCACTCTAATTTTATTTTATTTTATTGGGTATTTAATATTTACGAATTATTTTTTATATGTTTTTTCAGGTGGGTGCTATTGTACTGTACACCTATGTGTTTCAGATGCTCTCACCTCCACCAGGAGGCTCCTTTGATTGCACTAAAGAAAGTGCCCTTCCCATTAAGAGCCTCCTTCCTGATCTTCCTCCCGAGCAAGTGCCTCTTTTAAAAGCAAAACAATCTGAGCCTTTGGATCTCGATGGTTCAGACAAAGGAAAGGTAGGCGGTTTCTTTTCTATATTTTTCCAATCTATGCTCCCCGACCCTTTAAAAAATATTTTTCTCAATTTATGTATTTTTTCCTCAAAGGAGTAATCATTTCTCCATCTTTTTCAGAAGGGAGTAATTATAACTTAATATGAAGGAATATAACACCGTTCACCTTTCAAACTTTGGCTTAGTTGTGTTGGATTATTTCTCATTTAAGATTGAAATTTATAGAATTAAATTTATCAACCCTTGTGGTTGATACTACCCAAAAAACTTCAAGATTTTGCATCAAATCTCTTTCTGAGAATAAAAATAAGTATGTTGTATTTAATATCATAAGAAATTTATTATTATTATTATTATTATTATTTAACTTTTTGGGATTTTTCAGGACCTAACAAGCTCCATAGATGTTTCCTCGATTGGGTGCCCCCCTCCTTTCCCCAAGATCTCCCACGACAGTGTGTCATTTGTCTTCCCAAGCAAGGTGTTCTTCAAAGTTTTCCAAAAATAGATGCCGTTGGATGGATGTCTCTTGTAGACCAAGCTCATCGTTCACAGGTTTCTCTATGCAGATTACTCACAACCTGATCTTTCTTCTGGACAAGCTGAGGCTGAAGCAGCTTCTCCAGCCCCCAATCGTTGCCACCGTGAGTAACCATGATCGAGTGAAGCTCGATTGGGTCATGGGTTCTCCATCGATCTTACCAACTGAATCATGCCCTTTATTCCTTGTAGTTTGTTCCTTCTTTTTGATCTGAAAAAAGTCGGGTAACTGGTATATTTGCATGATAATTAGTCAGTAATCTATTTATTATTATTATTATTATATTTAATTGCTATTGGCCTAATTTCTGTTTTTTTTCCGACAGATGCTGGCCATGCTTTTTGGTGCAGTTCCTTTTCTGAAGCGCCTGATTCTCACAGATGATGCCCCTCTCTTCTTCATCACCGATAGCTGCATAATTCTCGCGTATGGATTTATATATCTTTATGTTTTTTTTAATTTGGGTTTTTTTTTCTTGTGCATTATTTCTAGAATAATCCACTTGCTTCACTTCTGTTCTTGCTTATCATTTTTATTTTATATACTTTATTATTTTTAGATAATTATTATTTTAAAATAAGATCTGACTTTACCGCGAATAAATCCAGGGAAGCCATGATTCCATGCATTCTGCTGGCTCTGGGGGGGAATCTCATCGACGGTGGGAAAATTTCTGTTCTCTGCTTCTTCCCAGAATGGAGGGATGATTGTTCTTGTTCTTTCAGGGCCTGGAAGCTCCGAGCTGGGAGTGAGGACTACGGCCGCCATTGTGGTGGGGCGGCTGGTGCTGGTGCCGTTGACCGGAGTGGGGATCGTGTCTCTGGCGGACAAGCTGGGGTTCCTCCCCAGAGGGAATAAGATGTTCAAGTTCGTTCTCCTGCTCCAGCACTCCATGCCCACTTCAGTTCTCTCTGGTAATTTCCCTCTGCTCCCCCACTGTAGATAGATACATAGCTAGAGAGAGAGAGAGGTGGTATGGGAGTAATTCCCTCTGCCCAGTTCTGCTGCTCTAGATAGATAGATAGTTAGATAGTTAGAGAGAGAGAGAGAGAGAGAGAGAGAGAGAGAGAACTGGAATGGGATTAATCCAGCTGATTTGATCGTCTTCTTCTTCTTGTGGGGGAACTGAAGGGGCTGTGGCGAATCTGAGAGGCTGCGGAAGGGAGGCAGCCGCGACGCTCTTCTGGGTCCACATCTTCGCCATCTTCTCAATGGCCGGATGGATCGTTCTCTATCTGAACATCCTCTTCTGACCCTCTCTCTCTCTTTCTCTCTCTCTCTTCCTGTGTACAGCAGTCAAACACCGCGAACATAGCCATGAAGATGATCCAACCATTGTCCACTCCTTGTGTATTCTATAATAATCATCATCATCTTCTCCTAGAGATATCATCGATGTCTCTTCCTCTGCTAACGTCTTCCAGATTCTTAAGAGAGAGAGAGAGAGAGAGAGAGAGAGAGAGAGAGTTCAAGCGACGGGTGGTATCTCTGAGGCTATCAATGAACGGGGGCGTCGTTGAGTCCGTCAAGTGACCGTTACGGAACTTGAGGAGCGTTGGAATATTCTTCCGTCTAACGGCCGTTCCCATAGGAGAGAGAATGTACAGCCGCCGCTCAGTCTCTTCTCCGCCGCCGGCTGTTTTTCTCTCCATTTCCATTGTCTCCGGCGTACGGTCGCCGAGGGGGGCTCGCGAAAGGGAGGACGCTTCTCGTTTTGGTGGTCGGCATTTGGCTGCGTTCTTATCCTCTTCTTCGTGATCCATCCTGGCTAGGGTTTGATTCATTGTTGGTGGTCTGTAATTCACGGTGTGTGGCTGGCCATTCTTTGGATCCTGGTAGAATCTGGGATTCTTGGACGGTGGAAAGGGGGCGGGGGCGGTCTTCAGTATGAGCGCAGTCTCGCGGTGCTTCTGTGCTCGCCGAGTCCTCCGGTTGGGAGTTGAGATGAAGTGCGGCGTCTCGTTCTGCTGTCTGAATGCGATTTCTTCTCCTCTTGAGCGTCGAGCTTCGATGAGTCGTGCTCCAATGGGGCTGGGTGTTGGAGTCTTCGGATATGCTCGTGTCTGCAGCAGCGTTGGCGACTTGAAGAATGGGAAGGCTCTTTTTTCTCGAGAAGCTCTGCCTTCCGGGCGCAAAAATGTGTACACGGCGAACAGCGACGTTCTCAGATGTCTGACCGGCGTTTCTTCCGATAATCCTCTATCAGCGACGGGGAGCCGACGTCCCCTTGAGCTGGTATTTTCAGTTTTTATCATTTCTTAGAGCTATTCGGACTTCCCCTAGACTCTATTGAGGGTCTCTTCTGGAAACGGGATTCTTATTCACGTGAATGCTATCATTTAAATGTTTTTTTCTTCATTTTTGGGGTTAGGATGAATAACCTTTTTGAAGATGTTGTTCAGAGCGATCACTAGAAATGTGAAATATTGGCTACGACAGCAGCTATGGTATCACATGCGGGTTGAGGAAGGGAAAAGAGCAAGTATTCCCGAATGCTTGAGAATGAGATCGTCTGACAATCACTTAAAAAATGATCCTCCTGGTGAAAAAATAAATTGGGGACTTTCTAGCGCGCTGAATTTATAACCATCAAAATCATGGTTTCTCCATCTTTGGCATGATTCTCCTGAATCAGAATTAAAATTACCTTGGGTTATATAAGAGAGACCCTTAAGGAGAATCATGACTTCTCCAAGGTGAGATATGATTTTATTAGAGGAACCTTGTCTCCAGAGTTAAAACCAGAAACACTTTAGGCTGTGGAAGAGGGACTCTGTAAAAGAGATTATTTGTGTTGTAGTCATCTGATTTACATTACATACCATATGTTCTATTTTACATATACTGTGTACGTTTGTGAAGAGGATTTTGTCTTTCTCTGATGGGATATCAGATAAAACTATAATGTATTATCTTTTCTCTTGTTGAAAGAATATTTCTTTGTTTGGCGGGAATATCAAATAAACCTAAGATGCACGCTCTCTTCCCTTATGAAATAAGTATTCTTTTCATGCTGGACGAAAAAGCACAATAGCAATGGTCTGATTAATAATTTCTTTGAATCTTGAAATCAGAACGAAGAATGAATTAGACATGGATGATAGCAGCCCGAGTTTCTTAAATATAGTTCTAAATGCATTTTTCATTCCTGTTCAGTCGTATGGCCCATAACATTATCGTAAGAGTACCTTCCCCAATATATTGCCCAGTTAGATGAATTGAAAATTCAAATCATGACTTCCTCCAAAACTAGTTCTTAAACCAAGAGTTTAGAGCAAACAAACTCTTCCAACTTTATTAATTTCGGATTTGAATATCAGCTTTTCAAATTACGATAAGATAATGAAGCTGTTACAATTTCTGGAAAATTTTATCAACTTCCAATGACTCTTCTTCTTGGAGTTAGTTTGGAATGTACCTTCATACTTGATTATTACTGGAGTTTGAAAAATTAATAATCTCGAGTGGTTCATATTTTTTATAGCGCAACATGTTGGTTGCTGTCCGTTCATTTGCCTCATCGGCTGGTGGCTTGACAGACAAAACGCCAGTTCAGAAAACTGTGAAGCAGATCGAAAATGCTGCAACTGATAATGCAAAAGCTGATGACAAGATTGCGGATATGATGATATTTCGTACTCTTGTGAAATATTTATGGGCGAAAGATAATATGGAATACCGTTTAAGGTTTGTCACAGCATTGGTTTTACTTGCAGGGGCAAAGGTGCGAACCTTTTTTTTTTTTAACTGTTTGACCATCTCTAACAATCTTTCTTCTATATATATTTCTGTGATTGTGAGTCTGTATGGGGTGCGTGTGATTATTTCCCTTGTTTCGTAATGCTTTGTTTAAGTTCCGGAATTTTTTTGTGATATAATTTTTTTGGCTTTGCTTAGTTCTTAGAGTTTCTAGAACCCCACATAGGTCAGATGATTCTAATAGAAATCTTCTCATTTGAAATTTTATTTTCTCTTGCTTTTGGTGCCGGAATGAATTAACATGGTTTCAATCACGTGTATTGTATGAAGAGATAATCACTAGTTGTAAGGTTCATTGAGATATTCTAGTAAAAATGCGATCATCTAAATTTTACAATGAAACTAGAGAGTACTTGCCAAAATCTTTGAGTGCGATATAAATATCTTCAACGAGAATTTGTCATACTTTCAACGAACAACAAGCATTTTTCTTCTGTGAGCTTATGCTTTTGATCCTAGTTATAGTAGAAGTGGCCTAAGCAAACCCAGTGTCCAAGATGTCCTTGCCAATACATGCATTACCAAGAGTTTATCAACTAAAGTATGTGGGGAGCAAGCTATTTGCCTATGCTGATTTAGTCCTTGCATTACCAAGAGTTTATCAACTAAAGTATGTGGGGAACCTTCAAAGCTTTTTCTGTTTACTCTCTTGTGAAGAGAGTTTTCCAAATTTAGGTGGAGTAACATTCTTGTAAAGGAGAGCTGCATTTGTGCACAAATTTGATTTTAATATTCCTGTTTGGTTTTAATCTGTTTCTTGAAAAATGGCAATCTTATGCTCGGATATCAGTTTACTCTTGCAGTCGTAACCAATAAATGACTGATATTCGGATGAAAGGAATATTATTATTCTCTAATAGACAGACCTTCTGATAAATTTGATTCAGATTTGTTGTAATCTAGTTTCTAGTTGCCTAGTAGATCGAAGGTTCTCCTAGGAGGGATAGAAACTATTGTCCATATACCTAGTGCCAAAGCTTCTCTATGAGGGTTCAGTCTCCTACATGTTATATCTAATATGGCATACTCTTTTCTTTCAAATGTCCTGGGTATTACATTTTTTTGAGGTTCCTACCAGTCCCTTGGCTCCTGTAATTTTAGTGGACAGATCTTGATAGGGGAGCAGATTCTTGTTCAAGTATGGAGCAGCTTCATTTGATACATCTTTCTATTGATTGTAAATATTCATTTTTATTCATGGCATGGTTGTTTATAATGGACCCATCTAATCCATTGATGTCCTTTTCTATTTCATTAGAGATGTAAGCGATAACCAATTTTTAATTTTACTGCTTGATTGTTAGAGCCTTGATAAGGAGCAGTTCTTCATCTAATTCTGTAATGCATACTAATTTTAAATTGGTGACGTTATTGGATTAGGTGTCAGTGAAGAATTTATTGAAAATCACTTTTCAACGATGATATAACATGTATTATTATATTCATATTTACGCTGTATTGCTACTGAATCTGAATTCTTTACATTCATATTTGTTGTCCTCTTTAGGTTGGATTGTGTTATCATGGCTTGCCCTAGCTTTCTCAGTTTGCTCTTGTTAATTGGAAAAGTGGGTGCATATCATGTTCTCTCATTGGATAAGTACACATACATATTCAAATCTGCAGAATGAAATTAATCCTTCATTCAACCGAAACTTAGCACTTGTACACTTTAGCAGGGAAAACACTAACGGGGGCAGGGTTTGGCAACTTAGTAGTGGTAGATGCTTCTTTGGATCATGCACTGCACATCGATGGAGTTAATGCGGTCATTACTTGCCTCCGTTTAAAATCCTAGGAAGGTCATTATCAATGTCAAGATTAAGGTGAAGATCTCAAGTTAGATACCAACAGCCCCTTGGAGATAAGCATACGGTTAGTGGCCAAGATGTGATGTTATTTTATTATACATTCATTCAAACTACTTCTGCAAAAGTCGGCTGTTGGGGTCGTTTTCAGTTTGATATGTGCACTGCAGCTGATCATGTTGAAATAAGGAAACCTATAGTCGCATGGTAGCAGGCTGATATTTGCAAACTTATAGTCATTGCTTCATCAGTGGATCCACATTCTTGGCCTTTTACAGCTGCATCAGTAGATCAAGTTTCTATCAGCATTTTTCACGAGACTGCTGAATGTGAACTAAGTAGTGAGATGAAATGTCTGATTTGATGATGTGTTAGTAATTTGGAATTGGACAAAACATTGATGTGATAAGTTACGACTTTCTTATAGAGGAAAATATGGTTGAAATTTGTGCTTTAGCTTTTAAGTTTTTTGTGACCAACAAACTTCCTAATTTTTATGCCCCGTATAGTTCTCAGCATCTAGCTTATTATACTAAGATGTTTCTGTGTGCAACAAAAGTATTGTTATATTACGTGCCATTCTTTCAGGAGGCAATATTCTTCTTTTAAGTTCTACTGTTTGATGATACATTTGATGATTACTTATCATGTATACATTTAATTCAATATCAGGTCATAAACGTTCAAGTTCCTTTCTTGTTCAAGCTTGCTGTTGACTGGCTGTCAGCAACGACAGGTTCTGGAACTTCAATGGCATCCTTTACAGAAGCTAACTCCATTCTCTTAGCATTTTTTGTAAGCCCGGCAGCAGTTCTAATTGGATATGGGATTGCACGTGCTGGGGCATCTGCCTGCAATGGTATCTTACATGACGTAATCGTTTACTACTTTACAGAAGAATTTCATAGATTTATAATCATTTGTACTTCACAAAAGAACTGTAAGCTTTTAGCTCTCACTGCTCATAGGAGTCTATTTCTTACTGCATTTGTGCCGCACATTTTTCTCATCGGGTACCCTGCTGTCCTGATTTATGGATTGAATTTTCTCTCTTTGGCAGAATTGCGTACTATTGTGTTTTCTAAGGTAGCATCAGGAGCAATTCGCAGTGTTTCTAGGAAGGTACAACTTTATTAACTTGTCTCTACTGTCTAGTTCATGTTGACGTTTGCTTTCCAACCTTTTGGCATTCTGATTTCCCCTTCTTTGCAAAAAAGTGAAAAGCAAAACTTTTCGAGTTTACCCAACCAGTTTTTTATTTATATATTTAATATCCCTTGTTGACTATTTAAGCTCGTTCTTTTTTTATGTGCATATTTTCTATGTTCAACCTTTTTTGCCTAGTAAGGCCTGTAGATTGAACAAGCTGTATCATTTGTGATGAAAATGGGAGCCTATGCCTTCCTATGACCTTATTAGAGAAGTTTCAGCCTTGCAAGCTTTTACTAAGTTGTATGGAAGAGGAATGGCCTAATATCTGTAAATTTATGAGGGTGTTTAGGTGTTTGGAGACAGTGTTTACGACCTTAGGAGAAGACTGGACACTACACTGTAATGCCTAATATGGGCAAATCTTTATGGGCCTATATTCTTAATGAGTCCCTAACACAATGTAAGGGGACCTGTTAAGTTCTTATCCTAGTAAACTTTCTAACACTTCCCCTAAAGTTGGCTTGAAGATACTTAATTTACCTAGTTTGTTAATCTAGTGATTGAACAATTGTCTTTTAAATTTCATTGTTAAGAATTAATTTGTTGTTGTTTTGTAGGGATAAATGGAATACTTAATAGTCTTCTATCCAATTTCTCTTTGACAAAATGCAGGTTGACCTCAGCATGTTTCGTTCTATCATGATACATTAAGTTATGAGATATTTTTATTGCTACCTTGCCACCTAAATATAATTTCATGGCTTTGTTTTATGAAACCTTCAACTTGTCTAAAAGTTACTTTAGATGAAGAAGTTTACTTTTCCATGTTCGATGACTTGAAATTCAGCTTCTGTACTGCTTTAGGTTATCAATTTCCCCCTTCACGAAGGTACAATGTGCAAATGTTGACCTTCTGTCATCAACACTTCTGGGGCAATCAACATTTATTTTTGCTTATGTATCTGCACTTTCTCTATTTGTAAATATCAACTCTTTACCTCTAGCTTGTTTAAGATGTGAGAATTCTATGGATGCCCTCGAGTGGTTTTATTTGGTGAGTGCATTAATTGACTTGCAGTGCTCAGTATGAAAATTATCTGACAAATAGATTAATTTTCCAACCAGATGTTTTTTTCTTATTATTCTTAATATTTGTCCTTACATTTTGTTGAATTTCCTCTAGTTCCTTCGTTTCTTGAAGAACGACAGACCTTCTCGTGGAAGGGAAAAAATGAACTTCTATTCACAACATCTGAGGGAAAAATCACCTCAAGATCAGTTTACATCGAGACATGGTGTGTTATTTATAACAGATCCATGGGAGAAGGTTCTAAACATAGAGCCATACATCCCGAGACATATAGGTGATGTTCACGTGCTTCTTTAAGTGAGGCACGTGACACACCTCACCCCAACTGCTAACGCAGTATTTACACTGTATTTCAACACATTTAAATTGTTGTTCGGATCGATAGGTGTTTCAGCTAGCTTGTAGGCTAACATTCCAGTTCTGTGAGTGGTTCTTGTGTATATTTCATTTGAGACATTGAGATCTGATCCTTGATTTGGGCCTGATCCACACCCAAGTACTTGATGATCTGAGTTCTTTGATTTCCAGCTTCTTGACGAGGTGTATTTAATTTCTCTATTGGGTGATTATCTATTGTTAATATGATTTCATCCAGATACGCAATGAGTATTGGAATCTTTCTACTATTAGGATTACAGAACATGGTGCGATTTGCCTGGCTCTGCAAATATCTATAGGTCATTATGGACTTCCTAAACGAGTCAAGTTATCCTCTTAGAGATTGTTTGAAACCATGGATTGTTCTCTTTAACTTACTAGCTTTGTCGGACCACAATGCTCTTTTGAACCCAGATCATTGCCCTTAAAAAGACATTCTATACATCTAATTGTTGTGTAAGCTAATTGCAAATTGCTGAACGAGATGACATGATTCATACACTATTCCTCTCTGCCATATTTACAGAGGTCTCTTGATTATTTGATTGTCTCAAATGTTTGAGTGTATCCTCTCGCCACCAGCCTTGCTCTGCACTTTTCGATTTTTCTATCGGCTTTATAAATTACTGTGAACTCTTGTTTACAATATTTTAGTTTCTTTTCTCTAGGAAGACACTTCCTCAGTGCCATTCTTATCCAATTTTGTTATCTCCTTGAATACATCCTCTTTTCTCTTGGGAACAACTAGTGCCTCTTTTACAGACATGGGGATTTCTATGTTTGACAAGTTAGAAAGAAAATGCTCTAAAGCTAGGAGGACAATCTATAGATTCTGCAGTTGAGATGGTAGACTTGTGATGTGAAATGATTCGGAAGGTAAATTTGCCATGAGAGGGAGAAATTTGTATGACTCCCTTGAAGAGAAATTTGGGAGAGATAAGACTGATTTTCAAAAAAGTTGCTTCCATACTTGCGCACAAACTTTTTGTAATAGGATCAAATGACTTGTATTCTTTTGCACAAAATTTTTGTAATAGTATCAGATGACTTGTATTCTTTTTAAATTGGTGAGAAGCTCAGGAAAACACATTTTTTTATCAGTATGAAAAAAATGCTACACTGGACGCTTTAGGAGGCAAATCACTGGAAATCTGAGTGTGTGGATTGGTTTATCGAAGAATATTTTAGGGTTTTCAAAATTGATGCACTCGAGTTGGCATTCTATTGGTTAAATACAATGCAATTAGGACAACTTCTCCCCTAACATGTTTAGGAACTTCGGTAGTAAACTTATTGGCCCGGTCAACTTCTAAGGGTGCCAAACTTTTCATTCGGCAACTCTGTTTGTTGGCATTTATTGAAACCAGATGTTTGACGTATAATACCCTTTTTCATTCGAAACTTACTATGGTTGGATATTTAGTTTTATATTCCGTTATAAGTTCTCAGGACTGATATAGCAATTTCGAAACAAACCAGTGGCACGAAATTTTTCTTTCAACAAGTGTGTCCAACACATTTTAGGATGATCATCGACGAAAATAATGAACCACCTGGTCGAGTGATTTTTTTCACTCTTGATTTCTTTCATATATCACTATGGATTAAGTAAAATTTTAGTCTTTAGTGTCTGGAATAGTTTCCATCTCCATGTTTTGATAAAGGTCTAATGTTTTCGTAAGGCTATGCGGATCTTGTAGTTATCTGTGATGCTCGACATCCCTTGCTTAGTCTTTTTCACCTGGCGCTTGATCTGAAAATTTGGTGAGCACAATTTTGTAATAGGTTTTATTTCCTGCTGTACAGAAATCTGTGGCTGTAGAAAGGGGAAGATCACTCTTGCTGATTTTTGGCTGCATTGAATGGAGCAGCCATAGCATCAGAGAGAAGTTTGAGCATTGAGAACATGCTCAGCGGTGTTGGACATGGCTGAAAACGAGGGGAATAAAGAAAAATAGTGTGCAAGTGCTGGGGACAGAAACAGGCAAAGAGTGATGGGAAAGAGAGCCATCAAAGAGAACTCTGATAAACGTGAATAAGAAAGGGATTTAGATGTGAAATAAACAATTGGCTGAAGGGAGAAATCAGAACCTAGTTCTTGTTAGCGTGCCCATTTTCGTGACTGAAGAACAAATTTCTAGATTTCAAAGTGTTTCAGTTTGTTTACCATATGGTTTTCGTTTATATTTTTTTGTCAATGTTGAAACATTGTTCACGTTATGTTATTTTCTGGTTTATTCATTTATATTTTATTACTTTGTAGGTGTTTGAGCACCTTCATGATTTGGATCTTCGATATCATTTAAGGTATTATCATCTAAGGACAGGATGCCACGTACTTCTTAATTTCCTTTTATTTGAGAATTTTGGAAATGCTTTTGAAATTTGAATGGTTTTTGGAGTCTTGTTGCCTTTCTTTGTTGGGCACGTAGCCTCTCTTTGGAACTTGATTACATGATCCAATATTTTTTATTTTCTATTGTAAACCCAGGACAATGGTCTCGTTCTTGCAATTGAGGATCATCTCATCTAGTCTTTACGGATACTTGACAACTCTAAATATAGTTTATAGTGCCCAGATGCTGCATACTGTAATGTAGAGGCCATCTCCACGATATCAGATATATATAGCTCTCTACCCTTAGAGTATTCTCTTCACCGGACAGCTTTAGTTGTTCTCTCACCACCAATCTCCAGGAGGAGAGGAAAAGTGGAAGAAAAATAGTCGATTGTGGCACCAGATGTGGAAGACGTACCAGCTGTTTGTGACAACATAGAAAACACAAACCGGTCGTTCATGATAGTAGAGAATAAGATGTGGCAGCTAGGATGATTGAGCTCAAAATAAATGAGAAATTAGAAGTCACGACCAAACCTCTAGCTCTGATACCATGTTAGAGGAGAAAACCTTAGGCTGCTGCCAGTCAAGACGAGGGTGGAGGAGAAAAATGAATAAATGAAATTCACTATTAATGGTAAGTCAGGTCTGATATTTATACCATACCTGCAAAGGTGGAATATTGGATCGGGTCAGTTATACAACGAACTGAACCGAGAAAACCAGTCTTAGAATAAAAAGTATAATAGACAGAAAAGTAAAAATACAATAAACACTAATTCCTTATACTCCAACTATCATTATTAGCTTTGACACTGTTGGAGCGATATCATTATCAGCGCCTACTATTTAGCTCTTTGTTACAGCATGTTGATATGTTCAGTCTTAAATGTCACTCCTTGACTAGTAAAGCAGCATGGATTAAAATTGAAAAATCTTCTGTAGATTTTTTATTAAGAACGTACGTGGCTTTATTTTTAACGCTATGATATGCTTATCATTGTTCTTTTGCCATAATTTCTCCTTCGCAGTCGTCAAACTGGTGCATTGAATCGCATAATTGATCGAGGAAGCCGTGGGATAAGTTTTATTCTTTCAGCACTTGTCTTCACTACGTTACCCACTCTTTTAGAGGTATGATTCTTTATTGTTTCATGTACATATTTTATTCTACTTCTTCTCTACAGAGATGATTGTATCAGCTTTATTTCCAAAGAGAATATATGGAGTTTACTCCTATGTTGGTGGAGAAGCAATAAATTATAAGCGTTTGAGCTCTTTCTATAAAAACAATAAATTGTTTGGTGCTACATGCCCAAATTATTTTTTACATCTAATATAGAAGACTTTTAATTCAAGTGCTGACGAATCCTTTGAACATTTCCATCTCATGGTGAAACCTAGTGAATCGAAACATTCTAGTTTCCTTTAGGTTGCAAAAGAGACTTTAGATTACACTGAGGACTGCCTTTTGTTATGCCATTCTTGTCTTAGCTGTTGGACGAATCATGGATGTCCAATTAGTTAGAGTAATTTATCTTGCCTTTTATCCTTTGCTTCTTGGTGCCTAAGGCTCCTCTTGGACGTGGTAATCTTTTAATACTATGGGATTTTATGATTTAGATTTCGTTTGTCTTCTGTCATCTCTCATCACTTACCCTGAACTAAAGCTGTTATATTATTAACCTTTCTCTCACTTGACAATATCAAAGTCATGCATGATGCATATGCTGTGATACCCACTAAATACCCTAGCACATTGTCCACAACTTTCATCATGGAAACTTTGTGTCTACTATTAGAGAGGACTTTCCCTCTAGGATTGAGAACATTGTCTGTACAAGTCAGCAATTGGTGATATTATCCTGAAGAATGGGAAAACACTTTCCACGATGAGATCTTTTAAATTTTTCGTGCATCCAAAATATAAACAAATATTTTCAAATATGCTTACTGACAGCAGGGAATCATAGTGTGATTTTAAATAATCATTACGTACACTGGCTAAAGTCTATGTAACTGGGAGACATAAGCTAAGAACACATTTATGGCATTATTTCTTCGTAGGTTAACTCAAATGATAAAAATAACATATGAAACATTTGTGGTGCTGAATGATGTCCTAATTTTTTTTCTCTTTCAAATGTACTTCTAACTGTATCTTAGCTTCTTTTGAAGGCCTCATGGGTAGAAAATAGTTGTAATTTTATTTAATCCTGAACATGGAAGTGCACATGATTTGTTTCTTGCATTCCTCTTATTGATTGTCTAAGCATACCTTTTTCTAGATTTTCAATGTTCTCTTTTCCAGATAGCTATGGTCTCAGGGATCCTGGCGTATAATTTTGGAGCTTCTTTCGCATTCATTACATCCTTGTCTGTTGCAGCATATATTACTTTTACTCTGATTGTGACGCAGGTATGATTTCGGGCTATCATAGTTCAGTTGATGAGATATTATTTTCTTTCTCCCTGAACTAATCGCTTCTCATCGGGGCCAGTATTTTTCATTTCTTATTTTCATGTGGTTTATGTCTTCCTGAAAGCCAAAACCGCGTCCTATAATGTGATATCACTTTTCTCTTTTTCCAGTGGCGCACTAGGTTTAGACAGGTCATGAATAAAGCTGACAATGACTCAAGTTCAAGAGCTCTTGACTCCCTTTTGAATTACGAGGTTATCTTTCAAGGATATTTTTATTCTTCTACTATAACCAAGAATTTGCTCGAGTTGAGCTTCTTCTAAGCATTCAATACCTTTTACATCCAGACTGTCAAATACTTCAACAATGAATCATTCGAAGCTGCAAAGTATGATGAGTTTTTGAAGAGTAAGTGGCCGTTAACATATGCTATTGGAAATAATCCATAATGCTCAGTTTGTTTTCACTGATGTCAAAATCTATAAGTTGGTCAAACAAAAACCATAAGGTCTTATTCAGCAGCTCAGGTTGTCCAGGCAAGTACCTTGGCACCACCACCTTGTTGATTTAAACGCCCTAAAAACCATGGTTGAATTTTTTTCTATTGGTTATATTATATAGATACAATTTCATTCTGTCAAACTTCTATGTTTCTTATATTAACCTTGGTTCATGCACCATACGCTTGCACATGAAGAAATGATGTCAGGAGCTTACTGTAGATGTTTGGAGTAACATCTTACTAGTGAAGAAAGAGTGTCTAGATGTAGTTTCACTTGCAAATGAAGGATGTCAAAAGGGTACTGATGCTTATTGTAGAATGTTTTAGTGGTGAAGGTATGGACTAGAGTCTAGAACTCGCTTTGTGAATCTATATGCCTGAAAATAATGTACAGAGGGTTATTCAAGATGACATCGGGCAAATATCTATTTGGCGAAGTTATAGGCTCAAATCATCCATTATGGCAGAGTATATTGTCGCTCATATCTGATTTTCAGTGTTACTTATAATGGTAAGTATTTCTTCGTATAACCTGATTGTTTGGGATCTTATTTTTCAGAATATGAAGATGCTTATCTGAAGACACAGAATAGTCTTGGTTTCTTGAATTTTGGTCAGAATGCAATATTTAGTGTGGCTCTGTCTGCATCAATGGTTTTATGTTCTCATGGAATCATGAGCGGGAAACTGAGTGTTGGTGATCTGGTAAGGTTTGTTATTTTGTTTTATTTTTTTTTCTCTCGACTTAACTTATGTTTCTCCTTTTCTTCTGGTGTACTTGTTGCCAAGTTGAACTCTGATTCCTTATATGATATGTCACATACAAACTCTTCTCATATGAGTTTTTTTTTATTTTTCATAGAAGTTTTATGTCCGAAAATGTGTTTCACCTTTGCACAAAAGTTTGAAAAGACATGGTTTATAATAATGTTATTCGATTATATGTTGTCTTAATAGATTTTGAGGAGTTATGTTAAAAAGTTGAGAAGAAAATTCTGATATTACAATTAGTGGACGTTGTTTGCCACGCCTATATTCTGAAATTTTTAGCTCGGAAAATCATGATGTGTTCTAGGATTATCATAGTCGCAGTATTGATTTCTGTTCGTTAGCACTCTGCTATTATGGGCATATGGCTTTATGTAGCAATCTTAGTTACGGACCAAAGTTCAAAGAAAAGGATTTTTTTTTTCTGGTTTTCATTGAACGTTCTCTCTCGAGATGGTATCATCATATGCATGTTTTGTCATCTGATATTCAACTTCCGCCTGCAATTTCTATTTCTGGTCATAACAATGTTTGCTGGATCTATGCAGGTCATGATCAATGGTCTACTCTTTCAGCTTTCTTTGCCTCTCAACTTTCTAGGTAGTGTATATCGTGAAACGAAGCAGAGCCTCATTGACATGAAGTCCATGTTTCAACTGCTGGAGGTACTTTCCCTGCTCCGTTCATAGTTACCGGTGAATGTCTCTGAAGTATCTTCTCTCTTCTTGCTTCTCTTTTTTTTGTTTTGCTGTTAGCAAACTTTGCTGCTATCTATCTATTTTCCTGGTTCATGCTCATAGTGAACCGGGAAAATAATGTATAAATCATTTCCTAGTGTTGAAGTTCCAGGTTTTATTGGGTGTCAGACCTATGGGTGTATGATTCCGACAACCGTTTTAGTTCCTGGTTTCTTCTTATTTTCTTGATGTGATATGGATAATTATGTACTTTTCCTAATAAGGATTTCATCATAAGTAGATTGCATATCCCAAGTGAGAGTTTCTGGTTTGTGCGCAATTTCTGTTAAAAGGACCGAGTTTTGCAGCTTCTCTCCTGCACCCTTCTTCTACATGTTATTGAAATGCTGATTGATCGGAGATCAACATGAAGAGCGCGCCCTGAAGTTCAGGGTTTTCAAAGAAGGAAGGGAAAAATAGTCCATCCAACTTCTTGCTACCTGCCGGCCAAAAATCTGAAGGATGTGCCATACACCGAAAATCATAGTTTCTTCCGACCAGTAAATCTTTCATTATTAAAGAGAATAAGTCTTAACTGCTGCGAACCTGGAATGAAGAAATAAGATATTTTCTGTTGTATGCCTGGTTTATGATTCCACTGACTTTAAGCTTTTATTTTTTCTTCTCTTTTATAACCGCAGCCTGTCTTTCTTCTTTCTTTTAATTTTTATGCCATCCTAGAGTTTGTCCTTGGCCTGCATTGCTCAACAGACTCTCTATTTGAATGTATTTCTCCAGAAAATGACAAGGGAAGGCTCCCTTTATTGTTTTGTAGAGTACTAGTGTTCCCACAAAACCTGTGGCACATTCTTAGATTTCTTGAGAAATCCAAGAGTACCTTTCCTTAGGTGAAAGCAGGTTCATTGCATATTTCCATTCTTATGGGGCTTGTCCATTCTTGGTGTTGCCATCTGACTCCAGTATGTGACATCCCAATGATCCATTGCTAGAATAATGCCTTGATACCATGTATAATGGACAATGTGAGCTTAAAGGCCCAATATGTAATTTTATAAAGTAGACAATCAGGGAGATATGACTTCTTCTTGAGGAGATGTATAGTTAGAAGTAAAATGCATGTTGTATCTCTCAACTTGGAAGCAATTCATTGAACTGAAACCAGAAAATTTGGAAGTGTTGAGCTATTTGAGCTACTTTGGCCTCTGAGAAGCAAAGGGAAAGAATTTTCTGACTTCTTGTTTATTAGTTGGGCAAATGTAGGGTAGTAGAAAAGTTCGCTTAATATCTTCTAGTTCGTAATTCGCTCGAGTCGGGTATTTGAGAAACTGAGAGGATCGATTCTGAGTTTAAATCCATAGTTGTATGTTTCAATAACCTATGATATGTACTCAAGTTATTCTTATTTATTTATTTTGTCCTTGGACCATTTATGGACTAGTTAACTTGATGTAACGTCTGCATCCTGTTCTTTCCTGTATTCGGGTTTCATCTTTACAGATTCTTCACAATAGTGTGTGCTCAATATGGGAAATATTTCCTGGTCTGCCAATAGCCCCATTCAAACGATCAGACTAAGCAAGATGCTTTGAACTCATCTGATGCACCTGCCATCTTTCACTGCTTAAGTCCTCTAACTCAGTATCATTCTATTGATCTTTTTATGCCTAGTGGGTATTATGTAATGAAAAAAGGAGTTAATAGCTGTCAAATGAAAGTATGATTTTAAATTGTCAAATGAAATTCGTATCTCTTTTTTCATTTAAAAACAGGTAATTTGTGTAACGTTACCTCTGATATTATGGGTCCTTTCGACTGTTTCTTTTTTTCATTTGTGCAGGAGAAGCCTGAAATTAGGGACAGGGATGATGCGAAATCTCTAAAGATCAGTGGAGGAACTATTGAGTTTGATAATGTACACTTTGGGTATATCTCTCTCTCCTCTCTGAAACAAGTGAATTACCATCAATATTTTTAAGTGAAGGCATAAATTCCAAAGCTAACTAAAGTAGGAGTACATAAAACATGTTCCGAGTAAAAAAAAGAGCCTTTGCATAAGTGGCAATAGATCTAGGTTAGTAGGTTGCTAAACAAGCCCCTAAAGAAGGGCACATGAGGAACACACAATTGAGGCAATGCAGCGGAAGTTCTTCCCACATTCATAGATCTCTTCACCGACCACTTACTCAAATGAAGTTATTAACGGGAAGAAAACTATCCTCCTTACTGGCATAACCATAATTTTCAATGACAACGTGTCACTGTGGACATGGTCAGTCAACCCCTACTCCCTTTTCCAAAGATGTCATTCTGAATTGTCCGCTGAATTCCTCTCGAATTTTTGCATATTAGATTTGCCCAGGCCTTCCTTTTATTCGACTTCAGCCCGTCATTGGCGATACTCAAACACAGAAAATTCAGGGGCTACCTATCGATTCATAGTTTTTCTAACATATCTCCCATGACTTTCTTACCCTATTGTTTTGCAGATTCTTGATGTATTTTTTGGGCCTGCAATGAGCTCGTGATAATTTCTCTCATTCTGCCCTTAAGTACGATTTATCAATTTGATGAGCATAATTATTTGAAAGAAGAATCACCACCATCTTCTCATCGTCTTCCACAGCTGAATTTTTTTTCCTCTTCTACTTTCATGTTGAGCCCAAGCGTTTCTTCGCTCTTGAGATTTTTTTTCGGCTGTTGTCCTGAAACGATCTTCTTTGGGACGATCTTCTGTTTCCTATAATTTACTCCCTCATCAGGCTCGTCAATCCATGGTGTAATGCTATCACTTATCTTCCCTTTCCTCATGAGTGAGTATTGTCAGCTGAATTGGGTAGGGTGCATTTATTGGCCAGGATAATCTATCCAAATCTGACGGGAATTAGACTGATGTGGAGTTGATTGATTTGGTTCTCCTCCACCATTACTGGATCAACCTATCGCTCTATGTTCCTCTTTTCCTCTTCCTCTGTAGAAATGTCCTGTCTCATTTCCTGTTCTGTTTCTTTCTCTTGGTTCACATGCAGTAGCCATTCACAGCTCCAAAAGCATAGAAAATAGTGGCTTCCATAATACTTGACAAGGATTGATGCGTTCTTTAAATCATGCCTCTATTTTCTCCTCATGATTGGTCACGCTATGAATTTTATCATACCATTTACTTTCCCCTAACTTACAAGGGTCTGTGTCCTTTTATGGTGGTATATACAACCAATGTTTTCTAACTTCTCGCAATTTTTTCTTGAGGTTGGCTAAACTGGAGCTTTTGATTATGTTCTTTCTTCTACATGCTGCGAGTTATTTTTCACATCTTTTCATGCTGCTGACAAGGACCTGGTCACATTGTCTTCAGCTGACCAAGGAAAAACCAATTTTGTTTTTGATCACATCTCGTATGTCTGTTAGCTTTAGTGAGTTGAAATCTCATAACTAAAAAGCTTGCTAGCATCTATTCTTTTTCTTTTTGTTGGATGTTTTTTTGGTTGTGTATTGCCTTTTTCTCTTATGCATTCAATGAATTGAATTTTTCTGCCTACCGTTCTGTCATCATATGATTTACTTTTGTTAATGAGAAGGGATAATGTGGGAAAAAACATGTAATTAAAGGTTAGTGTCTGTTGGTCAGTCTGCTAGGTTGGTTAGACTGTTTGTCAGTTTCCTAGTTTGGTTGGGTATCCCATAATTGTATATAACTAGAAATCGTTCTATGAATTGATAAGTCAATTTTTTTTCCTGACTATCTTTCCTTGTTTTATTTGCGTCAGATAAAATACAATCATTAAGCATATGCGTTTTTGGTTTGTGAAAGAATGGCACTCCATCTCCAAACCTATTTGCAGTGAGGGGATTAGACCCATCTATTTGAATGCTATAGATTTTGTTCTTCCAACCGGTATGGACTAGTGGAACAGGTCGCTTTATCGGCTTTCTGATACTTCAGGACTTGGAAATGGTAGTGCATAAAGTACAATGGCAAAACCTATATGGTTCCATCTGAAAGAATTGGGCCATCCACTGATAAATTATTCTTAAGAGGAAAGCATAAAGCCCTTGTATTTAAGATATACTTTTTAATTGTGGGACTATTCTAACATGTTGTTAACTAAGACTTATCTGGTCTGATGCTCATTCGTAAGGTTCCTTCTTTGAAATAGTTTTTTGATTCGGGTCCTTGACCTAAGACTTTTGATGTAAAAGATTTGACCACCTGCTCGAAATCATTCATTTATGAATGTACTAGGCTCCTTTGTTTTAACTAGAGGCTTTGTATTTCCCAATCAATCTATACGAGAATTATGCTTTTAGTTCCATTTAGAATCATTCTTCACTTATCTTGGGCATGCAGGTGTGAGAGATCTTCGCCCATTGCGCCGCAGGTCTAGGTTTTATGTGGATCTTTTACTCTCTTCTCACCTCCCTTCTCTTGAATTTCCGCATGGTATCATGGCAGGTTCAAGGAACATAGAACCCACTACTCATCTTCAGCAATAACAATTTCTTCTATCATCAGTGGCGTTGACCTCTTCATACTTTCACAATGGACGCATTATGATCAAACGTCCTTTGATGGTTTCTTCCAGCATCCTGGTCATTCATCTTATTTCAATGGACACATCCTGCTGACCCTACTTCCTCTATCAGACTCTGTTTGGGCGATGCGTTCCCCTGCAGTTTCTGCTGTAATGCTTGTAGAGGCAGGGACAGACGTAGGGCACTCGTCCGGATGTAAACCCTGGTCTGACCCCCTCAGTCCTTTCTTCGAGATGAGTCCTCTATTCATCTGTCTTCTCTGTGAGTACTGCAATAGCAATAGCAGCGAGTCTGTCAGGTGCCTAGTTCCTGAACTTGTCCCCCTATTTTCAACAAAGGATTTGTATTCCCCCAACTAGTCTGGGCCTGTTTTAGCATTTTTATTTTCCAATGCGTTATCAGGAAAAAATGATCCTTAAACTCCATTTATGGTTAATAGTTTTCTAATTGGGATTCTCCAGCTATTCTTTTAGTGTGAAATATTGGTCTCTTGAAGAAGATGATATGATATTGGCTGTTCTGCGGAAACCATCTGACATAGTTGTTTCATCACTTGAAGAAGATTATATGATGACGGTCTGTGCTGTGATTTTTCAGGCTTGGATGTTCTTTCTTCCCCCCCCTTTTTTTAGATTCTTTTGGTGAGCCTAATCCCGTGCTATTTATGAAGAATATGTTTCCGTCTCTCCAGACATTTTTTTGGAGAGGAACACATTACTATTTTAATATCCATCGTCCCTTAACCTCAGTACCAAACCAAAACAATGGAGAAGTGTTTGATTGTTTTGTCCATGATTGCATTCTTAGTTTTATATTTTTGAGGTTTCCGATCTTTCATCTTTTGACTTCAATTGCATAAAAAACTTCAGTCCTTTTGAATGTGGGTATTTTCATGTTTGTTTGCAGATATCTAACAGAACGAAGAATTCTTGATGGAGTATCTTTTGTTGTATCCGCAGGAAAGAGTGTGGCTATTGTTGGAACCAGTGGCAGTGGTACGCAATAATGTTTTTGTAATTTTAGTGCCCATGGTGACAATAGAAGATCTATTTTTCATGGAGGACTGATCCTCTTTTGAGATTTAGAGTTATATTTTGGCGTTTTACACTAGGTCAAGCGAGTTTATTTAAGAATTGTATTCGTAGAAACTCTAGAGATTCTCGTGGAATGTGCTTCTGGTATGTAGTCGTTGAAGGCCAACAAATGCTGTATCGTGATGGCTGGTTACTTCGAATTCTGAAGTCAATGCAGACAAGTGCTAGTCAATGAATGAAAGGATATTGGGAAAGAGGTGACTGAGGGCGAAAATAAAGTGAAGAAGAATGGAGAGAAATGGATACTAACTTTCTCTTGTTGATGCTATTGTGCTGCTTGTTCTTTTCCTTTTTCTCCTTGTGGTTGATACTGATCAATCTGTGCTGTATCTGGGGCTGCAATGGTTAGTGAACACTGTTTATCGTAATGAAGTGAAGCACCAAGGGGGAGAGGGGTAGATGAGTAAAAAGTATAATTTATAGACTTTTTTTACAAAGAGGACTGTTTCTCTTTCATGGTTGAGGATAATTGATGGATACGGAAAATTAGAGAAATATAAAATTTCCCTTTAAGGGACTAATGACTAGCAGGTTGGCATTTAATGGATGGCCAATCAACTAAAAACATAAATTGTTAATTAATAAAGCATTAGATTTTCAAGGCGTTTCAGAACTACCCTCATTTCACCAAACATAAGCATGAAACGTATTGTGATCTTCATCAATGTACCCAATTGTGCCGGACTCGATTGTGGGGAAGAAAGATTGTGACACTGATCTAGAAGGTCATGTTCCAGATGATGGGACTCATCCTTAGTAATTCTAGCAACATGACTTGTAGGACTATTTGATCCTCCAGGACATCTTTCATCTGATTCACGCATCAAGATGAATCACGATGTTACATGTTTATTGGGATGGTGTCTCTAGTTGCAAAGAATTTGCCTCTCCTATTTGCCTAGTTGGGCTAGGTACAGAAATCTCGAAGTTGCTTCGTCAGGGAAATTACTCTGCCTTGAAGAGTGAACTTAAATTCGTATCAGATGGAAAATTTAAGGCACAAACACAAGTCCTTCTAGATGGGATGGAAGGGTTTTGCGTCTCAATCATGAAACCATCTGAAGGATATGCAATACCGCTCATTATGCTCGCATGCCATTGCGCAATATCCTGTTTTGAATTCCTGAACTTATGGTCCAAATCATTGGTAAGACATATATTCGGCACCACATGTTGCAATTATGCACTGAATTTCAGCATGCGAATTCTACACTGATATTTGTCATTATACTCTGGAGAGGTTACGTATCGTTCTCAGGAAAATCATCTCCCTAGGTGAAGCTTTGTGTAGGAAGCTTCTTGTGTCTTCTCTTATCATGATGAAGACCAATCCTGCCGTAAGAGTATGTGCCATTTTGGTCCGTATGAGGGTGGCTTCCTACCATTGTTATAAGACGTGTGTAATATTGGTTATCAATTTGTTGTTTTGCTAGTCATCTTAGGTGGGTTCTTGTGAAGTTTGCTTAGATAAACTTTCATGAAATTCTCGTTTAATAGACTGTGTGAGAACTGTGAACATGATGTTAATCTCTTTAATACTACTCGGTGAAGACGAAAGTCTGGGTTGAACTATGTAATTTCCTCGTTGATAAAATATAGGAATCAAGACCAAGTATGGAAGCTAATGTCAAGATGCATGCGGGCAATGGATACTGCGCTGAGTGGTGATGACATGACGCTGGAAGCAGGAAATGATTGTGGAGGACTGGATGAGAAAAAAAGTAGAGAGATCACATTATGTTTTAATCCACTACATTTAATCCTGTGTTACCTCCCTCCATGTAGTTGTCTCAGAGGCTAGAGTAATGTAATCACTCTTTTGAGGTCTGCTGATATGGGTTGGACATGAATCGCCTCTGAGTTAAGCTGACTTCTCAGACAGGTCTCAGGTCTGCTGACTTAGACTTCTCAGTCATAGTCAGGTCGTGTTAGTCATGCACAAGTTGGTGGATAGAGAGGTATTCTTCAGTAAGCAGACATCACGACAAGGAACAATGTCTAGGAAAAAGACATTTTTGTAAGACAGTCAGAAATTTCTATCGGAATACAATCAGCTCTATTTCACTTTTAAAGGCCTCGTCTTCTCTATGCATTGATAAGGGATGATGAAGAATAGAAGTGGAAGAGCATCATTGCTTGAATGCAGGCTTCTCTGAAGGACTATATTACAACCTGAGACCTGTGATCTTACTCCGTCTATAACCTAAAGTAGTCCTATGCGTACCTTCAAAAAGCCAGATTAAAAGATGCTTTGAGATTTTTGATAACCCTGTCAATCTGTATGGATTAAATCTGGCACTCTACTTACTGATGGAGTGAGGCTGATGGTATGTTTATCAATTTCTTGAACACTATTTTCCTTGGATTAGCAGATTAGGACGTGATCATGTGAATGATGATTTCAAGTTGAAAACGATGCGGTGAAGTTACAGGAAGAACTAATAAGGATCCCAGTCTTCGATGGATTTTTTTAATATTCCATCCAGAACATGACATCCTTGGGATCCATTTCGTATGTTAGGTTTAGTTGGTGTATTTGGTGGGAGCCTATTCAGTGCTATGCATCATTCTTTTGTAACTTCTAGTATGATCCGGGAAACCACTGAAAACTAGTACACAACGGACTGGACACAAACAAAAGAAAAAATAAGAGGGCAATGATGATGACCCTATGTTCTGTTCGTTTTCCCCTGCCCCGATGATGCGTTCCTAGCTCGCGGAGCTACATACCAGAAAAAAAAGACTCTCTCTATGACTTTGAGAAGAGAATCATTGGTTTGACCGACGAAGGCGCTTGAGGATATGGTTGAGAGGAAGAAACTAATAATATTATAGCTGCCCACGGTTTTTTCGCCGATTAATGTCCAAATATGTTAGTTTCAATAAATCTCTTTCCTCGCACTTTTTTCCTATCTGCTTGGCCTGTAGGAGAGGTATTTGGCTCACGACTTGAGGTATTAGTTCCATGGCTTTCAACCCAATTGGTTAGATTTTAGTCAGTCTGATTGATTGCCTAGATAGTGTATTTGACACGTGTTGATACCATTGCCAGATTTTTCAATTGTGATGCACTGTGTATGGGAATTCACATCGTGATGATGGTCACCACTAGAATTTGTAGCTGTTATGATTTCTTGGTCATGATGCATCATGTATGGGAACTCACACCGTGATGATCATCATCACAGAAACTTGTAGCCTGAGGGTATATTGGGAAAGATCATGTAGTTTCTCTCCCTATTTAAGGGGTGATAGATGTCAATGAAAAGTTAGGTGGTTTCCTGCTCCTCCCTGTCTTCGTTTAAACAGTCATTAACCATGCTAACCTTGGTACGAAGTGATGCAGGGATGTAATGCACACAACCTCCCTATAGACTTAGCAGCTGTTGAAACTCCATCTAGAAATGAATAAGGCTTTTGTCTTAGTCTATAGGGTTCGTTCAAGGATAAATATCCTCTCTTCCACAAGATCTGATATGCTTCTATATCAATTACTGTGATTGATTCTTGAACTTTTCAAAATCTGGAGAGAGATGAGAGGCTTATTCAGTCAACAGGTTTTTTGAACCATAAGCAAGCATGTTTGGGGTTTATGTAAAATCTTCTTTTAAAGGGCATCATTTTTTGTATTTATGAAATGTGATTTTATATATTTGGTTTCCTCTGTACTGAATGCTTTGATTTACCTCCCTTGTCCAGGTAAATCGACCATTCTTCGACTTTTGTTCAGATTCTTTGACTCTGACTTTGGAACTGTAAGAACCCTTCTTATCTTCTTTTCATTGAGTAAAGTACTTTTAATATGACATATATCGCACATTTAGTTTTGGTCGTTCTTATGTAGAAATGTCTAACCCTATGCTCTCCGATAAAACACGAGTTAAGACTTTTAACTCTCTTCGATTCACTTCTCTTTTTGCCGTGATTTTGGACAGTCGGTTCTTTTTTCCTCAAAAAAGAAACAATATAATTTTCTTTACTGTCCATATTGGTTCCGGGACTTCAATTAGGTTTGCATACCACTAGCGAGTGTACGCTTGTCCCGTCAGTCTTGAGAACAACAAATCTTTCAAGAGGTATCATGTTTTCGCTATTTTTCTTTTTCTTATTTGCCTTTGCGGATTTGTGACACATAAAAACGTCATTGATTTTTAATACCCATACTGAATTTGATCATTTGATGCATTGGAGGATCGTTTTTTCTTGTTTGTCCTGTACTGCTTGTGGATGCTAAACTCTTTTGTCTATTTTATATTTGATCATTTACGTTACAGGCACAAGTATGTGTGCTTGTCTCTCTAATGCGTCTACTTGAATATTTAGCGTTAACTGTGATATAAGTTCCTGCAACTGCGTCAAATACAGTAGAAACCCAAATTCATAACTCAACTTTTCTTGAATCCCCATGCAGATAAAAATAGATGGCCAAGATATACAGAGCGTAACAACAGAGAGCCTTAGAAAATCCATGGTTGTTGTGCCACAGGATACTGTGAGTAGCTTAAGCCTAATTTTGATTGACTTCTGCTTTATAAATTTACACTGTTTTATGGTTTTCAAGTCAAAATCATGGGCAGGTATTGTGTTCAACGCCATCCTTATGCATGATTATTTTAACTCTTCAATGATGATCAGATTCGTGTGTACCAATTTGGGGTAGGCTATATTAGAGATCCATTTCATCCAGTGTAGCACATTATATCTTCCATTGACACGAATGCTGGATCCATCATTATGCGATCGTAAAGCAGGTGTTGACTTTCCTGTCAAGAACTCCAGTCTGAATATCCAATTCTTCCTCTCATTTTCACATTGGCCTTAAGCTTTTATTGGATACTATTCAATTTGAACGAAATGCAGCAAGAGTTGTTGTCAGTGTATGGAAAGATGCATTTCTTCTTAATGGCTATAGATACAAGCGACATTCCTTATCCAGAATTTGTTGCAAGTCTGTGGTCATTTACCTTGCTGAGCTAACATCTGCCCAGAAAATAAATAGACCCACTACACTGTTACTTGAGCATCATACTCAAAGTTACAAACGTGGAAATGGTAAGATAGCATAGACACTAAATGCTGCTGGAAACTCGGAAAAAAAATCACGTAAATATACTTTATCTTTCTTTGCATCTACTTTTGAATGTTTCTGTATCTCTAGACATGAAGAGGACCATATTTGATGCACCCACGAGAAAGTTGAGGTTCTTTCGTCGACTATTTGTTAAGTTGTTGAAACCAAGGAGAGCTAGTTATGTGGCATGACAATGTGATCTGAAAGGGTTTACTTAAATTGGCTACTTTATTTTGGAAAAACATTTGATTAGGTCATCACATTTCGTTTTGGATTGTCATGCCAAGACATAACGTATGTATCTGCCCATAATGTTGCATCTTAGCGGTATTTTTTGAGCACATACTTGCATGGGTTTGTTATATTGGATGAACATAGCCAGTTCAATTTTTACACCACGGCATTGTCCCTAGGTTTTTGTCTTCTTAGGACTTTTTCATATTTTTTTCTATGGGACCTGTTTCAGCCACGTTTGTCTCTTTTGTTGGACAAATGGAATCCCACCCATGTTATGTTGTTCCTCGTGTTCCTTTGCTGATAAGTATGTTGGCAGGTCCTTTTCAACGATACAATATTCCACAACATACACTATGGTCGATTGACAGCAACCGAGGAAGAGGTCAGCGCTGAACATTGCAGAATGGGAACCCTGCCATGTTTCAGCTTCTTTATGCTTGTTATTTCGATTTCTAGGTGTATGATGCAGCTCGACGTGCAGCTATTCACGATACCATAATGAACTTCCCAGAAAAGTACTCCACTGTAGTCGGAGAACGAGGGCTAAAGGTCAGATGCCCTGTGCGCCGTGCGTTACGCCGCTATTTCTTCATACCATAGAGCTCCGTTATATTTTCAAAGTGCAAAATGCCATGAAGTTTCATTTTATGCTTGGGGATGCTGATCCGATCATATTCGGTGAGGATTAAAATATTATGTTCCTTCCGCAGTTAAGCGGTGGAGAAAAGCAGCGAGTATCACTTGCTCGTGCCTTTTTGAAAGCATCATCTATCCTGTGAGTAATTCTTTCATACGTCGATCATACAATCTTCCATGCTAGTTTTGGTAGAAAACTAAACTTGATTTTCTCAGCAAACTACGGCTACGCCATTTCTTGGTGCTGAAAGCAAGCTAATATTTGCATTATATCGTTTTATGAACCTTTGGACGAGGGCAATGGCATGTGATAAAAATCTTTCACATCTGCGTGCTGTACTAAAAGCCTTTCTGCACTGTAGGCAACTCTTTCTTCTTCTTGTCCTCCTCCCCTTCGTCCGTGATTCTGTGCTGTTGCATTATTTTTTCTTATGTTTTCCTGGAAGAGCAGTAGATCAGATCAAGTGAAATTTATACCTCATTCATGAAATCGATACTTTATTTATAGGTTTCTGTGCTGTTGCATTGTTTTTTCTTATGTTTTCCTGGAAGAGCAGTAGATCAGATCAAGTGAAATCTATACCTCATTCATGAAATCTATACTTTATTTATATGTTTCTGTGCGACGGAAGAGTCAGCAGCTCATTCCCACTGATTCTAACATGAATCTGCAAGAAATTTCTTCTTTGATGATTATTTTTTCTTCATTATATATCGACCCCAGTAGATTTATTTTTATTTTCTATTTTTTAAAGAAGGAAATTTATTTGTGTATCATGGATACACATTACATAAAGTAATCCATCGCCGTACCAGGTTATGCGATGAGGCTACCAGCGCTCTTGATAGCACAACCGAGGCTGAAATACTGAGCTCATTGAAGTCTTTATCAAGGAACCGGACCTCGGTCTTCATCGCTCATCGACTCACCACTGCCATGCAATGTGACGAGGTAATGATAAATTCAGAAGCATAGTCCTCCTATCTTCATTATCAACACATATACATATATATATACATACATAGTAATATTTGAATCTCCTTTCTGTTGATAACTAGGATATTCATGCTACTCAATCCTCTCCTTAGGATTTCAGCTTTTGTGGGTCCCCACGCTCTTATTATCTGGTCTCCTTATCTTCTGTTGAGGACTAAGATGTTGGGTTTTTGTAGGTGATTGTTCTTGAGAGCGGGAGGGTGATGGAGCAGGGCCCACATGATGTTCTTCTGACCAAGGGAGGGAGATACGCCCAGCTGTGGGCCCAGCAGAACAACAGCGAGGGCGCCGATACGACGACTCTCCAGTTGGAATCAACCCCCCCTTCCGAGGTACCCACCGGGTCAAAGCTCTGAACCCCAGAGAGTGTACATTCCCCACCCAACGCCCCGAGATTTGGAAGCCCGGCTTTTGTAGAACAGTGTGCCATAGTCGATTATTTTCTTTAATTGATTGATCAGACTTGAGAGGATTTCCGCGACGATAAATTGTATTATATTTCATTCATCAGTTTTTTTTTTTTTTTAACGATTTCTTTGATGGTACCTCTCTCTGCCATATGTTTTTATCATCTCTCTCTCTCTCTCTCTATCTGATAAGTAATGGAGGTTGGACAATGATGCTTAAAGGCGATAAACTGTAGTGATTGCATCGTTTTTTCCCCTCAAAACCCTCTGGAGAAGGTGATACAGAGAAGAAGAACAGGAGAAGGGTAGTGACGATGTGGGTGGGCAGCAGAGATGGATTCACCTGGAAGAGAGTAGATGAAAGGGCAAGAACAAGAGCGGAGATGGCCCTGAGACATGGGGATTTTTACCAAGAAAAGAAAAAGGAATGAAGCAGCAGAAAGGTGAGGAGATGTGTGTGGGAAGGGACAGCAGCCATGAATTTGGAGGAAGGGAGTCGTAATAATCAGTTGGAAACTTGCAGCTTCATCTGCCCTAAAAAAGGAAAAAAGTTTCAAGCCACTAGAAGAAAGATACTGCTGCTTCAATCTTCGTCAGCTCCTCCGAATTCTGCTGCCTTCGGATGGATATAACCAATCAGGCTAAAACACATATCATCGTCGGCCATGGAGACCACAAAAAAACTCTCCACCTCCCAGTACATTTTTTTTCTAAAAGAAGGGCCACCATCTCCTGTTCCTGCCATTGCCACTCGCTTGAGCAGAGTCGTTTGTTGAGGACACCCGCGGGATCTGATCACCCCAACCGCCATGGCTGCGGAGACTTCCTCCTCCTCTGGTCAGAGGCTTCCCAAGCCACAACACAAGAACAGCACCCACAATACCCACAATTGGAGCAGCAGCAAGAAGAAGCCATCCTCCTCCAGCACCCCCTCTACTTGAATGGCTAGGATCACTGGGGTCATCTTCTCCGGAACCCATAGTCTCCTGCCTTTCAAGGCCAAGATCGCTCACCTCCTCCACTTCTGAGTCGCTGGATTCCGTGGATGAACCTTCCTCGGGGAGTTCTTCGTCCCTGATCTCCGTTAGCTCCATCGGGCCGCTGCTCAGATGCCTCTTCCCTTGTTCGTAATCAGGATCGTCTGTGGGGAGCTCGTATCGGCACAGAGGGCACGAGTTCCGGGAAGACAGCCATGGGAGGATGCAGGAAGGGTGGTAGAAGTGGAGGCATGGAAGCTGGCTTACCTGGGTACCAGTGAGCAGTGGGTCCTTACATATGGCACAGATCAAGCCGCCATTCTTCTCGTGGTCCTCGGAGAAGACCACTCGAGGGAGATTCTCCACGAAAGATGATGAAGCAGGGGGGGCCCCTCTTCTCGAGCCGTCAGTCTCAGCCAGATGCTCGAGTAACTCCTCGAGACCCCTTCCATTGAGATAGTCCCCTGACTGGATGTAAAGGTCTGATTCCTCCAAATCGGAGAAGATGCTCGGATACGGCAGGAACCCATCTTCCTGTGAAATCCAGTGGACTCGAGCCCTATTCGCAACTGGACTTCCACTCGCATCTCGAATTTGATGAGAAGGGTCAACTTCTGGAGTGACTTCTTCATCGAAATTGGTGTCCTCCCACTCTTCACCATCTTCATCTTGATCATCAGAATTCCACGAATCTAATCCCGTGTGCATCGGGTCGATACCAATATCAGTGACGATCCGACTCTCGTCGTCAAGATGGATGAACACTTCTCGATCTAGAAAACTAGGCCCGTCCACCGACGCATCAGATTCCCCACCGTAGACGCCGAAGCTGAAGTTGGAATCGCTCTCAGCAAATAAAGAATCTACCTGATCAAGCCCATCACTCTCATTATCTGAAAGGGTCCGTCTCCATCTTATTGATCTGTCTCGACTAGTAGAGCTCACAGTCTGAGCACTGCCACCCTCAAGATGGGTTTCACGATTCTGTCTAGCTAGATTTATGAGCTGAGAGAATTCCTGGAGAAACAGGTCCTCAACTGACTCTGAACTCTGCCGCCTAACTCTTACCCCCCTTTGCCTCCTCTGGTGGACGTCTCTTGGAGTTGACATCGTGGTTCCAAGATCATCGAAAACGCTGGTTTTGCAGTCTCTGCATATACTCATTACATCAAAAGCCTCATCAGTTTCAACCTCCGGCTGAAAGTTTCTCCTGCAGACAAAGCAGCTGACATTTCGCTCGTAAACACTGTGAACATCGGTGATGTCGTAGTCATGGTGTTCACTCTCCATCCGAAACTATTTACGACAATCAGCGAAGGTTAAACTTATGGTTTGGTCAACGCTTGGCCTGCATGGGAAAATCAGCCAGTTTTGATAGATGCGGCAAGATAAAACTGTTGCAGCAACAAAGAACACATCCGGAACATATTTTGCATTTATGAACTCGTTAAAGAGGTTTATGATACAGAAGAAATATCTATCCAAGCACCCCCAGGACACCGTTCAAGGATCCTGAGCTTTCAATAGACTTGAATAAAGCCATAAAAAAAATAAAATTGAACGCAGATTGCCAAAAAGTTGATCAAATGATGCAGCCCCTGGTAATTACCAGTTTAGAGACATAAAACGTGTCAGGCGAACAGGTGGGTCTTAAGTATTATCATTTTCGCATGCTACTATCCTGCACCCTGATCTGAAAAAAGAAGGAGTTGACTGAGATGAAGGAATGGAGTTTGGGGATCTTGATAGAATTAGCAAACAGTAATAAATCCTGACCTCTTGTCCGACAAACAGTTATGAAATTGCTCCCCGTGTTAAAATAAAAGAGATGGAAAGATGGAGTATCAAGGAAGAAAAGAACTCGAACGAAGCATACGAGGATTCATATCGGCCGTCATAAATGACCGAAAATAGGTTGTGCTTGGAACCAGTCGTATAGGCAATCGTAAAAGTCCCTACGTAAGGGAGGCGGCTAGCGGCTAAAGAAGAGCTACAAGAGTGAAAAGTTGTACCCAAGGGCAATAAGACTAAGCTAGAAGCGAAATCTGGCGCGTAAAACTACAACAACGCTAACTACACAATCAGATGGGGTAGAAACAAGGAAGAGGGATCCGAAGTATGAATGGTTTCCAAATCGACAGATAGCTCGCATACCTCAACCCGGTCGACAAAATCCCCCATAAGGCCGAGGGGAACGACTTCGGAGAAATCAGATCCTGACGAACCGAAGCAGAGAGGGCGGCGCTCAAACGACCGGAAAAGCACACCGATCGGATCAGAGAGGCCCGAACATCCAGGAAACTGCCAAGAATTTGAGACTTTCAGGCCTCAGAGCACGGATTCAATGCCGGAAGATCAATCTCTCCCCCGCCCTCCTCCCGCCCGCTCCTCACGTAGGATCTTGGGTAGGCAGACCGAGGAGATGCTAGGAAAAGAGGAGGAAATCAAAATCAGTAGGCCGTCTACACGGTATAGGCCTAAACTATTGTCCTCCTCTTTACCGTCCATCAGATGTCCTACTGCCCTATTGATCTGACGGTTCCTACATCCTGAGCAGTCGGAAAATGAAAAAAATATCAGAAATAAATATTTAATTATTAAATAATCGAGCATCCCACTCACTTCCGCTCAGTTCCTCACCTTATATTATTTATTTATTTATTTCCAAGGGACATATTTGTACACTCGTAAAAATATTATCTTCTGGGCTTCTGACAAAAGTCGCCCAATAAACTCGAATAAATTAAAATTTCCATGAATAAATAAGAAAATATTTCTTTTGGGCCTGGTCCCCCTATAAGATGTCGGAGTAGAAGCCTGATAACCAGCTCCAACAAGAGTAGGCCGAGTTATCCGAGAGTAACCCATCCGCTTGACTAGACTAAGCTTATCCCTGATATTCTCAAATCGGAAAACTAAGTTAACCCACCCATATGAGAGAGAGAGAGAGAGAGAGAGAGAGAGAGAGAGAGAGAGAGAGAGAGAGAGTGGGTAATTTAGAATCTGGAATTGAAGGGGAGATTGACCTAATTAATCCTAATCAGTCATCAAGCAGAAGGGCCTGAGCTGGTTAACACTTATTTTTGCAATATATATATACTGAATCTAATCAATTGGACTAAAGTACTAAAAAAGCATTGAGCATAATGAATGATAGTTTGAAAAAGGAGATTGGGAAAGAGAAAATTGTCGAAGATCATGGGAACCCAAATCCAAAAAAAATAAAAATAAAACATAAAACCTCAGAAAATGAGATCAGGTAACTAGTATGCGGCCAGTTATGCTAGAAAAATGCAATTACATTCTACATTTATAATATAGTTAATTTTGGGCTGAATCACTGGATAAAAAAGAGGTTCAACCCATCTCCAGTTCTACGTGGTTCACTGAAACCTCCACTCCTTTCTGATCATATTCAGATGACAATCTGCAATAAATTTTTTTTTCCATTTTCTGAAGAGATTTCTTGCAACTAAAGAACTTGGGTGTGCTTCTTCTCCTCAGCAGCCGGTTGCAAACACCACCTCACCAGGGGCTCCGAATGTTCTCTGCAGGAACTTCTTGATTGCCAATAAGAACTCTGCCGCCTTCTCTTCATGAGGCAAGTGCCCACAGCTTTCGATGACTTGGAGGGTGGCCCCGGGGATCACTGATGCTAGCCGCTCCGCATTCCAGCGAGGAACTATCCGGTCGGTATCTCCAGTTATTATCAACACTGGATTGAACCGGAAAGAACAACAGTAAGTCAACAGGGAAATGGTTAAACCATTCAATCTGCTTTACTTTAATCTATTGAGCAATAGGAAGAAAAATAGATCAAAAGATAGTTTCAACTGGAGTTGACCCAAAGGGCCAGGTTTTTTCTACATCAACAAGTCAAAAAATAAACCAATCGTGCCATTAACAAGGAAAAAGGCAAGGACAAGAGAGATATGGGTCAACGCTGACATTTGCTTCTGAAAAAAAAAAAAGGGAAACAGATGCCACTCTAGATGATAATGGGCAGGAATATTCCAATTTACTGCTTTTGGGAAGAGAACAAGCATTCACCCTAAAACTAGGCACATAAGGAGCATGAAGCTGTTAATATAAGCCAAACTAGGCTCCAAGGGGCGTATACCGGGGCATGATATCTCAGCTAGCCTTGCTGCTAATGGTGGCTCTGTTTTGGAGCCCGAGTTTGTGAGTGTGGCCAAAGTATATTCCAGGAGACTCACATCCCAATCTTTGGCCCTGAGCGGCTGCACAATCATCTCAAATATAAGAGTAAATCTATGGAAAAAAAGGCTTCAAATCATAAACAAACGGTGAGATTGAGTAATCTAATTTAAATGATAAAAAAAAAAAGTGAGATCGAGCGGATGTATAAGCCTCCTTGCTATTTGCGTCAATCTCACCTTCGTGTAGCCGTTTATGGTAAAATCAGTGATCTTGTTCGCATCACACCAGGAATTCCGAACCGCTGCTATACCAAACTTATCAATGATCATTCTGACCTGAAAATCATAAAATATATATATACAAGTTAACATTGATTCTTCAATGTTTTATATATGATGGTGCTCTAAAGATTTAACAAGTAGAATGTTATTCACTAAGATTGCTACATGCGAGAATATATCTTTCCGAGAATAAGCCATATGCGTGAAAATTCCATATTCATAAGCAGCTAGAACATTCCGATTGAGAAAATTCGACCTCCATATTTTATTAGCCTCATAGATGACCACTTTGAACTCTCCCGTATGAAAAAAAAGAAAAACTCTAAAGAGAAAATCCGCAGATCGCATGGAGGCTAAAAGGTTTCCCTCATCATGATGGGGAGAGCAAGATATATAATTTCCCAAGTAAAGATAATTCAGACTTGTTAAATTCATGGTACATTAAGATGACTAAGAATGTGCATGCTTCAAAGAAATTATTTACCAGAATTATGGATAAGGATGACCGCAGAACTGCCAACAAGATATTTCTATATATAGATCCGAGCATATCTTTCATTCCTTTAATAACGTGCATTGCTGTCTGTACAATCAAACCAACTAACCTGCACAAGAGATTCCAAATCACAATAAAATGATTCCTTTGATTATCAGTCGTGGATCCTCTGTCCTCACTCTGAGCTGCTTTTCCCTTTTGACTTCCTTTTCTAGCTTTATCTCCAAAAAGTGGAGCAAAAATCGCCGGAGCCACAAGGATTAGAGCAGCAATCCGCTCAGGATATTCGAAGTAAGTATCAACTGCCACAAGGCAACCAGCCGAGTGCCTGAGAAATTCAGTTTTCATTATTGGAGACTAAGATACTAAGCCATTGGATTATCTAACTTGATAAATTATTGTCCTGAAGCTGAGAGCAATTCTGAACGAGAAGCATCACATACCCCACAAGAACCGCCTTCTCAGGGCCGAGCCTGTCAATGAAGAAGAGAGTTGCAAGTACTGAGAAGGCTATGGAATATGGATTCAAAGGTAGCATATCAGCTTTTCCAGTGCTCCAGATAGAATGGCGAGGCCTTGATGTCAACCCGAAAGCAGGTCTGTCGAAAGCTAGAACAGAGGAGCCAATCAGGCTAGCCAAAGGCTTCATTACTCCAGCCCATGAGAACACTGATGCTCCAAACCCATGTAGCAAGATCATAGGGAGCCCAACTTTAGGAACATTGCTACCCGCAGACGCAGAAGATATCTCACTATTGAACGGCTGACCCGTCTGCTCTTCTCCATGGTGGCACACCTTGTGGTGTATCTGTATGCCATTAAATTCGCAGAAGAAACTATCTGGATCGGATAACATTGTTGGATCTACCAGCTCATCTTGATCCACACCAGCTACATTCCTCCCTTTCTTCTTCCTCTCAGTGGCCACGAGCCTCTCTGTGTGATTCAACACAATATAACTTAATCGGCAAAACAACGACGTAGAACCAAAACTGCACGGGATCCATGTGAGAATTTCAGCAGAGAACAGTTAGAGCCCTCGATGAAGAAAACTAACCTGAAAACTCCGCACCCGACCCGGCGACAGAGGCTGACCTCCGCAGAAATTTCGTCACCCTCTTGGCGGAAATGATCGGAACCCTTACCGAAACATCTGGAGGATTCTGCCTGGGTAACTGTGGTCCAAAGCAGGCGAACTGACGGAATCCAGGAACCAGAGACATCGCCCCTTTCAAAGTCCGGGGTGAGCTCCACCGGAAATCGGAGAGCATCTACAGGACGAGGGGACGAGAGGCTTCGAATCCCGGCGGATCAACTGGGGGATTTCGGCGGGAAAGAAGACCTCTTTCTGCATCCTTCGACGAGGATGTAGAGAGAGAGTGACTGACTGCACTTCACAAAGCATTCCTAGCTCGCCTCCGATCTCACCAGCCGTTCCAAAATCTGTCTACATCGGCACCTAGAGACCACAAAAAAAATAAAAATAAAACACGGATATTTAATTAATTAATTAATTAATTATTATCTATGGTTATAGGACCTGGAAATGTTTCCATATTCTATTCAAGGCAGAAGATGGTCAATGTTGACCGTAAAATCAATGCTGTCATGGTATTTCATTGGGCCTTGAAGGATGGTCTTAGGAGAGCCAAGCTTCTCCACAAAGGAGAGGATTGAATTAGTAGAGAAAGCCATGGAATATGAATTCATAAACTTATTATTTTTAGTCCTTGTCTTCCTCTCATCTGGCCAAAGAAAGCCGCCCATGGGAAGAGGGAGGCCAGAAAACTATGTAGGAGGACCATGGAGAGGTTGACTTATCCCCAAAGAAGGAAACACTGGTTATCCTCCACAACACCCAAATGGTAAATACACAAAATAAGGAGTAATAATATGATTTCATCAGATTAAAGTTCATTTTTTTTTTTATAGAAATAGATTGACTTTTGAACTATCTTGTTTTGGCACAATCATAAACTCTTACTATGACACTTTGTTCTCTTGGCAAGATTGATAGTCCATGTTCTATTTTAATGATTGTGTGTTGTCATGACTTTGACTTCCTACCCCTTTATAATGTCTTGAGGTTCTTACGAAATGCTAATGATTTTTTTATCTTTCTTCCTTCTTACTTTGACATTGTGAATGTTGTGCATGTTGTGCATGTTGTGGATGTTACACACACTAGACATAGTGCTCAAATATTGGTGTGGTGTCATCACACCCTCATCTTTGTGCAAATTTTTATATCCTTGTTGAAGAATGTTCTTTGAGATATTAGTTGATGAAATCCTTGAACTACCAAAGGTCAAGGATTTGTTACATTTTGTTACTCTAGTATTATCTCTTGTAATTTTATTTTATTTTTGTCCAAAAAAAGTGAGCACATCTCATTAGTAGTTCATGTTGAGAATGATTCATCTTCGTACTCCTTGCACATTTTTGAGAGTGAGATATAAAAGATTGAGTGATTCATAAGTCTTCAAAGAAGATTGAGTCTATAAGTTAGTCAATTTACTTACATCACAATTTCAAATTATTGATGTCCTTGGTTTTGATACTTCATGAAATTTTATTTACTTAGTTTTTACATAGTATTTACTTAATAATAAATAGATTTTATGAAGACATAATAAAAATTTGATATCATTAAAAAATACTCAAAACATATATTGATAAATCTTGAATAATCATATGGCTAACAAAAAATCTAATGAATTATATCCTTGAGATATTCATATGTTAAATTTAATATATCGTCATATAGTTGGTATATAAGTATAGAAAATTAGGTTCAAGACATGTAATGAGATATCTAGAAAATCAAGATATACGAAGTCAAATGCAAGATTCGAACTCAAGACCTAAGTGACAAAAAATCATAACATTCAACATTTTTTATAAAAAAAGTCACAAATAAATAAAGAGGCCATCATAATAGAAACTTGATACCTACACAACGATAAGTTGGAAAGTTGTTTGAAGAAATATAGAAAAATTAGAGAATCAATATCTCTTGCAAGACTCAAACTTAAGACTTGTACAATGACAAATCTAAAAGCGTATGCACAAAGTTATTGAAAAATCATGTAAAGAGAGAAGTCTTTGCGATGTATTATGGACAATGACATGCTGACATAACATGTAAAGAAAATGACAAATCAAATAGACTTAGACTCAATTTTGAAAGCATAAATATACAAAGATAAGTTATACATCTCAAGATAGTTCAATGAACAACGAACATGAAAATAGATAGTTTGAAAGAAAAGAATGAGCAAATGTCATCGACACATAACAAAATAACATGAATAATTTTGAATTTACGTGATCGTGTTTAGGTAATGAAGAGACATGAGAATATTGGAAAATATAAGAAAAGAACCTATGAAGAAGAATAGAAAATCCTGAATGAATGTATTTACACAACTATTATGCATGCTCATAGGAATATTTTTCTATATCTGTCAAGAATCTATCTACTCAAGCTTCAATGAAGAAGTGAAAGCTGCATCAAGTTACCTAAAAGTAAAAGTGAAAGCTTCAATGAAGAATATTTAGGTGATTCAAGTTACCATTTGCTTTAAAAATTTACTTTCTCCTTCAAGCCCTAAGGTATCTAAGTGGTGAGTGAAAAGAGGTTTTGACTAAGTCACATGGTATTGAGAGTCTAGTAGTTCCCTTGGAGGGTGAGGCCTCTAAGGAGACTAGTGTGTTTGGGATAAGGCACATAATTCTTAGAGCTTGGTTATGTTAGGAAAGAGTGTGTTTGATAGGTTCCTTTTTTTCCATTAGATAGTTGGACCTTTCAATTCACTAGAGGGAGTCCCAAGATATGAGAATAGAGTAAGGAGGTGAGATAGGATAAAAGGAGAGAGAGAAAGACAAGTTGGGTGTGTAGATGAAACTAAAAGTAACTAAGGGGGAGTGCACCTCAATACAAGACTCTTGTGAGGGAGGTACACAAGAGAGAGATAAAAGAGAGAAGATATAAGGGACATTGAGTAGTTGTTGGATTCCAACCACTTAGAGGGGGCTAACCTCCACTTCACTGCTCAAGGGACACTTCTTCATGTCATCGCCCATCCTTTTTCTTAGAACCATTTTTTCTAAGAATGATGTTGTGGATCCTTTGCATCCATGTGAGCCATTCCTTGATACTTGTAGCTGTGAAGTGAAATGGGAGTGGTGACAACCTATTTCCTTTAGGTCATCCTCTTGCAATGATGTGATGGGGCCTCTGGTAGCCCATCAACATTCCTTCCTATGAGTGTCACCTTGTCCTCAAGGGGGAAGCTAGGGAACTATTGTCAAAACTATGTGACAATTTCTCAAGTGTTTTTGTTCTTCAGCATACATACCCAACGAATGAGGACTTTGATTTCTCATAGGCCCTGGCAACTCCTGATGATGTCAATAGGCTCCATTGTTCATGCAAGATCTTCAACTAGTAGCACTTAGGTCATGACTGAGTTGACTGATGTCTCAATTGCTCTCTTGAGTTGAGACATGTGGAAAAAGGATGGATTCCTATGATTAGAGGTAGGATGAGTTGATAGGTGATCATTTCTTTCCCATGATTTTGAAAGGCTCAAAATAGTAAGCCCCTAGCATTTTTTAGGAATGTCTTACAAGAGAGCATTGTTGATATGATTGAAGACAGAGGTAGACATGATCACTAATCTCAAACTTGAGCTCTCAACAGTGTGATACTTTAATCCTCTATTAGGCACATACTAGATGTTCCTTGAGATAATGAAGGACAATGTTATGTTCCAACAGTAGGTGATAGACCTCATCCATTTATGATGAATTGGCTCCATATGGTAAGTAGCACAAAATAAAGTAAGTAGCATGAGCATAGAGAATATTTTGGTACCATGGAGCTCATCTAGAGGTTCCTAAATGATGGGAATTGGGAATTGATTTGGCAAGGTGCAGTGATTGAGGTTGTGGTTGTGGTAGTCCACATAGAAATACCATGAACCATCCTTTTGTGTCAGCAATACTTGAGTGATGCACATGTGCGTGAAGTAAGTCCCTCACCACTCGAGTTCAACTCGTGGCTCCCTCGTCTCAATCTACCCACTCGACCTCAGTGCCCTTTCCAATCAACTACTAAGTGCCGACTTGTCAACATGTGGAGAATTTTTTATTTTTTATTTTTTTATTTTTTCTAAATAATAAAAAAATTAAGTTAAGTATTTTAACTTAAAACTTTTAAAATTATCAATAAATTCCTATATTTATTTTAAAAGTTAACAAAATAAAATATCTAAAGGGAGTCCTAGGTATGAAGATAGGGTTAGAAGACATGATAGGATAAAGGGAGTAAGAGAAGGATAAGTTGGGTGCATAGATGAGACCAAATAGTGACCAAGAGGAGGTGCACCCTAAAACAGGACTCTTGTGAGCGAGGTACATGTGTGTGTGAGAGAGAGAGAAAATGAAAAATATCTAAAGAGAATTGGGCAATTGTATGATACTAGCTACTTAGAGGGGGCTGACTCCACTTCACTACTTAGGAGATATTTATTCATGTCGTCGCCCATTCTCCTCCTCATCTCTTTAGAACTATCTTGCTTCTTAGAATTGCTCTTTCTACAAATGATGTTGCAGATCCTTTGCATCTTGTGCGAGTCATTCTTTGATACATGTGAGTGTGAAATGAGACTAGAGTGGCATTGGCTTGCTTCCATTAAGTCTTTTTCTTGTGATGATGTGATGAGCTTGCTAGTAATCCATCAATGTTATCTATGAAGATTAGACTGATGTGGTTGGATTGTTGATTTTGTAAAAATAGTAAGTATTTTTGAGTGTAAATAGTGAACTCTAATAAGAAGGTTCTTTCAGGATTAGAAGTAGCAAAGTGAGGGACAAACCAATGTAAATTTATTTGTGCCCTTGGTAGTGATGAATGAACTATGTGAAGACCCATTCAAAGAGAAAAGAGTCTTGAGTAAATTCACACTCAAAACTAAAAAGTTGTGTGAGAAATTGTGTCAACACATCCACTTAGAGATAGAAAATAGAAATAGAATAGAACAATAGGAAATTAATTCAAACTATAGCCTCATCAAACCCTTTATAAATGACTCATCAAAATACATCACCAACTATTAGTATTATTTATTTTACCTAACATTATGACACATTTTAGGTTAAATGCAAGAAAACTCAACTGTTAACATCAAATGTTACTTTACATCAATGTTAATTGTAT